AATTCCATAAGATCCTCGTTGCCAGTCCATTGCTGTTCACCGTTTCTCACACACTTGACAACGTCCGTCATCAACATCCTTCATCAGATCTGAAAAACACAGCTGAGAAACAAACAGCAGTACTAAGCCACCATCTACATCTGAATAAAAGCCAAGGGTGGGTGACACGAATTCAAATTTATATCACAGTATTTTTCACTAAACTGTAACAGTAGGAAAACACTACATACAGAAAAAAGCATTATTATTATTATTGTTATTATCATTAGTAGCAGTAGTTGTACTATTACAAAAGTAGAAGTTCAAAAAACTACTGCAAAAGCAGCTTTATAGAAAAAAAATCTGGGTCTGAGCCCCCATGAGCGTCGCCAGTGGCGACAGTGGCAAGGAAAAACCTAAGAGCAAGAGGAAGAAAAACCTTGAGAGGAACTAAGACTCAAAAGGGGAACCCATCCTCCTCTGGTTGACACCAAATAGCAAACAATAACAGCAGAGAAGTTTTGATGTAAGATACGGAAAAGCAGGGGAAGCAATGGCTACAAATAAATAGTTCGAGTCTGTGCAGCAGCAGTATTATCAGGAGGGTCAGTTCATGCAGGTGAAGTTAGCACAGCATTGTACAGCAGAAGTTCCATGGTGGTCAAACTGGTCCAAAAGGCTGGTGCACAGTGGGCACCCGATCAAGGCAGATAAAGCAACAGCATCAGACTGTACAGGATGGGCAGCTATTCAACTCGGCAAAGAAACACACAGGCAGTAAATTCTGTTAAGAGAGACTGATTACAGTACACAGTGTTAATGGAGTGCAGCTGCACGAGCTATTACAGTCTAACTAAAAGGGAGAGCCAGCAGGTAACAGACAAGTGTTTTCTGAGATGTCAGCGCCCCTCCGCTCCACTGTCAAAAAATTTGATGAAAGCATGGGAGCGGCAGGACAACAGCACCAACAGTCCCAGTTTACCATAATACTCTATGTCCAATATAGAACCCAAGTATCTACAATTCATTATTTAACATTTTAATAAATATTCATTTATAATTAATTTAATCTCATTGTTAGTTTTATAGATTACCACAATGCATCTCCATACATTACCTACAAACATTACTAAGACATATATAGTGAAATTATATATACTTGCATCCAAAATGCCATTGTACACTTCTGAGTTCATGATTCCATCAATGAATACAAGCCCCCTAACAGCACTGTAAAACATCCCAAGCTTTACAGTAGCCTTTAGTGCAGAAGGAATTCTTCCTCAGACTTTCACCACAAAAGAGTCTACCATCAGTTTGATGGTGAGCCCACCTCATGCACCTGACCCAAAGCAGTAGCACAGAGCCTATCAAACTTCAACTCCTATGCTGATAGAGATGCTGGATGTACTTAGAAGTTCCACGGCTGTTCTTTAGAGAACACAGTGTTTTTGGAGCATCTGCTTAATCATGCTAATGGTTCTTTGAGTGTTCATGGTTCTATATAGAACCACTGTCTTTACTAAAGAACCCTTGAAGAACCATCTTTTTAAAAGTGTAGTTGTTTATTTGGAAATGTACTTTTACGTTTACTAAACTCAATATTTCAGAGTGGTAATAATACTTGAGTATGTGTCAGGCTACTCTCACCTCTTACTACAGCAAACCTTTTTTTTAAATATGATTTTCCTTTATGTTGGCATTTTTAATATATTGACATGACTTTGATAGTCATACAGACTTTGTCCACTAGATGGCATCCTCGTTTCAGTAAAGGAATATACATCTCTGTCTCCACCAAGCGGTAGGTTAGCTCAACAGTTCCTTTCAGAAGCACTGTACTGCCTCACATATCATCATAAAACATACATATGTGTAATACACAAACATACAGCTTGGTTGCAGTATGGCCAGTATTGTGTACTATGGATTTATTTTCAACAACTTTGTGGAAAGCAAAAAATACAAAGAAGAAATTTGTTCAGAATGTGTCCATTATTATATATTAATATCTGGAATGTTTCATAGTTGCAAACTTTCCTGATGCTGAAAATTTAAAGAGAAATGACTATAAACAGATGGTTGATTCCATGACTGGGGTGCCATTCAGCTTAACTCTCAAAGATTAACCCCTTAAATGGCCAGGGCACATCAGTAGGCCAAAGTTTTATGACACACTTCTATAAACTAAGAATAGCTCAACCAGTTTGCATCGAAGTCCCTGTAGTTACAGAATAATAAGCCTTAGTATGTACTAAGCCTAGGGTTTGAAGGAGTTAAACTTTATTTACTATGATTTTTCAGTATTAAATCTAGGAAAACGTACATTTAAAAATTCAAAAATATGTGACTCATCTCAGGAATACTATCTCATTTTTACATGGTTGCTTTACAGGCTATTGCTTATATAACTGGGGAGAAAGTAACTGGGTTGAGTTTGTAGCACAGAATTAGCAATATGAGTACATTCTAATGATGGTCATTCTAATGATTTACTGGTTAGGTAACAGGTTTAAACTTTCAAAGTGTCCTCATCAGTGAAAATCACACTATTACTGTAAACAAAGAAAAATACTGAAAGAAATTTCTTCTCTCCTTCCATCATCTTCAGAAAATGGTTCAGCATTCTGTTGAACATGTGACTTACTATGTAATAATTGAATAACTGTGTAATTTCACATTTTTCAAAACTAATAATGATAATGTAATATTTGAATACATTTATAATAAATATAAAGTCTCATAAGCAGACAATGTGAATAGATTTGCAGACTAATGCAACATTTTTTTTCAATGTAAAGTACTTGTAGAGGGCTGGGACAGGCAAAAACACTGTTTTATACGTGCTGTAGACAGGTTGTGTTGATGATTTAAGTTATTTATTTGTACCTAGGTTGTAATGAAAGACAGTTCACAGTTTATTGTACTATCTACATATGATTTATGAAGTGATTTTACTGTAGCATTTTTATATAATGGGCAATCCCCACAATTGTCTGTGTATTTTAATAATTAGTAAAACCAAACATATTATGAAATGGTAATTTCTAATACATAGCCCATAAAACCAACAGATATTAGTTTAGAACTTTCCATACTATCTACATGTGCATTACAAAGTGATTCTACCTTAGAATCTTTACATAATTGGCAGCAGAAATCCCCACAATTGTCAATGTACTTCAATAAGAAGTAAAACTAACATGTTATAAAATGGTCATTTATACAAAGTAGTCCATAAAACCAACATATAGTGCACTATTCCTCCACTATCAAGAGGTCAGTCTGCATGATTGATTGCAAGAAGTCAAAGAGATAATTGACTCAGTCATCCATTTCAGTAGCAGGAGAGGGCTCAGAGCTACCAAACCAGCAGATTACCCAAGACTCTGTGCGTGGTTTTGAATACTTCTATAAAGAATCTTAGATCTACTTACTTGATAAGTTTGATTTATTAAAATGCTTATTTGTTTAAATAAAAAGTTAAATTGTATCCAGTGGATTGGTGTTGGTAAAACAGTGTGATTTGATATTTCATATTGTTGTCTGTTATCCTTACTATAGGTATTGCCAGTAAGTGCAGTTCTAATTTCCTGAATTGTTAATGTTAATTGTAAATTAATGTAGAGAATCTGTATGCTTAAAAACTGTAATGTCAGTCTTTAATATTATTGTTTCACACTCTTAGCAATTTAAGATTAATACATGTCCAACACATGCAATAAATCATATTTCATGTTTCTCTGATGATTTTCTAATGAAACAAAGTTTTAATTATTTCCTGTCTTTGGTTTAAGCAATTTGAAGTTGGAAGACTGCATACATAAATGCACACCAGATAAGTACCTGTTGCACAGTATCGTTATAAGATTGTGGAAACTTGATTTCATGTATGCAATTTAAATTTACTCATATAATATTTCCTAAACAATAGGAGATTATTTGTACATTTTGCATGTTCAGTGAACCTCACTCTTAAAAAGATGGTTCTTCAAGGTTTCTTTACTAAAGACAGTGATTCTCTATAGTGCTCAAAAGGGTTTTGCTATTGCTACAAGCTTGACATTGTACCAATAGAAGAACCTTTTTAGGGCTAAATAGAACCATTTTCAAAAAGGTTCAACACATTCTCCATCAATATGAAGAACGATTTCACCAAGCAAAGAACCATTTAAACATGCAAATGTGTTTTTTATAGAACCATATACAAATATTCTATCTAATCTACTCTTATTTCGTGTTATTAATCTGTTTTTACACTGTCCTTCAGAATTATTGACACCTTTAGTAAAAAGGAGCAGGTAGTCCATAAAACAAGGACACAAATAATCTCTTAAAACTTTCATACTTATTTATCTCTCTAATATACATGCGTCCTTGTTTTTGGCACCCTTGCATTTCATGACACTGGGTTGAGTTTTGCTTCTACTTGCTTAAAAATGCTCTAGTAAAATCACTTTATAGTTGGTAAGTCAATAGTATAGTAGAGTCTGACCTGATATCTGCTGGATTTATAGACTATTTCTTGAAAATGATCTTTTCATAATGTGTTTAATTTGACTTATGATCCAGTTACACTACCAAATGTTAAGCATTTTACTATTACTTTTTTTACTGACAGTAAGTCTACAGTACAATCACTCTGTTTCATATTTAGATTGCAGTACAGTCTTAATAAAACTTGTTGATTTTATGAACTACTTTGTGGAAATAGTGTTGAATTTTATTTATGCATCGAGTTATATCAGCCAGTGTGAGGATTTTGCCCACCAATTACTCAAAAATGCTACAATAAACTCACCTCATATCTCATACATACATAGTATCATAGACTCTTAACTGATAATATGATAAACTCTAAACTGATATCTGATGGTTTTATGGACTTCTTATTAGAAATGACCGTTTTAAGAAGCAGGGAATTGACCTCTGGGCTTCTGTTTCTCAGGTCAGTGTGTGCTGGGACTCCTACCGCTGAGTGTGTAGTAGCCGCGCACGCAAATGTTACGTGCATTTACGGTTAGTTTAACCGTGATTTGGCGAAAGGCGCCCGGTTCAACCGCCATTAGACTATAGGATTACACAAGATTCCAAAGTTAGTAGTACTGAAATCCAGATTACAGGCGTCGAGTGCGATTTATCGAGGAGCTTCTATCACATATCGTTATGTTAGACTGTATGACCCAAATACTAGAGGCGTGTAAGGCTGACAGTGATGTCAATAAGTTAAACAGAAATTGAAACTATGAGGCTTCCTTTCAGATCCAAACATGGCTTCGTACTATGAAGAAGCAGGAGGTGAGTCTTGCGTGCTGTCATTTTCTATCAGGGACTGGGCTGATAAATAATGAAACAGCGAAGTTTAGAGAGTTTCAGCTACTTAGCTATGAGTCTGTTTACTGTTTCAGTGTTCACTCAGCTGACTGCTGAGAGAACTTGGAAATATTTATTATTTATTTATCTTATTGCTCCTTTATTTCTTCTTCTTAATTTTTATTATTATTATCATGAGTAGTAGTAGTGGCTATAGTAGTAGCACTCTATGCAGATTTCCATATGCATTTCCTCCTAAAACGCTCTATTTCCATTGACATGGGGCTTCTAATTTGACACTTTTCAAGCTAAACCCTCCTAACCTGTTTGTGGGTGGGAATGGGGAGGTGGTTGCTGAGTACGGCTGGCATATGTGTCGTCTGCTTTTCACACCCTTTCCCCACTCGTTTTCTCCTCCTGTTCATAACTTGCTTTCATTCCATAGAGTTCAATTCATATTCCAAGCCCAATTGGTTCCAACTATTTATCAGACAAAATAAAAGTTGGTGTACATAGTAAAGTTCTTCTAATTAAATGTGTTTTAATTAAAATGTGTATGTATTTTTATCCTTTGTTCATTTATCTTTTTCATCCCTCATTAAATCAATAGGAGCATGTTGATTTTGATGCTCCTTGAATTTTCAAGCTAGACTGAGCCACCTTGGTGTAAAGATTCAGCTGTGTGACAGATCAGCTGAAACAGCTGCAGATGTGTGTTCAGGTCTTTGTGGGTTATTATTTCCTTTACTTTGTATAGCTGCTCCTAACCCAACCCTAATTATAACCTCGGAAACCAAAAGGAAATCTTGGGGCTCTTTTACTTTTGGTTCCTCGGAAAGGAAAGCCAGATGTCCTCAGAACGTCAGCACTTTCATGTTTCCTGCCAGGTCCTAACAAAGATGTATTGCTGCAGTACAATTGTACAGACCTGCATTGCCGCAAGGAATGCTAGAACCTATTCTCAAGAACTTGTGAAAAGAAATATTTTATCTCTTTTACTTTTCTTCAATGTGAATTGCATAGTCTGAAGTGTGTGCATTCCACTTCAATAGACAGTGTGATGTTGGCATTCCAGGAATGAGTCCCACAGTAAGATATGATTTCATTACTTGACCCACGTTACCTTATAACTGTGATATTTAAAAACTTGTGATATGCCAGGTATAACAATATGAAGGACATAGTGTGATACATTCAGTGAAAATTATTTTAAATTTGTTTTTTTTTTATTTTTTAATTATTTTGATCTGATTTAATTTATGATTTGTTCATCCCATTTTAATATTTTTATTGAAGTCAATCAGAACTGCGAAGTAGACAAATCAACATTTAAACAAGACTTTGCTTTTTTGTACATTTCCATATTTAGCAGATGTGTTTATTTGCGAAGTAGACAAACATCATTCAAAACAGGCTTTATTTTTACATATTTAACAATTTTTTTTTATCCAAAGCTTTTCACTTTCGTGGGTGAATGTAATGCGAACGGTGTTGCCCAATGCAGTGACTTATTGGTATACCAGTGTTTCTGATTCCTGGCTGAATGAGAATTGAACCCTATGCTCCCAGTTGCAGCCAAGCATTTTATCCACAGCGCTATCTTAACCATTCCATACAAAACTCCACTGACGGAAGCCTTAATTTCACCAAAAACAAATGGTGCCTTCTTGGGAATTAATAAAGAAATGCATCTTGGTAATCTATTAGTCACAAATGGGTGTAATACCTGTAAATGTTAACAGTTAAATAACAAAATATCAGTAAAAATCAGTAATTTAATGTATATCAATGCTGTTTTTAAGTCTAAAATATTGCAATAGTGTACCACACTTTTAGGCACTCCATATTTTCAAATGCAGCAGCATAATTATAATTAATCCTGAGCATTAGCCTGTCCAGATTTTTTAAATAAATGTTAACTGCTCTGGCGGCTGCACAGTTGCATGTGCGCTGACATAGTGTTAACTAAAAGATACTTTATTTTTATTTTCCTGATCAGAAGTGAGTGCAGTGAGCGAATTCCAACAGATTAAAAATCAGCATGTTAAAATGCAGCTGGAAGTGAAACAGGACCTATTGGTTTATTGGGTGTTGTGATCATAGTCCAAGGTTCAGATTCAGTACAAACACAGTAAGCCTGTACTCACTTCAAAACAGCTGCATCTAAATATGACTTCCTTTTCTAGAGGAGAGCTTCTCCGACTTCAGTGATACAGACACAGACGCCCCCTCAGACTCCCAGTCCAGCTCAGACTCTGACCCGGCTCCATCAGGAACCCAGGTCAGTTCTTTTACGCTGTTGTTCATCAAATAAGATGTTTGTGTAGTGTAGAAAATTGTAATATTTGTAGGTTTAAGAGGAGCCCATATGACCATATCAAATGAACCAGCATTTTTCATCCTAGTCTCTATCTTCTGTATCTGTAGGATTATCACAAATAGTCATTTTCCTGCCTTTGCTCAAACTTAGAAAAAGTTTTTAAAACAGGCATTAAATATGAGTCTCAATTATAAAAAAAGTTGGGACACACACACACACACACACACACACACACACATTTTCTAAGCCGGTTATCCTTCTGGGTCATTGGGCAGAAGGCAGGAAACACCCTGGACAGGTCGCCAGTCCATCACAGGGCAAAAATTTGGGACAGTATGTTGCAAATAAAAGCAGAAGAAAGTGATTTGTTCTACTGTGACCTGTATTTAAACAAAAACAGTACAAAGACACAATATTTGATGTTGTACCATATCAACTTCATTTTTATATTATATTCTTATTCTGAAATTGATGCCCACAACATGTTCCAAAAATGTTGTGTATGCAAGGAGCATCCAGGACAGGCCTAGTCCTTTATAAGGGAAGATGGATTGAGACTTGCCACTTTGCATCAGTGAATAATCCAACAGTGTTACAACAGAGTTCCCCAACAAGATTTCAGGTATTTCACCCTCTGTGATGCATTATATCACCAAAAGATTTAGGGAATCTGGAGAAATCTAAAGAGCAACGCTGATAACCACAAGTTTCAATCTCTCAGATGGCACTTCTTTAAAAACCTGCATGCTGTCACAACGGATGGATATCACCACATGGGCTCAGGAATACTTTGAAAAACCGTTGTCAGTAAACATTGCTGCATCTACAAATGCAAGTTAAGACTGCTTATGCACAGCGAAAGCCATATGTCATCAACATCCAGAAACACAGTTCATCTTATCTGGGCTAAAGCTCATCTCAAAATGGAATGATGCACAGTGAAGCGTGTATTGTGGTCTGACAAGTCAGGCTTTCAGATTGTTTATGGAAATAATGGACATCATGTTCTCCAGGAAAAATAGGAACAGGTTCGTCCAAATTGTTACCAGCGTAAAGTTCAAAAGCCAGTGTGTGTTATGATATGGGGGGGTATTAGTGCCCATGGCATGGGTAACTTGCACAACTGTGAAGGCCTCATTTTGCTGAGAGCTTATTTTCTGTGTTGCTCCAGTTTTGGAAGATTATATAAAACTTCAGAACAGCATTGCTAAGACACTCTCTCATGTCTCTCTCTTGTGAATTTTTATTTTATGGTCATATATTTCAAACATTTATTCATGGAATTCAGCAACAATCACCTTATAAAAGTGAGTTATCAAAAAGTGAGTCAGCAGATTTTCATCTCTTTTCTAAGTGCAGGGAAACATTTTGAAATGACTCTCCATGGTTATGATCTATGATTCTAACTGTTATGAACAGAGACCAGGTATCTCCATTTGGGTTAATCTGAGGCTACAGTTGGTGCTAAAAGTGGACAACAGGAATTTATTTCTGTTCTCAGTAATTATGATTCATAACCTATATAATTGTCATCACACTGCTATTTGTTATTAAAAGTGTTAATGTATTATCTTTGGTCCAGCAGCAAGTCTGCCAGTACTACAATGATGGCCACTGCCGCTATGGGAGAAAGTGTCGTGACCTGCACGTGTGCAAGTATTCCCTAAAAGGCACCTGTCGCTATGGCGCTGCCTGTCGCCTCAAACATATCCGAGGCTCTGATTTGTCCGCTGGGAACAATGAGCGAGGGAGGAAGAGCCATGGCAAGAAGAGGCGGGGTCACAGGAAACGGAGCAGCAGCTCCTCATCTGATGGTAGGCCTGTGTGGTGAATGCTTACATGTTTATATTTTGAAGATATAATGGACTATAATAGGTTGATAAACGTAAAGTATATGCAACAATAGTTTACTGATTCTTATTATTATTGCAGTCGTACTCATATTCACCCAATTTCCCTATTCAGATACTCCTGTGTGATTGATTAACAGTTTAATCAGGAGTTTGTATAATTAAAAACAGCTGAATGTAAGGAACTGTTATCAACAAAAAGTGTGAAAAAGGTTTTTGGCATAAAATGCTAGATAAAGAGTACAGTAAACCAATGGAATAGAACTTAAACTTAGTGTTATTAAACATTTTACGTTGTATTGGTTGTCAACAAACTGACTTAACTGTAAAATATTTTTTACACCTACCATACTTTTGGCCTGTAGTGTATGTGTGTGATATGTGTTACTGTGATTGTTTAACATGTTTAACACAATACAGATAGTGGAGGGTGGAGTGGCAAGCCCTACAGATGGCAGTTGGATCTGGGCAATGGCTGGGAGGATGTAGCTCATGACCATATCCTGGAGGCTCAGTACTCTCGCCCCAACACCAAAGGCATCAGGATCTACAATACACCCTGTGGGTAAGTTTTCCAATCCTATGGCGCTCTGGAACAGCAGATTACTCTGTAATGTATAAGTTAGAATAGAGGTTCCTTAAGGACCCATAACAAGGCCATTTTAGTTTTGCCCCAGATCAAATACAGATAATGGTGAAATGATAAAATGATTTCAAGGGGCTGGTGGGTTCAAACAACAACTTGGCCCAAGGCATCTAAGGCAACTCAAATACATAAAGCATAACAGCATTAATCCAAAGCAGATGGAGATTGCCAGTGTCATTTTTCAGAAGGCATAATTTTTGTCTTTTTTTCTGGCTTGGGCAAAGGCATCCCCTCAACTTTCCCTGCCTCAAATCAAGCCCTGGATACACATAAGCTTGTTAATCCAGGGCTAACTAGCTTTTATTATAAAATATATTCTTATGTATTGAGAATATACATAAAATATAAATATTATTTCAATATACTGCTTTTTATGAGATGTAGAATGCTAATTACCTGGCTCAAATAATTTAGGAGCTGGATCAGAACAAAAATATGTCTGGGCTGACAGTCCTTGATGAATAAGTTGAGAATCTCTGACGTAAAAAGTTTCTTTTCTATAAAAAATTGCATAAAAAAATATTGTTGTGCTGATGATAAACATATGTTACATTCCCATGTGTAGAGCTCTGTCTATTGACTTCACTAAAATGCGCATTCTGAAGAAGACTAACCTGCGAGTCCGACGCAAAGGTTCCCGACAGACTGAGTGGCTGTGGCATTACCGTGGCAACCAAGGCTGGCATCAGTATGGGGAGAAGGTAAGTCACTCCAGCACAAAGACAACTGGCATCTAAAGCCTAAAGCCAAAATATTCACTTTGAATTATCTGAGGTTAAAATCAGCATGTCAAAATGACAGAGCAGTGGTTCCCAACCCTGATCGCATTAGCTAATTGGCTAATCTTGACCACAGTTCCCCTTAACTGCCATTTATTAATGTTATTCCAGACAGTGAAAATTGTGACCTGGAACTGCTTTGATATCTTTTTATAGCCTTCATCTGTTTTGTAGGCATCTAGTAACTTCATTTCCAGCTGTTCAGGGGTTATTGCCTATTGTTGTTGTTAGCACAAGGTTTGAAGAGTCAGAGTATTTATAACGCTCTGGAATTGTCATTAGCTGGCAATTCCTAATAACAACTCTTGACCTGCCTAACCAGTCCTAACAAGTCAGAGAAGTCCTAAGTTAATTAAGTTCTGAGACTCTACAACAGGAAGGGTGTCCAAACTTTCGTACATATCACAATTACTATTTTATTTTTTTCTATTTTTTTAAGCTAATCGAATATTTTTGGCACTATCATTTGCAGAAAAATGTTATTTTTTAAAATAGTTTGCAAGCTTTTGCATACAGCTATATTTTTTGAATATATCTGCAGGATTCACAAGGGAAAGCCAGTCCAGTCAGTAGCTCCACGCTAGAGAAAGAGTTCCAGAAGAACCGGCAAGGAGTCGTCCAGTTCAGCATCGACTCCACCAACTATGAGATTAGATTTAAAGGTGTGTCTGATGGAAGTGGACAGAAAAGAAAGCAAAAGTAAAGTGCTTGGAAGTCTCTATAATCTGTTAATCATGTGTGTTCTCCTGGGTGTGTCATTTTCCCAGACATGTGCCAGAAAAACTTGTCCACCGGCCACAGAAGGCGGATCAGGAGGCGTCCGAAATATGAATCTCCGTCTGGCAGAGGGTGGGTCAGAAAAACAGTCATTAGCTATAGTGAGACAGTCTGAGAACAAAGATATGTTTCCATAAGATCTGTCATATGATCAAATCTGGTATTGTATTTATTTCAGATAAAAAAAAGAAAAAGATGTACATAATTTACAATCACTGACTTCCTGCAATGCATCAGGAAAGTAAGCAGACTGGTTTGTCTGATTGCCTCGCATGCTCTCTCAACAGAATCAAAACACTGACAAAGGCTTTTACGAACTTGACATCATCTCTCCAAAGAAGGCACCACTGTGGCAGTATGGTGGTCAGAGTGGGCGCTGGCACAGTTTCACACATCGAGTAAGGCTTCTTTTCACATACACTCATGCATACATATACAGTCATATGCAAAGGTTTGGGCAGCACTGGTCGGATTACATGGTTTGTTGCTTTTGTGAAAATAAGTTAACACATCCTCTACAGAGAACACACATTATAATGCATATTTATTGTTTATTTATTGAATTTAACAAAAAGCTATTCTATAAAATGTGACCTGTCCACAATTTTTTATGTACATTTTATATTTTATGTTTTATTCTTTCCAACATGGTAAACACAAATAAATCAAAATTGTGCACTTAAATTAGTATAAAAGTGTTATATTTAAGTTCCCTGTAGAGGAAGTGTTTACTTATTTTCATTTAGAATATCAACAAAACATGATTTGACTGAGGGTGTTCAAACTTTTGCATACGACTGTATAACACAGATACACTACTACTCAAAAGTTACATAAACATCGATGTACATAAAAATGAAGCAATGTTATGTGTGTAGAATGATGAGCAGAGATGTAGAAGATTTATAAATGACTGAGAAAGCTGAGCATCATAGAGAATTAAGTTATATTATTGCTATTATAAAATAAAATCCAGAATTCATCAAATATATCAAAAGTAGAGGTCAAATATTAAAGCAGATATTTATGCAAACTAAAAATTGCAGTGTATTATTGATCAGGCATGTTCTGACATAAATTTTTTATGTCATGAGAATTAGCTAATGTTTGATCACAGTTTACAATATTGTATTAAAAAATAAACACTACACCATAAGATAATGTCCGTGTCCATATATGTAGTGCTCTGTTTGTCATTTTTAATAGCAGTAACATGTTGGCAGGTTATACATTTTGGAGATTTCTATTGCTGGAAAAGCGTCCCTGATAGCTTTCTGTATAAAGGCACCACAGTCCTCATGCATTTCTGTATTATACCAGTCTTAATGGGCACCATGTCTTTCTCTTCCCCTTTGATTTTTTGAGGGTCGGATGGTCGACCTTTGGTACTCTAGTTTAGTACAGTGAATGTGAAAGTCAACATATACAGCATACAATCAGCAGACAAACCGGTCTGTCTTAAGCATAGGTTCAGAATGTGGCAGTGTAGTGGGAGCTTGTGAAACTCGGCATATTTTTAAAAATCTCAAGTGAAACTGCAACCTGTAAAATGCAGTTTGGTAAATAGTTTGTAATATTTAAAACCACACTATAATTGTATATAAAATAACAAATTGTTAATATGGCAAGTGATTTCAAACTTCTAAATGCTAATACACCGCTCTGATGAATTGTGACGGTGCACATAGTACAGAAGCTTATTCTGTCCCAGAGGTGTCTGTCTATCTTTACAAAAACATTAGAAACATGAAAGATCCTACTTTTTTCTCTTCCTATATGTACAGCATAAATGATATGCTGTGCTAAGACATCACATATAAAAATTACATATATTAAAGTATATTTTGGGTATGAGGAAATATATGAACAAGGACTTTTCTTTGGTATGAGGTGTCTACATTTTTCTCCTTAGATGCTGTTTACGCTTTCGGTTACTGGCTGTAAGGGAAGAACTATGTTGCACAGCCTGTTTAGCACTTGCAAAGCCAGCACATAACCACTCGCACACATTCTCCAATCTCTCTCTCTCTCTCTCTCTCTCTCTCTCTCTCTCTCTCTCCCTTTCTATGTCTATCTCTCTCTCTCTCTCTCCCTTTCTACGTCTCTCTCTCTCTCTCTCTTTCTGTCTCTCTCTCTCTCTCTCTCTCTCTCTCTCTGTCTCTTTCTCTCTCTCTCTCTCTTTAGGGTGCCTGTTCAGTATCCAGTGCAGACATCGAGGCAGCATACCAGTGTAATCCGCAGGGTTCAATCAACTTCACTGTAAATGGAGATCCGTACACTATTGACTTCTCAAGTATGTCAAAGAAAGTATATTCAGAATATATTGAAATAATAATATTTACAACAGTCCAACATGTTCATTTTTTATGAAAACAATATTATATTTTTATATATTATTAGTATACAGTACTGTGCAAGTCAGAGACTACTCTTTTATTTATTTAATATCCAGTCAAAACGTATCCAGCCATTGGGTACAGAAATCAGAAACCATATTTAACAGACAGTTACACAGAAGTCGCAACAACTAAATATAATAACAATTTTTCCAGTGTAGCTTGTTCAGCCTTTACCACTATTACAGCTTCTGTTCTTTTTGGGACACTTGCTTTCAGATTTTGAAGAAATCTACAGGGATATTTTTTCATACCTCCAATGTTCAGTTTTAGAAGTTGGTTGTGTGTTTTGTTTCTTACAATTCAAGTAATCCCAGTTACAAATTTAGACTCATCAGTTGTAAAATCTTAGATGTCCAGTTTTAGTGTTCTTGAAGCAAGAGTGGAGCTTGATTTTATCTTAGCTCTCAAAGATGACCAAGTTCTGTTTATCTGATGGTGACAGTTTTGGTGGTCTATCTTGGTGGGTTATTGTATAACTAGTCTCCTCAGAAATATCTCCTTAAGCCATTAGATGCATATGAGAAAGAAACTTGCCGGTAGCAGATATGTGCTGTGTTTGTCTAGTTGCTTGTGTGAATGTCGGTCTCTCTTTGAACAGGAGCATAATATCAGTGATATCTTTGGGAGCAGCTTTTGTTGGGAGGACACAGCTGGAACTGGTTGGGTTTAAGATTGGAAGAATGGAAGAGTAAAAGTGGCAGTAGGTGCACAAAAGTAAAGAGTGGACAAGGCTGTATTTAGAAAACCTGAAAGTTACTGCTTTTTATTACCAATCCTCCTCTTCTCCTCTGTGACTTGGAAACCGATTTCATGACACCATCTTACTGGCTGTCCACATACTGGAGGAGATGGAAGAAGTGGATAATACATGAGTGTACACTAAACAGAAAGCCTTTTACAGATTTTGAAGTGAGATCACTGCTTGAATGCAGTGAGAGAATGGATGTTCACAGAGCAAACTCTTTTGTTTGTGTTCATATATTGTTTATGTTGAGTATTTGGTGTACAAAAAAAAAACATGGAGTTGAAAGTCGCACAAATGTAAACCGGCTGTGTAGAAGCTGTGATTGGATTCAGGAGTATACAGGGTGTGCTTTCAAATTTAATGACGTTGAAAGGAAACAGCTGTCATGTTTACCTAATTGTGCTTGTTCTCGCCATTCCTCCTGCTCCTTTCCTCTGCTTGATTCCTCCACACTCTTCTAGGTTACAGGAGGAGCAGTAGGAAGGAAGGGGGACGACAGGAGTAGCAAAAGTTTCTGGATGCAGCCATATATTTGATATTTGATGACTCAGTGCTTAGCATTAGTTTCTGTTAAGTAGATGTTTCCTACTGTTTTTTCTGACATTGAAAAATGAACAATTTTTACTTTATGGCTGTTTTGACTGGAAATTAAATAATTCAAAGGTTGCTCTCTGACTTCTGCGGATTACTGTATGTGTCTAGATTAGTGTATGGTGAGGCACAAATCTGTAAGGGTTTTTCTTTTCTACTTGTTTTCTCTGTTTTTCTGTGATTTGGAGTGAATTTAATGACTTTTGGCCTTTATTTCCCAAATAGAGATGACCCAGACCAACCTGAAAACAAATACCACCCGCAAAGTCCAGCGTGTGTAGCAGTGATGACTCACTTCAGCTTGTGCCAAAGATGTTCACATATTCATGAAGAGGAGTCTTCTTCTTTATGAAACATATCGTGGTGGGCAATGTATTGCACTTACATAGTGATATAGATTTTAAGATTTAGCAGTATGGATAGATAAAAAGCATTATATTCATGTTAATGTTGTTTTATAAACAGTGATAGCTGTATTGCCACAAGATACTACTATATATTGTTCGACTTGGGTGGATTTTAAGACCAGAACAAAAGAGTGCAGTGAATACAAGCTGTGTGATGTCTGAAAGACATAGTAGCACTCAGGAAGATACAGAGATTCAGTGATATATTTGGACTGTTGGGGTGTGTGCGTTGATTTACTTTCCACCTGATTACATGCTGCCTTTTTTTTTTTTTAAACTGCCATTTATAAATAACCTCAGGCCTGTCTGTACTGTAAAGGCACATGTGCACACACACACACACACACACCCAAAGGCAAACCAGTGAATCTATATGATTGCTTAATGATTTTTGATAAATAGTTGTTTTTTAGGAAATGCGCTGCTTGGACGAAAATTGATAACTAAAAGGGCTGCACAATATATTGCTTGTTTATTGTTATCTCAATACTGGTCTTTGCAATCCTGATATCGCAGAAGGCAGTAACATGCAAATGATCACAATGTTTTCACTGTGTGCTGTGAGCATCCTGGCCAATCACAGTTCCAGATTTCTAGTTTTTGGTGAATCAAGATATTCATATAGTCCAACAGAAGTGCTCTAGATAAAATAATGGAGGCCAGTCTGTAACATTGTCAGGCAAATTAATTACCTTATTCCTGAGCCTTACATCATGGCCACATCTTTATTATCATCACTTAATTATCTCGTTCCTACTAAGGAATCTATTCCCTCTAAGGAATTTACTGCCTTACTAAGTTGTGGCTACAACTTAATTATCTAGGTTTTTGCACTTGACTAAATCATGTGTATGACTTAAATTATGCTGTTCCTGCACCTTACTAAGTCGTGGCTATGACTGATTTATCTCAATCCTACACAACACTGACTTGTGGCTATGACTTGATTATCTCATGTCTACGCCTTACTAAGTCGTGGTCACAACTTAATTAATTATCTCATTCCGGTGCCTTACTAAGTCATGGCCACAGCTTAATTATCTCATTGCTACACCTTACTGAGTTGTGGCTACAACTTAATTATCTAGGTTTTTGCACTTGACTAAATCATGTGTATGACTTAATTATGCTGTTCCTGCACCTTACTAAGTCGTGGCTATGACTGATTTATCTCAATCCTACACAACACTGACTTGTGGCTATGACTTGATTATCTCATGTCTACGCCTTACTAAGTCGTGGTCACAACTTAATTAATTATCTCATTCCAATGCCTTACTAAATTGTGGCCACAGCTTAATTATTTTAGCCGTACTAAGTCATGGCTGTGACTTAATTGTTTCGTTTGTACGTCTTACTAAGTTGTGGCTATGACTAAATTATCTCGTTTCTATGCCTCACTGCGGTGTGGCTATGACAAAATTATTTCGTCCATATGCCTTACTAAGTTGTGGCCACAACCTAATTATCTCGTTTCTGTGCCTTACAAAGTCGTGGCTGTGACTTAATTATCTCATACCGGTGCCTTACTAAGTCTTAGTTAAGACTTAATTATCTCGTTCCTGTGCCTTACTAAGTCATGGCCAGGAGTAAGACACATATGCCTGCATTCTGTTTGTTTTTATTCAGCATCATTTTAATTAAGAAGGAATGTCAACGGCAAGGCTCCATTTTGTTACATTACTAATTCACCAATTTGTTTTAGATCAATTGCAAGTCGTATCACAATATATTCATATCCATATTGTGCAGCCCTAATATGTAATAGTGCTTTATAATGTAATAATGTGATAACTGACTTTTGCTAAGTTACACTGCTAAACAGAAACAAATGAATTGTAGTCAGTTGATATGCTTGACATACCGAAGTTTACAGCATTTATTTAGTACTCAGCTAAACCGGGTGTAAAGACATGCTGATCTTTGTCCAGTATGATAAGTGAGTTATAACATGCAACAGTAAGATGGGAGAAGTGTTTTTTCAAATGCTTGAATAAAGTTAAGAATACTCTGATGGGAGATTAGTGCAATAAAATGAAAGAATTGTACTTTGTTGCACTGATTTAAATGGACAGAAATAAATGTCTATCAAATACTCTTTTGTTTTTACACACCTGATAAACTGGCTGTAAAAGACGTTCCCCGGAGCCTGTGTAGATACTGCAGTGTAGAGCATGAACTATGTATGTCTAAGGCAGACAGAACTTGTTTTGCTGTCACAACATGAACTCCTTTAGCACCAATCAGAACTCCTATACAGAGACAGAGTTCCAAATAGTAGTAACTACTTATATTTACTCAGCTGCATGTACTTAGGTAAAATCTTGATGGGCTCACAGTGGCGTAACTAGGATCTTTTCGACCGAAATGCAAAATAAGTAAATCAATAAATAAATAAAACGTGGGCCCAAATTGAAAATTGCTTTCAGTGAACACAAAAAGATGACAGGGTAATTTGCTATGCATACTCTCAAGCCCTGCAACTCTATCCACTAACCTAAATTTAAGATTTATCTATTTAAGATTATAAAATTATACATATTGAGTACATTATGAAGCAGGTTGTAAAGGATTTGTTTGAAAGCAGCTACAATTGAAGAGATGCATTAAAAAGGGGAGATCAGTAGACGTCAGGGCCGTCTGTGTAGTGTTGTTGAGAGCTAAAATATCTAAAGAAATCTTTCTGTGAGTCATGGCTCTGCAATTGTTTCAGCGTCTGTATGAGGGGCACCATAAAGATTGTGTCCACCCCACCTCTCAGCCCCCCAAAACACACACACACACACACACAGTTATACCACTGAGGACTCATATATCGCAGAATATTTTATGTATATTGGTGAAAAAATGAATTTTTTGCTCAGTTCCACTTTAGCCATCTACACCAAACTCCTTATTCTCTTTTTTGTGGTTTAATTTCATTCTGTTCTATTGATTTGGGTGTCGGTGCTCCTTCTTTACCACAATGTTTAATTTAAACAATAGGTACCCTGTAGGTCAGAGGTGTTCCTGGAGGGCTGGAGTCCAGCGCAGTTTGATGGTTTCCTTGCACATGCACACCTGATTTCACTCATCAGCCAGTTCCCAGGTTCAGTAGGTGTGTTAAAGCAGGGAAGTCACCTGGACTCTGGACACTCCAGCCTCTGACTTGGCCAACTCAGAGACAATAAAAGGAATGAAAACCTTTAGTAAACCAAGGCATTAAAAGGGTCTTCTGTAAAAGGGTGTTGTTTGTGTGTGGAACAAAAAAAGTCAAGAAAGGAAGTTAAAAAAATTATGAAGAAGCAACTTTTATTTCTTTTTTTTTTCAAATTTTATTTATTTAATTTATTTTAGCATGAAACCTCTACTGAGACTAGTGCTTCATTTCCAGGGACAGCCCTGCAGGCAACAGCAAAAATGACAGACACATGAAACAAAGAAAAAAACTGAATGGCAGTGATAACCAGTCATTTGGAAATGAAAGATAAATTAACATATACAGTCCAAAGTAAATAAAGGGAAAAAGGCAGAACGAAGCTGAGAAAACAAATCAGTTATTAGTTTATTCAGTAGTATTAAAGAACACAGTCATAGATGATGATGATGTTAATGATGATGATCAAGCAAGTCTATCAACTTCATTTGCATATTCAGATTTCTTTCTTCAATAGCTTTTAAACGGCCCATGTGGAGCCCTGCTGGTGACATTCAATATAAATAAAAACAATGTGTAGCCATGACTTAGTAAGGCACGGGAATGACACAATTAATAATTAAGGCCACAACTTATCTCGTTCCCACACCTTACTAAGTTGTGGCCATGTGTTATTTTTATTTATACAGGATGTCACCAGCAGGGCTCCACAGGTATATGCAATTTTTAATGCTTGCAAATTATCGTTGTTGGCACCCAAGACAGGCAGCTACAACTCTGTTTATGTCTGAAATGTTTGTCTTCTAAAAACCACAGAACACATTACTTTCTACCAGCTGCCACAACATCCAGAGAGGTAAGGGGCTGCCTAAAAATTACACTACACACTTAAAAAAGATGGTTCTTCAAGGGTTGTTCAGTAAAGAAAATGGTTCTATACAGAACCATGAACACTCAAAGAACCCTTTGCATGATTAAAAGGTTCTTTGCATCATGAAAGAGTTCTTCAGATAGATTAAAAAAATGTTACTTATGGTTCTCCATAGAAACTTTTTGAAAAGGGTTCTGTATAGCACCAAAACAGGTTCTTGTAATTATATCAAGCTTATAAGAACAGAAAAACCCTTTTTGGAGCTATAGAGATTATATAGAACCATCTACAGCACATTGTCCATCAGTGTGAAGAACGCTTTCAAGCAAAAAAAACCTTTAATCATGCAAAGCATTCTGTGTGTTCATGGTTCTATATAGAACCATTTTCTTTACTAAAGAACCTTGAAAAACCATATTTTTAGAGCGTACTGTAAAGACACTAGCTGGGAAAAAAACACTTTGCGCTTTATTTTTATGAGCCACTACACAGTAGGCCTTCAAACAGATCACAAATTATGAGCAGTTAGATATTTTATAAAAAGCTGTATTTTTAATTATTGCTCTGTTAACAAAAACTCGCTTGACTCACTTGAATGAATCATCAAAATCAAAGTCAAAATCTGGGTCAAATCTGGCAAGACGCATCCCTCAACACGACATATGGCCATATGCAAAAGTTTGGGCGTCCCCGATTGCAATAGCTTTTCAACAACTTGATAAAGTGCAACTTGCACAATGTACTACAACTCTTACATAAGCAAACGTAACTTCTGAATTCTGTTGTGAAGTTTTATAGAAATACTTTCAGTAGATTATAAATGGTTCACCATGTTGCTCCAAAATCACTTGTACTTAATTACGTGTAATCCACCTGAGGCACTATGACCTCTTATATTGGTAACTTTACCCTCTGCTGGCCTGTGGCGAAAGGTTTTTGTATATTAATTTTTGTGTTTTTTGTGAAATATCGTCGTGTGCAAGAGCTCATGCTTAGCCAGTATATATTTAATTCTTAAAACAGTAGGCAGTAAAGGTTTACATTTGCATTTTCAAGTATGTGATATTAATGTTAACAGGTTATGTGAACTGTGGAACAGTTTGGATGGGTACTGTGTTTGGGGAATGTTAGCCACCCTCGTCCAGGTTTGGGATTCTGTTGCCACAGCCGTGTTAGAGGTACATTTTCTCTCTCTGGAAATAAGAACAATATTTTTCTGTCCTGTGCTCTGGCTGCTGAGTGAATTCTAGAGCAATGATAATAAAAACAGCTTTTTTAACCCTTGTGTGGTGTTCGGGTCTGTGGGACCCGTTTTCAATGTTTACCAAAAGAAAAATGATGCAATTTATTACTATTTTAACCTCAAACTTCTTGACTTCTTTGCTCATTTTCTGTGAAGAACATATAAACGAATACATTTTCATTGACTTCACACTGTACACCCCCCTAAGCATTTATGGCATTTATATTACACATGTGGGGTTCAGGTCCACTGGACCCGCAGGTAATAAAAGTGTGAAGGCACTGTGTCCCTTCACTCTGTCCTCCTCCTATATGGCTTGCTGGTAAGACCTAAAATCCAGAGAAGACAATGTATCCTAAGAAGCCCAGCTTCTGCAGCCATCCTAAGCATGATTCAGGAGGAGGAGGAGGCTGGTGTCCCTTCAGCCCACAGACCCACAGAACAACCATCTGCAGATGTTGTGTGAGATGCTGTTGTATATGTTATGTCTGACTTTCTTACCTTGACCAACTATGTGTGTGTGTGTGTGTGTGTGTGTGTGTGAGTGTGTGTGTGTGTGTGTGAGTGTGTGTGTGTGAGAGAGAGAGAGAGAGAGAGAGAGAGAGACAAAGATAGAGAAAGACAGAGAGAGAGGGAAAGATGAAAGAAAAATTCCTAATCAAAGTATTTTCATCATTCTAGGTTGCGGCCAGTAGCAACAAAAAGAAGCTCTGCGAGGTGTGTGGACCCAAGATGGACAGATGGACACAGCATACGTGCATCACGTGCGAGAAACACATATGCAACACACACACAGTAAAACTCTGCCCCTCGTGTTGTATAGGCTGGCATGAGTAGACTGTGTTCAGTGGGGCTGGTGTCTTGTGTGGACTGATGTGGACACTGTATCTGTTCAATGGTGCTGACGTTTTTCAGACTAATATAAATGTGTTTATTTTCTTAGCATTGTTTCATTTAGATTTGTTCAAAATAAACATCTTGATACTGATATTTCCTTTTTTGCGTTTTATCACAAAAAAATGGAGAGCACTATTATTTATAGTTATGATCTAACAGAGGAAGATGGTAAATATTAACCATATATGCTATCTTTATTGCTTGTAATTGGGATAAAGTAAGCATCTGGTATTTTCACATAAATGGTTATGGCTGTGTTGATTTAAAACCTAATAATGCGGTGAGTCCACCAGACCCGCAAACACTGGCTGAGTAACAAAAACACGAACACCCCACAAGGGATAAAAACCTCTAAATGCTCATCATTATGATCTGATAAAAGCCCTACTGTAGCTCATAAGGCACAATTTTTATAAAAAATATAGCGCGAAGTGCTTTTCCCCGCTGTCCGTCACTTGCGTCTTTACAGTTGTGTAATTTGTAGACGGCCCCGTAGTTCTCGCGGATGTCGCGGCAGAGTTTGGCCAGAGCTGGTCTGGCTGCAAACATGCACTATCAGCCAGATGCACGCTCAGCCGCAGCGGCGTCACATCCACTCACTGCCAGCACAGCGGCACGTTAACATTTGGCTGCTGCAGCTCAGCGACATTATCTCTTAATACATTTTCGTACATAACACAGCTAGAGAACTCAATTTAATGATCCTCCCTGCTGAAAAAAACATAGAACCCATTAAAAGTTTCTGCTGGTTCCTGATGGTGTCCAAAAGTCACTAATAATAATTAGTGTTTTCGTGATAGGTTGATATCACAGTGTAAACACGAATCATTTAACGGTGCCTGCAAAAGGTTACCAATCAAAACTATAGAGGAAATAAATCCAAATATGCGAGTATGAAACCAACTTTAGAGCGGTTTTTAACACCCACCAATTGCTGAAATGGCAATTACAGTGTCTGTAATCTTCATTTAAAACGAAGATTTCTTTGCCTAAAGCTAATATCATGGCTAACTGGCTGGTTTCCCACACAGTGAGCTTCAGAACCATTTTAACTGTTAAACTGGTCTGATGTCTTATCCTGTCTGACGGCGTGGCACTTTGAGGAAGTGCCCACAGCTTTTTTATTTAGCGTTTTATTAGAATAGAAAGCGAAAGTAAAACTCGGCTCACACTTCTACAGCTGATCTGATCTGTGCTGGCTGCTGTTCACTGCCTCTCACAAGTAAGTGGTCTGATCTTTTCTACTGTAATCAATGTTTAAACAAGAGTATTTTGCTAACGAGCTCACGTAGCTCAGTTTACAGAGTTTAGCTACCCTCGTGTCCTGTGACCTGACTAAATCAAAATGAGTGAGAATGCTTGTGTACCGGTCGAGAAGGCTTCCTCCTTACATGCTGTGTTTCTTTACAGTGTTCAGATTCAGCTCGTGGGTAAGTGGTCTATTATTGTGTACATAGCTGACCCCCCTTAGCCTATAGCAGCCTAACACTTATATATGGAATTAGAAACAGAGGAATTCAGCTGTACATGCATGAGACTATAAAGGAAACATTATGAATGATTAAAATCTCTCACAGGAAGATGAGGAAGATGATGACTCCACTTCAACAACAGGTCAAGTGAATGCTTCAGGTAAGATTATGCTTTGAAATTAATATTTTTTATTCTTAACCCTTCAATGTCCTCACCAAGAAAAAAGCAACAGAATTCTTTTTTTGTTGTATTTTATATTTGTTTGGGGCAATAACAATTGGTGTTTTTATTTTTTCGTTGACCCCACAGTTATTAAAATATTCATGTCTACCAAACGGTCGAGATGGCACTTTGTGGCATGTATAGTGACTCAAAATGTGCTCTACCAAATGAACATTACAGGGTTAAACAACTACAGTGTACAGCAATCGGCCACTTTATTACACTCATTCTCCGTGTTATCAGGTCCACTTACTATATAGGTGCACTTTGTAGTTCTACAATTACAGACTGTAGTCCATCTGTTTCTCTGCATACTTTGTTAGCCCCCTTTCACCCTGTTCTTAAATGGTCAGCACCCCCACAGGACCACCACAGAGCAGGTATTATTTGGTTGGTGGATCATTCTCAGCACTGTAGTGACTCTGATATGGTGGTGGTGTGTTAGTGTGTGTTGCGCTGGTCTGAGTGGATCAGAGACAGCAGTGCTGCTGGAGTTTTTAAACACCTCAGTGTCACGGCTGGGTGAGAATAGTCCACTAAAAATGTCCAGCCAACAGCGTCCTGTGGGCAGCGTTCTGTGACCACTGATGAAGGACTAAAGGGTGACCAACACAAACTGTGTGGAAAGAGATCAGCTTCTGTCTCTGACTTTAAATCTACAAGGTGGACTGACAAGGAAGGGGTGTCTAATAGAGTGGACAGTAAGTGGACACATTGTTTAAAACCTAGCAGCACTGCTGTGTCTGATCCACTCATACCAGCACAACACACACTAACACACCACCACTACATCAAAGTCACTGCAGTGCTGAGAATGATCCACCACCCAAATAATACCTGCTCTATGGTGGTCCTGCGGGGGGTCCTGACCATTTAAGAACAGGGTAGAAGAGGGACAACAAAGTATGCAGAGAAGGTTTAGGTAGGACAGACAAGTGATGGGCAGCCACCTGTCCAGAATGTCCCTCAGTATTCTAGGTTTTATTTGCCTGTCCTGTAAAAAACTATTTCCATTCCTGGATACAAAATACAAAAAAACCCTGCAGGACTACCACAGAGCAGGTATTATTGGGGTGTTGGATCATTCTCAGTACAACAGTGACACTGACGTGGTGGTGGTGTGTTAGTGTGTGTTGCGCTGATATGAGTGGATCAGTGTAGGCACAGTTATTTAGGAAAAGTGCACTGCTGGTGACGTGCTCCAGTGGAGTAACTGAGAAGATTAAGTTCTGTAGCTTCACCGACATCTGTCTGCCTTTGACTGCATTGTAAGCACAACTACCCGTCTGCTGAATTTAGTAAAAAAACAAGCCACTAATCGAGTGGCCAGGATGAGTTGGCACTATGCCAATCAGATACAAGTATATTTATTTATAAAATAAAAGTCTCCAGATGTCCATAAGGTACCAGATGTCCTGATGGAACTGAAAGAGCTGGTACCCAGACTATCATATATACAGTCCTATGCAAAAATCTGGATGCCCTGGTCAAATTAACTGTTTTGTTTATTGAAGTGCAAGTAAATTAACACATCCTATACAGAGCACACATGTCTGCCCATTTTAATGCAAAATTGTTGTTTATTTGCTGAATTTAACACAATAAAACATAAAATGTGGCCTGTGCAAAAGTTATTTTAGATTTTGTTTTTCACACAGCAAATAAATCAAAATTGTGCATAAAAATTGTTCTCTGTAGAGGATGTGTTAACTTTTTTCACTTAGAAAATGAATAAAGCATGTAATTTGACTCAGGGTGTTTAAACCTTTGCATACAACTGTAGATGAAGTTGGTCAGACTCATTTGGTGGTTTGGCCAGTATTAAAGTTTGCACAATAGGCTATTTTCTGACAATGTATGACATATTGTTATCTATTAAAATAGACAAAAGTATGGACAAAATTCTGGCTTTAAAATTGCAATTTTCATGTTTGTTCATTTCATGTATTTTAATTTATTGTCATCAATTTATTGATTCACAAGAATGTGTGAATTTTTATTTTCCTACTACATTGGTTCACAGGAAACCACTATCAGTGGCAGTTGTTTGCTGGACAGCAGTGGTCTCAGATTTGTAATGACCATATAATCGAGTCTCACTATTGCCAGCCAGGAGCAAGAGGGATGACCATCTATACCAGCTTGGGGTAATTTTGTATTTGTATTAGTCCCAGATATTTACTTTCTACATGGTCGTATGGAGTTTTTATTGATTTTATCATGTCTTCTCCACTTTTCACATCAATTTCACAGGTCTCTTCACATAGACTTTGATGATATGACAGTAATGGGGCCTTTCGCTGGACTTAGTGTGCGACGACAAACATTTCTATCATCTAACCAGAGTCAAGAAGTAGGATGGTACTATAAAGACAATACATACTGGTGTGAATATGGATCACAGGTGAGCTATTTGTGCATTAAAGGTAAAAACCATACAGAGTTGTCTTAGTGCAGAGAGGTTCAGAAAACAGATTAATTAATCTAAGATGTGATACATTGACATACACTGTAAAACATGCTTAACCAGTTGAAAATATGGTAGTAACTAGGGGTGCATAATTTAGACAAAAGACTGTTGTTGTTATTATATTGCCATGTATTGCAGTTGTAATACGCCTTACTATATATTTAAAATGCACAGGTGAATCACCAATGTGGCATGGTTTAAGATTGGCCTGCGTTATTTTGACCAAAACAATTTACCGTTGATAAATTATGTGAATGCCTTGATTCTTCAGAACACCACAGAAACTCATCTGAAACTATGATTGGTCAGGATGAGCACACAGTAGAAACACTGTGATTAGTTAGAGGGCTCATCTGCATATTGCAGCCTTCAGAGAAAGACTAATATCACAGTAACAATTACCAGACAATATATTGGGCAGCTCTAGTAGTAACTTATAGTGAAATTCCACAGATTTGTAATTGGAACTTTGAACTTTCTGCATAATTTAATTGGTGCAATGTAAACAGTTAGGTGGTTTGATGTGAAATGGTTCATTGTAGAGAAACTTACTGACTCAGATTTTTTTACAGTGGTGCTGATAGGAACCAGGGGTTGCCATCTTTCCAACACAAATATAGCCATTTTATTTACCATCCAAAACCACTAGTAAACCTACACATCTCCTGAGTTTTAATATGTAATGTTGATAATGGTAACTCAGTAGTAAATCTGAAAATAAAGGGTTTTTTTGGGGACTGTTTTGCCTTACAACACCTCCATGTGCCTCTCCACCATTAATGGATAAAAAAAACACATTATAGGCCTGAACCTTCTCAAAACTATCTTGAAACAATGTCTCAGGTGTTAGGCAGTACATTCACTACCATTTCATGTTATGGATTTCTGTGAGGGAGCTTTTAAAGTCATTAAATACCACACAGGCATCTGGTTCCTGTCACCACTATTAAGAACAAGTCTGACTTGGTAAGTTTCCCTAGAACAGAACATTTTACATCAAACCGCTCAAAAAGACTTAATTTACATATTATCCATTTAGTTAAGCAGAAAATAAAATTAGTGTAATTCCTCTTTAAGAAAAGAAAATCATTATAATAAGGTACTATGCTCTAAAATTATTGGGGAGCAAATTGTTCTACAGTGTGGTTTTCCAGGCACGCTTTAGAGGATCTTGAATAGATTTTTTTTTAATAAACAGATTAATAAACAGGGCATGGCTAAATCTGTCTCAGGGAAATCCCTATTGAAAGTCCCATCCTTGGCCACTTCCACAGGGATCTTCAGTAAACAGCCATGACCTGGAGCAGCAATACAACTCCAACCCCAGAGGCTCCTTTCAGTTTAAAGTAGGATCCACTGCCTACAAATTGGACTTCTCTGGTAACTACCTCAAGGACAAGTACAGTCACATGCAAATATTTAAAGATCTTAGCCAAATTACATGTTAATTAAAAATAAGTTAACTCATCCTCTATATGAACAAATGATTTATTTATTTGCTGATTTTAACATACTGGGAAAAAAATAAAACATCAAAAATAAAATCTGCCGTGACTTGTGCAGATGGACTGAGAGTCACACCCCAAGTTTCAGCTGGGGGGTGGGGCTTTTTCCAAAACAGTAAAACTTATGTGAGTTCATGTGCAGTAAGAGGATCTGCAGCTCACTAATCTGGTAAACATGTTTTTACTGCAATACACAAACTAATTCACTGGGCTAATAAACCAACTGCATGTTTTTGCCCCACCACTACTGGAGGTGTGGTGCAAGGCCCTAGATGTGTTATTTTCACTTAGATAATCAACAGCAACATGTAATTTGACCAGGAGCACTCAGACTATTGCATACAACTGTATTATTTGCTAGAAAGTCGTCTAGAGATTAATTATGATTTACTGTTTTCTGTTTTTTATTTGTTGATTTATAGCCATGACCCAAACCAACCTGTCCACTTCGATGATCAGGAAAGTGCGGAGGCGGCCAAAGTTTAACTCTATAGTCTCTGCAAACAGCAGGTACTGTATATTTTAAGATTGGAAAGAATTTTGAATTATTAGCAACAGCAGGATAATTCGCTTTTGTGTCATGTGGTGAAAATGTCAGAAGTATCTTGATTTTTGTCAAGTAAAAAATGCAAAACAACGCAGATCTTTTCAGTGACAAAAATGGAGAAAATGGAGGGAAAGTTGCAAGATTGGGGAAAAAAATCTAAAGTCTTATATCTCTGTGTCTGTGTGCAGTTCTGTGGCTTTTGCATCATCTTCACTGTCCACACTGTCCCTTAATCCACCCACTGCTGTCACTTGGGAGTTTATTGGTGATGAAGGTGTCTGGACAGAATATCAGAAACCTGTGAGTGACATCCATCCAAATTACTACAGCAACAAAATACACACAGTTTTCAAATGCATGTCTCTTATTAACTACTCAAACTATTGTTCATCTTAAGGCTTCTTATTTAGTAACTAAAAGGAATGAGATTTGCTACAAGCCCCAGGGTATGATGCTATTATGTTACTTGAGCCATGGTACGATTTTACTGTGCTATTTAAAGATATGCTCTGTGTTGCAGTTTGACACTTTGAGATATCTTGGGATTTACTTCTTTTGACTTCAAATTATACCTCCAAAAGAGGACTTTTATTTAATGAAGTGTAAACTGTCTTCATCTCACTTCAGTTGTTTTATTGAAGAAAAAACAGAATTGTAAACAAATCAACACTCAATATGAGCTTCATCCTTAGGAAAGCATTTAACAGTGGCTGGTGAATGTGATAATGAGATTGCTTTATTGGACTCTTATTGGTATAAAATGTTTCTGATTCCTGTGTAGATGGAAACTGAGCACCATTTATATGTGTACAGGGCATTGGTCCCAATCTATTAGCATTTAACAGTGGGCTTAATACAAGGGGTGGGCATTGTGGAAAAATATGTCACAATACTTGAAGCCATTTTCACAAATACTTGACAGTTTCACAATATGTAGTTTTCCTGAGGTTTGATAAATTTGAACAGATAAAATGCACCAGTTGTGCCCATTAAAAAAATAATATCTAAAAATATGAGTAAAGTGATATACACACCACACTAAAACCAAATAAACAGGACTAATTGTGCTCTCTTTGTAAAGAAACATGCAGGTGGTCAGTGTTCTTTAAGTACTATCAAAATGTAATTTATCATGCTGGTCAAATATCATCATATTGATCCTGCACTTAGTACACTTTAGAAATATTAATAATTAATTGATAATAAAATATCCATACTTAAGTGACGTAAGTGATGCAGCAGTGACTCTACAGTTCACACGACAACCATTTATAGACAGAATCTGCACTGCAGAACTGTTCAACAGACTTACATGCTGGAAATTCTCAACAAAGGAATGTTTTACTAGTTTTTCAGTTAAAAATGGGCAGAAATTACATAGTTAATGGAATAGAGTGCATAGTGTCTTGTCCATACATTTAAAACTGGAGTTTCTCTGATGAGTGAGCGAGGAGGGGGAAATAGAAAACCCAGAGCGGAACTGGAGCAGAGTGATTACAGAAAGCTTTGAGCGAGGAGGGGAATTGTTTAACGCTCCACTCCACTCGCATGCTCTGCAGGCAAGGAAAAAAATGTAAAGAATGAAACCAATGAAAATTTAAGGGGTTGATAGTATGTAGAAAATATTTTCAGATGTAAATGTTGTTTCCTAGAGTGTTCATTAGATTCTTCATGTTTTTCTGCAGGGTTCTTCTCTGGACAGTATGGACATAGAGAAGCATTATCAGCTCAACCCACAGGGCCAGCTGAATTTTACAGCTGGCCGATACACGTACACCCTCTATTTCAGTGGTGAGTTTTACACACTCGCACCAAATAACCTTCAACACAATGAAATATGTAAAGTATTGAATTGACTTTCAAATATTTACATGAGCTTCTCGGGAATAAATTATATTACAGCAAAAACAGTTTTTTTCTTTCAGTTCACTTTTGGCAGTGATGTCATACATTAATGTCCAAATGATGTTCTCATTTCAATCAAGTCAATGCATTATTGTTTTTCAGTACAGTTCATCAGTTACAGTAGCATGTTTTCCCACAGGAATGTATCAGATCAATAATACCTTTGGAACAAAGCGGCACATCAGGAGGACAGGTGGTGGAAATCAGCCCAATAACAGGTTTGAATCCACCAGTGCTGCAAGAACAGTAATAAATAATAGCACAAAAAGTTCCTCTGGAATAAAACTGTTGTGTTGCTGTTATTGAGTGAGGTTGTAAATGAGTGTATCACTTGCTGAGATTCATTCAACACCTGCAAATGGTTATCTCTTTTGTTGATGGTCACTGCACTGTTGTCTCCCCAGCGCTCTGTCTCAAGCTCGCTGGCAGTTCAAAGACATGGACGGCTGCTGGAAAGACTATGTTAAAGTGAGAGAAATGTCTTTTCTTGACAAGTTTCTGCAAGTATTCATGTTAACATATCCGAGTAACCTAAGTAAACTTAAGAAAGTCATTTTTATAATATGCTATCAAATAATATGTGCAAATTATTTAGTAAAAGAATTACGGTTGTAACAAAATGTTACATGATATGATATCGCTATAGCATGTTTAATAAATGTTAACTGTTAACTAGCTTGGCTGAGCTAGCTTGGGAATAACTTATTGGATTGTGGCTGGCACATTACATCGGATTACTATAAAGTTTTTGTTTAGTATTTCTATGTGAATCTTAGGGCCTTTTCAGGTCATGTTTGAGTTTTACAGAGAAAAAAAAACATGAAGTTCTGAAGACATACACATTAAGGCTGTTGCTTTAGTAGTTTGCTTGCTCATTGCATTGCTCACTCATCGTGTAGCATGTGAAGCAGAGCATTGAACTCCATCACACATACACAGGGCTGCTGCAGAACTTTGGAAGAGTTCCTCATGCAGCTTGTGACTTTTTTTAGAAAATTGGGCTGTTACCCAGTGTGTGTGTCTTTGAGTCACACCAGCTTAAAAAAATGATAACTTCACAATCATTACTATTCAGTGAGTCCATTCCACCCTTTCTGTGTCTTCTTCCCACATTCTCAGGCTTAATTAAAAAGTGTGATGGATTTGATGTGAAGGTTTCAGTGCATTGAAACTGTAAATATCGACTTGGAGTGAAGACACCACAGTATCGAATTAGATTATGAATTTTGTGAATATTCACACCCCTAAAATGAACTGTAATGTCTAGACCACAGCTGGCACTGAATTCACATCATTCAAAGCTGAAATAGAATAAAGAATGACATATCAGTAAAAGACAGTAGTTGTCAACAACATTAAGGCAGACAGCGACGGAAACAGTCGGTAGTTTATTCCATGTGTTCCAGAGTTGTATTTACATTTACAGTGTGAATGTAAAATTTTCTGTTCAACTGAATTGAAGTAGCTACTCATTAAATACTAAATAACTATAACTGGTTGTTTATCTTCTGTGAAACGCCTTTAGTTGATGCTGTAATGAAAGAGTGCTATATACATTAAATATATTATTATTATTATTATTATTATTATTATTATTATGTAAGGTTATTGGATAGTAACTATGCATCTGTTGGTTTGTCCCTGATTGGTTGGGTGTAGGGCAGTAGTCGGGGCAGCTGCACTGTCTCCAGTCAGGACATTGAGGCTCAATACCAGCAGAACAGCACAGGCACTATGAGCTTCAGCACAGGAAAGTTCAGTTATCAACTCGACTTCTCAGGTATGTGAACAAGAGCAGGTGCATATAAACTGCTCTATAGCCAGTGTTTTTCTGCCCAATTTTCTCATCTGGACAACATATACACGTGTAAATTACCCCCTTGCATATTATGTACATTTTTATCAGATTTTGAAAACCCAATATCCCTTTTCATTTCAATGGATCGTTTGAACTCCAAAATTTCCTGATATAAAATCTTTACATTACTGTATTTTAAATCTAAAAACATTTCTTCCTTCTCCTGTAAAGTTATCATTTTGGAGGTTTTCTGTATATTATGTATATATGTTAATATTCACTTGCTATCAAGTGCAGATTGTGAAGCCTTAGTTGTATAAGTCTAATGTAAGCTTATTTTTTTGTTTATTTGTCATAGCTTCTCCTAATGTACAGTACCATTCAAATGTTTGGACATTCCTGACTTTATGATTTTCATAAGTCTTTGATCTAAAGATTTGTGCTTTGTTCATATGTTCAAATGTTCATATATATGCCTATCCATGGACTTGTGTCCAAAACAACAACATTTTTTTTAAAACCTGTAGTTTTCCATTTAGGACACTGGGCGGAAAATGTACAGCTGAAACCACAATCATTGTACATCATATGGCCAAAAGTATGTGGACACCCCTCCTAATGACTGAGTTGAAATGTTTTGGTCACACTCATTGCTAACTGGTATATAAAATCAAGCACATCACCACCGTGTCCACCGAGACAAACATTGGCAGTACAATGGGTTGTACTGAAGAGCTCAAGTGTGGCACTGTCATAGGATGGCACCTCTGCCACATGTCAAATTGTGACATTTTTGCCCTGCTAGATCTGCCCCAATCAACTGTAAGCGCTTTTATTGTGAAATTATTAAATATTTTTTGTTAAAAATTCATTAGTTTAGAGTCACTACTATTCTAAAATGTGGAAAACAGTAAAAAGAAAAAGAAATAAAGAAAAACATGTTCTATGAGGAGGTATATCCAAAATCTGAAATGGTATTATATGTATCTGTGTACTTTGCAGTATTTTTTGTTCTTGCCATCCAATCTATCTGTCTACAGCACTGTGCAAACATCAGAGAGCAATTTGCAGTCAAAACGGCCATTAAGTACAAGTTATTCATTATCACAAAAAGTAGGAAGCTCATGTAATAGAAAATAGCACAGAATAAGCATAAAATAGAAGCATAATTAAATTTTTCCACTCATTACTTTTGTGCAGCTACTGCCACTTTCACACTTCCATCCTTCCAATTTTAAAACCAACCAGTTCCAGCTGTGTCTTCCCAACAAAAGCTGCTCCTAAAGCTCTCACTAACGTTATGTACCACTTCAGGCACTAACATTCACACAAGTAACTACCCAATTTTACCTTAGCTGCCTGCAAATTTCTTTCTCATGTGCATCTAAAACAGTTAAGGGAGATATTTCTGAGATTAGATATGAGATAATTCACTAAGGTAGAACAACAAAACTCTCACTGTCAGATAAATATAACTTAAACCTTTGAGAGAAAGGAGAAAATCAAGCTCCACTGAAAAACTCCATAGGTGTTTCTGTTCATCCTTCCACTGTAAGAAGGATTTTTTTAAGTTTTACGGAGTCTAATTTTGTATTTGGGATTACTTGGATTGCCAGAAGCAGAAAATGCAACTGACGTCAAAGACTGAATTTAGCAGTTGTGTAAAAATATCTTCCAGATTTCTTTGAAAAACTAAAAAAATGGAAGCTGTAATTAAGGCCAGACAATATCTAAATACTAAGCAATTTTCTGTTAAATATATGTTTTCTGCATTTTTCCTGATGCTGAAACATAAATAACTTGTACTCAACAGCTGTTTTGACTGAATTAAATAAATAAAAGGTGGACTTTTAACAGTACTGTATCTGTCTATCTAATCAGAGTTTATGTACTACTTATGTTCTACTGTATTTTAGTAGAAAAAAACACTATTAAGATCATTGCTGTTTCTATGAGCTGCAGCATTATTGTTTGTAAAGTATAATTGTATTTTTATTGTAGCCATGGTCCAGACAAACCTTTCCACTAATACAAGGAGGCTAGTCCGTCGCCTGTGACGCTGTGCTGGCCAGTCCGACACTGTGAGCAGTTACAGCTGAAGAGCACATGTGAAATCTCTCAGGAACAGTGGAGTTTACTGTTCTATCTGACATCAGTTTACTTGCATCTTCTAAACGCTTGTGTCTTTCAAATGTCTCTACCACATCACTGCCTTATGTTGCTCAGTACCTCTTACTAACTCGGACTGCCCAGACATCCAGCATTCACTTTCAATTTCTGCTCTTTTTCTCTTTACAAGTACTGTTTCAAGAAAAAAAAAGAGTCTGGCATATTTGTGTTGACTGGGTTGCTGGAATTAGGTGACCACTGCCATTTTGCTGGTATTTTAAGAGGAGCATCAATTCAGATGATTGATGAAGGTAGCATTTCCCAGACTACTGGAGAAAGTCACTTACCCTTCTATAGCACTGCATTCTTCATGGAGATTTTGTTTTCTTTTTCTTCTATCGTGGGCCAAATGGTTTGCTTTCTTTCATCGCTTTGTTTTCTTTTTCTTCATTCATGGGCCAAATGTACATTTTAAATGTACTTAGCTGTGATATTCCATTTTTTCAAAGCCATTTTACAATGCACTTTATATGTATTCCTAATAGGAACCTTGAAGAATAAAATTATTTTCTCTTATGTCTCGTATGTCACTGGATACATCATAAGGCAGGTTTGGACATTGCAGCGGGACATTCTTGTCCCCGGAAAAATGACAACTTTGGCACAGTGCAAGGCACAGTTCACATCAGTTTATGTGAGCACCTAACAGAACATGTGCTTTAATAAAGAATATTTTCACTCCCTCCAATCTACATATAGTTGTTCAAATTTCTCAAGGACATGGAGCTACTTACATTCTGCACCATGTTTCATATGTGCTTTGATACGTTAAGCTAACAAAACTGGTGTCAGAGCTTAAGCAGCCCATGAAGCTGACTTCATAAAAATAGTATTTGTGATTGATTAGTCAAATTAGCTAGGTAGTGTCAAGATGCAGCAATACATTAGCCTGAGCAAGTGAAAAATTAGACTTTACTTGAACCCTGCTGCATAACACTGATAGAACAACTCCATAAACATATCATGATAAATGTCATATGTTGTTCAGTAATATAACAGTGTCATGTTACCATTACTAGTTGTCATGACATCAAACACTGACATCTGTCATGATGGCCAACTAGAGTAGACAGCAAAAATTAGCTGTTGACATGAAAAACTGACGTCTGACATGATAATCAGCAGTAATAGTAACATACACTGTTATATGACAATTAATGACAGCACATGACATCTGCCATGACATCTTCATGGCATGGTTATATCAATGCAACTTAGCAGGATTCAAGTAAAGTGTTAGAAAAATTTCTTATTTTCTTCTATTGGAATGCGTTGGCACCCAAACAGAAAAGGGGTATAAAAGGTATGAGTGGAATAGATACTGGTGCAAACTGGAGATGATTTGCTGGTTCAAATTTTTGGTGCCATCTTCATCTTCTTACATACCAGCTGCTTCACAGGCTCCACGACGTCTTTCCCCAGATGTCTTCCCAGACAATAATATTCATAGGTTTAGCAAAAAATAAAAATGTGAATTTTTAGAAATCTAGTACTGCCTATAATACACTATGCATGTATCTGAGAATTTCATACATCAGTTTAATCTCCACAAAAAATAGCAATTTCTTCATTGTTTCCCATTACTCGAAGAGCTTTATTCAAACCTTCAAACTATTCATCAGATCTATTCTTTCTGACCAAAACTATACAATGCAATTAGAAATGTACACAATCGGTCTGTTCGATGAAGTGATCAAAAGGCATTAAAGAGAATGTCAACATGTGTATTTTGATAAATATTTACAGATTTTCATGAAAACTCTCAACTTCAGACAATACAACCTCGTAACACAATACAAAGTTCACAAAGATGCCACGTTGTACACATATTACATTGGTAGAATATAAAGGTTCTGATAGAAGAATAAGCTTTCATTTGTTTTGTTTCCATTCATTTAGGTGTCAAACTGGTTGCACTGGCAATCAGAACTGGGCCATTTGACTGGAGATAAAGTCCAGTTTTCCATAAAGAAATTTCTGAATTACAAATATGTGGTATGGTTGCACCAAAGGTTTTCTTACATTAACTCTTAACTACCTCATAATTCAATGGAACTGCTTTATGTTGTATTTTCAAATTGCTGTAGTGATGATAACCCAGTGTGTCATTTATTTATTGAAACTAAAGCCCAGATACTGCCCATATATGAAAACTGTATGTGCTAAAACACTCATTCACAGCAAGCCTTTTACAAAACCCCTTCAAAAGACCTATTATTGCACACCTCTCTTCATAAGGCTTATTTTCTCCATTCATACACTCATAGAGGTCCCCTTTGAGAAAGTGATCTGAAGATAATATATTAAAAAAATCCTAACTGATATCAAATTAATCTCAATATATTATACACTTCATTCAATATGATATGTAAATACTATACACAGTTCTAGAAGAGTGGCTCGCCATGTTGCAGCTATTTCTATTTGGTCATGATGAGGAATTAAAGGTTAAGTTGGTGTTTTTTTTTTCTTTTTTAACCCTCTACCCACTCTGTCCCGATGCTACTGTCACACGGGCTCCTGTGCAGGTATGATCAGTAACATGCAACCAAAGAACAAAACATACGTTACATACAAAGAGGACACCAGTTGGACAAACATGGGTACTAACAGAACGTATACTGCTGTTCTAATGAAGCTTTTAAAGGCCAGTAAAGCACGACTAAATTCCTAATCAAACACTATCAATGGCAGTTAACTTTATTCCTTTAAGGATTTATTAGATTTATATGCAACTTTATTGGCATTTAAGGGCTTCTATTTAATTATTAAAATAACCAAAACAATCTCCAGTATGGTCTGTGCACCATCAATGCACTTTCATCAAACTGCAAGTTTGATTTAAAAAAAAAAAAAATTCTGCACCGTTCCTCAAACTGCAGATTATACTCCAGTGTGCAACTCATATCGACTCTCCAACAAAGAAAACTCTCACTCTCCCTCTTTCCTTAACCACAACTACACAGTAGGGTAAAAATTTATATTTGAGTTTAAACAGATTACTAGGGCTGACCCGAACTCGGATATTTGTTTGTTGTATTGGTATCAGTTTTTTTTATTCAGTCTTTGAAAGCATCAACATTTTTAAGACACAAAAAAATGAAAAAAATCAGCCAAAACTACAACAGATACTTCTTATCAACAGAAGTGTTTGTGTAAAACAGTGCTTGTTTTACACATATATATGTATGTGAGTGTGTGTGTGTATGTGTGTGTATGTATGTATGTATGTATGTATGTATATGATTGAGGCCGCTGAAGCTAAAAGAGTAGAGGCGCCTCAGAAAGACATCACAATTTAAATAAACAGACAATTAAAAGAATGCTCTGTGCAAAAGTTGCAGTAAGTGGCTGGTATACAATGGAGGCACAACAGGTTTGATGAATCATCCACTTGATAGGCTACATGCCTTACATACTAGGTTTAGTTTGAACTGCAGTGATGTACATTCTTAAGATTTAATTATGTAGTAATTATGAAATGCAAAAATTGTTTTCAAAGTTTCATTGGTTTTGAGAACGGATTTTCGAAACATGCTGTAAAATGCTGTTCGGGTCAGCCCTACATACTACTGATGTGTTCAGTTGCTGAAATAAATGCATCTTTAGGTGAATATGGTTCAAACCACATCTTAAAAGACTAGATGTGAATGATTAGTGCAAGGAAAAGATTAGCTAAATGACAAAAAGCATATATAGCCTAATTTGACAGCCTGTATAAACAAAGCCAAAGGACTGTCATCTCAAATCTTCTCAGTGGTGGAATAGTATGATGCTGTCTCCTGGATGGACAGCAATTAATAAAATATTTCTGTGTTTTTTTTAACCTGATCTAGGTCTGCTGCATCTGTAGCACACAGTTGACTACCACAGACAATTTCCCTGTACTCAAAAAAGAAAACCAACTGACTCATAGTACACTTATAACAGAAGCCAAAAGTAGGTGCTGAAACCAAGTGGGTTCCAAGAGAGAGAACTAGGGATGCACAATAATATTGGAATGATATTGGTATCAGGAGATATTTGCATAAATATCTAAATATTACCTAAATACTAAATATATTAAATATCTAAATATTAAACATCAGACTGATGTTTCCATTTAGCCAATATTTCAAACGATATTTGACGATGTATTTGCTGTACACCAGAAGAGCAGAGCATTTAGGTCATAGGTAGATACATACATGAAAAATATCAGATTGCACTGACCTACAACTTCCATATCAGTTCATCCCTATAAAGACCATGTTGAAATTACTTCCCCTGGTAATCACCTGCACACTACAGATGAAGCAGACAGAGATTAGACTGAAAAAAGCTGGAGTATTCCTCTAATTCTTTAAGAGGTTTTCCAATAAAAAGCCTTTAAGAGGTTTTCAAATAAGTAGGTAGCTCAGAGTGAGTGAATGTGGAGGAGAGGGAAAAAAAAAGTGCAAAGAGAAACTGAGGAATGAGTAAGACAGAACCTGTACTTACTAAGGCCTGGGAATGTGATGTCATGACGTAGTGTCTTATGGGGATCCGCCATTGTGGCAGGGTTAGTCAGTCTAGGGTGGTTCTGAATATTTGAATGAATCTTTATGTCTGACCTGCTTTCCTTGATTTTGACTGATCTGAAGCCCATAGACTCAGTATATAGGTTTGCCGAGCTGACTAGCATGTGGATCTTGATGAGTACCAGATAAAATATGAGAGCAACAGAGAGCAGCAGTTTCATTTAACTGTCTGGACGCAGCTCTTGTTAAACTGCACATGGGAAACATCACAGTGTGGATAAACATCAAACTCTTGCTCATTTTATTGATCTAATCATATAGATATAATGAAATAAAACCTTCAACATCATTTAGCAGATTTATCACATTTGGTATTGGCTATCTAACTCAAACTCACTGTTTCCCAGCTAAAAAGATACAAGGTGAATTAAGTTATGATGAACCTATTCTAGTAACATTAGCTGATGTGTTAGGTGATTAGCATTTGGCTGTTTCTCTTCAAGACTTTATATTGACTGTTGTTAGTTTGCTAACAATCTAGGCAGTGTTTGCTAAAAGTCTGCCTATACATTCAGCGTCTGAGTGAAATATGCCAAAAACTGGGTGAAATCTGCCAGTAACTAGAGAAATAGGGCAGTGGCTGACTAAAATCAAAGGTTGTATAAATCCTTTCTAGTAAAATATGGCAGTGACTAAGTGAAACATGCCAATAAGTGAGTTAAATATTTTAAAGATTAAGTGAAATATGAGAAGGAAAACATCTGCAAGTTAAATCTGCCAGTGGCTGAAGGGGAATACCCATTCATAAACTGTACATGGACTTAATTCATTTCACTTTGGGAGTTTGTATGGATCCACACCGTCAGCAAGGTTAATTCTATCCATATAAGATTTGTTCAGCATCACTCTGGAGTGGGTTAAGATGCACCATCTTTTCATTTGATTCACTTTTATGCAGGACACGTCTGAAAAACCACAATAAAATAGCAATCTCTATGACTATCACAGTGAGTATGAGTATCTGTAGGATGTACACAAAGAACGAACCCCACCAATATAGCGGAACGATCCCATAATACAGCACAATGTGACATTGTTTCCCAAGCCCTATAGAGAAGGGAATTAATACTCTCTTCCTCACTGAAGGATGCTTTTTTGTTCCACACCTTGCCTTTTGACTCCTCATTTTGGATAATTCCAGCCCAGATGCTAGCGTATGTGAAGAGTGATCAAACCAAAACAACACATTCACATCCAGTATGCAGTATTGAGGCAGGATATCAGTAAGACAAGTGTGACCTGTAGAAATACACATGACCCTGCCTGTTTAAGGCTGGTGGCCATCTTCTGATTGACTGCGGCTCAACAAAAAAGGTCCACCACGAGAAATACATGACTCAAAATAGACCAGATGCAAAACAAAATGAAACAATGGTCCGTTAAGATGGACTATATTGACCTTCTTCACCGTTATATCTCTGTTATCGCCGACACTGTTGATATTGTTTCGTTTAGAGCTCTCTTTGCTAGGCAAATGGAAACAAGAACGACAGTCAGACTTTTTTTTTTTTTTATCCAAAGAGATCTTTCAGATCAGTGTTGACTGATGTGCTCTGTTTCAGCATCCCTGTGTTCATGGTGGGGGCAGTGGCAGGTTGTGAGAAGTTCTGTGGGTTAAAGAAAGGGTTAGCCTGCATTCCAAACCCACCTTGCACCCCCGGCATCCCCATTGGTGCTGCCTGCATGCCTGCAGTCTGCGTGGGATGACCTGTACCGAACTGGTTGAGCCAGGGGGACGGTGCTGCGGCACCTGTGGCAGGCTTGGAGGCCATTTGGTTCAAGCTGACTTTGGGTTTGTTAGCAGAGAAGAGAGAATCCAGGGCCGACATGTCTGGAGGCTTGCTGGGCTGATTCTGGTTCTGTGTGAGGGTGCTGAAATTCGGGGTGCTGGTGGTGGTGGCCATACCCCCATATAGGCCAGGGGTGGCCGGCCGCATGCCCATACCCACGCCTCCTGTTTGGAAGCCCATGGTGGAGTTGAAGCCATTACTGATGGCGCCCATGGTGGCCATGCCGCTCATGGCGGATCCACTAGAGAAACCAGAAGAGAGTGTACCAGTCTGCATGGGCGTTGTCCGAGGACCAGAGTTCAGGGATAAGCTGTTGAGTGAGGTCATGTTGTTCAGTAGACTGCTGGTCAAGTCCTTTGCCTGGGAAAGAAATCAATACAGTATGACTACACAAACACCCAAGTGTTTCATTCAAAATGCAAAATGGTCTGAAATGTTTAATAATCTAGGAAATGTCAATGATCTGTAATATTTTACAAAAATAGTTTTATAGCTATATCACACTTGAAATATACAGTCATATTCATAAGTGTAAACCCCTACGGTCAAATTACAGGTTTGCATATTGGAGGAGAAAAAATTAGCAGAAAATATAAAATGTGTCATAACTTTTGCACATTATTTTCCCAATATGTTAAATTCAATATGTAAATAAACAGTAACTGCGTTAAAATTGACGTGGAAGTTATATGCACACAATACAAATGAAAAAATTAATGGTTTTAATGGTTCTTTCCATGCTTAAATGGTTCTTCTCTCATTTTCATTTTATATCTTGAAAAATGTGTATAAAAGTCACATAAAGCAAGATAATGATATTAAACATAAAATTTATGTTTAAATTTCATGTTCGCTGCTCATAAAGTGAACACTATTCTCTCCAAACTGAGTCTCCAAAATGAGAATGAGTGTGCACATGCATGTGAGAAAGATAGAGTAAGGAACCTGTGTAGTAGTTGTGGCAGGTTTGACGCTCTGTGGTGCCAAAGGTTGCTGGCTCCTTAGTTTTGCTGCCTGCTCCTGCTCCTTAGCCAAACGCTGCTTCTCTTCCAGAGTCAGAGAAACCTTTAAACATACATACACACAAAGTTAATGGAATCTAAATTCAAAAGTAACAGGACAATCTTAACTCCTTAAACTCTAGAGGTCTGTATGTGGGTCTGCACTTCGATTCTTTACTCTTATACCTACATAATTTACAGATTATAGCTTCATAGTTACCAAATCATTTATAACAGTTGATGAATAATACATTTTCAGATTAATAATAGAGTAATAAAAAACACATACACATTATATAGTAAATGGAAGTAAGTTATTTTAAGGAGTATACAGCACCGTTATTAATCTTCATATTAAATAAATAATTGTTATTTAGTTACAACGTACAACATGGTGTAATGGCCTATTCACAAGAATTTTTCAGACACAACGCAAATTTTAAACGTAGTGGAACCTTCACACCAAGTCCCACAGGAACTTGGGAGTAAGTTGGAAAAAGAAGGAAAATCGTGTGCAAAAAGGTCTTAAATTGAAATCAAAATGTGAGTTAATTGTCTATCAACATAAAATATTTTGGGAACTAAGAAAAGTAATTATCTATTTATCGCCATTTCTTGTCATACAATTACTGTAAATAGCTATTTTATTTTTGAGCAGCACTTTTTGAATTTGGGACATTCTCGATACGTTCTCAGTCACTATGGAATCATCACAAACCGGTTTTATATTTATGAAAACAGTGATTCCAGACTTTTTAAAATCATGAGTATACATGAGTCCTTGATGTGTTATGAAGTATACTATTTACTATAATGGTCTGCTTACATATTTTAATTTACAGTTGTAAAATGTTGCAGATATATGCCATCTGTTTTTTTGCTGTCTCTGTGTTATGGATATGCCAGATGGGGACTTACTCTAGAGGGTTGAGAGACGGTAGAGGAGGAGCCGTTTTCTTTTCCATTCACACCTGCACTCACTGAGCTCCCGCCAAAGATCTCGTCAATCTGAAAAGAAAAGGTCATTTCTTTACAGTGTCAAATGTCAAACACACACATTACATGGTTTAGTAATTTTAGGCCAAACAGTGAAGCCAGAATAGAACTCACATCTCGAACTTGACTAGCTGGATTAGGGTTGTTCTTTGCCTCATCTGAAGTGTTCATTTGGTTGGAGAGGTTCAGGCTTCTAAGAGACATAATATTTGCTTCAACAATTTAGCACAACACAGTTCTTCGCAAAGACGGGGTGGGCAATAAGACAATATCATTGTTATCTCAACAAATTACATTACAATATACTTTCCATACACAACTGCATTATTTTGTTGCAAGGCTGTTCAGCTTTTAAAGAACATTGGCAAAAGTAAACACTGTGATCTGTAACCTGTGATCATAAGTGTGTTTTTTTCTTCATTCTTTGTAATTGTAACTACACGTGTGTTCATTTACCATGTCTACTGTGATTTTGCAGTCTATTTTGAGTAGTAGGATTTCAGGAAAAAAAGTTTTAAAGAGTTTAAAAAAAATAAATTAAAAAAATAAAAGCCTTCAAAATCTTTCAAGTACTCATACAGCATTTATTATAGTGGTTTGTTTATCGTCACTGTCAGAACAAAAGGTTGCATCTCCGAAATGGTAACTTTTCAGGGGAAAGAAAAAACTCTGAATGAAAGTTAATGGAACAAGATTATTTTCCAAACAATCTGGAGCATTTCTATTAGCCTGACCATCATGAAAGTTTAACATAGTGTAAATGGCAGTTGACATGTTAAAAATATGTTTAAAAAACATAATAATAAAAAAAATGGAGCTACATTCATTCGGACAGCACTGTTATGCTACTAACATTGGCAAATTATAATTTACAACAGTACTTATTACAATCTGTATTTATGCAGATACACACACGTGTATAATCTTGAATACATTTGATTTTCTCTTTGAAGTGCTTTGTTAACTACCACGATAGTCAGAATGGAGCCCTGTCCTTGAGCCTGTGTTTTCTATCTCTCTCTCTCTCTCTCTCACTCTCAAAAAGAAAGAAAAGCCAAGCCTAGCAGGGTCTGCATTGAGCTTCATGGATCAAGCTCAAACAGCATAATGCAGTCAGGCATTCACCACTTTATTCCTCTTTGGACTGAAGACCTTATAAGACAAAGTCTGCAACTCAAATAAAGCATAACAGACAATTTTACAAGTGCTGATTTTCATCCTCATGCACACTCCAGCACTGTTTACTACAGAACCTATTTATTTTAAAAATAAATAAATAAAATGAACGATCACAGTCCTATCCAGAATGAAAGCATTGTTGGAATGCCTGGGGGGGAACGGCTGATTCAAGGATGTTGCCATGGCAACAGCTCTGGCTACTTTTCTAACTTTGAGGAATGAAGCCTGAGAGAGTTCACTCCTCACCATCAGAGCCTTTCAAAGACAGAATTGTGCCACTGTGCTTTTATTTGTTAGGGGTCAATTTATGAAGCTCGAAATAGTTCCCAAACTTTACCCTTTAATTTTATTGCAATCCTCATTTGTTATAAATGTCTACTTCTTTGACTACATTAATTAGTCAAATAAATAATAATTATATTAGTTTTACATAACAGAATTTTACACATTTAAGTGAGAAATTATTTGGCTGATTTTAGCTGGTAACTTGTAGTTAATGTTTGTTCACATACATGTCTACACAGCAGGAAGGAAATTATGAAGCGATTACCAATCTAGCAGTTTCCATTTAACGATATAACAGCCAAATTAACAATTGTTCATATTTTATTTGGACTGAAAACTTGTTCACTAAAATGATACATGAAGTCCAATTCTTTAGCATTCAACAGTGAGGAATCATATGTTGTATTAGAACTTCCAACTGCTGTTATTTTATTCGATTATAAACGTGTAGGTTGAAATACAGTAAGCTAGACACCAGAAAGTGTTTTAAGACGTTTCATTCAATATGTCAGTTTTTTAAACAATAAATAATATACAACAAATAAATATTATTAAAAATATTAACTTTGCCTACAACGGTAACTGAAACCAAGCTGTAAAGTAGTAGCATCCTAACAAAATGTTTTGTACATGCCTCTTCAACAAACTGGTTTTATATTGTTGAAAGTGACTGCAGTGACTTTTTAATGGTGATTAGTTAGCCAGATAAAATTACTGTGACTATGATACGACTATGGTCACCAGCCATTTCTTTGACAGTAAATGTAAGAGCATGTGTTTCTGCCCCAAGGTCGTAATTAATACGACCGGAAAAATATTATCCTAATTTAAAGGCAATAACCGGCTCACACGGCAACTGCTGACTCTTTCCCTCACTGATGGACAGTTACGGTAGGGAATCAGTAAAACGCAGAATATGAAGGGGTACAGTATAATGCCAGCCAATGCAAATACTCACAAACAAATAGGGAAATTTTAATGGTCAGTGCAGGATGGCGATGTGTGAACAGAAGCTGGTACATCACAGGGACAGCTGAGTAATGTATTGGCTTCTGTTGTTTTTAGAGTCAAGTATTCTGTTGCTATGAGAGACAAATAACACTGTAGTGTATTACTATAGAGGCATACCGCTTGAAAAAGGTTGCTGGCAAAAGGCAACATTTCTGTGACTATTTAGTTTTTACAGTCAAGTTTTCAGGTTTCACGTGGGGGGTAAAGTGGGAGAATTTGGTACATTATTCAGAAATCATTTTAATAGGACTTTCAAGGCAAATGCGAATGAGTGCATCGTGGTAAAATACCATTTAAGTGCTGTATGTCGTCACTGTTGCGACCAAACCTTGTGTCTTAATTTTTTACGTTTTTCTTTTTTTGACATCCTGTGTCTTGGAACGGTCCTGTACATTGTGTCATAATTTCATGATAAATGGACCAAAAAATGCTCCAAACTGACTTGTAATAAATAATTTCTCAATTAATTTACTTTGAGTTAAGAACTTTTTTCCCTTCTCCTGTAAAGTTACCTGTGAATATACAAAATGTTGTTCTGACACTGACAATATGTGACTGATGCAAAGCACCCACTGAATATTTAAGGTGAAGGCATGCCAGTAATGTACTGGGCACTGAGTGTGAAAAGTGCTTAAGTAAGCTGCAGACTGCTGCAACATTTTATGCAGGATAGGAGAATTATGAATAAGGCAGGATGATTTCTAAAGATGATAGAGGATGATGAGAAGTGAGAAGAGAATTGGCAGGCACCTCTGCTGTTCCTGCATGCTGTGGAGCTGCTCCAGTTTGGTCTTATGCTCCGCTTCCATTCGACTCAGCATCTCTCTGATCACAGCCATGAAAGAATTAAACTGAAACACAGTCAATCGGAGAATCAGTCAAAGAGCCTAAAACAAGTGCACTGGTGAATGTATGTGCTTTTATACATTTTATAAATTATACATATTTTATGAGTGTTTACCTGATTGAGGTTAAGGTTGTTGTCAATACTAAGAGAAACTAAATGAGGCAGACTTTTCCCTGCAAGGTGCTCTTTTGGGATGCCTAGTTTCTTATGGGTAAAAGTGCACTTGTAGATGCCTGAAAACCTTAATTGGTGTCATTGCAGTTCTGCTCACAACTAAATGAAATTAGCAAATTCCACTGATTTCACCGAAGTCATTCAGAGTGGTTTGATGAGAAATGCGTCACTGTAAAGAAACCCGACTACTCAAGATTTTCTTTACAGAGGTGGTGATAGGAACCAGGGGTCACAATGTCTACAATGCAAATATCCATTTTTGTGTGAACTTCTTAGTTTTTAAATGTAATGCTGATGATGTCAAATAGTGGCAAATGTGAAAAAATTTCTTTTTCTTTGCCTGCTGTGTACCGCCACTATGTATTTTGCAGAACCGCCATGTGGCAGAGTTGCCATGAATTGCCATGTATTTAAAAAAAAAAAAAAAAAACACGCACAGGTCAAAACTATAGTAAAAAAATGTCTCACGTATCAAGCCGCATATTCATAATTTCACGTAATAGCTTTCTGTGATGTAGCTTTTAGAGGCATTAAACTGTTCAGGCGTCTGGTTCCTATCACCACCACTGTGAACATTTCTGACACGGTAAGTTTCTCTAGAACTGCTACTGCTACTACTACTACTACTACTACTAATAATAATAATAATAATAATAACAATAATAGTAATCATAACAACAACAACAACAACAACAACAACAATAATAATAACAATAATAATAACAATTATTATTACAATTATAATAATTATAAAGTAAAGGTATAGTAAAGGTATAAAATTATACCCAGAATGCCCATGAGTACAGCTGGCTCTCGGGAAGGTATCTGCTGTAAGAAGGGCAGGATTTCATCAATGACAAACCATTTATCCAGATACTCCAGAATCTTCCCCAGGCACACCAAAGAGTTTACTCTCACCTACAAGCACAGAGACATCCAGAACATCAAGAACACAGATTTCACAGACGACATAAATGTTGTGAGACAGTCAATGTCGATAATGTATAAATATGTAGACTTTTTTAACATGACCATCATCAATTGTGCTACGTTCTAAATGATGCAAGTCTGATGTGTGGTAGCGTTCAGAATAAGGCTGAATATCAAAAGAAAGCATGCATGACTCACAGCCAATGAGGAGGTCTGTAAACACGCTGATTTAATGCGAGGGATAAGTGCGTTCTTCATGGATGGATAGTCAATCAGATTAGCAAAGGTGGGAATGATATTCAGGCACAGTTCCTGTGAACAAAACATATAATTATTTAAACATATTAACCGTTTTGTACTGTCTGACCAAAAGGTTGTAAAGATAGCTCATGTTATCGTTAAGTTGATTTAGCAAATTAACGCTACTGTAGGAAAAAAGTTACAGTTAAACTGTAAAATGTCATGAAGCAACAAACGAACGAATGAAAGTGGTTACTTAATCAATTTGCTGTTGCACCTAAATAAAACCAGGGAAATTAAAACCTGCTTCAAATCTTCAGAAGGATGTTGCAGTCATTATTTTAGGTTTAAATAGTTTAGAAAAATAAAACATTTGGGGGAATATTATTTATAAAATAATTGTTTATTTTTTAAAACAACGGCTCTCGCCGAAAGGCATTGAGCTTTGTAGTATGTTTAATATTGCTTATTGTATGGCTACCTGGATCTGAGTTGAGGGAGCCTCCAGTGCTCTGTAGACCATTGGGAGCACGCAGTTCTTGATGTCTTCAGGGGGTGTTTTGGTCAGAAGCAGGTCCATCTTTTGTAAGAATATCAGTAAGATCTGAACACATAAAAAGAGAGCAAGGGAAGAGGGGGATGAGAGGCGGGGGGATGCACAATTCGCAAACACAGATTCCCATGAAAGAACAGCAAAAGAAATAAAGAGTAAATGTGCTATAAAGGCACCTACTGTTAGGGTGGATTTTCATTAGGGCAGCAACAATTAGTCAACAATCACAGATTAAAATTTTTATTTAAATTTGAACAAAAAGTGGTCTATAAAGTTGATATGACACACAGGGTCATTTACACAAAGTGCAATACAATAAATGAAATGTAGCAGGGCAATGTAGCTTCCATTGCTTAAATGCATTATAAAATTGTCTGCCATCGCTCAACGGAAATTTGAAGGATGGTGAGGCTGTGACGGGACAAAATGAGAGGATGGCAGAAGGCATAATGATTCAATTAGCCAATTTGTTAAATAATAGTTGATAGGTGAATTGACATTAGTTGCATCCCTAATCTGCAGTAATAATCAATATTCAACTGAGAGGGAATACTATAAGGTACTGCTACATAATCTTCTTAGTTAAGTAATACTGTAATTATTGGAAGCTACTGGCAGGGCACTGAATTAACTGCAGCAAAGTTATGGGAACTATCAGAACAGGCTGAACGACATGTTCATAAAGGCCACTCACCATGTTGCTGGCCTGAGAGCATGAAAGAAAGAAGTAAAGAGACAAGCTCAGAGGAAGCGATACAGATTTTGGAACAAACAGGGCATCGATGAGTGAGTGTGTTTGTGTGTGTGTGTGTGTGAGAACGTCAGCGTATACTATGAACACATTGGTAATTACCAATGGAAGTGTTTTGGAAACACTACATGGTTTTATGGCAAAACCATTTATTTTTGGTTGCTCAGGTCAGGTTAACGTACTTTAAAATACAGCACTGGGCAAAAGCCTTTTATCTCAGCAGTAAAAATTCATTTGGTCAAAAAAACACTAATATTATTAATACTAGTATTTATTCAATAAACCGCAATATTTTATGTATATTAATGTGTTCATTTAACCCTTAACAACTTAATTTTCAACAGCCCAGTATTACTTGTAATCATGATCCAATACCAATTTGGCTAATATGTGCTTGATTAATTAAAGTCAGGTGGGCTGCTGATGTTTAACAAACCCATGTGATGGCTACTGCAGAAGAACAATAAAATATTTTACTTTTTGCTGCATTATGCATTTATTTTAATGTTACATAGGGTTTTAGTGCCAAAAACTCACTTACTGTCCACATAAACAGTTTTAAACCATTTGTGTATAAGTGTATAAGACTTTTACACAGTACTGTACATAACATATGGGACATTATTATTGTATATCATTATTACTTACATACATAACACATTTGGGACATATTACACATAGATACATATATAACAAATATGGGACATCTAATTGCATATAGATCAGCCTGACACAGCATAAAAACAAACATGTCTGTGTGTTCCCTGAAATACCTGAATGGGCTCCTGTTGTTTGAACACTGGGGTGAGGTCTGGTAAAATCAGACGAACATATTCCTCCTTTGTACACTCTTCCGCTATTAAAAGCACGTTGGGCAGCACGAACGGCACCATATCAGGGTTCACAAATTCTGAGGTCAGTGCTGGCAAGATCCGGTACACCACCACCCTCTACAGAGCAGAAAACCTCCAGCAGTCAGATTATGGTCTTACAAAAGATGAAACACAAATATTGAAGCACAGCCATATATGTTTCTTTTAAAAGAATGTGGGTAAAAGGTAATGATAATTCACTTGAGAGCCAATGTGGTGTTCTCTATATTGAAGCATATTATATGGTAAAATGTATTTATGTGCTATCAGATATCCAAAAAAATTAAAATGTCAGCCAATAACTGAACCAAAAAAAATATAATTATCAGACTTGTACTGTAATAGTTGCATACAAGAACAAAAAAGGTAAAATATGTTCATTTTCAGGTATCAATATTGGCCCAGAAATTCCATTTCGGTGCATAATTAGCATTCACAAACAAATTACAGCAAAATTATCAAAAAATAGATCACTAAAGGACCAGTTCCTAGACACTGATTAAGCCTAAGCCTAGAATAAAAAGAACTTCCAATTGTGATTCACCATTGGCAGTGCAGTTTAGTCCAAGACTAGACTTAATCCGTATCAAGGAAAATGACTCTAAATGATGAAGCACGAAAACCAGCACAATGTGTCCAGCTAGACACAGTCACTCCTCCTTGCCTTGGGAAGCTTGGGCAGAACTTTGGGGAGGCCTTTGTAGAACTGTGACTTCTGTAAATTGTCTCTCTGGAAGAGGGAGTCGAAATACTGCAGAGTCACGGCTCCAACATCGTCAAAGAAAGGGATCTGAAAAGAACGCAAACACAGACGTGTGAAATCTGCAAAAGAGTCATAACACTTCTATTCCTGGTGCAATTATGTGATGCAGAGATTGCATTTTCCCTTCTGCAACAGACCTGATTCCACTCATAAGCTTTAGCAAGACCTTCCTATGTTGAATTAGTGGTGTTACAGCAGGGCCCTAAAGCATCTAAGAGACTGAGATAGATAGATGGCTAGACAGATATACTCTATTTGTCCTCAAGGCCAAATTTGGGACCTCCAGTAGCAAAAAACATGGGACATTATATGCATATCATAAATAGACAAAATTCCATATGCATTTACATACACACATACTACATGAAGACATCAATGCATAAACAGGACAGAGTACAGAAAATGGACAGAAACATTCAAATTCAGTTCCACACCAGTGACAACACTGCTGCAACAGCCTCATGCCAAGAGAAAAAGCACTCACCTTTGTCATCTGGTCGGCATCTGGTCTCACATTGGCCGTGACACTCAGCAGCATCTTGACATGCTCTCGCACCTCCTCCGGGATCTGGCTCAGCACTCCCGGACTCAGACGACTCAACTAAAACAAGATCAAAAAAGATTTTAATTTCAAAGTTATAATTACACTTATAATTCAGCTTTTCCTAAAACTAGTGGGACGTTCACAGGCTTCGTTGGCACAGCAGGGCAAATAAGATCTGTCATGTAAATATAATTTTTGGAGTTCAGTGTTCAGATTTAAAGTTGCAAGCGACCAAATCCGATCTGTATGGCCAGACTGTAGTCACAATCATCTGCATATCCAGGTTGCTTGTTATAACAATGACTCACGTGAGTACATTTGAAACCACATAAAAATTACGACTGGAAATACAATACAATTCCATATAGCTTCTTGCCCTTCAGACTGAAAAAAGTCTTGCTTAAATCAGATATACCAAAAAAGATTAGATTTGAGTTGTTTATCTAATCAAAGCCATAGTAAAACAAAGATCAAAACTTGGTGGAAACAAGAAAACAAGGGAGCAAACCAAAGCTGACTGATCAAGGCAGGCACAGAAGGCTGAGAGACATTCAAAAAGGCCAATTTTATTAAAGGAATACCACTTGAAACATACCAAATTCCCTGACATGTATAAGCAACTTATTTAACACAATGGCACCAGCTGATACCCAGTAACAATTGGGTCAAAACTGTCAAAAAGGGTGTATAAAAATAAATATTCTGCTCTGATTCTGTAAAAGGGTCTTTTAAGAGCATAATGAATACCAGTGAGTTGTCAAAAAGCAGTTTAGTAATAGGGATGTGCACAGATACTCAAATACTCGGCTAACTGTTTGAGGCGCCAGAATGGGAATACTGAACTCACTCTTTGGGTATTTGTTATGTTTTATCAGAAGAAGACAAAGAAAAGATATAGGCCAACAGTGAAACATGACTGTTTCTCAACAACTCAGACAACTAACATGTTGACACATCGTCCACAGAGGAGAAAATATCACCTGTAAGAAGCTGACCAGTCCTCATCAGCACTAAAAGTGACACTGGCAAGGCACCTAACCCCGAACTGCTCCCTGGGCCCTGGGCCCTGCGGATAGGGCTGCCCACCGCTTCGGGTAAGTGTGCTCACTGTCCCCCTAGTGTGTGTGTTCACCAGTGTGGTGTTTCACTGCACGGATGGGTTAAATGTGGAAGTGAAATTTCCCCATTGTGGGACTAATAAGGGTCACTTGATCTTAATCTTAATTAATAAGACAATTAACAATTATCTTTTGTGATGAAAAGGCCCTGTGCCACATTTTGTACTCACTCACCTGGTCTAGTTGTCTGCTGAAGCTCTTGAAGATGTCCTGCTTGTTGACCTGAAAGACTGGCTTCCCCTCATTGAACACTGCATGCACGATCACTCCCAGTGAGTACATGTCAGAGGCGGAGTCACAGCTGACGGATAGGATGTATTCCGGGGCCACATACTCGGGGTTAGGCAGGCAAAGAGGGGGCAGATTGGGGTCCCACTCTTTACATACATACTTAGGCTATAAGACACAGGAAAAGGATCACATGAATTACTCACCCAGCATTGTTCTGAAAGCTTACAGTGCACAGTACACCATGTTATCATGTTAAGCGGACAATAACTTCCTCCACAGCTGGTAGCTTTATTAGAAACCTTCCACAATTATCAGCTTCTGTCGGCTGTCCATCTGATCCTACCGAGTTAGATATTATGACCAAGCTCTTAGAGGATAATTTTCGATCTACTCTAGATAGTGTGGCCCCATTAAAAAGTAAAATAATAAGGCAGAAAAAACTCGCTTTGGTATAATGATCATACTCGGGCTTTAAAACAGACTGCCGGACAACTAGAGCGAAAATGGCGCCTGACTAAGCTAGAAGTGTTCCAGTCTGCCTGGAAGGAGAGCCTTATAGACTATAGAAGAGCACTTGCTACAGCACGCTCAGCCTACCTCTAGATTACTTTTCAGCACAATCTCCAAAATAACAGAGAAGAAAACAGTTAGTGAACCCCAGATGCCATTAGCCTATAGCAGCAATGATTTTAATGAACTTCTTTAGTGATATAATTAGGCAGAAAATTCAGAATGCACAGTTAAAATCTACAAACCTGCTTCCCCATAATGCCAGGCTCAACCTTGAGAATATTATGATCCCTTTAGAGAGGCTGGAATCATTTACCTTACTTCAAGAAAATGAACTAGTTAAAATCGTTTCTTCCGCAAAATCATCTACTTGTATGTTAGATCCGATTCCTACAGGTTTACTCAAGGAGATTTTGCCAGAAATAACCAAGCCTATTCTCTCAATAATAAACTCCTCTCTTAGCCTTGGATACACCCCAAAATTTCTTAAACTAGCAGTAATTAGACCACTAATTAAGAAAGCTATCTTCAAACTATCAAATTATAGACCCATCTCGAATCTCCTCTTTATATCTAAGATCTTGGAAAAAGTTGTAGCAAAACAATTAAGCTCCTATTTGCATAGGAATCAAATACACTCTCGTGTCTCTGTTAGTCCTCCTCGATCTTAGTGCGGCATTTGACACAATAGACCACGCTCTTATTAGATAGACTAGAAAACCTTGTAGGAGTAACAGGAATAGCTCTTTGCTGGTTCAGGTCCTACCTCACTGATCGCTATCAGTCTGTTAATATAAACGGTGAATCATCTGCCCTTGCAAAAGTAAAGTATGGTGTTCCACAAGGCTCTGTTTTAGGACCTGTATTATTCACACTATATATGCTACCACTGGGCACCATTATCAGTAAACACGGCATAAATTTCCACTGCTATGCCGATGACACTCAGTTATATTTAGCAAGCGAACCGGATGATAAAATTAAACTTGGCAAGATTGAGGACTGTATAAAAGACCTGTGTAAAAGACTGGAGGTTGAGTAACTTTCTCCTTCTTAACTCGGATAAAACAGAGGTTCTACTTCTTGGTCCAAAAGCAGCTAGAAACAAACTGTCTAATTTTACACTTAAACTTAACAATTTCTCAGTTGCATCAAGCTCACCTGTAAAAAATCTTGGTGTCATGATAGACCCTGATCTGTCCTTCAACACACATATAACTAATATTACTAAAACAGCCTTCCTGCATCTCCGCAATATTGCTAAATTGAGAAATGCATTATCTCTACAGGATGCAGAAAAGCTAGTTCATGCATTTATTACTTCAAGACTAGATTACTGTAATGCCCTGCTGGCTGGATGTTCGAGCAAAAGCCTTAACAAGCTTCAGCTAGTCCAGAATGCTGCAGCCAGAGCTCTTACTAGAACCAGAAAGTTTGACCAGATCAGCCCAGTTTTATCAACCTTACACTGGTTACCAGTTAAATTTCGCATTGATTATAAAATTCTCTTACTGACTTACAAAGCTCTGAACGGACTCGCCCCTCAGTACCTGAGTGAACTTCTCTCTCACTATGAACCATCACGCCTACTTAGATCACAAGGCGCTGCTCACTATTAGTACCTAAAATTAATAAAGTTACGTCAGGGGGGAGAGCCTTCTCATACCAAGCCCCCCAGCTTTGGAATAGTCTTCCTGTTAATGTTCAGGACTCAGACACAGCCTCAGTGTTTAAGTCTAAGCTAAAAACTTACTTGTATAGTCAAGTCTTTGGAATTAGTCAGTTCTATACCTGCCAGTCTCCGCTGCTCTGCTAACACTTTGATCTGTGATCAGTCACCCATTACAGAACTGACTCTCTGTGCGTTCTGATGCTGTTGCCTCTTCTGCCTTGATCGGGTGCCACTGCTGCCAGCCCTCGGGACCAGCGTGACCACCATTGAGCTTCACGCTGTACAATGCCGTGCAAACCTCACCCTCACATCCTGACCCCACTGATGCTGCTGCATAAACTAAACTAATCAAATTAATCATTTGCTCCACCTGTTTTCCCCATTTTTGTACTAACAATGTTTACTATCCGGTGTCGACCAGAGGAGGATGGGTTCCCCTTCTGAGTCTTGGTTCCTCTCAAAGGTTTTTTCCTGTCTCTTAGGGAGTTTTTCCTTGCCACTGTCGCCACTGGCGATGCTCATGGGGGTTTGGACCCGGATTTCTTTTTGTAATGCTGATTTTTTGTTTTGTAAAGCTGCTTTGTGACAACACCTGTTGTAAAAAGCACTATATAAATAAACTTTGCTTGCTTGCTACACTTTTTGTTATTTATGAAAGTGTTCATTAGTATATTGTGATAATTAACCAACAATCTATATTTTGCAGACACGCTACACATTCTTTTTTCTCTTCTACCTCATATTATTCCTAGCTTCATAGCTGCACATTTGCCTGTAAATGACACTAGGGGGCAGCATGAGCTGTTTCTGACCTCAGCGTCAGATGGATTGCTGGAGGAAATGCTGAAATCGAAGCCCATGATCTTCCAGGCTCCACTCTTATTCAGGATGATGTTCTCTGGACACAGGTTACCATGTACCATCTTTACTCCACTGTGCAGAAAGGAAAGGCCCTCAGAGATCTGTGGAGATGGAAAGAGGGAGAAGACAAGAGACCAGCTATAAGCTTCATCTTCTGCTGAGAAACAAGTCTGAAAGGCTACTTTGCGTATACTCAGTACAAACAAACACAACCCGTCATTGTATGTGGTATATTGAGTCTTCGCTATCTATTCAGAATAGGGAGCATAATGTATCATAATTTCAATGTTTTTTAATACTATACTGTGGTAAACAGTGTAACTAACATTTCATATCAAACCACTCTTGACTTTGTATATCAACAATTGAAATATGCAGAAATTTTGTAAAATTGGTGAAGTTCCCTTTTAAAGCTGGTAGGTTTTAGGATCTTTTAGACTATCAAATTATTCTACCAATAGTTTTATACAGAGAAGTACTTATAAATATGTGCTTTGGTAGAACAATTTGATGCAGCTTTTCCACTAACTAGGCTACTCTTGTTGATGTTGGCTAGATCCAGCAACAGTGAACATGTATTTCATTGACAATGTAACATGTTGGCACATCATCCCTGAGAAGAAAAGACTTTGTGTAGGAGCCGTGGAGTCTTCAACAGCAGTCAACGCTGTAAGATAGTGTTCTCATTAGCTCTTCTGAAGGGGCAGCTTCTGGTACTGAGACACAAAACCTACTGATTTCCTTTGGAATGAAAAAAACATGTTTTCAAACTGTAACCACCAGTACTATCATCTAAAAACTAAGCCTACAGCTAATTTTGGCCAAAGTCTGTTTTCTCTCCTTTTGCTTGTTGCTTTTCTTTCCCTGTGGTTAACCAGGAACGCAAATCAGTGTCATTATGTTGTACAGCCCCGTTTCCAAAAAAGTGGCGATGCTGTGAAAAATGTAAATAAAACCAAAATGCAATGATGTGCAAATCAGCAAATCATTTAAACCCAATATTTCATTAAAAATGCTTCAAAGACAACATATCAAATGTTGAAACTGAGAAATTTTATTGTTTCCTGAAAAATATATGCCCATTTTGAATTTGATGCCAGCAACACGTTCCAAAAAAGTTGGGACGGGGGCAACAAAAGGCTGGTAAAGTTGTGTAATGCTTAAAAACCTCCTGGTGGTTAATTGGCAACAGGTCAGTAACATGACTGGGTATAAAAAAGCATCCCAGAGAGGCTGAGTCTTTCAGAAGTAAAGATGGAGGAGTTCATCACACTGCACAGGCAAAGAGTGCAACAATTCAAGAATAACGTTTCTCAACATAAAATAGCAAAAAACTTTTGCTTTTCATCATCTATGGTACATAATAACATTAAAAGATTTAGAGAATTTGGAGAAATCTCTGTATGCAAGGGACAAAGCCAAAAAAACAGTATTTGCTGGCCATGATCTTTGGGCCCTCAGACGGCACTGTCTCACGAAATCAACAACTGAATTTTTTTTTGGAAATCATGGACACTGTGTCCTCCGGGCTAAAGACCACTCAGCTTGTTATCAGTGCACAGTTGAATAATGCTGAATGGCAAAATAGGCTGCCATCCAGACGAAGGCCTTGCTTATTTCAGCAAGATAATGTCAAACCACATTCTGCATGTATTACAACAGCATTGCTCTGTATTAAAAGAGTCTGGGTGCTAAACTGGCCTGCTTGCAGTCCAGGCCTGTCACCCCTGAAAAACATTTGGCACATTATGAAATGATAAATATGACAAAGGAGACTGTTGAGCAGCTAAAATCCTATGTTAAGCAAAAATGGGAAAATATTTCACTTTCAAAAGTACAGCAGTCGGTCTCCTCAGTTCCCAAACGCTTACAGAGTGTTGTTAAAAGAAGAGGAGATGAAACACAGTGGTAAACATGCCCCCGTCCCAACTTTTTTGTTGGCATCAAATTCAAAATGGGCATATATTTTTTAAATGATTTGCACATCATTGCATTTTGTTTTTTATTTACAATTTTCACAGCGCCCCAACTTTTTTGGAAACGGGGTTGTAGAATAATTGTGCAAGACTCATTGTGCTAAAGAGACACCTTTTACTTTTGATGTAGTACTTAACTGGATTTCATGTTACAGAATTCAGCAACAGATTTTAAATTTTAGAATTCAAAATGCCAATTTGGCCCATTAAAGAGCAAATAATGTTCTTTATATTCACAGAGAATAGTGGAAATGAGCTAATGTGTACACATTGCACTTGGGGTACAGACAGACAGCCAGACAGCCAGACAGACAGCCAGACAGCCAGACAGACAGACAGCCAGCCAGACAGCCAGACAGGACTGTATTCCTAAATAACCTTGAAGGAAATCCAGTAGGTTTTAGCAAGATTTATAACTACATCTCACCTGCAGTAAGCCATACTTGGTCTCCACATCATAGAGTTTGTACTCTTTAATATCTGTGGGAACAGGGCTAGGCAGATTGTCCCACTGGCCCAGCACATTAGCCAGGCTAGCGAACACGGGCTCTGTGCAGAACGCCAGGCAGTCCCTGAGAGAGACAAAGAGAGGGAAAGAAAATGTGTCAAAAAGAGACGAAGTCCAGTGACAGAATATACACAGAAACAACAGCAGTACCAGTAGATACTGGGCAGAAATAAACAGATACAAACAGTAGGGGAAGAATCCATGAAGCCTACAAACAGATACATGTTTTTACAAACTGAATTTGAATCGATGGGGTGGGTGGGGGACAAAAAGTTGAATGAGTAAATCTCATCTTTGCTCCCTATTCCATCTTTTGCTGCTTCATCTATGCATTATTCATAGCCTCTTCCCCAGAGCTCGGCCGACTCTTTTGATCCAATACTGAGGCTCAACACAGCAGTCCAACAGCACTTATGTTGAAAGCAAGAGATCCAACAGAGCTCTGCCTCAAATACCCTCTTCTCTCTCACTGTGAGTGAGAGTAGCTGTTCTGCTTTCTGCTCTGTAGTGCTGTGTTGAGTCTTCTATGTTTATTTTTTTAAATGAAAACTATGTTATACACTGTTTATACAAAAGTTCAGAATCACCATTTGGTTTGGAAATGTTTGGAATCAAGAATTTGAATAATACAAAGCCAGTTTTGTTGCATGTAAATGTATGAAATTATTCTAATGTATTACTATTATGGAGAATCACGGTGAAAAATTAAACAGAAGCTTGGAAGCTGTAAAAAACAATGTTAGATGTATCCAGAACGAGGAGCAGAGTTGTAGCTGATTCCTTAATGACTAGCTGTAGAACACTGAGAATGAAGTTCATCACAAAATTAATATCCAGAAAATCTTATATTTAAAAAAGTGAAATAAATTGAAAAGCAGGCAACTCACAAAAAATACTGTAAATAGATAACTGTAGTATCGTGTTTATCATCATAAAATGGGCAGTTCCCTCACTGAAATCTGACTGGCTGAGCTGTATTTGAAGCCGTTGTAAAATACCCAATATACAAACACCTAAGACCGCTTTACAACAGTCTTTGAATTTGTGATGATGCTCGCTCTGACCGAGTGCACTGATGAAGTAAGAACCAGGTTTCATTTAAATTGAGACACTGACAACTTTTTTTCTTAACTAGAACCAGGCTGATCAGCTATCTAACAGGCTAAAAGATAACAGGCTAAACAACTCCTCCACTAACATCACAGGCTTAGAATTTGAAAGTAATAAGTACCTATTAAATGATCACTGACAACATCATCACTGTAAAACTACAATTAAAAAAGTAAAGAATAGGTCACTTGTCTTGCATGCTTCGGTGTTTTAGTTAAATCTGCCGTATGTAGCATTATACTCAGGGTGAATCTCAAACGATCATTTGAGATTCAGCTCCAGCATGGGGAAAAAGGACCTATAACACTGCCAGCATGGTGCTAAATAGCACTGGAAATAGCACGCTAACGGAAAACAGTCATTATGGTGGTAATTTGGCAAGCAAAAACTACTAATTTTGTAAGCAAAAACTACAAATACTCTGCTTTGTGCCATGCTTAATAACATGTAAATAAATTACCCATGATGAAATCACTGTAATGTAAACCTCCTGCGGCTTATTGCTTTATTTAATAACTTCTTGTTGTTCCCCCAACGTTGAACAAACATTCTAAAAATACATCTACTTCACAATATTTAAATACATAATTCACTTGATTACATAATAATAATAATAATAATAATAATAATACTACTAATACAAGTGATTCCAAACTTTGGAGTGGTATTGTATTTCTAAATAGATGAAGAAAAACTCTTATGTATTTCATGTATATGTGTGTCTCACCTTGACTCCTCCAAAGGATGCTGAACTGTAAGAAGGCGTGGGTGTCGTAAGCGAGTTAGCTGCTGAACTCCTCTTTTAAGTGAATCAATGATCTGGTCCTTCTCAAACTTCTGATATCTGTCAATTATCTTCTTATCAAATACAAAAACTGCTACTTCCTGTAAAACAAAAGGATTTTACAACAATGCTGAATTTCTAGAATAAATGTATAAGTTTCAAAGCTTAATTATTTAAAAAAGTTACTTTTTTTTTTAACTGTAAAGCAGGATTCTTTATTATCAAGGAAACAGTGTTGCATCCTGTGTTACTGCAGTTTATCTCACTTCAACAGCCATCATTCTATTCTTTACCAGCTAATATTATCCATTACTCAAGTTAATCCACTTTCATAAAGTGAAGGGGGGGGGGGACGGAACTAAAGCTGCAACATCATTAACTGTTTCATCATTTCTGTAAAAAACTGCCAAATACTGTTGCCTCCTTTACTTCCCCATCTGCAAATTACATGCCCTTCATAGCCAACAAAAAGAACATTGCAGGGGTGGGTAATATCACAATATTTACTTTTTGTGTGATAAAGTAATGCCATAATATGCTTTTCTGATCATATCTGGATTACCATCAGTAGGGATGCATGATGAAATCTGAATTATCTGTTTCGGCAGATATTGGCTTTAAAAAAAATAAACTGATGAGGTAATTATTGTACTCAAATTGTTTTGTCACTGCTGGGCTACTGTACAAAATTTCTGTATTTTTTTCATTTACTGCATTGTAACACTATACAAGGAAGTGCTACATTTCTCTGTAATGTTAATCCAGGTGGATCTAGTCCCTATTTCTACACAATTTTCACATCAGTGCATCTAAATCATTAGTACTAAAAGAACACTGACCAACTGCATGTTTCCTTACAAAGAAAGCAAAATTAGTCCTGTTTAACTGAATTTAATGAAGAGTCATATGTAAAATGTTAAATAGAAAATCAGTGCATTCAGTTTTTAATACTTTTTTATTGTGGCATTAGTGGTTCTGTTTGTCTGTTCCAACTTACCAAAGCTCAGAAAACCGAAATATCGTAAATTGTGAAAATGTCTTGAAATATTATGAGTATTATATGTTATATTTTTCCCCATATCACCCACCCCTAGCCAGCATCCATATCTGTACTAACAAGCACCAACAGTTAAACATACAGTAACTCAACTATTTGAGACACTCCAAGACATGCTAACAGAGTTAGCATGAAAAAAGCCCAAGTTACTGAAAATTCTCTGAACATTATTCTGAGAAATAGTATCTCACCTGTTTTGTGGACTTCTTAGTACCATTGTAAATCCTCCAGCACATCCCCGGTCCCCCACTGGCAATATGGCGGCCAACTTCAAACTCCCGGGTCACCGGGTTTCCCATGACAGCGCTGGTCACATCAGCCGTCACCTTGGTGACGGTGCTTTTTAGCTTATTGAGCATGGACTCCATGATGTAGTCAGCTGTCAACCTATGGCGATCAGATAAAACAAACAAAAAAAAAAATTACAAACACAAAATAAAAACAAGCAAAAACATTTATTTTTTTGTGTCAAGAAAAAAAGTTGAAAACACTTATATTTAACAAAAAATTACACAAACGCCTCAACAACTACATATTTTTTCAGTATTTAATGTGTCCACATTTTGCCTTTTTTAAAGCTTCCATTTTGTTGAGGAGACTTGCGGTTTTTAAAGAAAGAGATATTTTTCCACACCTCCAAAGTTCAGTCTGAGAAGTTGGTTGTTTTCTGCTTTTCACAATTTAGGCAATCTCCAACACATTCAGTGTTGCTGAGGTCTGGACTCTGGGGTGGTCAGTTCATTATTCTGAGAACACCAGCAACATCTTTGTCTGATTTGCATATTTTCTTTTTAGTTTATTTCCTTTTCTCAGTAACAGCTCGTTGACAGCAACACATCCTTTCAGTGTTGAGTTGTGTTCTCACTGTGGAAGGATGGACAGAAACACCTGCTGATGTTTTCAGATCTGACGCAAGAGTGGAGCTGGATTTTCTCTTTTCTCTCAAATATAAAAACTTTTAAGCACTGTTGATGTGATGGTGACAGTTTTGGTGGTCTACCAGGTCTTGCACAGTTGTTAGGTACCCCTTTTTCTCTGTATTATTAAATAATTTTGGAACTCCAGTTTTGGAAACTCCTGTTTTCTAATCTCCTCATAAATATCTCCTGAAAAATGAATTATGTGTACTTTATGGCTGTTTTGACTAGAAATTAAATAACTGAAGACGGTCTCTGACTTCTGCACAGTACTGCAGGACACCTACTTGCATTGTTACGTGCATACTAAGTAGGAATGCAAATATCTGGCCTAACAACAACAACTCAATTTAACTGCCATTCCTTAGGAAAAAATTCAAAGCATCAAAGATTTTCAAATTTCACTATGTTACAATTTGATCTTATTTTGGTATGATTCAGAATCATTACACATATATGCATTTTTACAACCTTAGTACTAGATAATACACTATTTTCGAAACACGCCTGTGAATGCAAAGTCAGCTAAGAAACAAAGCGGTATGCAGCAGGCTTTTATAAACAAACTTCTTTTTACAGCCAGCTACCTCATCCTCACTTAGTTAACATCTCTCTCGCACTAACACACAGAGCATCTGTTTTCTCTCTCACACTCTTCCCAGTCGCCTTTTTCACATGTCAAAGATGGACAAAGAATGAAGAAATAACAGCAGCATAAATCACTGAGCTTACTCCCTGCCTATGAATTTAAGCCCTGCAAGTCTTCCAAAAAGAACTTTAAGAATAAAAAAGGGAGAAAAGATGACAGATTCAGAGCAACATCTCAGAGATTGAGGAAAATGAAATCTTTAAAACACAACTTATTTTACTTCAATGAGAGCTCAATGAGTGTTCAGCATGGATCAGAGGAAATGAGGGTAATGGAGGCAAAAGGTGGGGACACAGCAGAGACACACTATATGGCCAAAAGTATGCCAACAGGTGTATAAAATCAAGCACATGCCATGCAACCTCCATAGACAAACACTGGCAGAAGAATAGGTCATACTGAAGAGCTCAGGGATTTTAAACATGGCACAGTCATAGGATTCCACCTTTCTCACAATTCATGAAATTTCTGCCAGACTGCCTTTGGAGACAACATCAACACAAAATCTGTGTGACAGGAGCTTCATGAAATAGGCTTCCATGGCTGTGCAACTGCACACAAACCTAAGATCCCTGTGAGCAGTGTCAAGCAGTGCCAATTGAAACTCCTTCAGAGTTCAGAGGAGGCGTGGTTTACACATCTCCAGGTGATGCTTTCATCACTCTCTGGAGTAATGAATCACGCTTCACTACACTATCGTGCAGTCTGATGGAGAAATTTAGTACAAATGCCAGGAGAAAAACAACCAGAATGCATAGGGCCAACAAGTTTGGTGGAGGAGGGATAATCGTCTGTTTTCAGGGTTGGGGCTCAGCCCCTTTGTTCTAGTCAAAGATAATGTTGATATTACAACATACAAAGAAATTTTAGACAATTCTATGCTTCTATTTTTGTGGCAGCAGTTTGGGAAGGCCCTTTCCTGTTCCAGCATGGCTGGGCCACTATGCACAAAAGGAAGTTTATAAATGCATGGTTTGACAAGTCTGATGTGGAGGAACTCCAGCGTCCAGCGTCAGATCCCTGACCTCAACCCCACTGAACAGTGTAACGTCAACTGCGAGCCAGGGCTTCTTGTCTCAACATCAGTACACAACCTCACAAATGCCCTTTTGATTGAATGGGCACAATTTCCAACAGACATGCTCCAAAAATCTTGTGGAAACCCCCCAAAAGAGAGGAGGCTGTTTTAGCCACAAAGGAGGGACACAGTTAAGCAATGTAGTTTATTCATTTTAAATACTTACATAACCCACTAAAATCATGACATCCCAATTATTGTCCACCCACCAATTCACTTTTTTCCACCCACTCAACCTACTCTCTAACCCTAAGCCTAACCCTAGATATTTTTGCAGACAAAGCTGGCCACAACCATCAGGATTTTGTCAGTTGCATTCTGACTGGCTATCTGCACGTCTGTGTATACGGGCTTGCATGCAGCATTTTTATCATGCAAACATGGAAACATAGTTTTGTTTTTCCAAGTAAATTCTGCTCAGCAACAGCAAACAGTTGCCAGCACTGGACATCATAACCATAACCAAAAATGACATTATATCAGAGCATTATATCAGATTTCCACAGTTGCCTCCTCATCACACCAAAACAGATGGCTGTAACTGGTCATTCAGCATGTCAAATGGACCCTTCCTGACAAGACAGGCAGTTTTCAGCCACAGTATACAGTGAAAAGAACCATAAGCTCTGCTGGTAGGCAGAAGTCTGGCTTGCGACAGTGCTCCCAACCCAACCAATATCTGCACAAATGGACAGAAAACCACTCAATCTGGCAACACTGTCTGCTGTACTACAGCACTTTTCTGTATATCCATATCCACCAAAAGTAATTTTTACAATTTCAAATATTTCACAATTTGATTCCAGCAACAAGCTGTCCAGCAGAACAGTAATTTGTCATTATGAGTGCTCTTTTTGTTTCCTTAGCTGTATAGTAAGTTGCTGATCTGAACGATGAAGCACTTAGGCAGTTATATATGTGGAAATGGTAGTAATTACCAAATACAGACTGACATCCCTTGTACAAAGGACTGTCTTGAAGGCACAGTGACTAAGAAAACCTGTCAGCAGAAATTAACATCAGAATCCCACACTTGCTTGAAATAATTCAGGCTATTACACCAATATGATGTTATTATTGTAATAAATTACAGCATAAAATGCTTTTCTGAGTATATCATGGGTACAACACCACTTCTAGAACATGGAACAACTGCAGGGATCACTTAAAAGGATTTAGACCAATTAGAGAGAACTTTTAAATAAAACAACCACTAGTGCAATAACTGCATAAACTGCATCATAAGTTGCTGAATGAATGTCAGCCTGTTTTGCCATTTTCTTGTTTTAATAATTTATTTTTTCATTTGCTTGAGTTTTTTTCTAACTGCTCCTTCTTAAATTCTGTTCTTAAACAGACCAAATAAACGTGAATAAATGTTATTATTTTATTAATATCAATTCAGTTCTATTCCTGAAGAATGCAAAAAGATATTATTTAAGAAGGAACAAACAGCAAATCAACATTTTGCTCATAGTTTTTATAGTCTTTTTTTTTAATGCAACACTACTGCTTTGCTGATGTGTTTTCACCATCCCAACATCTTCACAAGACAATCCTTTATAAGTCCCACAATGGGGAAATTCACAAATCTCAGAAAAAAAGACATCAAATATTGTGAAATAGTGCATGTCTACAAGTACTGTGATATAATATTTTTAGCATACCACCCACACTTACTGTGCACTTCAAGTCAAAAACACCCTAAAATGAAATCTCCAGTATAAACATCACTCTCCAGTAGCTGCAGCTTCTGCATCTCCCTAAATCATTCTCTTGCTTTCTCACACTGTGATCAGGTGTCACATGCGAACGAGATGCAACAGCCAAGATTCTGTGAACAGGGAAACAATTTTCAGCTGCTGAGAGTGCCAATTTGGTCATCTCAGTCCAGAGTTTCTCATTAAACTGCAACAACTTCTCACAAGCTAACACTTGAACTGCACCACAGACCAGCGCGTGAAACAGACACCTAAGAATCAGCACTTTGAGATCCCTTTTTAAATAAACAATCTGTGTTTTCAAACAACACTGCACATGAGGGTAAAGGGTTACACTTTTTCAAGGGCTAAAATATTTTTAGTACAAATAAATCTGTGGAAAAGAGAGGCTGTTAGAGGAAAAGGTGCTACTTTGAAAAGACAGTGGAATTATAATCTCCAAACACATCCCTCTCAAAATTCTGTCATGATTTTTAACTATGTCATCCGTTGCCTTTTTTTTTTATTCACTCCAGTTTTACATTCATATGCAACTCCGTATCTAAACTGATATTTAACATCCTGCACATGTCTGACACAATCAACAGTCAAACCTTTTTCCCCCGACAAACTTTTAACACTATCTGACTTGTCTATTTTCCCTCTGTGGATTCTCCTTTTGAGTTGTGGTTCCTCTAAGCGGTTCTTCTTCATGCTCTTATGGAGTTTTTCCTGACACTGTCACTCTCAGAGATGCTCATCAGGGTTTCTGAAAAGCTATTTTAAGAAAGCACTATGCACTATACATTATGTGCTTCCCTCCAGCTGACTGCATGACACTGATTGTGACTGTGAGCAGCAGGAGCACAGGACATGTAAACTCGGCAGACAATCTGTCAAAGCATCTAATCGCTCTAATTTGAAACTGAGGAACAGCTGTTTCTACTGGCCGGTTTCTAGGTTTTCAATCAGCGTCAACCAAACTCATCATTTTAATCACAACAGCTGGCTGTGTGATCAAAGCAGCGGCAGGCACAGTGATAGGCCTTTTAAATGTCTACTTGATTTGCTATTTCTTTTGAAATAAAGCACTAATATGACTTTTGGGTTTTCTCTAATACTTACCAGTTTACAAGAGTAACTCAGAAAAATTCAAAAACTGTTTATCCCTAGTGCAACTGCGCTGAGTAAGACAGATAAGGGAATGTTATCTTCTGTTTGTACATAGTCACATTCACTCTGTCTTGTTTTGTAGAATTTGTTTTTGTATTGTTTTGTTTTAGAACCTGTCTTGTACTTTTTGTACTGTATTTTTTAATTGATGAATACTGTAGATGGAATGAATGCAAGAATGACTGCTGGAAATCAATTTTTTTCTTCAGCGATAACAATAAAGACTGAAATAAACTGAATAATTAGATCACTTTTTCAGGAATAATTGAGTTAATCTCATTGCTGTTAAGTAATTTGTAATTAAAAAAACATAAAAAGTCACTGTGCGGTACCTCACATTACTGAATTGTGCCTAGGTTAGCAGTTAGCTTATGCCAGCTATTACATAATATGCCCAGTTACCTTTCCAACATTTTGAAATGTGTTGTGGATAATTCTATATACAACATTGAAAATGGTTTTATATAGCACCAAAAAGGCTTCTTCTATTGATTCAATGTCAATCAACAGAACCTTTTTTTATGCTGCATAGAACCATACACAACACATTCTCCATCAATCTGAAGAGCCATTTCACCATGCAAAGAACCATTGAAGCATGAAATGGTTGTATATAGAACCATTCCCTTTACTAAAGAACCCTTGAGGAACCATCACTTTTAAGAGTGTTGTATGAACAAGTTAAGGTGTATAAGGAAGAAGGCCACAGGTACTCAGAGCACCATGGTGAGAAAGGCCAGGTTGACAGCTGTGGGCAAGGGTAACCCGGGTCAACAGAGCTGACCAGGAGAAGTGTTTCATAAATTAAAAACGCCAACGTCCTCTTTCACGGTTGCTTGTGTACGTGACCTATGAGCAGGTGCTAACAGGTGAATCCTACCTGGTCACACCCAAATCTTCCAAAAAAACTCAGATTTGCTTGCGCTTCAAAAGCAGCTGCTTGACCCGAAACCATGATGAGAAATTATGTCTAAAAGCTTTTAAAACACCGCCGAGAAGTCACATGCTGGTGAGTTAATTATTGACACTTCTTCTTGCCAGGTTAGCTAAAACTAAGGAAGACACTTTCTCGTTAGCTAGCTAAGGTGAATGCTAGGCTAAAGTTTAAAGACATTTCAAAACAACGAAATAATAAACAGAGGCATTTCAAATACGTGCTCAGACTGTCTTATTATTCACACTGTTAGCCGACTCATCTAGCAGCCCAGGTCCAATAAGGTTTGCCTGAAATACAGCCACAGCTACGTGTTAGTTAGCTTAGCCTAGCTTAGTTGACATCGGATCATTAGCGTTATTGCAAAAACAACCGTTAAAGCTGATTTATGTAATTTAAACCTACTTAGAGTGTTTTAACCAGACGAATCCACTGTATAATCATAAACAAAACGTCTATATCACCTATACAAAAACGAATAATGACTTGTTTCCCCTCTCTTTCTCATTATTCTGTTCCCATTAAATATTACCCAGTTCTAGGCTGAAAATGAGAAACTATATAAAATACGCTGGTAACGTATATTAAAGCTGTTTAGAGGAAAACAGTTTTTAAAAAGACACTGAATTGATGCGGAGGAGCTAAGTTAGCTTAGCTTGTTCAAGACGTCACTCTTGAGATGTACGTTACGAGTCAGATCATTGAAATGTCGCTGAAGACGGACTGTTCCGTGTTGGTTCGTCAGCATATCGTTTCTTACCTTTACCCGCGATGAGGTGACAGCGAAATGTATTTCACCTTCACGTCAATTTTAGGGCTATTTAAACGTCAGTATAGCGCCAGCAGCCCACAGCCTGGAGCAGCTACATCAAAACACCTGTGAAGAGCCTCTCTGTGAAGCTAGGAACACACAGAGAGCGAACAGGACTACATTTCCGGGTGGAAGAACGCTTCAGTGACATAAAAGTCTCGGAGAGATTGTAAATAATTTAAATAAAAAAATAATAATTAGCTAACCTACTATTACACGGCCGGTTATGTTTATGGGGAGATTACTGATTTATAACATAGACATTTCATATTAGTGGTATTCCAAAAAACGTCTTATGGCAACAGGTCATAAGACGTTATGTCAACATAATTACCAAAATGTAATACAAATAAATCTTTGCTAGAATTACTACAACGTCAAAAGAAAAAAAAAACACTATTCAACACGCCAAGTAAATACTACGGGTAGATTACTGATTTATAACACCTATATTTCATATCAGTAGTGTTCCCAAAGAGCTTATGTGAACATTGCAATCTGCTGCAATATAACTCTTCACTTTATATTTTTTTTGTATTTTAAGAAAAGGTATGGAAATAGTGTTGTCCAGAAATCAGTACTGAAATTAAGGTATTGGCATCAGTAGTGAACAATGCCCAGCCCTATTAATAAACTAAATGAAGTGTTACATTCAATCAAAACAATGTCAAAGTAAACAAATAAAAGAAGGTATGAGGAAGTATCGTTCAATTCAATTACAACCATGTCAAAAAAAAAAAATAAAATTAAAACAGAGTATGGATGAATTATCGATCAGGAAACAGTAGTGAAGTCAAGGGACTGCTAAGGGGGAAAAATAACACAGCCCTAGTAACATCCACATTTTATGTCAGAAGTATACAAGGTTTCAAGATCTTTTAGCAATAGTATTTCAAAAAAGTAATAAAGAACAAACAAACAATACTTTAGCAACAACTCAATTTACTTCAGCAACAGGTCAAAATAGTGCATTGGTACAGCTACAAAAACACCAGCACAGAAATCCTAAAATGCAGGCACAAAGACAGTGGTGACTCACTTTTTATAACAGTATTAGATATCCAAACATAAAGTGCTTCTAAATGAGCAGGAAATAAAAATGTTATGACACAACTTTACCATTATAGTACCACCAACAGAATTTCTTACTTTATCTGTGATGATTTGTACACCTCTCAATAAGTACTACAATATTTTAAAAACCTATAATCATAGGTAATCCAGTTCATGTTAAGCACTACAACACATTCATTTTTTTCATTCAAAACTATAAAATTATTTTGTTAAATTTTCAAAACACTAGTGTTCTAAACAGGTAAATTAAATTATTTGTTATTATTGTGCTACATTTCATAATAGACATCCATTTCTATGTTAGGAATTATCATACATTTCCCCAAAAACTGCACAGATCATAAGAGATCATTAGTTTCAAGTCATATTCAGCATCCAGTGGATCTACGACCATCTAATAGAACCTGAGTCGACTACATTAATGAAACATAGCAAAACAAACTGAATTTCAGTAACACCCCTGACTACCTGTATTTATACAAATTACTTCAAGTAATTCTCAGCTGAGCCTGAAAATTGAAAACAATTGAAAATGTACATGAAATCAGATTAAGTGAAGTAGACAAATTATCATGGTTCGGCTGATGAACTTCTGAACAAGCCATTAAAACAGAACTACTGTGTCACTGTAAATGTCACTCACACACAGTCACTGTTGTAACAAAATCTCTTATCTTTGAAATGGCAAACTCACATGCATGAAGAAGTTATTTTGGACCATTTCTATTGGTCAACTTATAAAAAAAATGTAAAGAAAGCTATTACTTCCAAATGGTATAAACAAAAAAAAAGGGTTTATCAGATGTTGATATGACAGCGTTGATATGCAAACTATCAATGAATCATTTAGTGTCACAAGGCTATATTGTTTGTTAATTTCGCTTTGTCAGCCCTTACCTTTACCTGCAAGTGCATTCAGCAGCTCAAAATGTATAAAGTACCTGCACATTACATACTTCTAACACCTACAGCTTCAGTTCTGACAAGCACAAATACAAAAATATCTACTGTCCTGTCAAAGAATTTTTGGGGCACCCCTAGTTGAATTATGTGTTCTGCTGATTTTAAAATAAGCACACATCCTCCACAGAGCACAAACTTCTGCACATTAATGCACAAATAGTGTTTCTTTGCTGAATTTGACATATTGGGGAAAAAAAATAAAGATCATGGCACATTTTATATTTTAATTTTAATTTTTCCAATATGTTAAACCCAGCAAATAAATAAAATGTGCAGAAAATTGTCATGTTTAAGTGTGTCATCTGTAAAGAAAATGTTCACTAATTTTCACTTAGAAAATCAACAAAACATGTCATTTAATATATTTTTGAATATAACTGTACGTTTTCTAATGGAAAAAGTACCCGGCTGTGTCTGTGCTTCTCTCTAGAAGGTGGAGGAGAAATGCTGGAGAAACACTGCTGGGTGGTGTTTCTGGAACTCCTTGATGAGTCGCCTCCTCTCTTTGGCAGACAGGTCGTTACTGAGGGTGATATTGTCAATAAGCTCCTTTAAGCTGTCAAAGGTGGCCTTCTCTCTCTGCTCCTCATACTGCTTCATTGACACCTGCTGACAGAACACGAACACTACAAGGCAACGGAGGCATATGTTTCAGTATGCATGAACACATTAGAATTAGGGATATAAAAAAAGCATCAGTCTACAAGTGGAGATTCAACTGCATTAGTGTTAGAATGAATTACAATTGATTGTAACAACATTCACTGATGTATACATTCTTTTTGGTTCAAAATAAAATTCTTGGGCTATTTTCCCACTTTCCCTATTTTCCTAATTATTAGGGCTTCACAGTATGGACAATAAAATGCAATATCTATTAAAGGACTATTGCCCTACTGTCTATATTCCACTAGTTCCTCCAGTTACATTTGCATATTGAATATGAAAAACAGAATTGAAATTTGAGACAGTGTTATGTTGAATTATTTCCTAAAGAACTGACTGGTTGCAAAATTCATAGTCCTGCCTCCCTTTTTACTGTTGCTATGTCCAGCAAACTATCAGCTGAGGCCATCTGTTAGCATCCATAGCACTTGTACAATTTCTAACAAACACAAAGCACAAAGGAAATTTACATCTTATTAATTTAGATGTTGCACGGTTGTTAAGAGTAGCATTTTCTATAACTCTGGAAACCTTTGTTTTTTCACTTATTTTCCCTTGACTTTCCCATTCCTTATGCAAGTGCATTATCTTATATCTAAATATCATAATATTTGCTGAAAAATGAGTAACTTTTACTTAATGGCTGTTTTGACAAGAAATAAAAAAAAATAAACCAGGCGTTCTTAACCTTTTTCACAGCGCGACCCTTTTTTGTATTTAAGTATGTAAGTATTTCATGACCCCTTCTTTGTCAACCTGAACATTCTGGACGGTTCTGGACGGTTGAGACTGGCTAAGAGGTGTTTCAATTCATAGTATATATTTATAATAGTTTTTAGAGTATATTTTATAGCACATCTTGCATACTATCAGACGTTCATATCTGCATATGTACAGACATCCACAAATCTTATATGTACATCTCCTAAACTCCTTTTACATTGGCTGTTCTTTTATTATTATTCTTTATTCTACATCTACATTTATTGCAATATATTGTACTTCTCCCCTTGCTCAGTACTTCTTAATAGTCTGTGCGCTGTCTGGTCATATCATACATATGTGCACTCACCAAGACAAATTCCTTGTATGTGTAACATACTTGGCGAAATAAAGCGATTCTGATTCTGAATTAATTTTGTGTACGTGAATCATATAATTGTGAGGTCAAAGATTTAATAACTAATAAGAACACATTTATGCAACATGTAATAATGTAAACTTACGGGCTACGTTATCTGGATCCCTCCCTTGCTGCAAGGTTTGAAGGGCCTTCCTCACCGCTTCAATCAGGGACACTGGTGTCTAGTTTTACCAAATCAAAATAGAAAAATGAATGGACAGTCCTCAAGGTACCATAAGTTTTGTCAGACAATAGAACAGGAAATAAAAGTAAAAATGCCAGTATATCTTTTCTGGGTTATGTTACCTTGAACAGGTCTACATGGTTGTCCATGAGAAACAATAACAGCTGCTCACACTGTGCACGACCAACATCTTTACTCTGAAGCACAGCCTTCACAAACATCCTGTTGACCAAGGCCCTGTTCTCTATCTGCTCTCAAACAAGAAAAAACAAAGCCGACATACCTGATATTAGCTTTTCATAGCTTTTTTCTCTCATTTTTTTCATTTGGCCCAAACAATAGGGGATCATATCTAAAAAACATAACTATCACTTACAATTCCACGAGAATGGTACCAAATGAAAAACATAATTAGTACATTTTTCATTTCAATGACAGCTTTCTCCTCCATAATTTTAATTACCTGCTGCTATGACCACAGAGAAGTATAACCCCATCATACTGAACTGGTGGTGGACATGAATGTGATGGGCTGGAATATTATGATGAAAAACTGGCTCCCTGTTAGCAAGGTTAGACCTTCTAACATCAGATTTTCAAAAACAAATGACAAGTTTTCTGTGAGTATTAAAAACTGTTTTCTGTCTGTCTGTGTGACATGGTGCTCATGTTATGATTGGCAGTCCCTGGAGAAAACAACATTATCAGGTTGTTATCAAGGATGAATAAAGCCAAAATTTACCAGCTTTTAACTTCTCTAAAGCCTTAAATGACATCACTTCCTCTTAATTACTTAATGTGACAATACATTTTTTAATCAGTAAATAAGTTGGTTTCACAGTGGTGAAAGCAAAACCACAGACAGGTATATTATATTTTTAGTTACATGTAATGTTTATTTATGTCTTATGTATTATATATGCATTATTAATGTGGAAAATTGCAATGACAAGACTAAAACTAATGGAAGCAGATAGAGCTATTAGCATTCCTGTACACTGTAAAAAGTGGCTCGTCAGATCTACTTAAAAAAATACTTCAAACTTAAAAAACTACATTGAATGAAAGAATTGTTCTTTCAAAGTATTTATTTAGATTGAATAAAACTAGTTAATTTACTCTGATGAGCCACTTTTTACAGTGTAGGCTGAACAATGACTGCTATTGCTAATTTACAGTCATATGCAAAAGTTTGAATATCCCTGGTCAAATCATATGTTTTGTTGATTTTCTGAGTTAAAATAATGCATCCTGTACAGGGTTATGATACTTAAATATGGCATATTATATGCAAATGCTAATGCATAATTTCTATTTATTTGGTGTGTTTAACGTAAAACAAAGTATAAAATGTGCCATAAATTTGCACAGCCCACATTTTACTATTTTTTTCTTCAATATGTTGAATTCAGCAAATTAACAGTAATCATGCACTAAAATGTGCAGAAGTGGGGTCATATTTCTACATGCAACTGTAACATTTAATTTTGATTTGCTGGTTGTGGTTGATACCTGTTTGTGCAGTTTGAAGGCCTTGGAGTCTGCAGCTTCAGCCATGAAGGTTAGCAGTCTGCGCAGCTCATCTCTAGAGCTGGTGTCCAACAGACGCAGACAGAGCTGGGATGCTCTCAGAGCATCCTCACTCCTCCCACAGTCTAACACACAAACAAACAAGCGCATAAACAAATAGATAGATTTAGACAGACAGTCAAAAACACACAGATAGACAAAAATACACAAAAAGAACATTTTTCTGTAAAACTTTGTCTTATATGTCGTGCATGTAATTCAATTTTTTATGAAATTAAGAAAACAATATGACAAGTTCAGCATAACAAATAAAATATACAGCACAAAATATACACAGCCCACATTTTATTATTACAACAAGTATAACAACAAAACAAGTTTAGGAACAACAGGTAATATCCCCGTTTTGAATCCTCTGTACTCTCAATGAGAGCAATAGAAATAGGTGCTCAAGCATGAAAGGGCAAAGAACAAACTAAAATACTAAATCATCTATTCTTAGCACTACACTAACACACCACTTTTACCTAACAGTTTAAGGATGCCTGTGTGGATGTCCATGTAACGTCCAGCCAATAAGGGCATTCTCTCCTGACTGCTGTAGTACTTAGCTATGGTGTCAAACAGTAGCTTCTTCTGGACTCCCAGCCTCTCTTCACCCTCTATACCACCTTCTTGGAGCAGCTGCTCTCCTGTTGCCACTATCAGTTGATCTGGGAACAGCTCCAGACAGTCCGCAGCTGCCATCAGCCATGAGTCCATTCTACAAAGATGAACAGGAGATGTGATGATGCTGGGCAAACCAAAATCAACCCAATAAAGACAAAATAAACATATAACTAGAACAAATTTAACCCTTAAAAGCTGCAGTTAGAGAATTAATTAGAAAACGATGGGATCATTTGATTTATTATTTACAGTTGTATGCAAACGTTTAAATATCCCTGGTGAAATTACATGTTTTGTTGGTTTTTTAAGTGAAAATAAATTATAAATAACACATCCTCTATAGAGAACCTACTTAAATATGACATTTTATGCAAATTTTAGTGCACAACCTTTTTGTTGAGTTTAACATACTGGAAAAATTAAACATAAAATATGAAATTTGCCATAAACCGTCATTGTGTACCAAAATGTGTACAAGGGTGTTCTTTGTCGAGGACATGTACTTATTTTCACTTCATCAATCAATAAAACATTCTGACTAGGGGTGCTCAAAATTTGGATACGACTGTATGTCTCACACATAGCTTATTGAGAGAAGTGGAAAGATATGTCAGGACTGTAGACTGTAATATTTCAACCAATACTACATTTGTATTTGTAAGCAGAAAATATATTATATTAAGATATTATATCAAGAATTTAATTTCATGACAAGAACTTATCGTAAACATAACTAGAAAGCAGCCATTTTGGCAACTTTAGGCTTACACTTTAATTGTTGTAAACAATGAAAAGGAAAATACAATTAAATCATTAATTGCAATTATTCATATGACAATCATCAGCAAAAAAATTCATGATCTTGACAGCCCTAATGTGAATACATAATGTAAACATAATGCATTACCATACTACTACATTATTAATTATGTAATTACATTTGAATAACGCAGATATCTAAGCGTTAAGTTTGAAAGACGTGGTATTCACACAACAGGTCCAAGTATCTTAAAACCTAGTAACGAAGAAACGGCTAGTGATTGTTTCAAGGAACCATGCAAACTGAACACTCACTCTGGCAGGTTGAGGACCTGAGACACCTCCCGGTCCACACAGGTGTTGGAGATGACCAAGTCTTCGTGGTTACGATGCAAGGGCATGCGAAGCAGCTCAGGTTTTGCTGGTGAGGTCAGAATGCAGTCCAGCATGGGCAACTCCACCAACTGTAGCAGCTGGAGGAGAGTCTGCTGTTTCCACACTTCCTGCACCACTGCAAAATATAACATTGTATCAAACCTCAAACATTCAAATTACTATTAAATAAATGTATGTACTACATCCTTGGTAGCTGTTCAGAGGCAAGAAGTGGTGAAGGTGCTGAAAGAAAATCAGACAGCACTAACAGAATAAACATAAACAAAAGCCCATATCGTAAATTTTTCTTACTTTCTTTTCTCCCTGTGGTCCAAAAAACAGTCAGAATTCATTTTTACATAAGCATTTTCCAACCTGTCTTACTGTGCCTTTAAGGCTGATATATGTAAATTATCTCTTTTTTGATTGGTTGACCTGTATTGGGCCTCATTTAAAAAGCAGTCCAGGCTTAAACACTCCTTATAACTTCAGCGTGAGTAAGCAGGTCTAAGCTGGTGTAGGCTGAATAGATAGATATATGTAAATGTGTTGGCTTTCATGACATCACAAAAACAATTAATTCAAAACTGGCTGCTTTTGCAGCTTAGTTTCCATATGGAGACTATATGGACTGGGGAGCAAATGGTACAGTTTTAAAATGTAACAATGTTTACATACATCAAACTCTTTTTATAAAAATAAAGAAAATCTATCTATGAAAGGGGCCTTTAAATGTTCATTTAATGGTCTCATGACAGCATAGGACATTTAAGAAGCTAACAGGCTAGGTCATGTATTTATAAATAACCACAATATGTATGTTCTGATTTGAGTAAAGTGATTTTGAATAATGGGCTTTTAGGGTCTGACACTTAAACGTTTTCTCAAGTGCTTCATGTCCACCTGTCTCACCTTTCTTTGAGAGGTAAGTGGAGGATAAGCCAGCATGATTTAGACCAGAGGGCATGGATGGCTGGAGGTTAATTGTCCGCAGTATTCTCTCCACCCTTCTGTCTGAGGATCCATGTGCCAAGGGGTTAGAGATGGTTCTCACACCATCAAACCTTCAAGTAAACATGTATCAGGAGTAGCAGTGGTCAATAAAGTGATGTTATCCGTATCACATTAAATTACATCAAAGTCTCTATTCTGAGTATATCATGGGTATCGTCAGTACTCCTAGAAGACTAAACAATTGCATGTGTAAAAAAGACAGATTTAGACCAAGGTCACACCAAGCAGGATTTATGCCTCAACTAGCTGATTTTAAGCTTAGTTCAATCTAACCCTGGATTTTCTGTCTCAGTGATACATTACTGGAATACATTGACATGGCAACTTATGCTGCATGCGTAATGGGAACTCCACTGATATTGCTAAATTTCTGCATAATTAAATCGATGAGTTGTAAACAAAGTGTCTTCAGACTTGTTTGATTCAAAATGTTTTTTTTGTGGAGAAACTTTGGAGTTTTTGAGTGGTGGTGATGGGAACTGTTTTATTTACTATCCATGTTTATATGTAATGTTAACCATACAGATAGTGGTAAATCTGAAAAAAATATAATAATTTGACTTTACAACACCCTGTATTTCTCTGCCTTGAACAGTTTCAAAAAAGACATTTTCAGCCAAAAGCTTGTTTTGTAGAACAACGTCTCAGACATCAGGCAGCATACTCCTAAACAATCGATGTAAAAACTTTCTGCGATGTAGCTTTTCTCATCAAATTATTATGACATCTGGTTCCTATCAGTGATGCTGTGAACGATTCCAACTCGATAGGTTTTTCTTGAACTGAATTTCTTATTAAACCACTGTCAACAACTTTGTTTACATCTCAACCATTGAATTATACCGAAATGTACTCAGCAGAATTCCCCTTTATATGCAGGATTTCAGATTATAAACAGCCCTTGAACCAATGAATTTGAGTTTCTGACCATTTAGGGACGATGGGGGTGGATCCCTCTGGTGACTTTTTTTTTGTGATGAATATATATTCAGCAGAGGAAGCAAATAATACTACAAACATATTCATACAAGATTATGAAGCAATTTTTACTTCAAAAAAAGCAACAGTATTGCTTTTTACTGTTATACATTCTTTACTTTCCGCATATTTATTCACAGATTTATTTTCCCTTCTTCGAAAAAAAGCTCCTTGAATCCTCATGTTTCTTGTGATTGGCTGTTCCTCATAAACGTCATGTTTTCATTTTTTCTTTTTTTTCTCCTCCTTCTTCTTAATTAAAGAATTTAAAAGAATCATAGTACACAGCTTTTTTATTGCCTTTTTTAACGTGGCACTACTGATTTGCTGGTGCATTTTGACTGTTAAAATATGTTCGCAAAATATCAGCAAATATCTGCAAAAGTATCTGCGAACGAAAAGTATAGATCATGAACATCACTAAAAATGTACAAAAGTCTGAGCATCATGATGTTATGTTTTTGTCATATCGGCAACCCTTAATCCGGAGCAAATCAATTTAGAAAAAAAACTTGACAGAGATTCAAAGTAGGGATGTGAACTGACATCGGAAACAGAACAGAAGCTTTGATTTGACCAAGATTTCAAACCAATATTTGATGACACAATTATTACGTGGGCAGAACAGATGGCACTGATGGGCTGCTTCACTTAAATACCTACATTTTATTAATTTTACTGCATTTGTATTAATTTTACTGCATTTGTGACCCTACACAAATACTTTTCTCTGTGATGCAAACCTAGGAGGATATAGTTGCAATTTCTACATTTTATAAATGTTTATATTTAGGCATCGAAGAATATGTACATGGAAAAATATTGGATATCTCCATCTGCTCTGAACTCCCATATCAGTGCATTCCTAGTTCTAAGGTTATGATAGCGTAATTGAATCATTCACTGACCTGGACCCCTTCTTTTTCTTTCCATTTTCTTTCACTGGTGTTTCGTTCTCCACATTGCCACCACCCTTGGCTGATCCAGGAAGGGCGTCACAATCCAGAAAGTGGTACAGGCTGCAGCTGGAGTCCTCAAAGGCCATCTCCTTCTCCCTGCGAAAGAGCTTCATTCCAACAGGTTCGAACACTCGTGCGTCCATGAGAGCCTGACAAAGCCTTGCAGCCTTGAGGCGGGACACCTCACTGGAGCAGAAATAGATGTTCTGCATGAGATGGCTGAGCACCACATCGACAGCATCAGAACCAGTGAAGCACTCTCTGTGCACTCGCAAGTGCTGGCGGCGACGCTTGACCTCAACCTGTGTCTGTAAGGCCCCAATAATGTTTCGCCAAAGCTGTGTTGCCCTGAATGGCCCCGTCACACCTGAGTGGAAGAGCATGGGAAAAGATGTAGTCAGGGTGTGGGCTATGAAATAAGTTTCTGGCTGGATTACTTACAGTCAGAAATCAAGAAACTCGTTCAAGAAGGTACTTGAGTCATTTTACGAAACAGGTGCCATTTGGGTCCACAACGTTTGATGAGATGCACAAGGTACAAAAATGGGTCAAAGTGTGTTTCCAAAGCTTAAAGCTGTTAATTTAAGTGTTCTTGTTAACATGATATATGAGAAAATACTATTCCTAAAAAGTAACATTGCTATTTTTAATCATATTTCATTAGTACATGGCTATTTTCACATGTCTGTATTGACCAACATCACATTTGCATCTAAAATATCACCAAATAAATGTTGCGTTCTTATCAAATTTTTATTATTTTCAGGATTACTTTTGTGTCCCTGTTCATATAAGATATATTTACTCAAAATAAAAACATTGTTTTTGTAAAGATGTAGGAAAATCACTTTATTTTCTGTTAACCCTGTTTGGTTCACTCACTCACTATTTCTTTCACTCACTCATTCACTCACTATCATTCACTCACTTACTCACTCACTCACTCACTCACTGATTCACTCACTCACTCACTATCTATATCTATATGCATATATGAATTATTTGAGCTGTTGTTTATTTTATAGTATAGATCATTAAGAGTACTTTTAATCAGTGTTCTTTTAATCAAATTACTGAATGTTGTACATTACTGATGGTTTTATTTACATTTTGAATGGCCAGTTTGTTTAGTTTAATACAAGCATATATTTTGTACTTTTTTCTAGGAAGCTGTTATATTAATAAAGTCTAATTTTGATATATATTTTGGATTTTGTATTATTAAGTCATGCCTACATTTATATTCAGAATGAACAGGAGTTTCTAATGTTAGATGAAGGCTAAAACCAACAGATCATATAGACAGATAGTTTGAACCACACTGTCACATTAGTTGCCACTCCATCACAAGGTCATTTTGTTAAAAAATGATGTGAAATGCTCCATGAATTAACGCTAAATAATATTCTTGATTTGTGGACTAATCAAATAAATGTACCTTTTATTCGAAATTTTCCAGTGAATTGGTATTTTTTTGCACTACTATTCAAATGGTGTACATATTGTCCGTGACAGGGTGGTACCAGAATGGCTTCCTGGTCAGAATAAAAAGGATAATATTAATGTATATTAATGTATTGTATGGCTGACATAGAAAAATATGTTTTTGGAGGATTCCTATATCTTTCATGTAGTGGATTAAAAAAAGTTTTAGATGAAAACTTTGAAAATTGCAAATTGGAAATGGCACCTGCTTCGTAGAATGACCCAATTACTGCCTTGTGCTGTTCACAACATCTTCCCTTGTTTGTACTGATACAAAACAACATAGCTAAAAAATACTGACATTGCAGCTGATGTTGATGAATTGGAAATTATAATATCTAAGGAGCCAATTATTTGTTGTGTAAAGAACACTATATGGCCAAAGGTATGTGGTCACCTAACCATCACACCTACATGAGCTTATTGGACATCCCATTCCAAAACTATGAGCATTAATATGCAGTTGCCCCCCTCTTTGTGGCTATGACAGCCTCCACTCTACTGAGAAAGCTTCCAGTGTCTGAGAATTTGTGCCTATTCAGTCAAAAGTGTGCTTGAGAAGATGAGAAGGCTTGGCTCACAGTCAATGTTCCAATTCATCCAAAAGGTGTTCAGTGGAGTTGAGGTCAGGGTTCTGAGCAGGCCATTACAGTTCCTTCACACCAAAATCATCAAACCATGTCTTTATAGACCTTACTTTGTACACAGGGACACAATCATGCTAGAATAAAAGGCCTTCCCGAACTGTTGGCAGCAATTGTCTGAAATATCTTTGTATGCTGTGGCATTACCATTACCCTTCACTGGAACTAAGAGGCCGAGCCAAAACCCTGAAAAACAGCCACAGACCATTATCCCTCCTCTGCTATACTTTACTGTTGGCACTATGCATTCTTGTGGGTAGCTTTCTCCTGGCATCTGCCAAACCCAGATGCATTCACCAGACTGCCAGATAGTAAAGCGTGGTTCATCACTCCAGAGAGTACGTTTCCACTGCTCCAGAGTCCAGTGGCGGCGTGCTTTACGCCATACCAGCCAACGCTTGGCATTGTGCATAGTGATTTTAGGCTTGTGTGCAGCTGCTTTTTAATGAATCCATTTCACCATTTCACACAGTTCATAGTGCTGATGTTGCTTCGAGAGGCAGTTTGAAACTCTGTAGTGAGCGATGCAGCAGATGATAAAACGATTTTTGTGTTACACGTTTCAGCGCTTAGTGGCCCCGCTCTGTGAGTTTTAGGTTGTACCGCTTTATGAGTGAGCAGTTATTGCTCCTAGACACTTCCATTTCACAATACTAGCACTTCCAGTTCACCAGGGCGGATCTAGCAGAGCAGAAATTACATAAATTGACGTGTGGCAAAGGTGGCACTCAAGACGCTTTCTACTGCCAATATTAATCATTGATATTGCATTAGTATGTGCTTGATTTTATACAACTGTTAGCAATGGGTGTGGCTGAAACACCTGAACTCAGTTGTCAGGAGGGGTGTACACTTTTGGCCATATAGTGTAGTTTCATGCAAAAATGTTGATATTTCACTGTGTTCAGAAATACTGCACTCAGAAAAAGTATTTGTAGAGGGAAAACATTGATGAATACTTAGAGATAACTTTTTCCATTCAGTGATAGTGTGGCATAAAAAAAAATGTATTGCCATTATTATTGCCACATTTGTACAAGAGCTAACCAAAGACTGTACTAACTCAAGAAAACTGAAAAAGTCTGGGCTCAGTATAGACACCTTAGAGTCCTGTCAAGAGTCTCTGTCAGTCTAGTAGAAAGCATTCTTGTTTCTAATATTACTGTATGGTGTGTAAATCGTGGCTCCAACTGCAAGAAGCAGTTAGCAAGAACTGTTAAAACAGCTGGAAAAACAATAGGTAAACAGCAAAGGCAACTGTCTGACGTGTATGAGAAAGCTAGGTACAGAAAGACGGTGGCTTTACTGAGTGATGCCTTCCACTTTTTATAGAGTTTGAGCCTCTTCCCTTTGACTTACATTTTAGAAAACCTGTAGCCAAAAGATCCTTTACAGCAGAGGCAGTCAGTCAGCTTAGAGGGCAAACATCCTCCATGTTTCATGAGTTTTTTTTTCTTCTATGAGTTCCACAACATTTGTGTGGGTTTAAACTCTTTATCCCTTAGAATTAAACAAGCTGTGCCCTTTATGACTAATTCAGGTAAATATATGTAAACAACCTCAAAAAGCAGTGCATGCTGAAACACTGCTTCTATATTCAGTGTGAATGGGCAGGGCTACTGTTATCGACTGAATAGGCGGATATATACAAATAATCTGTTTTTTCATTAAATCTCAAAAACTATGACTTCAAAATGGCATATTTTTACACAGCTTAGCTTTCCATATGTGGACTGCATGGACTGGTGAGTTAACAGTACAGTAAACCTTTAACAGTACTTCCATACTACATCAAACTCTTTTACTACAAAAAGGGGATGTTTTAGATGATATGGGCCTTTAAAAAAGTGATCAGCATCAGATATTTGTTTAGATTTGACTGACAACTGGTAATGTACTTATTGTATTCCCGAAGATCATAATGTTTGGAAGACACTGGGCTACTATTACTGTAATTCTACATTTTATTCATTTGACTGCATTAGAAACCCTATTGAAATACACTCTCAGGTAGATTTAGTTCCAATTTCACATTTTATAAATGTTTATGTATTGGCAAGTAAGAACATGAAAAATATCAGATATCAACATTGGCTCACAGTGCCCATATTGGCATATCTCTAGTTTTTATGCTTAAATGTGAATGTATATATTTTTGTTGTTGTTATTTGTTTGGTTTTTGTTTTTCATAGGACCAACTGTGTGAACTTGTTTTATGTTTTAGCCTTCGTTGAACAATAAAGGTTATTTTACACTATGTGGGGAAAGAAATTACTTAAACACGTAGGTGCGTCGGTCTGCTTCTTTCGCCCTCTGGATAAACACAGAAACCAAACCCACGTTGTTCAGTGAAAGGAATCCATTTAACAACGTTATGCATTTACAGAAACTTACTTCATAACATACTTAACATTTAGGTCCATGTGTGGATAAACCTCTTATTGTTCAGCATTTAACAACGAATATTTTAGCTGGTAAAGGCTGATAATAATAATAAGCTATACCACGCTAGCTATATTATCAGTTATATTAGAGTCTGACAGACTGCTGTCGACCAAAGCCAGTAACGTTGGCTGTAAATGTGTAATTACATCCGACTATAACGCTACAATTACAAGTTACCTTGCTCTATGTATATCCGAACGCATTATCAGCAACCAGCAATGTGTGTACACATTAAATCTTACTCATATTACCTGTTTGGTGTTTGTTTTCTCTAAAACATCTGGTTTGGCTGTTCAGCCTCCTGAACCTCGGAGTCAAATCCACCGCCATCACGAACCCGGAAATGACGGTACCACTCTGGAGCGGTTGATAGGACAACGGATGGAAAATGCTTTTAAAATTCAACTTGCATGTCTCTGAGTATCTTGATGTGGGTTTGTTTTTGTTGCTTGTATTTTAACTGACAGATAGAAACATATAAGAGACTGTCCTGAAATGCTGGTCTGGCTCCGTTATATTGATTTCTTTGATTAAAATTGAGGGCCGGCAAAATCTGATCCAAATACTTAAACCAATGTAGAATCAGCACTGCTTCAAAAAGCCTATGTTCAAAATAAAAGTCCGTCTAACACCGCCGACATTTGAGTAAGGCCAATGTGTTTGTTCAGATACTAAGCGATTGAAAATATTGGCCAAACGGAAATGCATTTTCACTGAGCGAAATTTTTAATGTACTGTAATGTGGACAGGTTATGTGCATATTAAAATTTGTCATGCTTTTTATTCACTTATTTTGTTTTACTTTACTTTCTACTCCATTAATATTTATTTAATTTATTTAAAATAGCAATATTCGTAACGATTATTATTTTATCTAAATTGTTTAATTTAATTTTTAATTGCTGCTGTTTGAAAACCCTATTCAGTGGAAATAACTGTTATATAGAGTGTGAGAGCAATGGACAGTGGCTTGCTTCTTGCAAACATTAGTTAATATAATGGTTTGTGATAATCTACATGGATGTCCATTAAGTATTTTTTGGTGATTACACTGCATATTTCATCAGAAACTGTTTGATTTGAAGCCGGCGGGTAGACACTGAGCTTGGTAGTGGTGTAAGCGGGCGGGAAAAACTGCATTGTTTACTAACACGAAAATAGTCGTCTGATGCCAGGAACACACCCGCACCCTCGCTCATGTAGCTACAGTACTCTAATTCTGTGACATACGAATGTCTGAAACGCGTCGTTTGCGCCAGAGTTAATGTTAAAGCAGCATTATCTCCTTGGACTTCGTTTGAAAAGGAGACCTTCCCCTACGCTTCACAGAAAGGCTGCGCTCCAATACCCCTCATTGTGTTCTAAGACACTTCGATCGTCATGCCTAGTATGCATCATGGCTAGTGACTAACTATTCCAGTTCCTGTACTTAACGATTTTGTACTAAACACTAATGAGCTTATAAGTTTGCACTAGCCGAAGTTTTTACTAGTGTAACAGTATGTAGAATGTATTTGACTGTACTGAATAGTGAGTTAGCATACTTGCTAGTATACAGAACGGTTCTGACTGTACTGAGTACTGGAAGACGGTTTACTTCACCCTGTGATCTTAGTAATGTAATAGCATTCAGAAACCTTTTAAGTGTTCTGCATGCTGGCAGTTAAGTACAATTGAAGGAGTTTATACAAGTGTACTAGTACTCTCTTGTGTACTAGTATAGCTAATGTACACCGATGTAAACTATTTAACTGTACTGAGCACAGGTAGGCAGAACTGGGAAGTACCACTGCTTTAAGTAGCGAAGCTTTTAGTTTAACTCCACTTCCCAGTGTAGTCTGATATTAGATAATGTCCTTACTAAGTGTACAGGAATGCAGTGGACAAGCACGCCGATTGGAACACAGCCGAAAACATGGAGGTCCTTGTCGACGTAATGCCGACGTCATCTCAAGCGTAATGTCGCACAGAGGGAACACCACGCGACAACTGTAGACAAGATGGCGACTGCGGTTTGTACCCGATGTGTAGCTTAGGTGAAGACACCGCTAGTAGAAAAAAAACACAACAGGTATGTACAATTCTGTATGTCCAACCTACAGATAACATCAGTCGGAACGTTAAGGCGGCTCCAGTGAGCTGCTGTCGGCGGTGGATCTCGGGTTAATTTACAGTGAGCGTCTGTGATCAGCTCGTAGATTTTAATCCCAGCCTGGCCAATCAGACTGAGCTGGCTAATGTTAGCGCACAGCGTTGTTATCTGCTGAGCAGATCAGTGTGGCTGCTGCTGTAGCTCTGGCTAACTTTACTGCCATTCAGGCTGGCACTTTTTATCAAATATAGTTAGCCGTCCAGCTAAACTGTCTGAATACCCCTTACTGACCTGGGTTTGGTTTCCTCAAGGTCCTGAACATCACCGTTCACCTCAGCTGTGCCGTTATATTGCAGTCGGTGTCTTGTGAAGTTAACTTAAATTTGTGTTGTTAGTTTTTCAATCATTTGGAGTTATTTTTCTACGTAGTGATGCATTTTTGGTGTTGCTGACTCCCTATTAAGTAAATCATTTTAGATTTAAAAATAAATACATTGTTGGAGACAGCTACGAGGTTTCTGTGGTACACTGACAATATGTCAGTGCCAGTATCGCTCCAGTCCTGTTTAGGATTGTCGTTTAAAATCAAATCAAGCTTTATTGGTCAGACACGCACATACACAATATAATGTGCAATGAAATGCTTATACGACTGTCCGTTACAAAGAAAAACAGTAAACACAATAGAAAAATGTAAGATAATTATATAAACGAGGGAAGAAGAATATGAAATATTAAACTATATGGCTATAATAAAATACAAGTATATGTGTAATGTAAAGTGGAAATGAGCAGTATGTAGTAGTAGTGAAGGGGTTAATAAATAGTATAAATATTCATCAGTGTATCAGTGTGTGCTGTGTATGTAGGGTGTATGGGTGTTGTGCAGTTAGTGAGCTTTTTTCTGGGCGCCTCTGGAAACGCATCCCTCGCTAAGATGGGTTGCCAGCCGGTTTCTTAGCCCAGTATTTCTAAATCCTGGTCCTGGATCCCCCTCTGGACTACATATGATTTTAATGTTTCTTTGCTCTAACACATCGGACTCAACCGATCAGCTCACTACCGTGAGCTCTCATGAGTTTACAATGGGTGTGTTAAAGCAGGAAAACAAAATGTGTAGTGAATGGCGCCCAGGAGCAGGACTGGGAAGAACTGGCTTCATCATATCAGGTGTGGAAAGAAGGGTAGAGAGGAGGTTGAAACTGTTGAGTTGGAGCAAAATAATAATAATAAAAAAACACTAAAAGGTGCTGTAAAGATCAGGGGTAAACTGAGCCTTCACTTCTCTTTACCCTTCTCTCCACGGTTGATACCTTAAGGCGGTGTTGTCCAGTTGTTCGGATTTTCCCGTTCCACCTTAAATGGTGCAACAGTTCTAACATTCATATTCTGGCGCCGGAGCCCAGAATGTAACTGCTGCACCACTTAAGGTGGAACTGACTTCAGCTTCGTCATGTACAGCACATTTGAGCCCGTTCCCGCTCTACACACCCATCGTAAATTCACGAAGGGCTTGGTAATGGCCTGATGGGCTGAGTCAGGTATATTGGTAGCAGGAAAAGAATAATAAAATGTGCTGTGCATGATTGAGATACGCTGGATCTAAATGGCGCAACTGAGCTTGCTAACGTTGGCCAGAGCTAGCGGCTAACTTTAGCGCACACTAACGTTATCGCACCAAAGAATACCGAGTTTTCAAAGACTCACACCGAGCTTTACCTCACTCATTTGGAAGTGTTTATTCACATGGTGGTCCTGTTACAATTAGGTAATTGTCAGTGTAGCTAATATAATTAACAAATGTAGAATAAATAGCTAATTAGCCGAATTGCTAACATCATTTCTGACTCGTTATCCGGCCGGCTATTTTCCAAATTAATGTCAGGTAAAGTTGCTAGCTAAAAGATACAAGGAGCTAACTTAAGATGAACTGGAATAGCAGAACTCCAGGAAAAGGTTATTTAGTTAAGCTAACGTTACATATCTTGGTTATTAGCTAGTAATAAGGCTATCTAGCTAGCGGGCTATCGCTGTAACTTCATGGTAAAAACTCTTAATCTAGCTGGCTGCCTTGATAGTTATACTGTGTCGTCAACAGAAAGACATTTTGTTCCTCAAAATAACGCTGTTCTGTGCCATTAAAAAAAAAAAAGAGAGAGAGACCTTTAAAAGTAAGTTGCTGTAGTACGTCAACAACCAAGCCGGCCAGCAGTGAACTTAGCTGAGCTAAGTTGTTTACAACCTCAGCCAGATGAGTTAGTTACTGCATACACGCCTCTAGTGGTCGGCCGTGTGTACCTTGGAGGTACAACTGCAACTGTTTCATGTTTACTATGTGTTGTCTTACAGTAGGAGTGCTGCCTCTGATTTGCCTGTACATGACTTGTTGACGCAAAAACAGGTCAGACACAGTAGTCATGGTTTTTACCTGGTTACTATCAGGTGTTATATTGCTGTGATAAACCCAGATAAATAGGAATTGCTTAGTCAGAGTTTACAGGTTGACTGTAGTGGTGAAGCTGGCTGTGTACTTTGCAGGGTGAGGGAATGGCCTGTTGGAAGGGGCTCCTGTTTAGAAGTCTTCTAAAAACAGGAGTGCTGGTTTTCTTTTTATAGACCTTTAACCACTGAGATTTAAAAACCCTGACACTGAAAGGGCGCACCAACACTCTGGGCTGGTTTCCCAGACCCAGATTAAGCTTAATCCTAGACTAAATGGGATTTTTTATGATGACACCATTGGCATTGCAAATTAGTTTAAATGTAGGCTTATTCCAAGTCCATGAGTGTTTATAGTGCTTTTGGTTCATGTGATTAGAATCAGCTTTTCTGAGCATATTGTGGATATCATCAGCACTTAAATAACGCTGACTAACTACATGTTTCATTACAAAGCGAGCCTAATTAGTCCTGTTTATTTAAAAAAAAAAAGAGCTATATGGATTTTTTTTTCCATATAGCTCAAAGTAATAAAGCCTCACCTCTCAAAAAATAGTGTTTCACGAAAAAAAAAAAAAAAGTAGTGAGAATAGAAGATTTGAATTTCCACAGTTTTCCCCCTTTCACTGATGTACTGTTTCCATGTACCTCTCCAGATTAACCATGCCCTGGGAGGAGGTAGTTGTACCACTGGCTGCCTTCACCATGGTGATGTGAAGTGGTTGTGACTGACTGTGATGGACAGGTGTAAGCACGTAGGTCGCTTGAGGCTTGCGCGGGACCACTCCATCTTGAACCCGCAGAAATGGCACTGCGTGGACTGCAATACCACCGAGTCTGTGTGGGCGTGCCTCAGCTGTTCGCATGTGGCTTGCGGGCGCTACATAGAGGAGCATGCACTGCAGCACTTCCAGGTATGAGTATGTGCTTATCTGTGGTTGGTCGTTTTTTCTCTCTCTGTACGATTTTGAGAGTATTGTTTGCTTTAGTTAACTCAGTAATAGGGGGTAAATTTATCACCTCATTTTGGTGTGATTAGTAAACAGTTCAGTGCATTACAAAATCCTAGATTTCACCACAATTAGATTCTATATGATTTTTGTGGAATAATTTAAAAAATATGCTGAATACACAAATGCAGTAGTTGGAAGGCAGTGGTATACAGACAATAAAGCAATACATTTTTGGAATTAAACAGACATAAATTCAACACAAAAAAATCCAGTAGTTTTTCCTAGAAACGTGTCGCACTGCTACAGATAAAATGGTGGTCACACCAGGTATTAATGTGGGAATTCTGTTTCATAATTCACCCTGTTTTTTGTGGGATTTCAGTAAAATCTTTTCACTTTAGTGTTGCATTTATGTTTTTGTTCAGCGTATTAAAGCATTTGAAATTGAAAACATTGCAAATTGGTAACAGTTGATGCAGTTGAATTGCTACTTGACCAGTGTGTTTTTTTACACCCCTATTCCATAGCAGGAATGTCTGTCCTGGGTTTCTTATGGAGAATTTTTATGATTTGCGCTATAGTACTGCCATTTATCCGTGCTTTGTCTGTTATTAATTAGCTTATCCTGTTTATCCTGCAGGAACAGCGCCACCCTTTGGCCTTGGAGGTGAATGAGCTGTATGTCTTCTGCTACCTGTGTGACGACTATGTGCTGAATGATAACGCCACCGGTGATCTGAAGTTGCTGCGCAGCACTCTCAGCGCCATAAAGAGCCAGCGCTATGAGGTCACCACAAGAAGCGGGCGCACACTACGCTCTGCTGCCACGCCCTTGGAGCAGCCAGCACATGGCAACACACGGGAGCTGCAGTTGCGGGACGAGGACCGCATGTTCACAGCACTGTGGCACCGCCGCCGGGCGCTAATGGGTCGCATCTTCCGTGTCTGGTTTGAGCAGACGGAGTGCGGGAGGAGGCGCCTGGAGGAGGCACGGCAGCAGGAAGAGGAGGAGGAGAGGAAAAGGGAGGCGCGAGAGAGGAGGCGCAAACTCAAACGGCAGCTCAGGGAGGAGCTTGAGAGCGCTCCGCCCCGGAAGAGCAGCCGCATCCGGAGGCAGAGCCAGAAAGCAGCTGCTGCTGCTTCCCCAGCAACCGGCAAGCCAGTTAAATCCACCAAACATAAGCCGGTTCCGCCTCCTGCCACACGGACTTCTAAGGGCAAAATGCCTCAGCAAAGGCCACGGCCCCCAGGCCAAGGCCAAACAGACTCGAGCTCCGCCCCCCAAACCGACAGGTGACTCCCCTGTCAAAAGGCGGCCCACTGTCACACCAGGTGTGACGGGGTTGCGTAACCTTGGTAACACGTGCTACATGAACTCCATACTGCAGGTTTTGAGTCACTTGCACGTGTTTAGGGAATGCTTCTTGAGACTGGATCTGAATCAGGCCCTGGAGCTGCTGGCCTCTGCAGTCAGCCGCAAGCTAGGGCTCTCAGCTCAGCAAGGCACCCAGCCCAAAGCCTCCGGACAGGGCTCAGGGCTCAGCGGGGGAGCGTCCCGCTCACGGAGTATGGAGCTCATCCAGCCCAAAGAGCCCAGCTCTAAACACATCTCCCTCTGTCACGAGTTACACACTTTGTTCCAGGTATATGATTCTTTATATATAGGCAAACAACACGTAAGAGACAACAGGCTATTAGGGGGCAATTCAGCTGATTTTGGAATGTTACAATCGCTGTAAAAATATTCAGTGAATTATGTAAATTCCCCCCCAAGAATAAATTTGTTGGGCTATTTTTAAGTGCAAAAAATAATAAAACAAAAGTAGCTTGATGTATTGTTTATAATGGCTCTATTCCAGTACAAATAATTCCTCCAGTCACATTTATGTATTTAGTGAGGGTTTTTTTTTTTAAAAAGAATGAAGAATTGATTTAAAAATGATCAAAGTGTAGTTAAATTTGAGCTTTCATAATGCGTTGAACTGTTTCTTCTAACAGTTATAACCAATTGGATATAAAACTGTATATAACAGTTACGTAACAGAATGTAGTATGAAACAACAGGGTGATGTATCTGAACAACAGGGGCACACAGTGTCAGGTTTCCATCCATCCGGGCAAATTGCAAGTGATAAAATGAAAATACAATTTTTGGTGCCCAGCAGCTTGTTACCTTAAAATTCACTTTTAGAGATTAAAATGCTTTAACTAATGATGCGACTTTCAGCAAAAGTTTTTGTTTATCGATATAAATAGTCAATTTTGACATGCTTCCATCTGTAATTTGACATTTCACAACTTTTGTCGTTTTGGCTTCCCTGACTTCCCCATAACCTACTGAAAAAGAAATTTATTTGATTTTATTTATTCACTCTTCCACCTCACTGGAACCATTATGCAAGAGATCACGTTTTTCTGCCATATGGACTTGTTTGAGCAAAGCTGTGCTTTTTTTCTGAGCATCCCTTTCTGGAAAAAAATAAATAAATAAATCTCGTCTTCTCCTCAATGCAGCTCTACCTCTCCAGCGTATTATCCGTACCATTTGTATTTATTTGGAATTCCTGGAAGAGGCATGTTGGGGTGGAGGTTTAATGTCACATCAAATTTATGTGTAAATGTGTTCACTTTCTCAAAAAAAAGTTTCCAGTGAGGTATTCATGTCATAAATAAACAAAAAAGATAAACAGAAAAGGTTTTATCAGCATTCATAATATGTTACCGACAGTTTCTGTTTCCATAGCCTATAGCAAGAAACATTTTTTAAGCATTACACCGTTTGGTTGGAAAGGTAGCTATTGATGCGATGCACCAAACGCTTTGTGAATAATAGCTCCTCTTTGTGGAGCATCTTCAACCTGCTAAACCAGAGTGAGTTATGAGCTTTGTATCTTAAAATGTATGCTCCTGCATACAAAGATCCAAGATGAGAGAAGGGCAGGAGGATACTAACCTTGAATCCTCCTTGTAAATTACATGCAAATATGATTGTTGTACACAATGCTGCGCAGCCTAATCAGGATGTGTTTGTGTTTGTAGGTGATGTGGTCAGGGAAATGGGCTCTGGTGTCTCCCTTCGCCATGCTGCACTCAGTGTGGCAGCTGATCCCAGCGTTCCGAGGCTATGCGCAACAGGATGCACAGGAGTTCTTGTGTGAGCTCCTGGACAAGGTCCAGCATGAGCTGGAACGAACTGGAACGCTAACGCCTGCCACTGTGCCAGCCAATCAGAGACGACTTATCAAACAGGTGCTCAGTGTGGTCAACACCATCTTTCATGGCCAGCTGTTGAGTCAGGTGAGGAGTGCTGGATCACATGCATATTTTCACAAATATACAAACGCCAAAACATCATTCTAAAATGAAAAGGTATATTACACAAATATGTTAGAAATATGCATATTCTAATCTGTATATTCTTTCTAGGTGAGGTGTTTGGCTTGTGATTACCGCTCCAACACGGTGGAGCCGTTCTGGGATCTGTCATTAGAGTTTCCCGAGCGTTATCATAGCAACAGTAAGGATGCTGCACAGGTTCCGTGTGGACTGACGGAGATGCTGGCCAAGTTTACAGAGACAGAGGCTTTGGAAGGAGCCATTTATGCCTGTGACCACTGCAACAGTGAGCCGCTCTTACATAGACACATTACAAACTTAGCTTATAGAGGCACTGGAACATGAGTAGTTGTAATTATTGCAACTGGGTCACATATCTTGGGTTACACATCACTTTAGTAAAAGCTTAGAACTTCAGAGACTTCCTAAGCTGATTAATTTCCATTAATAACAATATGGATTTAGCTATAAATTAGGGCTGCAACAAATATTTGATGAAATTTGATAATTAAAACATTGAAAAATGGAAAGCAATTAGAATAACTGATACCTTTATGACTTTTATGAAAGCACACGCTTCTGACGCAGTTTTTATTTGTTTTGTTTTTTTTCTTCTGACCAGGAACAAGGTTTTGTCTATGATGCTAAATGCGAGCGAGTCACCAGTAGCGTGCAGTAGCAGTACTGTATCTAAAGAGAGCAAAAGAACCTGCCTGCGCATCATGCATAAACGCTGATTTATGATTAGTCTTTTTGTTTTTCATGTCAAACAGTCCTTTCCTATGAAGGCTGCAGTGATATCTCGGCAGTAGTCAGAGGCTGGGCTGTCCAGACTCCTAACTGCTTGTATTAGAGCTGTATTTGAGGGGATAATGTCTGTTTTAATTGCCCAGTGTGATCCAGCTGCTCTGGATTGCTAGCATGCTCTGAAGTGTATGATGATAATTAAGTGTGCAGGCTAGCAAGCTGGCTGTCCAGAGCAGAAAGAAACTTAAAATTAAAATTGTAAAGGGGAAGGGGAATACCACCAATTTTTCAAAATTTCTGCAGAACTCAAAGATTGAGATGTAGAAGTCATTCACACTGGTTTGATGTGGAATGGTTATTTGTACAGAAACTCATTGGGGGTTGTGACATCTACAACACAGATATAGCTATTTTATTTACTATCCAAAACCACCAGTGAACCTACATGTGTCCTCTGAGTTTCTGTGTATAATGGTGACAATAGTAAATCTGAAAAAAAAGTTTCCTTTGAGAACTATTTTGCCTTACAACACCCTACATGCATTTTTCCACCGTGAATGGATTAAAAAATTGAATAAACGCACATTTTAGGCCAACGCTTTCTCAAACCTATCATAAAACAATGTCTCGGTCTTCAGACAGCATATTTCAGCTGGAATAGCATTTTATGGTACTTGTCGTAACTATAATTGTTTATCAGTGTTGTTTTCTCATTATCTTTATAGCATTTTAAGCTTCGTTAATAAATAATGCTAAATAAATAATGATAATGTTTACATAATAATAATTATAACAATAGCAATAAATTATGATGTTTTTTTTTTTAAATCATTATAGTAAGACATATCTTGAGCTTTCCTTATTCTTATAGAATAATTTAGGATTAATAATAATATGCAATAGAATATTTAAAGATGAAAATATTCAGTGGCCCCACTACAAGATATGGCAGCAGAGTATTCGTTGTATTATTTTGTTCATTTTTCTCTCCTTATTAAATAAATAAATAATTTTTTTATTCTCAGATAAACGACGGCGTTTCTGCTCTAAGCAAGTGGTTCTCACAGAAGCTCAGAAGCAGCTAATGGTCTACAAACTGCCTCATGTCCTGCGACTGCACCTCAAGCGCTTCAGGTAAACGCAACCACAGATGCCCACTCCTGTGAGAATGTCCTGCGGATGTTCATGTTCGTTTAATGTCGTTTTCTTTCTTGTGCTTGTGTAGGTGGTCTGGTCGCAACCACAGGGAGAAAATTGGTGTTCATGTGGAGTTTGAGCAGGAGTTGAACATGGAGCCATACTGCTGCAAAGACTCTAACACGTCACCACGGCCTCAACACTTCCTCTACCAGCTCTCTGCTGTCGTGATGCATCATGGGAAGGGTTTCGGCTCTGGCCATTACACTGCTTTCTGTTACAACACAGAAGGAGGTAAGAAACTGCCTTTAAGTGCATAAAATGCTATGGATAAAGACATTTGTTAAATATGCAAGGACAAAGCCTGTTTTAAATGTTTGTTTACTTTATAAATAAAAGCTTTTGCTGAATATGTTTTTTAAAAAAAGTTTTTTTTTATGTTTATTTGTCTACTACTACAGTTCTGCTTCTGCAAAAAAAATAGAACTGAACAAGATGTAAACTGCAATGGATAAAACAGTTTTCTTTTGGAGGAAAAATCTGCAGTCAGAAGTAATAAATTAATAGAAATATTACTAAAGTAAGCATAATTATACAAAATAAGATTAAATAAGGTGTGTGAGCAGTGCTGCAAGTCACCCTGTAAAGCCTGAAATAATGATTTAAAAGTCAGAAGCGCCAGGTTGGATTTAGCGGGTGTTTTTTAGACCATGTCTTCAACAGATAAACATATAAACATTATACTAATGAAAATATGATGACAGTACATAATTCACTTACATTCTCAGAAGACACATCCTTCACTGAGTTTCTCACTCAGTTCTCTCTCAATACTCTTTCAACGTGTTAATAATCACAGTCATTTGTTTGGAGGGGTCTGACATTGTGTACATTGTGTGCAATTACATATTTCCACCAGAGAGGTCTCCAAAACATACACAGTGTAGCTTTAACACACACTGCTCTATCTAAAGGCTTTTGCTGATTAAAAAAAAGGATAAAAAACACAATATTTATAAATAATAGGTAGAGAACTTAAATATCTACATAACGAACAAATACTTGGGTATTTGAAATATTTTGACCATCCACACTGTAAATTGTGACCTATTAAACTGATAGGTGTGTGAATCTGCCAATTTAATAGATTCACAGTCTAACGATCTCTCCATCTCTCCCAACCCTCCCCCCCTCAGGATTTTGGGTGCACTGTAATGACTCGAAGCTGAGTGTGTGCGCGGTGGAGGAGGTGTGTAAGGCGCAGGCCTACATTCTCTTCTACACCCAGAGAAGCTCTCAGGACAAAGGCAAGGCCAGCGACCTCTGACCCCTGGTAGCAGCCAATCAGCCACAGAGACATTATGTTGTACATTCTGTTGATATGATTTTAAGACAGTTTGTGTGTGTGTCTGTGTATTTGTAGTAGGGTTCAGCGGTTCTGAAGACGGTGTATTCTGTCATGCTCTTAATGCCTTACACAAATCTTTGGCAGTAGGCACTCTGCAGTGATTGTAGCTGTGTGTGTGTGTGTGTGTGTGTGTAAGAGAGTCAAAATGTCAGTCCCAGACAGAAGCATTACTGCAGCGTTGTGTGTGTGCACGTGAGAGACTGAGTGTAGAGAGTCTTTGATGTTAATGTTTTTACTTCAGTGTGGATGAAAGTTTGCCGAATACTGCCCAAAAACCAAAGTGTAAAAAAAAAAGGCCTAACATTGAATGTCGACTGTTTCCTGATTTTCTTCAGGCCCTCTTCACAAAAGGGGCAGATTAGCAAATAACCATATCACAGGTGTGTGTGTCTGAGTGTGAAACTGACAATATTCCCCACATGTCCTCTCAAAGTGCCCTGTCATGTTTTAGACCACTACTTTAAAGTGTAATTACATTGATTTTTTTTTCCCCTTTTCAAAATGTCTGCATAATTCAGTCGCTGAAATGTAAAGTCATTCACAGCGGTCTCGTTTGGAGTGATTCAGTGTAGAGACACTTATTGTTCACAGTGGTGGTGATAGGAACCAGGGGTTGTGATGTCTACACCATAATATAGCCATGTTATTTATTATCCAAAATGAACCTGTGTAAGAGAGTCAAAATATCAGTCCCAACCAGAAGCATTACTGCACCTTTGTGTGTGTGCACGAGTGAGAGACTGAGTGTAGAGGGTCTCTGTAATGTTAATTGTAGCAGTAAATATGAAAAAGTAGGTTTTCATTGGGGTCTATTATGCCTCAAAACTCCCTGCGTCTACTTCTCTGCCAGGAATGTACTTTTTGAAAAAAATACATGGTTTAAGAAATAAGTTTTGCGCCAAAATGTTCTCTTAAACCTACATAAGACAATGTCTCAGACATCAGGCAGTGTGTTCTTAACCACTTTGGATGTTTGGTTCCCATCACAGCCTCTGTTAACAGTTCTGACTCTAGAACGGGATTTCACATCAAAGCACCCTGAATGACTTTTAACATTTTTTTTACGTTATTAATATCTTAATGATTCAACTGTGCAGAAATTCTGAAAATTTGTGCAAGTTCCCCTTTAAGGCTGTACTGGTGTTATCAGCTCCTTTCGAGCATTCAGAACATGATTTTAAACGATTCAGGATTTTTGTTTTACTGTTTAGACTCTCCAGAATGTACTTTTATATACTCAGTACTTGGGTAAACAAGATTTTTTTATTTTTCTAAAAAAAAACAAAACAAAAAGAAAGCGATTTAGAATATACAAAAAGCTGTAATGTTCCCACCAGCGAAGACACAAAATGTATGCTGTATGTACAGTAAGTGAGTGTGTATGTATGAGAGAGTATGCGTTTTTTGTAGCTGACTGGATTTGTTCTGTGACTGTTGTGGTTAGCGCGCTCTCTGTGTAGGTGTGTGTTTTCTGTTGAAGTGTGAGAACGGAGGTAATTCTTCTGTCGTAAATTCACACGCCCCTCAGAGTCGGCCTCTTTTTTCCGGTTCTTTTAAGTCCACGTTGCTCCACTCTTCAGCAGGTATAGATGTAAAACTATGCAAATTGTTACCTCAATTTATAGAGAAATTTACCTCAATAAAAAGGAAAATATTTTTGCATTTTTCTAGAAAAAATGACTTCCAATATGTGTGCCTTGTTGTTGCTTTTAAAGATGTTTCAGCTTCCTCTGTTTGCTTTCAAGCACACACACTTTCAAACACTAGATGCTAAAGCTGCAGTACTGGGCAAAAGTCAGAGACCACCCTTTATTTATTCAGTTGTAGTCAAAACAGCCATTAAGCACAAATTGTTCATTGTTTGGGAGATATTTCTCTTGAGTTTTCAAGAGGTGTTTCTGTCCATCCTTCAACTGTGAGAAGATAACACTATGAAAGGATGTGTAGCTGTGAAGAACCTGTTACTGAGAAAAGGAAATAGACAAAAAAAGGCAACGTTGGCAAATCAAACGAAGAAGCTGCTGACCTTAACATTACTGAAGGTGTTTGGGATTACTTTGATCAAAATAAGAGGAAAATGCAACCAACTTCTAAGACTGAACTTTGGAAATGGAAAATATCCTTGTAGGTGTCTTTGAAAGATGGTAATAAAGGCAAAGGATGGAGACACTAAATACTGAGGGAAAAAAAAACTTTTTTTCCTTTTCTGCTGTTGAGGCTTCTGTGTAATTTTCTTTACTACCTTGTACTTAATGGCTGTTGTGACAGAAAATTATATAAATGAAGCATGGTTTCTGACTTCACAGTTCTGTACAACTCTGTACACTCATTTCTTCTTTCAGATGCACACAGCTCAGTGAATTCCAACCCAAGGACAATTTATAGTCATGAAGATTAGAACCAAAACAAAAGATAAACAGTGCCAATAATCACGGATCACGTTGCTATATCTGCAGATAACGTTTATTACTTGTGGAGGAAAGTAACATGTTAAACAAGCTTTGTGGGAAGTTAAAGGTATTTCTTCTTGTAGCCAATGGTACAGAGGTGTTCTGGTCACAGCCACTTGCTCTGCAACTAAACATATCAGTACATCATGATATTTAACTTTTGTCATTATTGTGCATAATATTGCTATCAATATTGTGGTTTTAAGGAATTATCTATCATTATCAATAATGATTTGGTAAAATTATTGTTTTGCATCCCTATACTGCAGTCCTCAGGCAATAGCACCATCACACCAGTATGAACATCTGCCCTGGGGCAAAGGCAGAGGGTATCAGTCCATTTACAAATCCATAATCTCTGTAGACTTTGTTTTCTGTAATACAGGCAAATCTGCTTACTCCACAAGCAACTACCTAACAGCAGAGACAGCAGTGACATCAAAACAATGGTTTGGCAGAAAGTCAAATTCTCCACAATTCTCCCCTTTACTCGGTTAGCCAAGACATGTTAGGTGTAAAAGTTTGCTCTTTTAGTTTTGCACTGGAGCTAAGGGTTTAATGTAGCTAACCTCTAGAACAAAAGTGTTAAATCCAGTTTCCAGTACTGGATTTTGCAGTCACTGGTAGTCACTGAGTGGCAAATTGAGCTGATGACAACAGTTAAATAAGTAAGTTAAATAAGTCCACAGTAGCATTACAGAGTCAGCAGGAAATAAACATGCTAAAATATGCTCTGTATGCGCTGCTACGATTCACCCTGTAAAACCTGAAATAATGTGAAAAAGGCATCAGGTTGGATTTCACAGGAGTTTTTTCAGACCTGTACATATTAAAATTACATGCACAGCCTCAAAAAGAAGGTACAGTTTGATGTTTAGGTCTCAAATGTAAAATCAACATTATACTAATGAAGACATGATGACAACAGTAGATAATTCGCTGTCATCTTCAGAGGACACGTGTTTCACCAAGGTTTGACTGAGTTCTCTTTGAATACTCTTTCAAATAGCTCACAATCATCAGATTCATCCACTCAGGGAAGGGGTCTGAAGCACAACCCATGCTACAAAATGTTCTTCTGCACATTGTGTGCAATTGCAAATTTCCACCAGAGAGGTCTCAGAATTATGTAATTTTTTCACAGTTTCTCACATTTTCGACTTTTCTAAGTTCAAGCTACAAAGTGGGGGAAAACCATGAACGTCTCCATGACAGTGAGTATTGTTAGCAACAAGCTAGCCAGCTAACATTAGTGGTATAAGTTATAACTTTAGCGTTAATGATGCATTCACCTTCTCAAGTTTTCAGTTACTCTCTCTGTATGTTGACCAGTTTGAGTTGAGAACATCATCTCATTACAGTCAGTCAGAATTCCCACATGAGGGGGAGTTTTCTTTGGAGGTGAGCTGGACATTATGCAGCTGAACGCAGCATAATGTCCAGTGATTACAAAATACAGAACTGGAAACTGGATACAAGGTCCAGATAAGAGCTGTGCAATATGACATTTATCATTATCATGATAAATTACATCACATGATGAAACAAAATACTTTTCTGAGCATTTCGTGGATACTGTCAGTACTTAAAAATCACTTCCCAACTGCATATTTGATTAAAAGAGGGCGTAATTAGTCCTGTTTAATTGGTTTTAGTTCAGAACAGTATGAAATGTTGAATACAAGTAGTTGGATTCACACTTTTTGATAGTATTTTTAAAATGTGGCACTACTTTGTCTGTTCAACTTATCAGATGTCAGAAAAAAATAAATATTGTGAAAAACTTCCTGAAGTATCATGATATTACATTTTGCCATATCGCCCACCTTTAGTCCAGATTTTTTTAGACCTCTGACACAAAATATGCACAGAATTTGTTGCATACCTAAGTCCATTTTTATGAAGTCTGTTTTCTGTTTCTACTGAATAGCTTGTCAGTTTAAGGAGAGTTTGTGGTGATTTCGGCATGCAGTTAGCACAGTGCTAATTGGTATAAGTGTCCTTTACTTGCTAACAACATTGGCCTCTTAGTTCAGTGGCAAACTTAGGAGGCAAACCTTGGACACTAAACATGTCTGAGTGACTTTTTGGATCAGGACAAAACTAAGTAAACTAGATTTACAGCCAATCCATTGTTGTAATATGTTTTCAACTCACCAGTCAAACATGAAGTTTTTTATTCTTAATTACATACAAACTGATTAGTGTCAACTAGGGCTGTTATGGTCATGAACTTTTATCTGAGGATTGTCATAAATAATTGCAATTAACAATTTAATTGTCTTGTTTATTGTCTGAAACTATTAAAATACAAGTGTAAAGTGGCCAAATTGGCTGCACAGCACCTCACTTGCTAGCTATGTTTACTGAGTAGCTAACACAGGTCATACTATCGAATCAAAGAATCGTGCATACACTGCACTTGCACAGGTCTACAGTAACACAAAATTAGGTATAAGGTTAAGCAAAGCTACACGTTTTTCACGGGAGTGAAAATCTAAGCTAAAAAATTACATTCTGCTAATATACATGTTAAAATATTAACACGTATATCTAACAACCAAACATAAGTGCTGCCATTTAAACACGTTTGAGCACCAGGTTACACTTCTTTTAGTGTTTTCATAAGCCTCATGATGTCTCAATGAATGCATTTACTGCTTTTATTCACATTTATTTTCCTAAACCCACCAAACTCAATTCATGTTTTGTTTGTTACAGCACAACATCACTGAAATGTAACAGCTGTAGATTTCAGTCAGCTTAAATAATTGTGACCACCTTAAATAATTACGATCAGGCAATTATATAATAATTGTGACAGGCCTAGTGCCAACTTGCTCAGTTTATATGCATCCAAAACACAGGTGTACTGTAAAAACAGTTCAAAATTGATTCTTGGTTAAATATTGACATGCTGGAAATTGAATCTGTTCAAAATGAACAAGATTGAGATTAATGACTATAGGAAACCCAGGCTGTCTGGTCTGTGGCTCTAAATGGTTCTATGCTTGCTTTTGAGCTCCATAGGCTCCAGCTTAGACAGCAGGGAAAAAAAGCTTGAATCTTATGAGTTTACTACATTGATTTTCAGTCACCCTCATCATGCAATGCTCTGCTGATTTCTACACTGCAAAAAATGGTACCTTGGAAAGTAAAATGACCTTAAATCTAGTCGATGTATCTAATAATTCTCATTTCAAGATCATTGTAAGCTTATTATAAGATTATTTAACTTACTTCGTCATTTTCACTTGTTTTAAGTGATTTTAGTAAGTCTAATTATCTCACTGTATTGAAAGATAGTTTGATTTGTTTCAAGCATATTTCTTACAACAAGCAAAATTATCTGCCAATATAGCGAGAAAATTTGACTTAATAAAATCACTTAGGAAAAAAAAATGTCTAGACATAAGTTAAATAATCTTATAATAAGGCTACAACAATCTCAAACTAATAAGACATTTAAGGCTTATTGACTAACTTTAATTTCACTTGCCAAGATACCATTTTTGCAGTGTAGATAAATATCTTGAATGGAAACTGAAAAGATCTCTCTTTGTGGTGACTTTCTGCTGTAAAGGCAACAGGGAAAAATCCGATATGTGGTTTGATATTGCTGATATGTTGAAAACAGCTAAGTTAACCAGCTTTTAAACCGATGATTAACTTGGTTGCTTTCAAAAAGATTTGACCTAAAATGCGAACATTTTAGGTTGACACTAATTTTCCTCAACAAGCAAACTACTGCAAATGTCCATGATATATTTGTTTGATCGATGGCTACTAATCCATCATTCAAGCGGACAAGCACGCTATCAGTTTTGCAGATGACAGTATGACATATTTGACTGCCAAAGGAGAAAATGATGAAATCATGCACAGAGCTAGTAAATGCAGATAGGTATTTAATTCATTTGTATTATTATTTTACAAAGTTTAAAATGAATTAATGGATATTACAAGCATCTGTTTCAGAGATTCTATTATCAAAATACGATGCATTTCAGAAGCAGTGCATATCATTTTTGGTATTTTTATGTTTGCAAATATCCTCATGCTATGTGAAGTTAAGCAGCCATACTCTTACTTTTTAAAAATTGTTATTCATCTATAATCCCCCTTTGCTACGCACAGAGTAGAAATGAATACCAGCAGTGGTTCTCAATCGCAGTCTTTTTACGTTTTCTCTGCTGTAACACACCTGATTCAGTGAATCAAGTAACTGTCAAGCCCTTCAGAAGGTGAGTCAAGTACGTTAGAGTAAGAAAAACGGAAAAGGGAGGTTAGTCACTGGGACTGAGAGCCGCTGACTGCAAGCTTTTGTTTTTGTTTTATTATTCAGGTAAAAAGAGAGAGAACTAAGTGGGGCCTGGTTTCTCTGGATTGCTATAGCATTGTTAAAGGAATATTCCAGAATCTTTCAACATGAAATCTATCTGCTGTATGTGTTTCATACTGTGGATTACCATGGAAAATAATTCTGATGTGTTTCCCTGTACAGAAAATCTACTGACTTCTATAATAGGAGCCAATGGGCAGTTGCTGAATTCCATGAAAAAAAGCATAACATTTCACTGTTGTCGGAAGAAAACCTTGTATCTCCATTTTTGTCCTTTTACAGTTTTTGACATAATTTGAAAATGGCTGTTGTGAATTTCCTGATGAATGGATCAAAAGAAACGACCCAAAATGACTTGGAAAAAAAGTCTGGTTCCATTGACTTACATTAAAAGTAGAGTATGTTTTTTCCTTCTCCTGTAAAGTTACCATTTTGGAGACACAAGGTTTTCTTCCGACAACAGCGATTTGTAACTACAGAACACAAATTCACCTGTCCAGGGTGTATCCTGCCTTCCTCCCAGTGACTGCTGGGAAGGGTTCCAGCACCCTCGTGACCCAGAAGGATATGCGGTTTGGAAAATGTGTGTCTATCTGTGTGTGCGTGTGTGTGTGTGTGTGTGTGTGTGTGTGTGTGTGTGTGTGTGTGTGTGTGTGTGTGAGTGTGAGAACACAAAACTACAACTGTTACACTGTTACAGATCTTTGGATCAAACAGACATTAGAGAATGACTTACCAAACTGTACGAAAACTGATCAGACTCTTGACCAACGGAGCAATGAAATTAAAAAAGTAATTCCGTTATTTTTGCTTTCCTCTCAAAGTTTGCTGGGATCTATGTTGCTCAGGTGGAGCCTGTAAAAACTACACCCACACCTTTACACTAGTAATACATAACCACACATTCTACCACCTGGAAATCTAGTCCCATTCTTGAATGAATCACACAGAATTACAGCTTGAAACAGCTTCTTTAACAAATAACTGAATGAATAAAGAATTTGAGTAAAGTGTTCTACACAAAAATGTGTTTAGCATTCACATTTGCTGATGGAATTCAGCAGCTACCCACTGGATTTCATTCTCGGTGTTGTTGCGTGATAACTGACAGTACAAAGGTCTATTTGCACCAAGATTTTAATGGACATGAAAATGGACACATGCATATTATTGACATCTTTCTGAACTGCTTTTGAATCTGGCTTTTTAATCAGAGCCAGCTTGATTTTCTGCATTTTACAGATATTTAAAAATTAGGCAGTTTAAACCAAAGTGTGGTAAGATGGAAGCATAACAACTCATTTTGCTTGTGGCAGAGCACAAATGTTTATATGACAAGCAACAGATTTAATGAATTTTAATTTGAATTTTCTTTTTAATGAGAAGAGCTATGAGCAGAAGCAGAGCCTCAAATTCCCTCACTGCCATACAAAAATACCTTTGGAATTGTTCATTATACAGTTGCGATCATTACTACTAGAAGAATATATTTCTTCTACCTCTACAGTCTTTCGCCATGTTCTCAGAATGTTAAAAAAATGCATCAGACTTGGTGTGAAGGTTCCACTGCATCCTTTTTTTGTCAGAACTTAAGTTGAAAACTCTGGAATGTTCCTTTAAGATCAACCTATTTGTAAAGGAGTGTTCAAAGTATTTCCCACACTACAGCATATGTGGAGAAATCAGGCCCAGGACAGCAGCTAGAGAAGTTAGCCTATCCTCCTGCATAGTTAAAGAGTTCAAACAGCTTTCATGCAGAAAATTGCAGGAGCATGGAGCAATACTGTGGAACAGTGCAGCAGGGTCCAGTGCTCTCTGCTGAGAAACCAGCTGGTTTTAAGTTGGTTTGTACTTTCTTTTTTTCTTTCTTTTTGCGTCTGTACACTACCTGTAAAAGTTTGGGGACACTTTACATCTTTTTGAAAATATAATTTTCTTGCTATTACATTTCAATCAATAAGAAAAAAATGCCAATGTTTTGTTACCATAAAGCAGCTAAAGTCATATGCAAAAGTGAATATAGGTTAACACATCTAATATAACTATGTGCTAATCCTTTGTGTGTTTTTAGCTTCAGTGTTCAGCTTAATGTTCATCAAAGTGTCTTCCTCAGTATCAAGAGCAGATTTTACACAAATAATAACTTGAAAGTTTTTTTCCAAAATATTGTTAAAAGCACAAAGATTCAACCCAAATATGGTTTTAACACCTGAAAGGTTGGTGTGCTAATGAGTGCTGACATCACAACAAGAGGATAACATGGGCAGACTATTCCCAAGGTAACCATCATAATTACTAATATTTACACATGAAATGTTTTCTCTAAATAAACCTGAGTGGTCTTTAATATGTAAAGTTATTGCAAACTAACAAATTAAACAATTGAACCCCTTGTTATTCAGACTTCTTATTCAGTAACTACTCTACATTATTCTCTAACTACTATGAAACCATTATGCAAGTTATACAGTTATGCAAATAAGGAAATAATGTATGGGCCCTACATATGGACTCTTAGGATTTAAGGGGTTAAAGGCTAGGTGTCCCCAAACTGTTGACAGGCATTGTATACGCTCATTTGGAGTGTGATTCTCAATTTTTTTGTCTTTTTGTTTTATAGCACAATTTGTGTGTGGGAAACCTTGGGGGTATTTCACAAAGCAGCATTTCTTAGTTTAACTGGATAACTTGAGTCATAAACAAGCACCGTCCATAGGATTGTCTCGTAGCTCTTCTCTTCTTGAACAGGCTTGCCTTTGGCTTAAGAAATCTGGCTAATTGAAAAATCCTGCTATGTGAAATACCCCCTGGGGGGCCTCAGTAGTCGTCTCCTCGACTCACTACCTCTTTACAGGTGGGCCTGAGTAGGATGGTATGTTCATACTGTGCGGTGTAGGAGCCCTTGGTGTCGCAGAGTGGTGGGTAGGGGTCGATGATGCCCAAGTCACACAGGTTCTTCAGAGCCATCAGGTACTTACTCTCCCCGAGCCGGTCCAGCCAGCGGCGGCAAAACGCCAGCGTACCAAAATTCTCATTCACCACATTCAACAAGTGCTTAGCTCTCGGCAGCCTGGAGAAAGAAAAACAACTTTCAGCTTCCACTCATGTAATATATACACATGTAAATATCTACATGTAATATGTCCCATTATATATATATATATATATATATATATATATATATATATATATATATATATATATGTTTAAGTACCTATATGTAGTGATAATATGCCCCATATGCATTATTTATCTTTCATTATTTGAAAATGCTAGCTATTCTTTATACTGTGTCAAAAGTTGGTGTTGAATGAAACAACAGGAACAGTCCAAAACAACACAGAATAAAATTATATTACATTAACTAGTGTTACTGTAATATAATTTTATGTAACATTACATATGGTACAAGGTTTTGTTCTGACAGTGACAGTACACTGTATATGTAAGTACCTACATGTAATAATGATAATCTGTCCCATATGTATACGTATTTTTGCCTTTTTTTGTTGCCCTTTTTGATGTGTCAAATTCCATAATGAACAGACCAACAGAAATGGTACAAAATTACTTGGAAAAAATTATTTACTCATTTACTTTCATTAAAAGTTAAGACTGTTTTTCCTTGTCCTGTAAAGTTACATGTAAGTACCTATGTGTAATAATACTATGGACCAAATATATCTTGTTTTCTCTGGTTTTCAAAGTAAGGACATTTTTTGTCACAAAAATGTACAAAAAACAAACACACACTCTTACCTGATTGGTACATGTCCTACGTCAAAGTTCTTCATGTAATGTGAACAGTCCATATCATCATGTACCACTCCCTTCCCTGTGCTGCCAAACGTCTCAATAGCGTACGCCTCACCCTCCTGTACACACAAACACACAAAGCCTAACGTCATCAAGATGTACAAAGAGTCTACACATATTATTATACCACGCTGAAATATGTTGGACACAAACACGTGAAGGAAGAAAAGCTGCAACCCGCTATGAAATACATAATAAAAGATTGTGTCTATGACAGCCAAAAATGTATCAGTCCTCAAAACATTCTGGCCACAGTTGTATTATTACACTGGGTTTTGTGAAGTTATTATGCAGGTTTTATAACGAAGTGCGAGGAAATAACAGTATGTTCACACTGTAAGTATTAGATGGTTGGGAAGTAAGATGTTGGGATGATCTGGGTCAACACAGCAGTCCAAAAATAAACAAACACAACTGAATGTACACACTCCTAAACAGGCAAGCTCACATCCACTGAAAAAAACCTTCACAGCAAAGTAAAAGCTCAATGACTCTGTCTCTTTCTCTTTTGATCGAGTTTATGAATATGGTTGATGCAGCACACATACCTCCATCCTAGTGGCCTCACCACCCTTTACAATGGGCACTGTTTTGCCAGCATGTATCCGGTACTGACCAATGGAGTGGCCATTCAGATTGCGGATTGGTTTAACTGGAAGAAACAAAAATGTCATGTGAAAGTATGTATTCAACAGGCCCTCTACAAATAATCCAAGTAATACAAATAATTCACATGTACTCTTATTGAGATACATCTAGGACAGATCTGGATCTTATACTATGACAGTTAGAGAAAATAAATATAGACTATTTCTGGCATTAATGGAAGCAAACATAAAAGTAACAGAGCGTACGTATCGCCACCAAATTTCTGTCCAGTCAATGAACACCAACATGTATAATTTTGTGCACTTTGCAGTGTAAAAACCAACTGAAACAAATGAGTCACAAAAACCTAAACCCTGCTGCGGACTTCAGCAAACAAACTAGGTAAGAAAACAGACTAAATTGACTTGATTACTTCTTGTGTATAAAAAAGACAACAAGTCTACGGTATTTTTTCTGTGCAGGGTTAATGTGTTTGTTCCTACCTTGGTAAGTTTTCCCGTCTAACTCCACCTCGTACGACTCCATCACTTCCTGTATAGATTCTCCAATGTCACAGAGACGTACGTCTATCCCTGCACACTGCCGAGAGAACAGGCCAGAGTTACACACACAGTTCTCACAAACAGCCAGACATTATTATCTGCTACCAAACTTCCTACAATCACTGTTTTCAATTAAATAAAACCAATTTTTTGCAGATAAATGCATAAAGTTATTCTAATATGATGCCGGTACTGTGTAACTTCACTGGTTTCAAAGAATTAGGAGTAAGCTGTAAATAATGAAATGTCCAGAATGATGAAAAGAGCTCTAGATGACTTCTAATGACCAAGAAAGGTGTATAACATTTAAAATGAAGTTATGAAGAATGAATAAAATTAATATCCAATATTCCTCATATAAATCACAAGGCAGATAAATTATCAAGAAATCACTATAAATAAATAATTACAGTACATTATTTATCATTTCATAACATCTTGATGTTCCTAAAAATCTAGCATATAGCATGTCAATCTACACTGCATTGAAGGAATAAGCCATGAAAGCCACATGTAAGAGTGTTATTAGGCACGACACAATAATAAAATAAAACTCCCTTACAAAATCACTGTAATGTGTGGCCTCAAGTGGCTTACTGGTTTTACAAAACGATGAACGATAAAATATAAGTAGCAACTATGAACTGCTGAAAGAGGGCAAAAGCGTTCATTCTCCCATCACTGTGTACTGCCATCATTTCACAAACGTTTTAACTTTTTGTCATAAAATAATTATATCATAATACAGCACTGTAATGCAAAAAGCTTTACTTTATAAGCAGTTTTTGCTGCCCAGTTAACGTCTGAACAACAATGCTAATATCCATTTACTGCTCCTATGCAATTTCCAGTCTTATTTTTCACCAAGCTAACAATGTTCTATGTCCTTTTTCCCCTGCTAGGGCTGAATCTCAAACGGCTCCCTACTTAGTGCACCATGTAGGAATTAAAATACTGGTTCCTGGACCCAAATGCTGCATGATATGTCTGAGAAATACCTAATTGGGATCCAGCAATTCCAGACAAGTAGTGCATTATTTGGGTGTAGAAGCCAGAATTTTGTACATTAAACTTACACAGCACAGTTTATAAGAAGGAGGGAGTCATTTGAGATTCAGCCTGGATTTGACGTTTGAAGTATGTAAAACATTCAAGTGACACATTCTTTACTTTTTTTATGCAGGTTTACAGTGAGTCTTTCAGTAAGTACTTTAATTCAAAGCCTGTGATATTAATTTAACTGTTTAACCTGTTAGTTTCAGCTTGTTATCTAGCTTTTAGCTTGATATCTGGCTGCTTAGACTTGTTGTAGTTAAAGGGGAACTCCACTGATTTTTAAAATGTCTGCATAATTAAATAGTTACAATATAAAAGTAATTCTGAGTGGTTTGGTGTAAAATGCTTCATTTTAGAGACACTTAACGAGTCAGAATCGTTCAAAACAGTGGTGATAGGAACCAGACATCCACGTTTAAAAGCTCCCTCACAAGAAGTTATTACATAAAATGATTATGAATGCTTAACCTGATGTCTGGGACATTGCTCATGGTAGTTGGGTGATAAAATTTTGGCCTAAAATGTAATTGAATCAATTTATTCTAATCCATGAAGGGTATTCTAGGGCAAAATAGTCCCCAAAGAAAACTTTTTTATTTTCAGATTTATGACTATTTTTCCATCATCCATATATAAAAACTCAGAATACATGTGTAGGTTCACTGCCGGTTTTGGATAGTAAATGGAATGGCTACATTTGTGGTGTAGACATTGGAACCTTTTTCTACAAATGAATAATTTCACCTCAAACCACTCTGAATGGCTTTGTTTATATCTCAACCACTGAATTACACAGACATTTTGAAAAATTATTTGAAAAGGTATTGGTGGAGCTCCCCTTTAAGAAAATAAGCCATCAGAGCCCCAGTTAAAAAAAAAATATGTTCCTACTTCATCAATACACAGGTGAGCAGCATTACAGTCAAAGATTATTGCATGAACAGTACAATGGTCTTGGTCACTTGGCACAGTTATACTGAATTCAGGTGTTGTGAGGTGGTCAAAGGAGTGTGTATATCAAGTATTTTACAATGGTTTTGAATGCAGCTCAGCCAATCAGATTTTAGGACTGGTTCTATTTGTTTCATAAAAGTTATCACTGAACAAAATAACAACAATTATTAATATGACAAGTGACTCTAACACATCCACACACCTTGATTCCAGTGTTGGTGGCGTCTCTTACAGCTTCCAGCAGACGGTCATACTTTGGGTTAAAGGTGACGGTGAAGGCACAGTCAATAATCCTCCCTGAACACACACACACATCAATAAACAGGCGAAGCTGTGTGTGTGTGTGCGCGTGCGTGCAGGTGTGTGCGTCTGAATGAGTGTGCAGAATGGTCAGTGCCATAATGAAGTGTGACTCCTTTCATGACCTCTGTGCGACCTCTGTGCATGTGTGTGTGCATGTATGTGTTTACCATTGATGTGTGTGCCAAAGTCGATCTTGCACACGTCGTCGTACTGCAGCACGGTGGGGTCTCCAGCATTGGGGGTGTAATGAGCAGCACAGTTATTGAGAGAGCAGCCAGTGGGGAAGGCCAAACCTGCATTCAGCCCGTTTTCCTTAATCAACCTCCTACTGGATTCCTCCAAACGCTCACTGAGGCAGAGGGAGAGGGAGCGCGAGAGGCATAAGGATCAAGCCACTGCATTTTGTTTTGTACATACAGTACCAGTCTAAAGTTTGGACATGTCTAACTGAACTTCGAACACCTTCATTTAATTAATTTCCATGCAAAACGAAACGGCCATTACGTGCAAGTTATTCATTTTTCAAAGTCAGGAAAAAAAGAAAGCATATATTTAACAGAAAATTACACAAAGTCCTCAATTATGATCATTTTTCTCAGTGTTTAGTGTGTCCACTCTTTGTCTTTATTACAACTTCTGTTCTTTCCAGGAGACTTGCTTACAGTTTCTCCAAAGCAATCTGAAGGGATATTTTTCCAAAGTTCTCCAAAGTTCATTCTTAGACGTTCGTTGAAATTTCTGCTTCAAACACATCAATTATTTGGAAGTTTGGACTTTGGGGTGGTCAGTCTATTGTTCTGAGAACACCAGCAGCTTATTTATCTGATTCACATTTTTTTCCTTTTTTGTCTATTTCTCTTCCTCAGGCTTCTTGACAGCTACACATCCTTTCAGACTCACAGTGTTGAGTTGTCTCCTCATAGTGGACGGACGGACAGAAACACCTGTGGATTATTTCAGATCTGAGGCAAGAGTGTAGCTTAATTTTCTCCTCTCTCTTAAAGAGGAAAACTTTAAGTGCTGTTTATATGATGGGGACAGTTTTGGTGGTCTACAAGGTCTTACACATACAGAGCCCTGTTGGTGACATCCCTTTTTAATAAAAAATAATGTGTGGCGACAATTTAAGGCAAGGAATTGAAATAATTAACTTACAGCCCCGACTTAGCTGTATGCTGTGGCTACAAATTAATTATCATAACTTTATCTCATTCCCAAGCCTTAATAAGTCATAACCACAACTTAATTATTTTGTTGCCTTGTCTTACTAAGTCATGAATACGCATTAGGATCTCATTCCCTTGACCTTAGTCATTTGTGGTCATTTTATTTTTATTAAGGAGGGCTGTCACCAGAAGGACTCTGTATGCACAGATCTGTTTTCTTTTTATCTTTTCACATATATTTTTTAAATGTTTTTCATTTTATTTTCCTTTAACCTTCCTCTTCCTAATCTCCTCAGAAATATCTGTTGATAAATTAATAACTTGCATGTAATGGCTGTTTTGACTTAATTTAATAGTAATCTTGTACAACACTGTATGTTTTTCTTAACCTTAAAGATGTTTTACTCTGAAGGCTAATGTTTTTAATTTGATTCTGAGCCAAACATAACATAGTGAAGCTGATGTCTGTATGAATTTAATTCCAAAACAAAAAAAAAAAATCAAAAAAGTTTTTATTCAATTCAGTTCTTTTGTTCCCCATAAAAAGCAGTTTTAAGCAGTTAGCAAGGTCTCAGCACATGTGTATCTTCTTCGAGACTGCTGGAAAAGCATCCCAGGTGGTGCCTTATGAGGCTTTTTGAGAAATTGCTTAGGGTGTGAAAAACGGCATTAAAGCAAAGGGGGCTAATTTCTAGAAGAATCTAAAATAGTTTTTTTCCTTGTCAGGTTAAAGTCGTAGTTGCGTGATAGTTGTCTGACCCTCACCAGATCTCGATCATGCTCAGGCCTGGTTTGATCCAGCTTCTGACATACTGCCGCACCTGCCGATGAGCCTCAGCAGCCTGACGATAATCATTCCACACTTCTTCGCTGGCTTTATCCAGAACACGCTTCTCCTCGCTGCTCATCCGCCACGCTGCACTCCGTCTGGACACACATGCATATACACTGATTGACATGTTATGGACATCACATCACTTTTTTCAACTGACCAAACAGCAATTTACAGGCTTTAAATGTTTGCTGGTGTTTCCGAATGAGTACCTGAATACTCGTTCTCAAAACTACCCTTAAAAACAAATATATTTACATTTCATAATTAAACAAAATTTTAAGTATGTTTGTCACTACAGTCCAAACATATAAATATATATATGTTATATAAATGCCTATGACTGGTCATGATGGCAGCAACACAGGCCTGCTCCACCACTGCTAAAACTCACCACAACAAACAGGCTTGAAGTTCTGAGCTCTCCAGTTTTAGCACCACCTTATACTTACATATTTGAGACTGTTCATCAGACTTCTGTGCCTCTGTGGTATACCAACCGCCTATCGTATATTTTGAGCTGAACATTTTTCTTAATGTAAGTCTTTTGCTTCAATGGATACATAGAAAGCAGTACAGTTGGTTGCGCTCTGAGGTGAGGTGGTGAACGCCCAGCATGAATTGATGATATTACCAGCTATAATTTATGTATTTTCCACATTTTTAATATTTTAACAACTACTGACCTTTGCTTATTAAACATGCTGTAGTTTAAGCTACAACTTTGGTGGCCTGAAAAAAGACAAAGCTTCTGAATGCTAAACAGAGAATCAAATACCAATGTAACAAATAAATATTTAAGTATTAGAATAATTCAGGCCAGTCCCAGCACTCTCAGCTTCACAAAGGAGTAGAGGCAAACAGTAATTAACTGACTATACTTGTAATTGTCGCAGTTTGGTGCAAAAGATGTTTGAAGGTCATAATGTCACAAGAATTAAATTTGTTTCAGCAGCTAGAGCAGGACAAAAAAACGGGAGAAGATACAAGCCTACATATAAATGTACATGTGTACCTCACACTCCCCTTATTCACACTGTTTACTGTGGGACCACCTTAAACAGTACTAGAGAGCCAGTGACCTCTATGTCAGGTGCCTCAGCAAAAATATAATATAATATTACACAGAGCACAGGGTAATCTGAGGTAGAGCACATTTCAGATAGGACAAGGTGATCTGAAGAGATCAGAGGAGGACAAGGGATAAGTTAGAAGAGGAATAAAAAAAATAAATAAAATAAAAATAATATATATATATATATATATATATATATATATATATATATATATATATATACATATATATATATATATGTATATAATTATCACTATTTTAACACTACTTTGTGTTAAAACATTAGGCTTGTTGTAACTTTTATAATGTAAATTAGATTAGAAATTTAATTTAATTGATTTAACTGCTAATGAACGGAACTACAAGTACATTTATCAAGTTATTGAGTTTTTATTGTGATAGGTTGCATTTACTCAAAAAAAACAGCACACAGTACTGTTCAAAAGTCAGAAACCACCCTTCATTTGATCACAAGGTAAAATGGCCATTAAATGCAAGTTATTCATTTTTCAGCATAATAAAAATATATTTAACAGAAAATGACATCAAAATCTTTGCAACTACACATAATATTACATTTATCAGTATTCAGTAAATCCATTTTTTTCAGGATACTTGCTTTCGGTGTTCCAACGAAATCTGCAGGAATTTTTTCCACACCTCAAAAGTTCAGCTTTAGAAGTTGGTTGCACTTTCTGCTTCTTGCGATCCAAGCAACTTCAAATGTATTCACAATGATGTTAAGGTCTGGACTCTGAGGTGGTCAGTCCACTAACAGCTTCTTTATTTGAAAAAAATCTTTCTTTTAGTCTATTTCTTATTCTTGACAGCTACGCATCCTTTTAGACTCATAGTGTTGAGTTGTCTTCTCACAGTGGAAGGATGGACAGAAACACCTGTGGATGTTTTCAGATCTGAGGTAACAGTGGAGCTTAATTTCCTCCTCTCTCTCAAAGGCGAAAGCTTTCAGTGCTGTTTATATGATGGCGACAGTTTTGGTGGTTTTTGGCGGGTCTTGCTCAGTTGTTAGTCCCATTTTCTCTCTTAATCTTTTAACAATTTTATCAATTTATCACCTACATTTTTTTTTATTTATACTTAATGGCTGTTTTGACTGCAAATGAAATAAATAAAGGGGCAGTCTTCTGACTTTGACAGGTGTGTTCAAAGATGTTCTCAAAATCTGAGCACACTTCTTGTGTTAAATAAGACAACACTCTGTTGAAAATGAAAGGGAAATAAGGAGAGCGCTAGTCTCTTACCCATCCTGTGAGGGAGGATATTCACACTCCTGTCCAACAGGAAACACTCCATTGGGATAAAGCTCACAGATGGGCATAGACGGAGGATCAGTCTGTGTTTTAGCTGAAGAAAGACAAAAGTGTCAGTGGTACAAAATAATGGTAACCCCTTAAAGAACCCACAACATGAAATGAACAAAATGTCCTTGTTTTTTGAAAGGCTTAATATACTTAACACCATAAAGTTTCAAAACTCTTCACTCTCCAATCCACACACAATAAAAAAGTGGTGGTTCAAGGGTTTTTTTGGTAAAGGTGATTGTTATATATACAAAACTATGCTACGCTAAGAATGTACAGTCCGTATAAGGAAACTAGGCTGCAAAACTAGCCATGAATTCATCATGGCTGTGATGTCACAACCATGAATACATCAACACATGACCTCCCTTTCAGTCTACTGCAGTTTAGCCTTGCACATTCACACTGAAGTTATGCAAAGCGTTGTTCCTACAGTCTATAGCAGAGCTACTGGAGTGGAAAGTGATTAAACATTGTGCTGTTCCTGGCTGTCAGGAAAACAGTTTTCCAGTGGATCCACATATCCAAAAGGAGTGGATGAAGTTTATTTTTTCTCACAGCAGAATATTATATGATTGTCTTTGAGGATTTCAGTGTTAACTGAACAGGTTGTTCCACATTTCAGCATCAACCTCTTTTTGAACAAGGCACAATATAAAGCAGCCAATCAGTACAGAGATCATTTACATATATCAGTGTTTAAGGCAAAGTAACAATAACAGCCTGTTCAATTCTAAGGGAAAAAGACTGGTTGGAAAATAGTCATCTAAAAATGAATCATGAGTTTTTGTTATGTGTACATTTCAGTGTACCTTTTCTCTCTCTAATAACTATATAACACACATAATAGTACTGTAGTAGTTTTGGAGTAATTCATAGTAGTTACTAGATAATAAGCTGTGTGATTCATAACTAAATAATAAGCCTGGAGTTCAAGGGGTTAATGCAGGATCACAGGCTCTATGGAGAAGACTGTGGCACAAGAGTGAGACAGAGTGGAATTTGCACTGCAGGACTTTCCCAGGAGTAATGCAAACTGGCGCAGGGCCAGCCCACTGTATTGGTCTGCCAGGCGTGACATGAGCACAACCGCTTGCAGCGATAGCTGGTCCAGTGACAATAGAGAGAACTCAGCAGCACAGACTTACGGCCTTTCTTTTTCTTGGCCTTTTTCTTCTTCTTCTTCCCAGCAGAGTTCTCTCCCTCTTCTCCATCTGTGACAAAAGCAACACAGAAACATTTTACACACAAACCAATACGATGAATGGCAGGTAGTAGTTTGCCTACTCTTGAAGTGAATTTATGCGCATGGTATATTTCTTTGTCAGAGTACCTGAAAGTGGACAAGTCAATGGAATACGTCAGCATTTTTCAACCTAATGTCTGTCTCAGGGATCTCAAACTAGCAGCCCCCAGGCCACAGCATCATATGGCCCGTCACATACTTTCAATTTAATTTTCACTGCAGCTAAACAATAACATCTGACGGGTAGATTCGCCTCACCTGCCAGACACTGTGGTTGGTTATCCAACATAAGCTGAATAAATTCAGCTTAAGCTGATATGTACATTGTTAAAAGAAAAAACTGAGCACTGCATGAGTGCAAGAGGAAGCATTCACACAAAAACCTGATGCAGCATATACAATGCACACTGAGTGAGTATGGCTGTAATTTAGCTACAAACAACACAGCCATTATTCTAATTTAGACCAATAGAGTGTTAATGCGGATTCATTCATGACTTAGTGGAAAATACAGCGTGTCAGAATTAAGAAATGAATGGAATTCATTTCAACTGAGAATGCAGATTTAACCGCTTTGCGAACTTGTAGAAATGTAAATGCTGTCAAAGCAAGAGCCACATATAATATTCTGCTGTTAAATGTAAAACGTGTATTTATTCTAATACTAATACTGATATTAATATTAAAATACTACTACTGTAACTGATAAACTACTACTACTACTCATAATAATAATAATAATAACACACACACACACACACACATTTCCAAGCTGCTTATCCTTCTGGGTCGCAGGGGGAGCTGGAGCCTTTCCCAGCAGTCATTGGGCAGAAGGCATAATAATAATATTAATAATATACTTTTAGATGATTATCTTAAGTGAAATACATCAATTAAAAATAGCTTAATAGCTTTACAAAAAAGATCGGTATGAGTACTCAAGGTGGTATTGTGCCATCTGCACTGTTAGAAATACAAGTACTGTACACTTTCGTTCATCAAGGTACATACAGTGTAAATATACCCTCAAGGTACAACAATGGTTTTAAGGTCCAACTGTGTACCTTAAATGCATATGTAAATATACATATTCATACCTTTTTTATAACCCATTGTTTTAAAACAGGACAATATGGCCAAAAGCCTCAAGTCAAGACAGGATAGGTGGAAAATGTTCCAAACCCGATATATTTTGCCATAAAGCCATTTTGTCCCTGGATCCTTTAAATCACGAGGTTGTTAAGGAGTAAAAAGATTATTATTATTATATGCAAGCTAACACTGTAGTGCATTGAATTGACATCAAAGGACTGGCAACCTCACCAAAATACTCCACACAAATCAGCAAGACTAGTTGTGGTAGTTTTGTTGCTTTGGCAGTGGCCGCATAAAGTTTGAGTAGTTGATGTTGTTATATAATAATGCTTACTAACAGACTTACTTTCAGCATCATTTCAATGCACAGAAGTGTTAGTTTGCTTGTAGCATGTAAGCAGTATTATTTGTAAAAGACATTGTAATTTATAGGATCCAGTGACGTTCTGGGGAGAAATGTGTGTTGGAACCGTGTAGTTTCCCCACAGAAAGATGGATGTGGCGATATTTGAAAACGACATTTATTCATGTTGATGTGACACAGAGTGTTGTTCCTGCGGTCTGCAGCAGAGCTACTGGAGTAGAATATATGGGGAAAAGCGAACTAAACATTGTGCTGTTCCTGGCTGTTGGGTCGCAATTATTACTTCAACCTTGCAGAGGATCCACACATCTGAAAGGAGTAGCTGAAGTTTATTTTTTCTAACGTCCTTGAGAATTTCAGTCTGAACTGAATAAACTGTTCTACATTTTAGCCTTAACTGCCCATGGAGAAATCAGTGTAGCCCTGGAGTTCCATATATGGGAATGATACACACTTCAGAACAACTTCAGAGGTCTATAACTTTAAATGAATTTGGGCCTAAATGAGCACACTGTGTGCGGAGTGTGTTTGTACAGTGCACCTTCTTCTGCATCCTCCTCCCTCTCTCTCTCCTCCAGGCTCTGCTGCTCCAGTGGCTTCCTCACATCCACTTCGCATTCCTCGGCCAGTTCAGCTTGTCCTGCCGCAAAGTCACACACACACACACACAGGTGAGTGAGCCCATAAGCAAAGTAAGTGCTAATTGTGCCAGGTGCATTCATCAACAACTTCTTCATCCTGCGGGGCTGAATGTGACTGACTGAGTAATGCTTGTCAGTTTGGATCCCGGACAATTCCATCCCACATAACGGATCCATGAGATGGAGAGGTTGGCACAGATTTTAGGTCATTTGCATCGTTCTATAACCTTGAGAACATGACACAGTGAACCTGATGTGGCTAAACATACTCAGCCCCAACACAAGAATATAGCTGAACCCAGATTATGAACATCTAATAATGCCATCTCCAATAAAACGTCTTCTGGGATAACTCTGATTTTTGCCCATATACAGGGGGTCCAAAAAGTATATGTACATTGGTGCCATACATAACAATGCATTAAGTTCCGTATGTAGCAAAACAAGTGATATTTATTTAAACTGTCTCTACGCTTTACAGTAGCCTTAGTGCAGTTTGGTTGGAATTCTTCTATAAGCTTTATCCACACATTTAAACATTTTATAAAGAAATCTTTATATTAAACATTAAAGTTTAGACACTTAAGGTTCAATAAAGTTACCAATGGTTAAAAGGTTAAAATGTCCAAATGTCTTTTTGGCACCACTGTACATGTCTCAGTGTATGTGCCAGTACTATTTAGTTCTGTCATTATTTAATAGTTTACGGTTCTAAATTTACCCAAAACTACTAGGATACAGATTTTTATTGGAAAAAATATAAGATGGAAAAACTAGCTCTACTTACAAGACTTCATTTTGGAGAGCGAGTCATGCAAAAGAAGTTTAAATCCCCCTGGTCAAATTATAGGTTTTAATAATTTTCTTAGGGAGCCCATGTTAACAAACCCTCTACAGGGAACACACTTAAATGTGACATTTTTTCTGTGAATGTTTCTACACAATTTTAATTTATTTGCTGAGTTTTAACATACTGGGGGAAAGAAACACATTGTGCCATAACTTTTGCACAGGACATTTTTTTTCAGTTTTTCCCCAATATGTTAAATTCAGCAGATAAACAGTAATTGCATATTAATATGTGCAAAAGTGTAGAGGATGTAGATGATGTGTTGACTAAACTTTTGCATGCAACTGTACATCACACTGTTTTATATATCATTTTTCATACGGGCTGCCAGGCACTTTAACTGTACATTTGAACTCAAACCTGCAAGCAGCTCCTTAATCTCTTTGGAATCGAAATACTTTATTGACCATTAAATTTACATACAGTAGAAATTCGTCTTTCCCACTGAAAAAAAGACCATTAGAACCATTGGGATTAAAATCTGATGGTTTTGCTTTTTTGGCTTAATGGTTACCTTTGAACAATCAAATGCATCTGATGTCAGTCAGAACACCTGTTAAACCATTAGAGTCCTACATACTGTGATATCAGCCCATCAGGAAACCACTGAATAGCATTACTGTCTATTGGACACCACCAAGAACCAAAAATACTTTAATTTTTCTCAGCAGGATTTGAAATTTGACTGAAATGTGAAACTAAGCATAGAAAACAAAACACAACATTTGAATAGAATATAAATGCAAACAAAGGATTCAACTGACTGATTGACAAGTAACAGCTGTAGAGATGATTATGATTATGACTGTGCTGGAGTAAATGACAGTACTTATGGCCTCTTCTGTTAGAAAAACTTATTCCAAGTCTTTGGCGCTGGCATATAACACTGCATGCTCTACACAATAAAGCAAAACACAATATCTGAACATTAAAGGAAGTAATAAAATTACTGCATAACAAATAATAAATTAGGCTATGCCACATGCATATACATGACATGGCAGTACTTTTGCCTCGTGATAGAAAAACATCCAAACCTATTCTGATATTTTTAAAGCAGAACAGCTAGATCAGCATTTCCAGCTTCATACCTTCGCTCCCTTAGTCCACCTGCACTGCACAGTTTACAGTTTTCCTCCTGCACCTGAGTTTCATCTCAGCTATCGATCATGAGCTGAAGTAGAGGTGTTACAGCAGGAAAACCACAAAACTGCAAAGCAGGTGGGCTACAAGACTGGAGTCTTACGTCACTGTCGAGTTCAAGTCAAGTGCACTGAAAAGAAGTAAAGCACTGAATGTACTTGATTCAAACGTGTACATCATTTCCACATGAATATGAGACACCGTTTATCTGTTCTCTGTTCAGTTCACTCACTTTTGCCAGAAACTGTGTTGATTTAATGTATCTTATTTATGTGGAAATGCTTTACACATGTGAATCAAGTTCAGTCAAGCGAATACAAGCTTATTTTTAGTGTGGGTTGCAGAAAAATGTGACCTAAATCCAAATGACTCCCTAACTGGACTGATTTCACGCTGCACGTAGTGCACTTCAGGGAGTAGGGAGTAATTTGGGACGCAGCCCCTGCTGGCTCGCACTATTGCAGAAGTAAGTAAGCTCTCGAGTCCGCTGCTCTTACCTGCAGAGGCTGTTTTGCTCTTCTTCTTCTTTCTCTTCTTCTTCTTCTCAGCGTCTGTCTCTCCGTTCACTGCCGCACAGAGCGGCGCAGAGCTGGCCGCCTCTTCCATCACTGCAGCTGAGGGAAAGAGCGCGCGGTGCACTGTGGGAGGGACTTCCACAGGATGATGATGATGATGATGATGATGACGATGATGATGGAGCGGAATATTAATGAGCCCGTTCAGCTGAAATGTGCAGTAGCGGTCAGCCTGATTTCCTCACCCAGAGCAGATGGTTCATCTAATTACAAATCATCCAGCAGGTAACAACGACTGTGATAGTCTCACGATGAACGTACCAGATGTACTAATGCGTAACCTGCATTTATGCATTTGATACATAATCCGCAAAATAATAATAATAATAATAATAATAATACAAGAACTTATTTACTTTTATCGCCGTGCTTTTACGTTTCATTTCCCAATGGTGTCCAGCAGGTGGCAATATATTTTTGTATTGTGCGTTTAACTAAAGTAAAAATGTTGAATCTTATCCGCATCGTTGCCAGATTGGGCGGGTTCACGTCAAACTGGATGGATTTTGGCTGGATTTGGCGGGGTAGACAAGTCCTTTGGCGGGTATACAAAATTTGGGCTGATTTGTCATTATTTTGATTATTATCATTTTATATTCATGGAAGTTGTTTGTGGTTTCTTTGTCATTTATGACAGAGATTCTAAAACTTGGACGTGAACAGCTTTTGTTTTTTTTTTATCGGTGATATAATAAACCCATTTTTTAAAAAGACCGACACCGCCATCTAGCGGCCACTTCAGTACCTGTCTGCTAATTTTCGAGGGCAAGACAGCCGCGGTTAATGTACACAGAAGCTCTTTTGCTGACGTTGTTTAAATGCTGTATTTAATTGCGTGGTTACAATGACCCTTTTGTGCGTTTTCATGCGTTGTGGGGGGTTTTGAACTTTTTTTTGGCTGGAAACTACATGCAATCTGGCAACCCTGTGCACAAAAGTCCTGCGTGATTACTCGCTTTTAGTCAAAATAAGCAGGAGCACCTGGTTCTGCTTGTGATATTGGTTTCAGTATTCAGACCGCTGAACATGAGAGCTTCTGCTCTGTTGAAGCAAAAACCTGCAACCACAACGGCCCTCTGTGGATAAAACTGGACACCCCTGAATTAGAGGGTTTAAAGGGCCCGTATGGTGGAAAACAACATTTTCCTCACATTTCTTAAAAGTAGATTTTTATAAACTGGTGTTTCAAAACATTTCATTCACCTCCAGTCCATACAGTCCAGATATGGAAACGAAGCTGAAGAAAACAGCTCGTTTTGAATTGATTTTGTGATGTCATGAAAACATTTGCACATCCAAATATTTAGCCTACAGCAGTTTAGCCGAACCCATTCACACAGAAGTTATAAGAGTGTTTCAGCTAGGGCTTTTCTCAAATGAGGCAGTAATACCGGACAGCCAATCAGAACAGAGGCCATTTACATATATCAGTCTTAAAGACACAGTGACAAAACAGCCTGTTTAATTCTAAGGGATGTACAAATAAATTGTGTCTGTTTTTTGTTATATAAACCACATAAATGGTGGGTGGGGGTTTGTGGGCAATTGAATACAAGAATAGTGCTGGACATGAGCACTTTAAAAAGAATTCATGGACTTAATGAAACTACAGTATTAAACTATACCATGGATCTCTCGTAGCCCCTGATGTAGAGGCTAATAAATACAGATATTCAGCTTCTTAGCAGTAACATTATCTATCTGGCTTCCTTCTGCATTAGCCAGTTAATAAGTAAACAAAAAGAAAAACAAACAAAAAAACTTTCAAACAGTATGAACTAAGAAATCCATGCAAAACAGCTGTAGTTCTTCAAAAGGTCTTCCCACCTTTAAGACCCCTCAGAAGGAGGTTTTCCTATTCTTCAAATTGGAATATCTTATGCTTGAAGATTATTGTGGCACTGCTGTAGGAAGCAAGCAGGTATGTTTACAATAGAAGTAGCAATGGTTACATTATTAATTTTAGCAAGAATGTCCTTGTAAGTGTCAAAACTGTCATTGAAAATGTTTTTAGGCTGCTCCGTTCATCGTTGCTGTTCATCAAATGCTTACCTTGCAGTTGCTAACAATGTCCAGCAGGTGCCAGCATTGCCAGCAATTTCTCTCAAAGAAATAACCTTCTCTTACACCACCACTGGCAGGATGTTGATGATGATCCCAGTATTATATAAGGAGATCAGTTTGTCTCCAATGTTGCTGAACTGACCAGTTTTGGAGCTGCATTATAAAGAATAATAGGAGAAGGCAAATCTTCCTATTTTTGCTTGAGCCTACCTCTGTTATTCTAAAAAACTGCAAAACACAGAGATCAAGTTGACTCTTTTTATTATTTCACAAATGAAATGGGAGGAGTTTGCTATTTGGAGTGCAGAAAAAAAAAAACCCAACAACCATTAGAAAAGGCGTAGTTGGTGCCAAGTAAGGACACAGACAAACTCGCACACATTCACAGACTCACTCACTCACTCACTCACGCACTGTGTCTGTCATGGTCACGAAGGCTGATTGGGGAAGTTTAGGATTTACGCATGGAAAAAGAATTGAAAGCAGCAGGCACAAGACCAACACGCTAATAGGTTCACAAGAGAAGAACAGATACATACAGACAGTGATGCATATATATGTAAGATTGTCTCTAGAATTTCATTCTCATTGTAGGATCCCTTGGAAAGGCCCCAGTGTGTGGGCCCAAATCACACTCTTTAATCAGGGAACAGTGTTTAAGGCATGTTTAACTGTCTAATACTTTAATTAGATTCAACCAAGGTTTGTACACAGCTCCCTTGAGTTTCGGAACTTTGTTCGCAAAAAAAAGAACCCGAGTAAATAACGGCTAAGAGATTGTAACAGAAGTGAGCAGTGATTTGAAGAGGTAACAGATGGTATCTTTGCACTGCCTGTAGTGGCTGCACCAAGAAGGGTAACATTTTACTTGAACTGTGATGCATAACATTAACATAAACATACCATAAACATGTTATGGCAGATGTCATAAGCTGTCATGACGTGTTATGACAGATTTTGTCAAGTAATATAACTAGGGATGTGCAGATACTGCCAATCCTGACATTTCTTTTTGAGAAGCGATCCTCATATGACAATATATTTACTATGTACTATCATGCACATTTGCTATATACTATATAGCAAACGCATAGGATAGGAACTACTTTTCATTCTGCCCTCTGCCTCAGCTGGTCATACTCACAATGTTAATGCCCACTTCTTTTACTGGTTTTCACCAAAGAAATCACAAAGAAATGACTCTTTTAAAAGTGTTGGTATTAGTATTAGCTAGGGTATAACTTGGTATTCAATCGAAAATAAAGTTAGTGGCATCACCCATTCCTAAAAATAATAGTGTCAGATTATAATTATCATTAATTATACCAGATACTTCTGACCGTACAATGTGATTGGCTGAGAGGCATTTTATGAATGCCAATCTCTCTCTATAATGACACTTCAGACGAATCTCTTTAGGTATCACTCCACCTTATTCGCCTGTAACGTAGCAAAGGCAAACAGCTACAACTTTATTACAAATAAAAATTCAACCGAAAACAACTATAACAACAGCAAGCGATGCAAGCGAGCAACAACACTCTTATTGTAATCAACAAAGCTGTTTACACCAGACTCAAGTGGCAGAGCAGTTTTTTTACGGATGCCCAATTTCTATTTTTGACACGATGTTCCACCTTTAAAGGGAATTCCCCCTTTTTATTTATAATTTCTGCATAATTCAGTCACTGAGATGTAGACAGTCATCCAGAGTGTTTTGATGTGAAATAGTTAATTGGAAAGAAACTTACTGACTTTACAGTGGTGGTGATAGGAACCAGGGGTCATAATGTCTACTACACACATATAACCTTTTTATTTACTATTCAAAACCACCAGTTAACCTATAAGTGTCTACTGATTTTTATATGTAATGTTGTTAATGGTGAAATACTGGTAAAACTGGAAAAATATGTTTTCTTTGTGGACTATTTTGCCTTACAATGCTCTGCATGTACCTCTCCACCATGAATGAATGAAAAAATGAGCCTGAGGCTAAAAGTGTCTCAAAACTATCATAAAACAATGTCTTAGGCATCAGGCAGTGTGTTTATAACCATTTCATGTGATAACTTTCTGTGAGGGAGTTCTTTTTAGAGGTATTGAACTCTTCAGACATCTGGTTCCCATCACCACCACGGTGAATTATTCTGACTCAGTAAGATTTTCTAGTTTGGAGCATTTCACATCAAACCACTCTGAACGACTTTGTCTACATCTTCACCATTTAATTAATGAGAAATTTTGAAAATTGGTGGCATTCCCCTTTAATTACTGAAGTTAAACTGCCTTTTTTCAAAACACAGTTAAACTAGCCAAAAACAGATGAAGAGGAACATGAGGTGGACAAAAGTGAGCTGTTTGACCCTTCCTCTTCTCTGTATAAGGACACTGCCAGTTGTCAGTAGAACCATGTTTTTAATCTGCCGTGAGCAACTGATACTGCTTTGAAACGTGTTACACACATGCAAAACTTGTAAAAAAATGCAAAAAATGCTATATGATGAGTTACTGGTACTGGTGTGCTGCCATCATAGGCACAAGGCTGAAGATATAGCACTACAGCCAGTTGATAGCACCTCTTATTATTATTACTGCGTAATTGTTATGTCATACTGTTAAATGTCATGATGGCTAAATGCAATACACAGCAAAAATTAGAATGTGACAATTACGGCTAATGGAAACATGACACATTACTGAACAAAACCTGTCATGACGACTCATGACAGCATATGACATCTGCCACACACATTTATGGTGTGTATGTGTCAATGTGACATAGCAGGATTCAAGTAAAGTGCCACCCCCAGAAGATTTGTACATCATGTTCTTCTCAAACTGGCCAATTCACATCAACAGCACACCTGGATTAAACAGTTTGAACCTTAAAGTAAACGGCAGGATGAAAATAAAACAGAAAAAACACAAACAACCAGGGAAATCCCAGAGCAACTGTTAAGAGCCCTTTAAAAAACTAAAACTAAGGATGTATAGTTAAGGATGGTTCCAAAAGGTAACGCTCCAACTATCTGACCACAAATGATGGTCAATTTGTACTAAACTTTCAGATGCATATCTCTGACCTAAGTCTACACCCAATCTTAACCAGTCATAACCTACCTCTATAGCTAGCCTGAACCTTAATGAACCATTACTAACCATAAATGACATCGTCCAGACTGTTTATCCATTTGCAGTTCTGCTGTCCGGACTTTATCATTCCAAAAAGTACCATGGTAACAAAGTACCAAAGTATCTTGGAAATGGGCTTTAAAGGAAATGGATTTATAGAGGTAGTAATATAGTGCTAAGTCCAAGCTGCTGTTAAGATCAATTTAACCAGATAATTAAACGGGAATTCCACAGATGTTTTTCAAAATTTCTGCAAAATGAAACCTTTAAAATAAGCAAAGTCATTTAGAGTGGTTTGTTGTGAAATGCTGTATTGTAGACAAACTTACTGACTCACATTTCTTTATAGTGGTGCTGATAGGAACCAGGGGTCGCAATGTCTACAACACAAATGTAGCCATTTTATATACTATCCAAAAAGAACAGTGAACCTTCTGTGTTGTTATAAGTAATGCTGGTGATAGTAAATTAGTTGTCAATCTTAAAAAAAAAAAAGAAACAAGTTTTCTTTGGGTACTTTTTGCCTTCACCCTGCATGTGCCTCCACCATATAAAAAAAAATACAAAAAACCCCCAACATTTTAGGTCACAATCCCCAGGACAACGTCTCAGGCATCAGATAATACCATATTTGTTACAATTTTTGATGTAAAAACTTTGTTATGCAACTTTTAGAAGCATTAAACATTTTGGACATCTGGTTCCTGTCATCAACACTGTGAACAATTCTGACTCCATAAGTTTCTCCAGAAGGGAGCACTTCACACCAAATCCACTCTGACTGCTTTAATCAGCCAGAAATTTTGAAAAGAAAAAAAAAAAAGTGGAATTTCCTGTTAAAATATACATTCACCTTACCACCTTATGGTGATCTCTGTGCTGGGACACTTCTGAAAAGCCAGTAGCTTCAACTGAGGGCAGAAATTTCAACCCCATTTAGGACAATAATAAGCTCAGCACAAAGATACAGCTACACAGAAAAGAGCTTAACTCAAAGTCAGTATCTTTCCACAGCCCGTCTAGCATATGTATCAAATAACAAAACTCAAAAGGACGTCTCTGACCTCATTATTAGCTTATTCATATTGTAATACCTCATTACATTGTTTTATAGGCAGCATGTCTGTTCAGGATATCACCAGCAAGAGGAAAATAGTATAATATGAATACTATGTAATAAAATATATAGTATAGCATCGTTAATAATTCACCTTTTTCATATTTAATTTATATGAATTTGTATGTAATAGGGCTGCACAATATATTGTTTGCTAATTGTTATTAAGATACGGGCCTTTGCAATAATGATATTGCAGAAGGCTGTTTTATGAGTATTTAAGCGAAATTGTTTATTGGGAGCTGTGAGCATCTTGAACAATCTCAAACATTCCAGATGAGTTTTCATAAATCAAGGCAACGTGATCCTACAAAAGTAAAGTATTTTAGACAAAACAATGCAGGCCAATCTTTAACCATGTTATATTAATGATTCAGCAATGCATTTTGTAAGGCATATTACAATATGTAGCTATATCGTCTAGTGGTGGGCAATATGACGATATTTATAGATGACGGTAGGCTTTTTTGGCCATATTGTGGATATTGTCGAACACTGACTGCATGTTTCATTACAAAGAGAGCATAATTAGCCCTGTTTAATAAGATTTACTTTAGTACAGTCTGTGAAAACCTCAGAAAAATGAAATATTGTGATTCTTATTATCAGGAAAATGTCAAAGTATCATGATGTTATATTTTTGCTATATTGCCCACCCCTTATATAATCTTAATATGGTATTGTGTCCATACCGTGCAACCCCAGATGATGGGATACCAACAGACATCCCAGATCACGCCACTGGTCAGAGCTGAACCAAGGGGCCAACTCTAAATGATGGACATTTTTCTTTCAGAAGCACAGTACAGGAGCAGCTCCTAAATCAAATAGTCATTATAAGATGTGAAACACCTCATGGACTCACTCACTCATGGTTAGCAGGCCGAATTCTCCACAAGTGGGCACTATTAGCAGTCAGATAGCTTTTCCTGCTTCAAAAGGCTGCATTCAGATGGCAGAGGATATTTTTGCAAAGTGGAGGAGGAGTGGTTTGGATCTTAATGGGTGGCAAAATATGGAAAAAGTCCAGCAGGATTCAACATTTGCAAATGGCATTTACACCACAACCAGGAAGCAGTGTGATACGAAAGTAAGCTACTCACCGAGCTATGTTGGTGAGGGGTACTGATCTATTTCTCAAAGTCTTTTAACAAGCCTTACTGGTAGATTAATGATAATGTAGAGCATGGCACATATGCTAGTGGATTAATAAGTATACTTGAGCTGAAATCTGTCCTACAGTACAGCCCCATGTTTGCTCTCCATTTCAGCTTTACCCACCCTCTTTTTTGATTGGTTATTTTGTCAAAAATTACAAATGACGAACGCTTAAGTTGAAAATTGTTCAACTTAATCCGCAAACATCCCAACAGAAAAAAAACGGTAGCCACGGCAGAATGAGTGGAGGCCATGGAATCTGCATCCTGCCACCTGAATGCAGCCTAATGGTACGTGTCCCCTGCATGCAGTGCGGAATTCTCCCTCTGTATCCTTCGCCAGTGCTTGAAGGGCATCTCTCTATAACGTAGGACACAAATGAACTCAATCAAGAAGTCGTGGAATCCAAAAAAATTCAAATAAATTCTCTTCTCAATAGACTATTCTTGTAGAGTTCGTTCTAAAAAGGCCTTTTTAAATTAAATGCTTCTGTAAAGTATGACAGTGTGGTGTATTTAAAACATTATTTTTCGCCTATTTACAAAAGTTTCTAGTGACACATGTTCCCACTCTACCTGGCTATAAATATGCAGATTAAGCACCCTAAGTTAGCTACACCATGCATGAATTGCCACGCAATAATGTCTTCCGGATTTGTCAAACACTAGGGGGCGCTCCTGGGAGACTTCAAAATGAATGGGTTGCTATGGATCTTTTGTGCAAAATCATAGCTTGTAAATTCTTACTTATCATTTTTATAGGATTTCGTAACGGGGATTCATGTACATTCATGACGTCAATAAGACTGAACCGCTTTACTCAGCCTATGAGCTGAACAGCTCACCAACCAATCAGCACTCAGCAGCAGTAATGCTAGTGTCCTACTGCCCAAAACCTGTTTGCTGTAATAAAGGCTGGATCAGAAACATTAGGGTAAGGTAATGGGGGGCAGCATTGTTAGATGCAGGTCGGAACTGACCTCTGCAGGAAAGCAGATCTCCAGGAGGAGGGTTGGTGACAAGTGCTGTAGTAAAACGGAAAGATACTGGTAGGTGTTTTTTATATTTCAGTGGAATACCTCCTTCTGCTTTCCAAAATTAAAGGAAGATTCCACACCAATGGGCAGAAACAAGTTTCATATTAACTGTTTAGTTCTATTCACTCTTTTGAATTAGCTGAGCAAGGCCTCCATAAACTAAATTCAGTGTTAAATGAGGTAAAATGAATTTGACAAATTTGAGATAGATGGTTCAGAAAGAACTACATAGGCACACCCTTGTTGTGCAAAGACAATGGAAAGTTGCTTTTGCCTGATTGGTCAGCACGGCACGTGTAAATTGCATAAAGCTGAAGCCAGCTCAACTTTTCGCACCATGCCGAAAATGAATTGGGGTAAAATTTCAGATGACGAATTTGCGTGCAGTGGACTTCCATAAGAGTGGTGCTTCACATCAATGACATGGTTTGTTCTTTTTTTTCAAGATTTGATCTGTGATTCTGTAAATATGAATCACTGTACAAGCTCCATCACAACAATATACACCCCTAGACATGTAGCAAACAAACAATGAGCGTTAGAAGTACGAACGTAAAATTATGCCATTAAGGTGTGTATGCGTGTGTGTATACATGCTTGCTGACAACTGTAGGATGTGTCTGTATGTGCTAGCCTGTACCTGAGGGACACTGGGAGAAAAGTGGGACTGATGGATTTATATGACATTAAGGACAAGCAGACAGACACACGCGCACACACAGAGGCACACAAAGAACATATAAAACTCACTCATTCACCAGCTACATCCGTTGATGCCCATGTCCTGAACTCAAGCTCAATAAATAAATCTACAGTAGATGGGAATAAATAACCTCTATGTGGTAAAACAGTTCGGAAATTGAAGTTCTTCAGCGCTGCTCCTCAGGCTGTGGTGTCACTTCCTCCAACTGTGACGTCTCCTCCTTCTCCTCCCCCTCCTCTTCTGAGTCCCCGTAGGTGCACTCCTGCAGGTGTGTGAAGGTGTGTGAGCGAGCAGCTACTTGGGCAGCGAGGGCGGAGCCTAAACTAAGCACTTCTGAGCCATGCAGTTCTGTCAGCCTGTCAATCACTGAGAGAGTGGGGACTCTGGGAGAAAGGGGGTGTGTCCCATCCGGCCTTGCACCTTCCTCATCAATCAGCCCGTCCGACTGAAAGAACTGCGTTCCTTCCGTTGCATCCCGCCCCCCTCCCTCATCCTCTGTTCCCGTTTCCCCGGTGACGTCTGCGGTACCGCAGCAGAATTCTGTCGTTGCCGTGTCTTTCTCTCGGTCCTCCGTGCAGTCTTTCTCAGTCTGTCCTCCTTCCCTCTCCTCCTCTCCCTCTCCTCCCAGCAGCTGCTGAGATATGTGGTTGCCCGCAGCTGTTGCGAGCTCCATGCAGTCTGGAACCACTGAGGTTTCTGGGATAACGGGATGCTCTGATGTCTCTGTTGTGACCGGGGCCAAAGCGGCTGGAAAGAGGAAAAGAAAGTAAGAGTGCTGGAAATAGTTCCTTAATCGCTGTTCTTTATATTAGAAAATCAGGAGTTCTATATACAACACCATTATAGAGAACAGAGTTTTAAATTCTAATTGTGTTTAAAGGGCCCATTTCCTATATTTTCCTTTTATTTTCCCCCCCAGAGGTCCACATTTTATGTGTCAAAATAGTCGTAATTCATTTTTATATAACATTTTTCAAAATCTTTATTGCTTAGAATTAAACAGGCTGCTTTTGTTACTGTACTTTTAAGACAGGCATATGTATATGACCTCTGATTAGCTGCCCTGTACTGAGCCTCACGAAAAAGGCAGTCCAGACTAAAGCACGGCTTAAAACTTCAGCATGTATATTCATATCAGCATATTCATACTTGTACAATCTGTTAATTTACATATGACCCACTGTACATGTTATTTATGCTCTGCATAATCTACTGTACATGTTATTTAATATTAAGTAGTAGGTTCCTACAAGGCTGTAGATAATTCTAAAATAACTGAAAAGTTGTGACATCAAGAGTGAAGTTAAAACAAAATTTTAATATCTAAAAATCATCATATTAGTCTTAGGGCAACTAAGTAGACAAAATGTAAAACATGATAGCGTTCTTGTTCACAAAATTCTTGAAATATTGAATAAAACATCTAAAAAAGCTTTTTGGCAAGTACTTAGTATTATTTAAATTCACGTTAGTAAGTTACTATTGCACAAAAAAATAACAAAAACTGTTAACATGGCAAGTGATTCCAAACTTGCTGGTAGTGCAGCCTTAGTGATTCAGTGCATTAGCTGAATCATGAGTAATAGATTGTTACTGAAACTGATGTGTGAAGGGGCAGATCTTTAGGAACAGGATTGGGTAACACCGATGTAGTGAATGTTTAGGGTGTTTGTGGGTATTCATATGACTAATGTGAACAATCACGTACACTCTCTCATTCATTCATAAATGCACACACCCACCCATCCACTACATTACCAGGAACATGGTGACTTATGCTTCCAGGATGTACTAGTGTAGTGTACAGTCATATGAAAAAGTTTGAACATAGTGAAAATGAAAAGTTCACACATCCTCTGCAGGGAGCAAACTTTTGAATTTTTTTTCTGCACATTTTAGTGCACAATTTCTATTTATATATATTAGCAAAACATGAAACATAAAATGGAAAAAGTGCCATGACTTTTGTACATGATGACATTTTACGTTATGTTTTTTCTACGATTTTAAATTCAGCAAATAAACAGTAACTGTGCATCAAAGTGTGCAGAACTGTGTTCTCTGTAGAGGATGTGTGCCTATTTTCAATTTTGCTAACTTTTTGCACACTACATCATAAGAGTATTCGTGTATGTGTCTAGTACCTTGGTCGCTGAACAGCATCAGTTTGCGTTTATCTCTCTCTCCCTCTGATGTTCGGATCCCCAGGACGGATTTGAGCTCCAGCAGGACTCTGCGCGATTCCTCCCTCTCACGCCGCTGGCGCTCGCGCTCCCATGGCGACAGCATGTCCACTGCCCCACCCCACTCTGTATCCGAGTCAGAGTCTGAGACATATGCCTCCAGTTCCTGTTCAACACACACGAATCCTGTTTATCTCACCTAAAATGATCTCCATCACCAAACGCATTTCTGTTGCCTCAGCACAGTAAACACGCTTAGCATGGCTTATTCAGCAACAACAAACTGCACTCAATTACTAAATTCTTCTCTTTCATTTACTCCCCAACTCTCTATCCATCTACACTAGAGGAGACAATGGTCTAATACCAGGTATCACTATCAGGTCAATATTAGCAGAAAGTGCTTCAGCATGATAGCCTTCTTTTAGATGCTAATCTTGAGTGATGTGCTTCAATTAAAAATAGCCCATTTTAAGGTTTATTAGTTTTTAAAGAAGAAATATCTGATTTGTATCGGTATCGGCTGATACTCAAGGTTTCAAGGTATTTGCCTCAAGGTATCAGTACCAGAAAAGAATATGTGGTATCGTGCCATCTCTGATCTACACACAGACAGATACATGTTCAGTACCTGTTCCTCTGGGACGGGGTCTCTGTCCTGTATGTGTGTGATGGGGGCAGGAGGAGGTGGGGCAGGACCGGCTGCTTCCTCTGGAGTTTCTGCACTTCCTGAGGAACACACACAAACACAGTCATGTGTCCAGTACATGTCCAGTAGGTGTCATGTCAGAGACTGTGTGAAGTGGGCACATTTACACTTTGACCATGAACTTTTTCCATGTGATCCAATCAGCAGACTGCACACGAAACCATACAGAACAGAAACAATTTAATTCTGTGGAGGTGTGTATATATGTATATATATATACACACACACACATACATACACACACCTATATATATATATATATATATATATATATATATATATATATATATATATATACACACCTATATATATATATATATATATATATATATATATATATATATACACCTATATATATATATATATATATATATATATATATATATATATATATATATATATATATATATATAGACAGTGAGATATTTCCGTGCATCTCGAAAGCGTCTCCCCTGCTCAGTTACTGATTACAGTAGTACTATTAATTATAAATGTTTTAACTGAAAAATAATAATTGAATAACAACCCTGCAGTTTAAGGGGTTAAAAGAAGCCATCCAGCTTGAGGCTTTGGGATTGCACAGTTTAATACTTTCCCTCCTTCAACAACATCTGACTCGCCCTCCACGAGCTGTCGAGTCGGGTGTTACAGCAGGAAAAATGCTGAACAGTGCAGCCCTAACTGGCAGATATGCATGTACGCAGTAACATTACATTTGACCTTTGAGCTGTATCAAAGTACGAGTTTCATATGTGATTCCTGTTAGAGATGACTTCATCTGTCCTTGATAAAAGTAGGACACATCCCAGAGTATGAAGACACAAACACACAGACGTACACACACACACACACACACATACACACTCCCCCTGTCTTCCTCTGTGCGTCTCAGAATAACTATTGGGTGGGAACTAGGCCGAATAAGGAACTCTAAAAATACTCCCACCAAACACCCTGTTACTATAGAAACCCACAGAAAGACATTCTTGAGGTGCCTCTGTGAACGGCGTGGGAATGCACTGTGCAGTGCACACACGCAGACAGACACACACACAGACACACTCTCTCCAAAATCATATGACGATATAAATATCTGATTTGCTGAACTGACTCAATGAAAATTTGCTGACTTTCTAACAAGGAGCACTGACTTATTTTAGTAACAAATGCATCACTAAAAAAAGAATGAGCACCATCTTAACTCTCAGGAGTGTATAGCTCTCATTGGCTTTATGCTTCATCATTTAAATACAATTATGTGTCCCACCTGATTTGGATAATCCCCATATACACTATACATGTTCAAATTGTTAACATTAACTATATGGTGACTCAAGTCAGGTGATTCTAAACAGTGTTAGGATTAGGACCATAGTTAGGTTTAGGATCAGGGTGAGGATTAGGCTTAGGTTTAGAGTAGAGGTTTAGGTTAAGGTTAGGTTTAGTGAAAGTTGAGGTGAATTTAATAGTCATTAAGTTGATTGTAAGTTGATTGTAAAGCATTTACAGTGGCCGATCCAAAAAAGTGCTAATTAATTATATGGTTAGGAATGTAGCGAATTACAAACCCAGATCCAAAAAACGCTGGTAAAATGTAAACAAAACAGACAGTAATGATTTGCAAATCCTTCTTGGTCTGTATTCAACTGAAAACAGTACAAAGACTACATATTTAAAATGTGGGGAAAAAAACAAAAAACAAAAAACCTTTTTTGTACATATACGCTTATTCTAAATTTGATGCCTGCAACATGTTCTGAAAAAGTTGGGACAGGAGCATGTTTACGGCTTTGTTACCTTTCCTTTGAACGACATTCATTAATCTTTTGGGAACTGAAGACACTAATTGTTGTAGTTGCAAATGTGGAATTTCTTCCCATTCTTGCATAACACTTCAGCTGCTCAACACTGCTCCTTTCACACCCAATCATGACAGCATCATCTGTAACCTATTTACCTGTTTACCTGTGCAAAGTTCCAAAATAGGTGTTTTTGATCATTCCACAAACTTCCCTGTCTCACACTGCACCTGTCCTGCTGTAGACAGTTTGAGTATATATTCCATATTTAAGTGTATATTCCATATAATTCCGTAAAGTTAATATATAAAGTATTAAATATCTCTTTTGTGATGTTGTCAATTAATTATTTGTAAAAGAAGCGCTTATAAGTCACCATCAGTGCCACCTAAAAACTTATTTGCTGCTGTCACAACGTTTTTGAAATTGAGTTTGTACATTTCCATCCTGTATCTGTAGGTTCAAGTCTGCACTTCTGCCTTTTTCTGTTTAATTCAATGTCAAGAAATTGCAAACTTTTCATCTTCTCTTTTACACAACAAAAACTTTTCATCCATTCAAATCATACTAAATAAAATATCTCCTCTTCTGCTTACATCTGAGATATAATTTGCCTAACCTAGTCTCTTCTAATCTCACAAACCCACAGCCTCTGATAATCTTGTGGGAACTACACAACATGATTGAAATTCCAGGAGTAAGTACTTTCTACTGGCAGGAAAACATCTTGTTAACTTTCCCTTTCCACTAAAAGGGATTGTTCTGAACATGACCTCTAATGTTAATACACGTGAATACCTTCCACCAACTGTGCTATTCAATTCAATTCAAACATAAATAGATAAATAAACGAATGTACAGCGTTTCTGGCTGAGAGGCCCCTGACCTGGACAGCCGGTGACCCTGCGCAGCATGCGCTCAACCTGTGCGGTCATGTCATCCCAGCAGCAAGAGCTGGCCTGCACGTGGGGCTGCAGAAGGTGCAGCCGCTCCCGCAACTCCTGATACCCAGCACACGTCACCTCCTCTGTCTCCTTAGCAACCATCAGCTTCTCCAACTCATCTTCCAAGATGATTACCCTGGAGTAAAAGGATGTAGAAAGAGAGAGAGAGAGAGAGAGAGAGAGAGAGAGAGAGAGAGAGAGAGAGAGAGAGGGAGAGAGGGAGAGAGAGAGAGAAAAGAGAGTGGAGGGAGAACAGGTGAGAGAGGGAGAGCGTAAGGGAGAAGGGTAGGGAGAGGAAAAGAGGGACGGGGGAGAGAGGGAAAGGGGCAGAGGAAAAGAGAGAGAGAACACATTAACATGACATCAAGCAAAATAGTAACCGCACTGAATATCATAACTGAAAAATAGTATATAGCTTACTGTAACAATCCATTATTTACTGTATAACATAATAAATATAAATAAAATATTTTACATAACATTCATCTTCAGTATTAAAGTAGTTGTAGAGCAACTGCTCCACATTTCCACCTAGATGACATGACTACAAAAACATTCTGACACCAGACCACAACTAATAACTGAACTGCATTAATGTTGTTCCTCTGAACCCGACAATAACAATTCACGTGCTGAACTTGTAATCACTGCCACCTAAAGCAACGCTACTCAAAATTGAATACAATATAATGCACTATAACTTATATGTCCAAAAGTATCCAGACAGGATTCAGCTACTTTAAGGTCCCAACAGAGTGGGACGCTGTGGAGCAGAACCGATTATTCACTAATGCTCTTGTGGCTGAGTGCAATCAAATCCTCACAGCAATGTTCTAACACCTAGAGTATCCTTCACAGAAGAGTAGATGCTGCTATTGCAGCAGAGGAAGACAATCTCCCTATTAATACCCTTGATGTCAAAAGAAACTCTGGATTAGCAGGCGCCTATGACACATTTAAACTAATTTGTTTTTAGGTTTTCAATAGAGAATAAGCAGCAGTAGATACAGAGGTTCATACTCGCTGAGCAGGGCTTTGAGGTGGAGCTGCAGGCTGCGGACGGATGTGTGCAGAGAGTTGAGCTCTCTGCATTTCTGCCTGGCGCGTCCCATCCGACCTGAGGCCGCTGTCTGATGCTGCGTCTCAAAGTAACGATGAAAGTCGTAGCTGCGCTGTAGGTCGCCCAGGCAACCGGCCAGGGTGGGATGGAGGGAGCTGGTAATGGCAGCCACGCTGTTGTAGGCCAGTGGGCGGGGCTTGGACTCTGGCTCCTCCCTCCCCGAGGACAGAAGCAGAGCCAATCGGCGGAAAAACTCCGAACTCTGACCCACCCACAACTGAAACAACAGCTGAAGAAGAAACAATGAAGAACAATTAGTTGACAGGATCCGATTTGTACTCTGACTGAAAACAAGTGGTGACAAACTTGATGTTCAGCACTTCTTTAGTTTCACACTGGAGCTATGATGCTAATAGGTAACTAAGTTATGAAAACTTAGTTCAAGCTGCGTTGTTAAGTAACCTCAAACAGACTTACTGTGATTTACACAAAAGTACAGAGAAGAATTCAGGCATGAAGATGACTACTACAACTATTTTTAGCTATGTTTACATACTCTACATTCTCTACAGTGTCATACAGTGTCAGAAACCACATAATCAAGTATATCCTTAACAATTTGACAGGCTTTGAGGCAAGTGTGGGATGTGTTGTTTAACTGACGACGGTAAGGAGAAAATTGTGTGCATTTAATGTCACAGCGAGTTTTGCTGACCTTCAGGGCAGGCAGGCTGTAGTCATTGGTCAGCTCCTGTGCCTGTTCATCAGAAAGATGCTCCGCCCCCAGGCCAAGACCCAGCTCTCTGATTGGCACAGTGGAGACGTAGTTAGTGACATTGTCGATCTCCGAATTGAGTGGAAAAGTACAGGCATGTACTGTTAAGGACCCAACAGCTTAAACACGAGCGACAAAATCACATTACACAAAACTTTATTCAGAACTAGACCTGTGCTAGTAAGGTTTACTGCAATATTCAACACACAACATACTGTTATTGTGGACAATAACTATTTGAAACACTGTCTCTTCATTTTTAGATACGTAAAGAAGCTCTCTCTTCTCCCTCTACGCTGTCATGTTCTGATCACATGTAGGGCATTATTTATCATTTGATACAGTCATATGCAAACGGGCACCCCTTGATTTTCTGAGTGAAAATAAGTATGCGTTCTCTTCAAACACATTTCTGCACATTTTAATGCACAATTACTGTTTATTTGTTGAATTTAACATATTGGAAAAACTAAATATGGGCTTTGCAAGTTATATATTTTGTTTTTTTTTTTCCCCACATATGTTAAACTCAGCACATAAACAGTAATTGTGCTTTAAAATGTGCAGACGTGTTCCTTATAGATGATGTGTTAACTTGTTTTTGCTTGTTATTTGATCGGGGTATTCAAACTTTTGAACATGACTGTAACTTATTTTTGTTCTCAAAATATTTGAAATATTGAAAAACAAATTAAAATACATTTTGGTGACTAGGTTATAATATTTAAATATGTACTGCTATTGTTGTCTATAAAATAACAAAAAAACATTGACATGAATATATTTCCCAATAATTCCTAATTTTTGAATGGTAATGTATCTCATGAAGAATAAGTCAGTAAGAGAAGGATATGATTTAAGCATGATGCAGGTAGCAAGCCGGGAGGCTCTGAAGGCGCAGCGTAGACTCTGATAGGCCGCTTTCCTCAGACCAATCAGCTGCTGGCTGCGCAGTTGCCCCGCCCTGTTAAAGGGACAGGCCGCACTCACCCTGTCGAGTAAACTTGACAAGTGAAACGTGATCCAACTGTGCAGACGTCCGAGAACCATCAGGGCAGACACAATACACGCTACACAAATAACATACCACACACTCGCTACAGTTAAATTTACACTGATACGCAATCAATCATACACACAGCCTGCTTCAATCAAACAACACGCATACTACAAACTGCACATGCTACAAATCATGATCGTTTATTAGGTTCACTTACCTTGTATCTACACTCATTGCTTGTTTTATCAGGTCCACGTACCACATAGGTGGTACAACTGAAGCTTTACAATTACAGACCATAGTCCATCTGTTTCTCTGCATAATTTGTTAGCTTTACTACATTCATCTATGGTCAGGACTGTCCCGGGACCACCACAGTGCAGATATTATTTGGGTGGTAGATCATTCTCAGCACTGCAGCCACACTAATGTGGTGGTGGCAGCGTTTTAGTGTGTGTTGTGCAAGTACGACTGGAGTTTTTAAAAATGTCTGTGTCAATGCTGGACTGAGAATAGTCCACCAACCAAAAATATTTAGCCAACAGAGTCCTGTGAGCAGAATCTTGTGTCCATAAATTGACCATGAGGAAGGACTACAGGATGACTAACACAAACTGTGCAGCAACAGATAAACTACTGTCTCTGACTTTACATGTACAGGGTGAAGCAACAAGGTAGGTGTGTCTAATAGAGTAGACAGATCCACTTGTAGCAGCACAACACACACTAACACGCCACCACCATGTCAGTGTCACTGCAGTGCTGAGAATGACCCACCACCCAAATAATACCTGCTCTGTGCTGGTCCTGTGGGGGTCCTGACCCATTTATGAACAGGGTAAAAGGGTGCTAAAAATTATGCAAAGAAACAGATGGACTGCGGTCTAAAATTGCAGAACTACAGAGTGCACCTATACAGTAAGTGGTCCTGGACAATGAGTGTAGACACAAGATAGGTAAACCTGACAAAACGGCCAGTTAGTGTACAAATAACATACAAACAACACACAAACATGTAACGTACACTTCATTCAATCCACAAACACACACATATACATATATATATATACATACATACATACATTACACAGAAAACACACACACAAGCATTCAATGATGTACTTCATACAAGCCACATACAAAAACAGAGAAATCATACACTGTACACGCTACCCTACAACAGGCCTGTGCCACCCTCTTATTTGAATAATCGCATGAAAAAAGTTGCTGTACACAGGTTACATGAGTTGGGGGGTATTTTTTCCCCCTTAGCTTTTACCTTTAATTTGATAATTATGCTTCAACTCACATACTATCATTTTCTTTGCTCCCATGTCCGTGTCAGAGTTAGGAACTGCCTCATAATTGCTAAAAGTGTTGCTTTTTTTTATCTACCCACCTACCCATGCATATTATGACCGTGTTGAGAATTTTTATTAAACTGCTTCAAAAAAATAACTTGCTTTGAATTTGACCGCTACAGGAACACAGCTCTGGTTGGGGGAGACAGTGAGAGAGTGAAAGCGAGAGGCTAAAGGAGACCGTGGGAGAGAGCAGCACTTGCGAAAAAGTTAGCTAACCGCTGCATGTAATTACCTATGTTGTCTTGGCCAAATTTGCCTTCTCTTAGATGGAATGCTTAGTTGTGGCAACACCAGTGATTTATCTTAAATTTGTTTAACAGATGAGTACTGAGAAACACTAACAAGAAGCCACACGATGAGGAGGAGAGCTCTGTTCTAGAGAAACCGACCACCAGAACTGTTGCCGGTGGTGGTGATAGGAACAAGATGTCTGAAGTGTCTAATGCGAGTAAAATCTACATCACAAAGTTATTTCATTATACGTTCATTATGAATACGCTGCCTGATACAATTTTTTATAGTTTTTGTTGTAGTTTTATAGTTCTGAGATAAGCTTTTGGCCTAAAACTAATTTTTAAATGCATTTACAGTGGAGAGGTACATGCAGGGCGTTGTAAGGCAAAACAACAGTCAATGAGAACCTTTTTCAGATTTGTAACTATTTTACTATCATCAATATTACATAGAAAAACTGAGAAGACGTGTAGGTTAACTGGTGGTTTTGGATATTGAATAAAATGGTTATATTTGCGTTTTAGGCTTTGCAACCTCTGGTTCATATCAGCACCACTGTAAATAAAAAAAAAAACCTGAGTCTAAGTTTCACTACACCAAACCATTTCACATCAAACCACCCTGAATAACTTTGTTTACATCTAAATAATTGAATTATGAAGAAATTTTGAAAAAGTGGTGGAATTCCCCTTTAAGCATGCACAACCTTAATAAGATACAGTCAGAATAAATGGCTATATCTTAGAGAAGGTCATTTTGGTCATTTCATTGGTTGATATTTGAGAAAAAGACGTTATATAAGTCTAGCTCATCTCCGTCTTCAACGTGTTTTTTGCCAGCGATTATGGTGTCTTTTGTTAATCATAACACCCTGGTAGGCTGTAGTGTGACCTACACCAGAGCAAAAAGGCTCAGAAATCATCATGATGATCTAAATATCATCATCATCATCATCATCATCATTATCATCATCATTTTTTACAACACTCACAAAGATGCCAGGTTAAAACTGAGGCAGGCAGCAGGTAAGACCATCTTTTTTTCTATATTTATGTGACAGTATACAGCTTAACAAAGTGTGCAAAGAATATATAAAAACATACAGTGGTGTGAAAAAGTGTTTGCCCCTTCCTGATTTCTTATTCTTTTGCATGTTTGTCACACTTAAATGTTTCAGATCACCAAACATATTTAAATATTAGACAAAGATAACACAAGTAAACACAAAATGCAGTTCATAAATGAAGATCTTTATTATTAAGGGAAAAAGAAATCCAAACCTACAGGGCCCTGTGTGAAAAAGTGATTGCCCCCCCTAAACCTGATAACTGGTTGGGCCACCCTTAGCAGCAACAACTGCAATCAAGCGATTGCGATAACTGGCAATGAGTCTTTTACAGCGCTGTGGAGGAACTTTGGCCACTCATCTTTGCAGAATTGTTGTAATTCAGCCACATTGGAGGGTTTCCAAGCATGAACCGCCTTTTTAAGGTCATGCCACAGCATCTCAATCGGATTCAGGTCAGGACTTTGACTAGGCCACTCCAAAGTCTTAATTTTGTTTTTCTTAAGCCATTCAGAGGTGGACTCGCTGGTGTGTTTTGGATCATTGTCCTGCTGCAGAACCCAAGTGTGCTTCAGCTTGAGGTCACGAACAGATGGCCGGACATTCTCCTTCAGGAATTTTTGGTAGACAGCAGAATTCATGGTTCCATTTACCACAGCAAGTCTTCCAGGTCCTGAAGCAGCAAAACAGCCCCAGACCATCACACTACCACCACCATGTTTTACTGTTGGTATGATGTTCCTTTTCTGAAATTATGTGTTACTTCTACGCTAGATGTAACTGGGACAAACACCTTCCAAAGGTTTTTTTTGTCTCTTCAGTCCACAGAGTATTCTCCCAAAAGTCTTGGGGATCATCAGGATGTTTTCTGGCAAAACTGAGACGAGTCTTTATGTTCTTTTTGCTCAGCAGGGGTTTTGTCTTGGAACTCTGCCATGCAGGCCATTTTTGCCCCGTCTCTTTCTTATGGTGGAGTCATGAACACTGACCTTAACTGAGGCAAGTGAGGCCTGCAGTTCTTTGGATGTTGTTGTGGGGTCTTTTGTGACCTCTTGGATGAGTCGTCGCTGCGGTCTTGGGGTAATTTTGGTCGGCCGGCCACTCCTGGGAAGGTTCACCACTGTTCCATGTTTTCGCCATTTGTGGATAATGGCTCTCACTGTGGTTCGCTGGAGTCCCAAAGCTTTAGAAATGGCTTTATAACCTTTTCCAGACTGATAGATCACAATTACTTTGTTTCTCATTTGTTCCTGAATTTCTTGGGATCGCAGCATGATGTCTAGCTTTTGAGGATCTTTTGGTCTACTTCACTTTGTCAGGCAGGTCCTATTTAAGTGATTTCTTGATTGAGAACAGGTGTGGCAGTAATCAGGCCTGGGTGTGGTTAGGGAAATTGAACTCAGCTTTCCAAAGATGTGATAAACCACAGTTAATTTATGTTTTAATGGGGGGGGGCAATCACTTTTTCACACAGGGCCCTGTAGGTTTGGATTTCTTTTTCCCTTAATAATAAAGATCTTCATTTATGAACTGCATTTTGTGTTTACTTGTGTTATCTTGGTCTAATATTTAAATTTGTTTGGTGATCTGAAACATTTAAGTGTGACAAACATGCAAAAGAATAAGAAATCAGGAAGGGGGCAAACACTTTTTCACACCACTGTAAATTAAACCTGTACATGAAAAAAATGTTATTAATATTTGTATGCAGCTGACATACGTACACAGTCTTTTAAATGAAAAACTGTGTGTAATAGCCGAGTGCAAAAAAATAAATATATAAATAAATGAACACTATTATTATCTCTACAAGTACGTGTTGATGCTTCCATGAACATCACTGATGATATGTTCAAACCATCAGCACATGTACTTACAGAGGTACTACTGCTATTAATAAAAACAATAATAACAGCAATACTTTTTCATCCAGCAATTTTGAGATAGCTCCTCACTCTGATTTGGATATGGGAGGAAATGTAGTGATAGTGTGCGAGTTGAAGCTTAATCTTTATCAAATATAAGAACGTCAAAAAAGCGCAGTTAAAAATGATAAACTACTAATAATAAACTAATTATCTACGAATAAACTGTAATTAATCTTGTACGAAAGAATCGTACAGTGCCGTGGTGTCTGTAGCCGCTTAGCTTGGCCTGACTGTACGAGAGCTGAGAAACTACAGTGTTTTTGTTCTGAGACCTGAAGCTTTTTAAGGTCTGAAACACTATGGTCAGAGGATGGGCTAAAATGACTTAACACGTTCAGACAGGGCAGCTCAACAGCCAAGTTTCTATTCTATGTTGGGTACAATTAGTGTAGTAGATAGGATATCAGTTCACCCTACTTATTTGTAGAGGGTTAAATATGCAGTAAAAATGAATCAAATTCAGGCATTTTAGTACAACAACCCAGCATCACCTTAACATTCTGCTTTTCTAGAGAACAAAATACATGATCAAATATTGGTTTAAAATACTGCTCAAATGTGAACACCTGTCTGACGGCATTATTTTTTAGTAAATATCTGATAATACCAATTTGACTCTGATATCATTATGCATCCCTATTTTTATGATCACTGTGGACTTTTAACATAGTACTGTGATTAAATGTTACCCCACACCACAAACTCTACACAGAAAATTACATATCTATAGATTTACATTTGCAAATGTGCACATTTTTAAAAGTAAAAATAAGTACACATTCTCTACAGAGAACACTCTTCTGCACATTCTAATGCAGAATTACTGTTTATTTGCTATTTTTCAATATGTTAAACTGCATATTTGCAAAAATAATGCCATACTTAAGTTTGTTCTCTGTAGAGGATACGTTGAATTATTTTCACTATCATTATTTTACAATCAACAAAACATGTAATTTGACCAGTACTGTTCAAACTTTTGCATATGACTGCACACTTAGAAATACTACCAGACACAACAAAGACAACAGCATGCACATGACATATATAAATCAAACCACATACACTTTGCACATGCATTACCCAACATGCACTAGCACAACACTATAGCAGTTAAAGAATTACACACAGATTTGACAACATATGGACAACACATGCCATAAATGACACCACATGACAGAACAAATATAATCAGTTACATTAACCTTTCCTCTCGAGCATTAGAGTCTGTGTGTTTGTATGTGTATATATTAATTTTGCTGGGAAATGAGCTGATTGGTCACATATGTTGTCTGTTAATAACCAAACTTGAGTAATTTCTGAGATTGAAAAAGAAAGCCAGGAAGTCTTAAATGGTTTAAGCTGTTTGTTTACGTCAAGTGATAATTGCATTCCATGGTAAAGCAACTTTTCCCTCCAATTTACACACACACACACACACACACACACACACACACACACCGCAATGTACAGCTTTCCCTGAGGCAGATTTCACAACCCTTATGATATTAACCCTTTACGTAGGCTGCATGTTAAAATTGTGTGAAGTCACGAACATTCATGCACACTGCTGCCACAGCATATCTCAGATGACCCTCTAACATAGAAATGGAGCAGAAACCAGCAACAAACAATGAATTATGAGGCTAAAAAAGGAACTCCTTAAACTGCACATCCTAGTTGTAAAACACAAATAAAGCAAAACAGTCATTTATCTTGGGACATATTTTAAAAAAAAAAATCGGCCTGTATTATTTTGACCAAAATAATTTACGTTTGTTGCATTATAGGGATGCACAATCGGAATCAGCCAAGATCAGAATCAGCAGAATTTTGTTCCAAACATGCAAATCAGCCCAATGTATTATTTTTACTTTGGTTGATCTGTGTTGCAGTTTTACGACATAAATAATGGGAGACAAATGAGTGAGTGCACTCGTGCTGTATTTGAATGCTGCTGCTACACCTATAACAATACGTTATAAACTCACTGTGCCATAAATACCAGTTACCTCCATGTAGCACATTTTTGACTAATGTTATATAACAAGGTATCTGAATTTTAGTTTATGAACTTAAAATGGCAGTTTGGTCTAGTAAAGAGCAAATAATGCTGTTTATATTGCGACTTTGGATAAAAGAAAACACTGACAATGCGCCGGTGTGTTTCCTTTAGTTAATAAAAATCGTCTATCGGCCAATTTGGCTGATTCCTTGAACTTCTTAATTCTTAATTAGATTGCTGTATCTAAGACATGCCATGAATATTCGCAAAGGCAGCTTTAACTATTGGTCCAAATTAAAATAAACAACTAACAGCTAAATTACAGACATGCCTTCTCAGTGTTCAGCATTCACGCTGTGTGTTTTGTTTGAATGGTTCCACTTGCACGCAGCACTATTTTTGATTTTAATGCCATAATCATCAGTCTAAACTGGTGTCATGTGGCTTATGCTGGGTTACCTGCAAAAGTGTTTGGAGAGTGAGGCAGATGTAAATATTTAGATGGAAAAATTAAAACATTATTTGCCTGCCAGATTTAAGGATGAACTATAAATATGCAAAGGGGCTCATGGTAAAGTAGTTTGACACACTTGCAGTACAGAAACTGGAACTGGCCATAAAACTCATGATCAGGCATCCCTCTAGGATTATATGAATACGTTGATCGAAACACCCACAGAAACTCTCATCTTCAACGGTGATTGGTCAGAATGCTCACAGCACACAGTTGAAAAACATTGTGACTGGTGAGAGGGCTCATTTGCTTACTCATTGCAAACATAATATACGTTGTGCATCTCCAACCAGTAACTACTATGAATGATTTAGTATCTACTTTGAACTTATGTTAAAGTTATAAGTAGTTATAGTGAGAAAATGAAGCATGAATCTACACACAGTTTAGGGGCTTTAGGGGTAAAACACAAACAGCAAACTCAGACAACAGACACTTTTACAGAACAGGTTGAAAAATGATGTAAAGAAAAAAAAAAGTGAAAAATATACACTTACAGGGTGAATCCGCGAGAGATGACCTCAGTCTCCTGGATTAGACGGAGTGATTTGCGGGCCAGGCTGGTCAGCGCTCGACTATTCATCACCAGACTTTCCAACTGGATGGCTTGAGATTGAACACGCTGCTGCAGCCCTGCCTTACGCCACAGAGACACACCACGAAACATACACAGAACACACACTGCACACACACACAGCCACAACAGGGCTTGATCATCCTCAGGACAAGAACACCAAACAGCAAGGAGGACGGCCACCAGTCCGACCAATACGGAGACATCCCTGTGAACAAACACACATCCTTACTGCCATGCTTACAGTAAAGAATGCTTCATGTATTTGACTGTAGGTGTTGTAAGTTATACTGTTGCATGGTATATATTGTGCATTTGAACTGATGGTTTAACCAAAAATTAAATTTACACAATTTTTACTCTTTACCAAATGTAATCGATTCGTTCATTATACAAACTTATACCGAACTTAGGTGCCATGTTAGTTTTGCGTTCAAGATACAAGACCATTAGTAGAACGCTTTGAACATAAAATGAGTAAACTGCATGTCTAAATCATCACACACTTGTCTTAAACCACATCAAGTTGTTCAAAAGAAATTCCACTGATTTTTTACACCTTTATCCATAATTAAATCATTAAGATGTGAGCAAAGTCATTCAGAGTAATCTGATGTGAAATGTGCCTTTCTAGAGAAACCTGCTGAGTCTGACTTGCTCACAGTGGTGATGAAAACCAGATGTCTGAAGAGTTTAATGCCTCACAGACTGTTATTTCACAAAAAAATATCCTGCCTGTTGTCTGAGACATTGTTTTACAACGGTTTTGAGGGAATTTTTGGCCTAAAATGTAGTTTTAAAACACATTCATGGCAGCAAGGTACATAAAGGGCATAATAAGAGAAAATAGCCTCCAAAAAAGTTTACTTTTTCATATTTACTACTATTTTACCATTTTCACAATTCCACATCAAAACTCAGAAGGCACATGAAGATTCACTGGTGGTTTTGGATTGTAAATAAAATGTCTATATTTGCATTGTAGACATTGTGACCCTTGGTCCCCATCACCACCACTGTGAAGAAATCTGAGTCTGTACGTTTTCGCACACTGCACCATTTCACAACAAACCACTCTGAGTGTCTTTGTTAACAACTAAATCATTGATTTATGCATAACTTTTTAATATAGAATTGTCCTTTAATCAATCTCAAAACATACTTGGTTTCCGATACTGTGACATACAGTTTTCTACAAAAAATTACAAATCTAGGGTCAAGCATGTCATATACGTAAAAACAGTAGTAGCAGCCAAGCTGCCCTGTATTATGTCCATACATTTTATAGATAACAGTATGTCATACAGTGTCAGAAAACATATAAGCAAGTCTATTTGACACTACTAAAAACTCAACACGGTTTGAGGCGAGTATGATATGAGATATGAGGTTTGTACAATTCTGGGTGGCTCCATTAACCTTGTAGCTCCAGGGCAAATCTAAAGAAGCAAACATGAGTCTAGACTGCAGGCAGGCCAGTCTAGCACCTGCACTCTCTTGATATGAAGTCACGCTGTTGTAACATGTATAGAATATGGCAGGGTTGTCCCTGCTTGTTTCAGCAAGACAATGTCAAGCCATATTCTTTACATGTTACAACAGCGTGACCTCATATCAAGAGAGTGCAGGTGCTAGACTGGCCTGCCTGCAGTCCAGACAATCTTGGCTGATCGACTACATTTAAGATACGGGGGGAGAAATTAGATTTTTGGCTGAATCATTGCTATAATGTCTAAGCTGATGTAAGCAGAGTGTGTGTGCGTGCGTGTACCATAGTGACGGTGGTGAGAGGTAGTATGGCGCAGGCAGAGCTGTGGTCGCACTAGGGCAGACAGTATTAGTGGAGCCCAGAGAGAGAGCGCTGGGGTCTAAAAGCTCGATCAGCTCCACATCCTCCTGCAGCAGCACATCCTGAGACAAGACACAGCGCAGAGAGTACTGACGAAATGCAGTGTCCTGTCGGAACAGAGAGAGAGAGGAAGAGAGAGAGAAACAAATTTATCAAAATTTGTCTGAGACTGCAAATCAATACTTTAATTACCTACCCTACCATTATAGTCTGCTGCTGGAACACAGTTTATTTGGAACACAAGGGCACCAATGTGGTAAAGTACTTTTTTCTTGACTCAAATATGCTTCTGATAACTCCTTCCTTTCTTCTCACTTCTCTTGAGCAACTATCTGAATGAACTGATAAACAATAAAAAAATGTATTAATAATGACTAAAACAATTAATTTTACAAAAAATGATTCAGATGCCATCTCCATTACAGTCATGTTTCAGAAATTACATGAGTCAATGTCTTTGCTTACTGCTCCACAAAACCAAGACGTTAATTACTCATGATCAAACATTACCAACAACCATACATTTGTCAAAAGAGATGTAGCTGTATTTATCATCTTATGCTTTCAGTAACTGATAAAAAGCTATAACAGGCCACTTAACATCTGCATCACCAAACACTGTTCTGACCGCACAGTCTGATAGGTTGAGAAGCGTTCTAGCCATGCTGTTATTTACAACACATTTTTTTCATTATAACCATCAACTGCATGAGCACCGGTTGCTGAGTAACTACTTTAGTATATATGAAAACAGAAAACGGACACATTAGAGGTAACTTCTTTAAGAAGGACTGCATCAAATTCTGAACCTGAATTAGCTAGAAACTAAACAAACTGATCAAACAAGATGTGCTGGGAAATGCATTACAGACTGGCAAGTAAAAAGCGAACACCATATTGGGACAGTTTATGGCTCTATCTGTAATGCAAAAGGATGCTGCTTTTTTGGTGATAGGAATTTTCAATATTAAAACACATTTGATTAAATATTTAGAGCTTCTTTGCTTTACTTTTTTCTTTATTTTACAAAACGGTTGCATAAACACAATAGAACACTCAAGACTGTGTGTCACAACTGTGATAATCTGTGATTATAATTATTATAATAATAAACAGCTACTGGAACACAGTTTGTTTGGAATGCAAGGGCACCAACGCGGTAAAGTATTATTTTCTTGAGTCAGATATGCTTCTGATAACTCTTCACTTGCTTCTCACCTCCATTAATGGTACTCACCTTCATTCATAAGACACTCCCTCTTGTGTTCCATTGCTTAAATACAGTACTGTGCAGGGAAGCCAAGAAAACTGTTTAAAACTATTTATTGTAGCAACGAGTGAATTTTGCCAGTTAAAACTATAAACATTAGAACATTAGAATAAATACAAATAAAACAAAAATACAGTAAAATGTAACAAGTTTAAAAACAATGTTTTGTTTTTAAAAAAAGGTAGTAATATAAACCCAAAAAGAAGAGATTTGTAAACTGTCTTTTACAAGTCTTTCACTGAAAACAGCACAAAGAAGAGATATGCATTATTTTCCTTTTTTTGTATATGGCCAAATGTATTTGGACACCCCTCCCAAATTATTGAATTCAGGTGTTTCAACTATACCCCTTGCTAACCAGTGTATAAAAATCAATAATCATGCAATCTCCAGAGACAAACACTGGCAGTAGAATGGGTCATACTGAAGAGTGATCTTAAATGTGGCACTGTCAAAGGATGGCTCTTATGCCAGTGCAGGAAATCTGTACTTAGCTAAATCTGCCCCATCAACTGTTAATTATGAAACTGAGGTGTCTAGAAGTAAGAACAGCTCAGTCACAAAGTGACAGACCATGCAAACTCACAGAGCGGTGATCCACGTAGCGCATAGAAATCTCCTTTCCTCTTAAGCCTCACACATTACAGAGTTCTAAACTGCCTATGGAAGCAACATCAACACAAGAACTGTGGGAGTTTCATGAAATGGGTTTCCATGGCTGAGCAGCTGAGCACAACCCTATGATCACGATGCACAGTGCCAAGCGTCGGCTGGAGTGGTATAAAGCACGCCGCCCCTGGACTCTGAAGGAGTGGAAATGTGCTCTCTGGAGTGGTGACTCATACTTCACTATCTGGCAGTCTGATGGACGAATCTGGATTTGGCTAATGCCAGGAGAACGCTACAAACCAGAATGCACAGTGCCAACAGTAAAGTTTGGTGGAGGAGGGATAATGGTCAGGTTGTTTTTAGGGTTTCTACAGCATACAAAGACATGTTAAACAATTCTATGCTTCCAACTTTGTGACAACAGTTTAGGGAAGGCGAGGTCCATAGAAACATGGCTTGACAAGTTCGGTGTGGAGGAACTCCAGTGGCCTGGGATAAATTGGAACGCTGAAACGCGAGCAAGGCCTTTTCGTCCAGCCTCAGGGCCCGACCTCACAAATGATTTTTTGACTAACTGGACAGAAATTCTTACAGACACACTCCAAAATCTTGTGGAAAGGCTTCCCAGAAGAGTGGAGGCTATTATGGCAACTTCATAGTAATGCCCCTTGGTTTTGGAATGAGATGTCTAAAAATCTCATACAGATGTGCTGGTCAGATATCCACATACTTTTAGCCATATAGTGTATATGCTAATTCCAAATTTAATGCCTACAACACATTCCACAAAATGTTGGGACAGGGGCAATGTAAGATGCTGAATGATCAAAAACACCTGTTTTGGAACTTTCCACAGGTAAACAGATCAGTAGGTAACTGGTGATGTTATCATGATTGTGTTTAAAGGGAGCATTTATGAAAGGCTCAGTAGGCACTTTGCAGAAAACTGATTAAATGACCAGCCCAACAGTTTAAGAACAATGCTTCTCAATGCACGATTGCAAGGAATTTTGGGATTTCACCATCCACAAGTCCATAACATTATCGAAAGATTCAGAAAATCCAAAGAAATCAATATTAAATGCTCATGACCGTCAGTCTTTCAGAAGGTACTGCATTAAAACTGACATTCTTTTGTAATGAATATAACCAAATGGACTTAGGAATTCTTCGGAAAACCCTTGTCAGTGAACACAGTTCCTCACATCTACAAATGCAAGGTAAAACTCTACTATAGAACGGAAGCCATACATCAACAACATCCAGAAAAGAAGCCAACTTCTCTAGGCTAAAGCCCATCTGAGATGGCCTGACGCAAAGTGGAAACGTGCGCTGTGGTCCACAAGTCTACCTTTCAAACTGTTTTCAGAAATAATTTATGTCATGTTCCATCAAGTTCCATCCCAATTGTCACCAACGCAAAGATCAAAGGTCAGGGTTTGTAGTGGTATGGGGGTGTGTTAGTGCCCATATCATGGGTAACTTGCACATCTGTGAAGCCACAATTAATGCTGAGAAGTACATCCGCATTTTGGAGCAAAATAGGCTGCCATCTAGATGATGTCTTTCAGGGATGTACATCCGCATTTTAGAGGAGAATGTGCTGCTATCTAGACAACGTCTTTTTCAGGGTTGTCCCTGCTTGTTTCAGCAAGACAATGTCAAGCCATATTCTATACATGTTACAACAGCATGACTTCATATCAAGAGAGTGCAGGTGCTAGACTGGCCTGCCTGCAGTCCAGACCTGAGCCCCCAGACTGCTGAGCAGATGAAGTGTTATATCAAGCAAGAACAGGAAAAAAATCCACTGTCACAACTACAATAACTGGTGTCTTCAGTTCCCAAACGATTACTGAACGTTGTTAAAAAGAAAGATGATGTAACACACTGGTAAACATGCTCCTGTCTCAGCTTTTTTGGAACATGTTGCAGGCATCAAATTAAGAATAAGTGTATATGTACAAAAAACAATAAAGTATTAGTTAAAAAAATAAATATCTGGTCTTTGTAATGTTTTCAATTAAATACAGATAAAAAGCAGTTGAAAATCATTGCTGTGTATGTATTTTCTTACATTTATCCAAAATTTTTTTTGGAAATGGGTTTGTGTCTTAATTAAATGAATTAACTAGAAGAATAACTTCTTTAACAATCCATCAACAGCACTCCTGACTTTATTTAATGAAGGACTAATTAGATAAACTAGGTATTGGATGGTAACGGTTAATCCTGGACATTTGAAATGGTTAAGCTAACACACTCCCTCACATTAAATCAAAAACATGTTTCTGTTTGTTTATTTGTATTTCTTCTAGTGTTGAACCAGTAAATGCTCATGGCCCAGATAAAGACGACTTTATGTATAATTTTCTCAGACTCCTGCACAGTATTTAAACACCAGACATCATATATGAACATGAATGCAGAGTCTTCCTTACAGCAATAAACAGCTGAAGAGCCTTTAGTGTGCTGGGTGGTAGAGTGTGTGTGTGTATGCTGAGTGGTGAGCTTTATCTGAGTTTACTTACCAGCTGCTGCTCCAGCCGCAGGGGGGCACTGCCCTGATGGAACGGAGTCAGACTCCACAGAGCCTCAGCCAACCTCCAAATACCACCATTCTGCCAACCATAAAAAATAGCATCACTCGATTATTACTGTACACATTAATATTACAAATTCACATCAGTAACATTATTTTTGTGCTTAAAGACGCAATACCTACATGGCTACATGCTGAGAGAAGTAGATTGAGGCAGTAATACAATGTATCTAACAGGATTACTATTTAAACATAAACGCCACGTGTCCACATATGTGTTTCTCATTACAGATGTTTATCTTTTTTTTGTTTTAAATAGAAAAGTAAGTTTGTATTACTTTTAACTGTTAAATCTTACTACTTTTATGGTTTCCCTTGTAAACTCTAAGGATATGAAACAAAATAACAAAATGTTATGTTAGAAAAATGTTAGAATACCTAAATGCGGTAGTGACATACATATGTACTGGTAGTTATATGATAGTTTTACATATATAACTTTTAAATACACATTTTGAAAAGAACATTTGTGGGAAAAAACTTTACAGATTTATCTTCAAATCTTACAGTGTTACATTAATGAGCTTGTGGTCACTTAAATTGGAAAATGGTACTACAGATCAATTTAAAATCAATTAAATCATTCAGGTTAATATGCAATAATTCAACCAAGCATCACTCTTTGTATATCCAAAAAAAAGAGAACATTAAGTTTCAGCCATTTTAATGTTCTTAAGTTTATATCATGTTCGTGAGAATAAACCAGCTACTATAAGGAAGACGACATCCTGTATCACTGGAGTCATCAAACTCACACATAAAACACGTGCAAGGCAACGTTAGATTATAACAGCGGGGGTAAATCCGGATAAACCCTGAGGCACGTTACACACACAGAATGATCATTGATTCCAGTCTGGGCCACATCCACTCAATTATTAAACACCACGCCATCCTCAGGACTGTGTTATTGTATTGATTAGCTTTAAACTGTCCAGCTTTTGTACTTCTGTTTTCATAGCTTAGCGTTTCTATAAGCTTGAAAAGTGCAACTTTCAAACTGCAAATCCAAACTAACTCGCGTCTATGTTGCCCGTTGCCCACATTCTTCGGACACTTATGTTGTAATCCGTGAGCTGTGCTCACTTTTCATCAGCTTGAATGCAAAAGACTGAATAAAGGAAATGAATGAACTTTTTTTCCTCAGAACTTTTGAGGTAAAGCCAGAGTGTATTCTGTATTCTGTTAGCGTTGCTCTGGGACATTCGGGGTGCTTTGTGTGTTCAAGACAGCAAGCAAAGTAGAGAAAGAGATGGGATGTGTGTGTGTGTGTGTGTGAGAGAGCACATAAAGAGGACACCATGTACACTTGCTTAGCTCAGTAGAAACCTCAGCAGTAAAGAATATGGGCCTATGCAAAAACAGTGTTATAAAGTAATAGAGACAATAAAGTTGGCCTAGTTGGCTCTGTGTTACTGTAACTGTGAGATTATCTGGCTTATACTATTCAGTACAGGCTGTTCAGTGAGCATATGCATGTAATAATATATTTAATGATAAAACGCCTCATGTGTATTATATAAACACATTATTATGCAAAAGTTTTCGAACCTGAGAAATTCAGATCAAAAGGTTATTTATTATCTGGTCGGCTAGATTTTACTTGCTAAGAACTAATACTAATAAATAAATACAAATAACATTATTATAATATGCAGTGATTTTATCTATGTCAGTGTGTTTTGCCCACTACTATGTGTAGTTATCTTCCTATACCTGGTATGGCTAATCAATTCTTCATTCTGTTAAATCCAAAGAGCTGCTGATGGAATGTAATAAATCTATGTGATGGCTGGTGAGATCGAAGAGAAACCTGGAACCACAGTACTGTATATCTCCAAAACAGTAACTTTTATTCTAGATTTTTAAGTAATTTTGGCCAATGCTCATTCTGCTCATTAGGGATTAAATTATTAGTCAAATTGTTAGTCATTTTTTTATATTTATACACACACACAAACATACATATAAGTGATAAATGTTGAAAAGATATATATATTATATCACACACATACACCGATCAGACATAACAATATGACCACCTCCTTGTTTCTACACTCACTGTCCGTTTTATCAGCTCCACTTACTATATAGGTGCACTTTGTAGTTCTACAATTACAGACTCCATAATGCTAGTCCAGGTAGATTTAGTCCCAATTTCTTTATTTTATATATGTTTCAGTATCGCCATTAGCAGATACATACATGAAAAACATCAAGTATTAGCATCAACTTGCATTGGTGCATTCACATATAATGAGAATTTTCTAACCCTGAACCTGACTCTACTCGCAATCCCAGTCATCTTTTGCTTTAACTCTTTCCCATCAAAATGAAACAAACAGGTATCTGCACAAACGCACACATATAAAACAGTCATGGCATTGAAGCACACAGGAGTGCATTTACACACATAAAGCACACAACATAAGCACATTACTCAACCTCAGAATCTTTTCAACATTTATCACTTCCTGTTACAGTGATGACCAACAGACCAACACTAGCTCCCAGAGTGCGTCACTCTGGACCACATGCCTGCCTGTATTTAGAAATATCAGATTAAGAGGAGGCAGCAGCATCTGCTTAGGTTTTATTTAAACAATAGGGTCCCATTAACTGCATTAGTACACATGATTCTGTGCATGTGTGTATTTTAAGAGCCTTAAAGGTTCAACATGCAAAGCTGTAATGCTGACATTCTTTATTCAAAGCAGCTTCTAGCTAATTAACACAGCACTCCCAGTCCTCCGCAGTGGTGCATTGCAAAAGTGTTGGCTGCCCAGTCCAAGTTCTCTTAGTACAACTATAGATGGCATGACAGCACTCATCCGATATTGAAACCTAACATTTTTCTCTTTAAACAAGAAATACTAAACTTTAAAATGAGCTATTTTCAATTAAGCACTTCACTTAAGATGACTCAGGACCAGTGAATAAGGTGACAAGTTCAGAAACCAATCCCCCAAAGTGGGGCCCAGAGGCATTGGTACTAAGGGAAAATTATGGTGCTCTATAAGACTAAAATACAGAGGTAACTTGTGTTCTACTGGCTCCAAAATGGTGGCATGTTACACTATTTGCAATGTAGTTTGTAGATGGCCGCTAAGCTCTCACAGCAGTTAGAACAGTCCACAAAAGGCAATAACATTATTAATTTCACACAAAAATGAAGAGGTAGGGGGGTAGTGATATGCAAATTTCACAATACAATACATATTGCTATTTTGCATCATGATATGATACATTTTTCGATACAGAATTAAAAAATGTTTTTTTTTCCCCCGAATACAAGTGTGCTCGTCTTGTCATCTGCTAGATGTATGTTATATGTTGCACATGTGTGTTTGGGAAACACGTGTTATTATAGCTCACAATAATGAAAGTAAATTTTGTGAACTAAACCTACATCTCAAAATAAAATTAACTGAGCATTACAAACTGATCTTTTGTTTGTAAATAAACTGTGGCTATTACCTTCTGGCTGAAATGAGGCTGACAGGAGATTTTAGTGTTACTCAATCACTCCCAGCAAACTGCGGAATCCAGGACTCTCTACAACCAAGTACTGGCGCAAACTGGCAGCTATAAGCATCCCTATGGAATTTGTTCCACTCATTTAGAATCGGCACATAGTGACCGTCTGAACGGTGACTAGCGGTGACTCATCTTTTCTCCTCGCTCTGATAACTGAGACTTTCAGTCATGTCTTCACAAATGAGTTAGTATAACTGAGGCACTCCACTTGCCATTTCAAACAGTCTGGCTAATCAATCATCCAAGGTAGACAAAGCTGAACTTAGTTTCTTGCTTTTTATTTATTATTATTCAAGCTATCAAGAAACTAACTTTAGCTTTGTCCAAGATAAGATAACCAAAGTGTTTTTTTTCTAGTTCTGAGAGTTTTTTTTATTTACACTGATGGTACTTTTAGAAATATCATGGATTGTGTTAAATAGAACTAGAGAAACCAATGCAGGTATCATGCATTTTATAGTATGAAATCTATGTGTATTTAATTCACCACGCTTATCATCTTACAACCCCCAGTATTGGGAAAAAAGGAATATCAACATGCATATCATGACACTCCTAGCAGCTGGCTGTCTTGGTTGCAAACTATGATCATTTTGCCATTTACATTTTTTGCCCATTGCTTGAACGCTATTAAAAAAAAGCAATCAGAATATGTGCAAATGAAACTTCACTGCTCACATTTTACTTTTTGGTAGAGTTATGTTAGTTCTGATTGGACAATAAAAATGAAACATTACAACTACATTAATGAGTTGGGTGAACAATGACCATGCTGTTGTACTGTGTTTAGAGAGGAGGGATTCTCTCTCAGAATTCTCTGCTGGCAGTTTAAAATTTAAAAATTAAAAACTCATCAAGCGATTCACATGAACGCCATATTCATCACTCAAAACGGTGAATTTTGCCAACAACAAGTTGCATGTATGAGTAGGCTATCATGCTCAAACTACTGAAACACTCCACTGCCCAACAGGCTAACAACATCACATCAATTTACACAATGTGAGTGTGAGTTACTTTAGGCTGGATCTGAACATTCTTAACATCACTTCTCAACTTTACCTTAATCCCTTGAACCAAGGTTTACTATTGTCATTAATCTTCAGGCTTATTACTCATTTAGTTCTTATTACTCTACTTATTTTACTTTGAAAGTAATATGCTAAGTTGTGTAGTTATGAGAGGAACTTAAGTTTAGACTCAGAATTTCAGAGGTTAAAAAAAAACTTGAAAGGTTTGCTTTTCAAAATATACTTTGGTTCATTTATCAAGAAATGTTCATACAAATGGGCAGCTGGTTATAAGGTTTTCTTATAACAGCAATGATTTATAGAGTCATATACAACATTATATAAATTTGTTTGCTTATTTTAAGATCCACTACAATATTCATTTCTTTAGTATAGCCTGATACTTTGAGACAAGTTGTTGCCCTCCAAGCAGCTAAAACAAAGCACAGCATCCTATGTATTTACCTTACATGCCTTAACGTGATTTACACAAGAGTTAGGTCTGACCACACAATTTGATTGGCTGAAACGCATTACACCTGTGCTGTTATATCTAGTAAAAGCACATTTACTTCATAATACCTGTTATAATATCTGTATCATTCTGATAACCACCAGTTGCTATGTAACAATAATGGTCATTTTACTTTGAGCTGTTGGAACTACTTTTTTGGCAGAAGAAACGGGCAATACTAAATTCATACTCAAGACACTGCTCTTGGTTTCATTGCTTTGGTTTTTTTTATTTACTTTGCAAAACTGTTGTATAAATGCAACAGTTACAGTATGACTGTGATTCACGATAACACCCCCTCTCATATTCTACTACTACATATTAGTGACTCCACAGAATGCTGATGGTATAATAACAGCACAAGAACGCGAAAATAAGGTGAGTCTAATGCTAAGAACACTGAAACTCACTCGGGGAGGGGGGAGGACGTCCCGGGGAAGAAGCCTCTCTTGGGCATTCAGCTCCTCCTCCTGAGCCTGAGAGATGGGTGAACATGCCTCAAAATCTGTGTGTCCTAGATCCTGCAAATATTGGAACAGCGGAGAGTTCTGGAGAAGGAGAGAGAGAGAAAATGAGAGAGAGAGAGAAACAGAGAGAGAGAGAGAGAGGTCATGATTCAGATGTTCCTCTCAGGAAACTGACTGGAGTCGAAAGGAAAAACTCAAGCATCCCTTCTTCTCTTCCTCTTCCTCCTCCACCGCCTGCCTTACCTCTCCATCATCCCTCACTTCTCTTCCAGCCCTTCCACGCCTCTTCATCATTCCGCACAGGATATCAGTCTACTCTCATAGGTCCTAGTTCCCGACCGGAGAGCCGGAATTCATGCTCGCTATCGCTGATCAGGCTCCGACCCACATTTCCATTCTAACTGGATTTGAGTGGCTAAAGAAGCTTTATCGCTTTTATACCCCAGCTCCAATCAAATCAATCATACTAATCTCACGCAGTAAAAGCCCCTTTGCTGAGGCTACAAGCCTCGAGCTATGAACTTTGAAACTTCCATTGTGCGGTTAATTTCCACAGCAGAAGAAGGGAAGCAGTTAGCTTTTGTATCTGAACGAGGCAGAGCAGCTGAACCGGCCTGCGGGTAAAGACCTAATTTTCAGCGCACGGTTCATTAGAATGAGAGCAGACAGTATTTGACAGAGGTGGTCTGAGTCGACATCTGGGCTGCTGATATATTCACTCCCTCAAGATGCAGTCTGAGCAACACAGGACCTGTAAAATACACTCACCATGTCCAGATGACGCAAGAATAATAGAGGATAGGTACACTAGGGGTGGGCAATATGAAGATATTTTATATTTATCAGGATACACTAAACAAATTAAACATTGTGATACATATAGAGTTTTGTGAAAATGTCTTTGAGTAGTGTGATATTATATTTTTGCCATAAGTTCACACACCATTTCCACAACAACATATTAGATCATCTATATGTATACAAATATGAACGCACACTATATTAACTTGAGCCAGTAATCCGATTAAAGGGTGTCCATTTTTCAGAGGGGAAAAAAAAAAAAATTAAAAAATTAAAAAAAAACTTCCTTCATCGTTCTTTTAACTTACTATGATCACAAAAGCCAAACAGATTCACTTAAAGGCCAAATTAACCTTCTTTTCATTGCTCAAATAAATAAATGATAATTCTTTATTCATTAGAAAATACCAAAAGTCTGATGATGATTCACTTAAAGATTGATGGTTTTCATCACTCATATGGCTACATACATTTACATTTTAATTTTTTAGAAGTTACTTCTCTTAAAGAGCAAGTCCACCCACATTTAATGCCGGTTTACATTAAAATGGAAACAAAGTCATTTAGCATGGTTTGATGTAAAATGCTTAGTGCAGCTAAACCAAGTCAGAACATTGTTGGTTATAGGAACTAGACATTCTAATCTGCATCACAGAATGTTAGTATATGCAGTGCTTATGAATACACTGACTGATGCCTGAGACATTATGCTACGCTTGCTCTAAAATAAGGTTTTGGCCTAAAACATATTTTTAAAATTAATTTATGGCAGAGAGGCCATGGCATTACAGCATTGTAAGGCAAAACAGTCCTCAAAGAAAATCACTATCATACCACTATCAACATTAGATATAAAAACTCACATGTAGGTTGACCAGTTGTTTTTGGATAGTAAATGGTTATATCTGCATGGTGGACATCTCATTCATCGTTCCATTCTTGTTCATAAATTTGAGTCCATATGTTTCTATACAATGAATCATTTCACATCAAGCCATTCTGATGAATCTATCTATCTATCTATCTATCTATATATATATATATATATATATATATATATATATATATATATATATATATATATACACACACACATATATATATACATATATATATATACATATATATATATATATATATATATATATATATATATATATATATATATATACATACATACATATATATATATACACACACACACACACACACAAGTTAAGAACCCCAGATGTATACAATTGTCTTGCTTACATCACACAAGTAGCTTGCAAGTAGTATTAGAAGAGTGGTCAGTCTAACCAGGCAACAAGCTGAAAACCAAGGAATAAGGTAACTGAGAAAAACTTTATATTGTTCAGATACAGTGTGTCAGTATTCATCATAGGTGCGCTACATCTTTTTTTTTACTGTAAAACACTGAACCCACTGGTATTTTCCTGTGCAGCTGTACTGTACTTAGACAGCAGTTTATAGTGAGAAAGTCTGTGAAAGTCAGACAAAAAAACTTAATTAAGATGGATTTATAGAACACTCCACTGAGAAACTTTACTCCACAACCAGAAGCTCTTAGTGCAGTGGCAGCTAACATTAGCCTCTCTTAGCATATTTATGACCACCAGCATACGTCATTTCGCAGCAAGTGTTGCAGCACTTCATCCACGGCTGATCTGACCTCACTACTTGTGGCTGATGTTAGATGTTAGCACTAAAAAGAAAACGGATCAAGGGCCGAACGCTCAACTGCTGCCATTTGAGAGCGAATTGAATATATGGAAACGCAGAACATATGAGAAGTAACTACCTAAACAGGAATGCAGATGCAACATGCCCCATTTCTCTCTTCCCCTCACAAGCACACCCATCTCTCCCTATCCTCTCCTCCACACACACGCCTCTCTCTCTCTCTGTCACTGGCTTTAATGAACGGCCCATGCACAGTGGGGGCATAAAAGCCAAACTAACAAGGTTTGGATGCTGTTTGGAGATGTGACTGCCCAGTTAGCTGTCGGCCAGCGTATTTTATCGTTTACTCCCAATACACTGAGCTGCAGCTGCTGGCCGAAAGAGAAAGGGAACACCACCCGAGTCAGAGCGCCTTGCCTCTAAAACCTCGCAAAGCAGAAATTCAGAACCCAAACACTCACCTCGAACACAACCTCTTCATCCAAATCCTCAGTCATAGCTCTCCGCCATATGCGCCCGAACAATCGCGCATGCCGGGATTGTAGTCGATACGCGTTAACAATTGCGGCTTCATGAGCCCTTCGGTGGCGCAAAGCGAGCCGGCGCGTGGGACTACATTTCCCATGATGCTTCGCTCGAGTGTGACGTGGCGGGCAAAGCAACTCGACGGCGCCCCCAGCGGCGAGTTGAAGAATCTTGGATTCGAAACCCCAAGCGGTGAAGCCGAGAACCGTTTGTGCAAAGTGGTGGATAAAGCCTGAATGAAAACGGAGTGACTGTTTTTTTTTTTGTTTTGTTTGTTCTCATTTAGGCAAACCGTTATCGTTCGTGTGTCTTTTAGTAGATGGTGTACCTTTTGGACTTACAATGGGATATCCTGAGTTTAAACTGCCAAATCTGAAGGAGTTCCCCTGAAAGCGGCTCATTCATGGAGTAAAAGGAGACGTTTGGGGATCATGAGTACAGGTTAGTTTCCTGGAGGAATAACATGAGTTAGCAAAGCGTTATAACCCAGGTATGTCTGTTTGATTTTCAGCGCACTTTTGGGGTGTAACAGTCACTTTACCAGCAAATAGTTTAGACAAGTTCGCCGAAGAGGCGTTCAGTAATGCAGCCGTCGTACCTTTGGAAGTTTTAACAAAGTTTAACAACTATGAGCCATGATGTGCTTCAGCTAGCTAACGGTAGTTTTGGACAAACAGTAAGAGTTACGCTTCTACTCATGTTCTGAATTATGTGTTGGTGATGAGGTTGAATGCTCGTATTCTTTAGAGTGTCTTTCTTTCCTTCGATAGCACGGCAACTCAAAACATGGATAACATTTTGTGGTTTGTGTTGTTCCCGTGGAGAGACCTGATGGGATTATTCTTTGTCTCAGTTTCAGAGTGGATTATTTGGCTTTTTCGCTCCTCGTTAACTAAGCGCATGCTTTCCAGGCCATCCTTTGGAAATGTTCACATTTCTTAATGTGCATCCTCACCGTTATGATTGCTGTAAATAAGCTGATCAGAGAAGCTGTAAGAAGTCCCATGATTTTTTTCCATGGCCCACAGCGGTGAGCTGGGAACTTGGCTATCTCAGCACATCCGCTCGATGACTCGGTTTCTAGCGTGCTCTCAAAAGTGTGAACATGATTTTTTTTTTCTAACTTCGTTCACAAAATCGCTTGTGTCCTCTTTAACAGACTTTGTCGTTCAGTTAAAAAGGCACAGACGTACACTTTTCTTGTGTCTTATTGTCTCCATTGAGGTCTACATTGGTGCGGATTTATGTATTAAAAACTTCATTCTTACATTCTGACAATCCTCCATCTTCATCATTTAGAATTAAAGGGGCAGTTTTGCCAAAAATGAGAAATTTAACAATCACTGCATCTGCTGTAAACGTGCCTGCCTGCATCCTACGGCAGTGCTGCAGTGGTCTCTAGAGGGAGATTATCAAGTTTGAGGACTGGGAAACCCCCCTTCTGATGATGTATCTTGAAGGTAGAGGTGGGCGATATGGCAAAATATCATTTCACGATACTTCAGGAAGTTTTTTTAATGATACAAGATATGTCATGATATTTATTTTTTATGAGATCTGATAAGTTAGGACAATAGTAAGCACGCATTTTAAAAATACTGTGAATTTGTTTATTTGTATTCAACATTTCTACCCAACTATTCAACTAAATACAAATAAACAGGAATAATTATGCTTTATTTTAATCAAACATGCAGTTGGGTTGTTTTTTAATTGGGTTTAAGTGTTTTTAAATACTGGAGATATCCATGATATGCCCAGAAAAGCACATTGTGACATATTGTGCTGTAATTTATCATGATAACAATATTGTCATATTGTCCAGCTCTACATCAAGGTAGGAGAAACTTTTGAACAATTACATGTTTTAGCTGAACATTAGGGCCATCCCCCACATCTGTAAAACACATCTGTATTGATTCGTCTACACTAGCAGTCAGGATTTCTTAGTCGCAGTAAGGGTATTCCTAATGGTTGTATGACATATTTGGATAATGCTGGGTATTGTCGTGAGAGAACTTTGAGGGATGGAAACACAAAAAGGATACAAGATCCTGAATTCTGTCAAACCACTGAGGCTGAGAGATGTGCTGCCGTGCTAACACGACAGACAACATATTAAATATTGGTATAACGATACGCAAATTTCACAATGCGATACATATTGCTGTTTTTACATCACAATGCAGTACATTTTCAAAACAGAATTAGAAGTGAAATTAACTTTCACATTTATTAGTCACTCCCAGCAAACTACAGAATCCAGGACTCTCTACAACCAAGTACTGGTGCAAATCAAGATCTGTAAGCATAGCTTTAGAGTTATTTGTTTCACCCATTCATTACTATTCATTCATTCATTCTTTACCCACTCATTATTACTCTTGGGAATGTCATTGATTAAACAGAACTATACAAAGTGTTCTCTGTATCACACATTTTATAGCCAAATGTATTTAGATTCACAGCGAGTATCATCTTGCAACCCCATGTAAAAAAATAAAAATAAATATTAACATGCATATTGTGACACTCTTAATATTACATGATTTTTGGGTTAAATGCCCTTTTAAGCAGGCTCTTTTTGTAGATGTGCCTTTAAGACTGATCAAATAGTCAAATTGTTGGTCATTTTTTTATATTTATACACACACACATACATATAAGTGATAAATGTTGAAAAGACATTTATTATATTATATCACACACACCGATCAGGCATAACATTATGACCACCTCCTTGTTTCTACACTCGTTGTCCATTTTATCAGCTCCACTTAAAAACTCCAGCAGCACTGCTGTGTCTGATCCACTCGTACCAGCACAACACACACTAACACACCACCACCACATCAGTGTTACTGCAGTGCTGAGAATGATCCACCACCCAAATAGTACCTGCTCTGTGAGGGTCCACTGGGGTCCTGACCACTGAAGAACAGGGTAAAAGGGAGCTAACAAAGTATGCAGAGAAACAGATGGACTACAGTCTGTAACTGTAGAACTACAAAGTGCACCTATATAGTAAGTGGAGCTGATAAAATGAACAATGAGCGTAAAAACAAGGAGGTGGTCATAATGTTATGCCTGATTGGTGTATGTGACTTATGTTTTGATTGGCTGCATTTTGCCTTGTTCACAAAGCAGCCCAGGGTGTAACACTAACGCACAAATGGGGCGAGCTAAACTGCTATAGGCCCATAGCCGGATATGTGTAAATGTGTTGTTCAAAACAATGAATCAAAAATGGGCTGTTTGGGCTGGGGGCTAAACTTCAACAGTGTCTAAACACGGTATTCAAACAAGGAGGAAAATTAGGTTTTCCCTGATATGGGCCCTTTAACTTTTTTGTTCATGCTCAGTCAGTTTGAGAATCCCTTTCAGAGAAGAAAGGGCAATCATCTTTTGAAACCAAAGAGAGAGGCATCCCAGGCCAAGTTGCTCTCCCACATTTCTCTTGGATTGCTTCCCTGAGAGAATAAACAAGCAAGGCCAAGTAAACTAGGAAATTATACCAAACTTATGCATTTGAAATACTATTCTTACTGTGACTCCTTGCTGTGAATTCAACACTGGCTGGATAATGTTCCTTTATATATGCATTGGACATTGTCTCCCCTTTGTGGCAGTTCTAAGATCCTCTGTTTTGCTAGAGGATATTTAACTGTGCATCTCATATTGCTGTGGGCACGAGTGCTCCTTCTGGAGATCAACCTTCCAGGATTCAGCTCAGAAAGAGATTTAACACCCTTAAGCGCATCAGGATCTTCTGAAGTTGCAGATTAGTTAGATTACTGGAGGCAGGATAGAACTGGTCTTAAATTCTGTAGGAAGATAGACTAGATCACCAGCATTAGGGATGCTACAGACTTATCCTTCTTAAACTAGAGGTTTTCATGGTTTGCTTTGACATTTGGCGAAGGGTCCCACCCTGACATTTCCTTCTGAGAATCAATCCTTGCCTAAAAATATTAATATCAAGAATTTTTCGTTTAGTGTTAATTTTAATATTTATTTTCTATGAAATGTAGTGTATATTTCAGCTTTCGACAAAAAAGGGCCAAAAAAAGATTAAATAGAACTACAATTAAGGGTTAAAATCTAACACTTAACAACATTTGAATGGTAATAAAATTGACAAACAGCGTTTTAAAAACGCTGTTTTTTTTTCTTCGCTCTCCCCCTTCGGTCAGCACAGACGTGTTCAAACAAATCAGAGCAGCAGCAAATAAAAAATTCAGCCGCATGAACTATTTCACGGTTTTCATGAGGAACTTTAGACAAGCAATTTATATTCACTTTTCATGCCAAATATTTAAAAAGGGAACAACACTCAATAACGTATCCATTGCAGGTTAGATACCACAAATGGGTTTCTTTGCCTTGCATGACCAACCGTTCTCTGTAGTCGAGGACATTGGATTTTGTGGCACACGCTGTAGCCTACATACTGTAAACATTTTAACAACTTTATTTTATGGAAACTATTTTTGTTTATGCTTAGCTTATTTTTGTCCTATTGAACGCAGATCTGATCAACAATACAAGTGTATTGTCTTTATTACTTTGTAGTTTTATCTGTTCAACATTCAAAAGACACAAAAAACACTTTTAGTTTTGTTTATTTGGCTAGGATTTCTGTTACAGACAGGAATTTTAATTCCGGTGCATCACTAGTAAATATACCCTCTTCCAGCTCCTCACACTCACTACTGATTTAAGACACACCAGCTTTCAGTTTCTTATTGAAATGAAGATGTCCAAAAAAAGTTGTTCAGGAATCAGTATCGGTATTGGTACTGGTAAAAAAAAAAATGTGTGTGTGTATATGTATATATGTATGTATATATGTAGAAATTATATATATATATATATATATATATGTGTGTGCGTGTGAAAGCCCAAAGCCTAATTTCCAGCATGGAAATGCTGGAACAGTCCCTTCGTGGACATAGATAGATCAGAATAAAAGACTTGTTTTGGTTTAATACTTAAAATAACAGTAAAGAATATGTTTCTGTATTAATTAAGATTAATAAGGTTCTATCACAAAATATTTCACAATAAAAGTGCTCACTGGCATTTTGTTCTCTATTTCATACAGTAGTGGTTCCCAGGCTGAAGGGGCCCTACACTGCTGGTTAGTGTTTTCTTGGCAGTAACATCCCTGACGCAACTCTATTAGTAGATCATCAAGCCATTCATGTGTTAAATCGGGCGTTTTACATCAAGATAAACACCAGTCCAGGCCGTGCAGGAGGCTAACAGAACTAGGGCTGAAAAACATTTGCATGTACCGTTCTCTAGTTGTCATAGTGGGTGAATCTGGGATCCCAATAATGCATTGGAATACTTTAATGGTCCTAAGCTGTAGCTGGCAAGGACATGGGTGGCATGTGTAAAATTATGATAGACAGTTTGTTGTTGATGTGTTCCAATTTTTTCTCTCAGCTGCTGCATGTAAGCTGGACACAGATACATATGATTGATTTAATCTTGTTAAAAGTGCACAATATTAAGCATGATGAAGATGATAAGGGAAAGACTGTACTTTAATGCCAGTCACAAACCCATTTTTGTAGTACACACTTTTACTGTATTCTTTTAGCAAATGACAACACACAGGGCTGATTCAGTAAATTACTGCATTTATTTTTGAAGTGTTGTTTGTTTTTTTTAAATTGAGAACCAACAAATGATATTCTTTTGGCTAGCATTTCAGTCTTGACATCAAAGCTGACTTCATGATAGGAGTGGACAATATGTTTAGGCTTGTGCCCAGTAACAGTTAACCAAGTTACAGCAGTAAAAAGGCCCACTGAAAACTAATTTACAGCTGGTTTAAAACTTGTTGTTCAAATATTAATTAATTCATGTAAAACATAGCTTGACTAGTATTTCCACACATAAACATAATTGAACTTTTAAACTTATCTTACATTAATAACACATTTATTGTACCTAACATAGATTAAGATGAGATCTTTCACAGATCAGACAAAACAGCTTGAGGTCTCAGCTCTTGTACAGTGAGATTTGCTATTCTGTTACTTCTTACTAGATTAATTATAGTTTCATGGCCAAATTAAGGATGACAGTATGGTATGTGTTGCACTACTGTAAATTTTTATTAGTCGACTAGTCATTTAAAAAATAATCTAGGCTTAATAGTCCACTAGTTGTCATGTCTATGATTTGTTCATGTGGCAAACATCCACCCTTCTCCCAAACCAGTGTAATTTTCCACACGGTTACCCAAATAAGAAGAATCTGTTATTGACACAGGTCTAACATTACTATCACATTCAAATTACATCACACACAAGCTTTTCTCTAAAGGTTGTGGATATTGTTGGTATTTTTAAAAAACACTGACCTATTGCATGTTTAATGAGAAAGAGACTTACAGGGGACGCCTAAGTGGGATAGCTGTCTGACATTTCACCCTGTTGTCAGAAGATCTGAACCCCATCTATGAGACAATAATTCTGCTTATTTGGATGTAGAGATTTAATCAGGCCTAAAATTTTGGTTCAAACCCAAATACAGCCTGAGAATTTTCTGTCCAAGACCCAACATATGGCATTGCATTTTAAGTCTGAACCCAGTCTGAGCCTGACAAAATTCTGGTAAAATGTGACCTAAACCACAAATTATATTTTGAGTTTAAAACTGATCCAAGTGTAAAAAATTCTGTCAAAATCACCCCAAACCATTTATGACTCAAAGTGCAAAATAAAACTCGACAGGACAGCACATGTTACCGTGTAGTTAATATAATAGCGTGGATGAATAAAACTTAAAACAGTAAAAAAATAATATGCCATAATAAAATGGTCACCTGTCCTAAATTAAGTTTAAATTCTGCTTTAACAAAGTTATTTGTCAAAAAATGCTTTTAACCAGCATTAGATGTTCTTTAATCTGGGTAAGCTTTCCATACTGTGCTGTTCTCACGCTCCATATCACTGATAGAGCAGGATGTTAAGCTTCACCTGTTTAATGTGATCTCTATTGATGCACATAGAACAGGTTACATACAACTTTAAACATATAAAAATATTTTTGACCAAACAAAAATATTGTTTTCTCATGAGTGTGGGCCTTGTAGACCTCAGTGCTGGGTGGGTGACTTCAGCGTACCAGATTAAAAAACAATTGTTAAAGTAGTGAAAAGTACAGTAAAAAGTAAAGTAAGGAGAAAACAGAAGAAAACTGGGGAAATGCAGGGTAACATATATTAAAATGGGAGGCTGGCTCCAAGAACTTAAATGTGAAGTTTGAACCCGACCGGAGCCCAACAGTTATCTGAATAATGGCATCTAAATCAAACATGCGAAGTTGGACCTTGTTGGGTTCAGCCTAAAATTTCAAGCTCTAATTGGATGTAGTGATGTGCAATGAAACATTGAATTAGAAAAACTGTCATTCATTATACTGTTTAGCTTTATATAAATTATGGCATTGCTGTGCATTGTGTCTGTTCCAACTTACACCAACTCCAGAAAAGCTAAATATCATTATTCGTACTGTGTACTGTAAAAATATCTTGTGACATTATATTTTGCCATATTGCTATTCCTTCAGTGAGGCAGCTTTGTCAGTGTGTTTTTATGTTACTTTTTAACATTTCCTTTTGTTTGTGTGTGTGTGTGTGTGTGTGTGTGTGTATATGTGTGTATGTATGTGTATAGGTATGAAGAAGCCACCGGTTGCCCCCAAACCCAGGCTGCTTCCACCTCAAAAGCCAGCCCCTCCTCCAATCGCCCCAAAACCTGAAACCTTACTGCCCACTCCATCTCCAACAGCAATAAAACGCGGCAAACCTGCTGTAGCCCCTAAACCATGTCTGTCCAAGGTCAGCCCCAAAGCACCCCAGAAACCTCCGCCGTCCATCTCCCAAAGCCCAGGCCAGGCCAGACAAAACCTTTCCAAAACACAAATTCTCCCAGTCTCAAAAAATGGGGGTCCATCCTTACGCTCTGCACCCCTCTCACGTTACATCATACCACCTTGCTCCGAGAGTCATCATATAGGCAATGGCAAGTCAGAGGGTTTTGAAGAAAGAAGTGAAACAGCAGACGATGATGCACTAAAAGCCAGAGACAGTCCAACACAGGAGGTCAGTTGCAGTACAAAGGACCAAGTAATTGCACACCATCAGGAAGAACAAATACACACCCCCACACACTCCACGAGCACTCCTCCAGGTGTACGTGAAGAAACACTCACTCCTATACTCGTAAAGGATCGCACACAAGTGCACCCTCCCACCCCCACTTGTGGAGACGAAACCCTCCAGAAACAAGACCGACCTGTTGAACAGAGTCAGTCTGTGGCTTCACACTTGCACTGCTTCGGTGCTAACAATGTACATGCTGAGATCAGTATGCCTGCACCCCCTAGTAAGCCCCTTCCTGTGCCCCAACCACGGCGGCCTCGAAGAACGCTGCTTCTCCGTCAAAATGTGGTGGAGGGTTCTCCACCAGAAACACCCACACAAACCCTCCATGATTTCCCGATGGACACAGTAAACAGAAGTCCTGGAGACGCATCACCAGAAATGCCCAAAAACACTTTAGTGAACTGCAGTACCATTTCAGACACTCCGCCAGATTCACCACACAACAAGGAACACAAGGCGGACTCCTCCCACTGCGTAGGCTTCACTTACAACAGAGACTCCACCCATAGCACACATGATGTAAGTGATGTCGTTCACCCAGCACCCACTCTCCATTCCAATCCAGCCTCTGTCGAAGACTTTGTTTCCATGGATGCAAATGTGGAAGAGGAGGAGCTACAACCACCAGCCCCGCCCCCTCGTCAAAAGTCCCTCCCACAAAAAGGTCATTTCACTTCATGTTCGCTGGATAATCTGATTCTGTCTGATCACGATGACTCTTGTAACCCTGAGGAGACGCTCAACACGGAACAGGAAGATGAAGATGATGAAGAGAAAGGTGGTGCTTATGGTAATTTTGCTCGATACCCGATCACCAGGAGTTTACCCAAACAAATCAAACTTGGTTGCCGACCTCGGGTGACGGTGATAACCAAGGCGTCTTCTGAGGAGGAAAGGTCTCCGAAGGTCATTCCTAAAAAGCCCCAAAGGCACAGCTTGCCCGCATCTGCACTGTTGAGGAAACAAAACACACCTCCTCAAATACAAACGCAAACACCGGCCCCACCTCCTGAGCCTAGTCCAACCATTTTTGGAGAGTTACCTGCACCTCCACAGGAGAAGCAGTCGGCATGGCGCATCACCCTTCCAGGAATACCTCTTTTCGGCAAGCAACAGCCAAATCGCAGCAGTAGCCAGCCACAGGCCAGCAGGGCAAGGCCATTCTTGGTCAAACAGAGAGCAAAATCCTTTTCATCTGCTGATCTCCTGCGAGTGGGCTCCACTCAGAGTCCTGGATCTTCTGAGCAGCTGGTGCGCTCAGAGCAAAGGCGCCGCAGCCTGAGGAAACTTCTGGAACTGCGGGCTTGCGTCCGGCTGCTTCCGAAGCTGCTGCGGAGCGGCCAGTCTCTGGACTGCACCAGCACGAGTGTGGAGTCCGACGATCGTACAAACAGCAAGGTCACCTCAGCCAATGTGGAGGATGCCCAGGATGACGATGAAGGTGACTGTGGGGTAGAGTATGAGAATGTTCCACTCTACGAGGAAATCCCAGAATATATGAACCTGCCTTGGGTCTATTCCAGTCAGAATGAAGACGGAGTCTATGAAGTGCAGGAACCATATGAAATGCACAGGTGAGTGTCAAGTTATATGCATGTATATGTATGTATATATATATACTGCTCATTAAAAGTTTGTAGAATCCATCTGGATCAATAGTTGTAATTGGGAGACTTCTAGAAGGAACGAGAGAAATTGAGATAAAATAGGAATTACATTATAGGAATAGTTGTAACTCTGGATATTAAAAAGAGTTCAATACAGCACCAAAAGGGTTTTTCTATTGTTATGATGTCAAGCTTGTAACAATTTTTGGTGATATATAGAACCATTTTCATAAAGGTTCTATACAGAACCATTTACAACATATTCTTCATCAATCTGAAAAACAATTTAATGATGTAAAGAACCCTTTAAACATGCAAGTGGTTCTTTGAGTGTTCATGATTCTAAATAGAACCACTGTATTTACTGAAGAACCATCTTTTTTAAGAGTGTAATTTATTTAATTTATACATTTTTGCCTCAGCCCAATAAATGTAAACGCACAAAACAGCAAAAATCACAAACATTTTTTTAATGCATTTTTATTTTATTCCTTGCAATTTGCACAGAAAGTCAATGGAAACTTAGCTTTAGTGTGTTATTAGTTTGATTCTATATACAAGCTCTGTGTCAGGATTAATTATTGAAAAAGTGAGAGCTGACCCTATGGTGGGTGTTTTTATGAAAGTCTACTGTAGTACTCATTGTTTGAAGGAGTAGTCTTACTCCCACACTTTTTCTCACGGTTTCTTAAACCCTATTCGGACAGGATTAGTTTTATAGCATGAGGTCGGCGATGAAATGTATACTGGCATTTTGGAGTGATTTCAGTCCTGACTGAATCCTCCGTGTCAGTCATTTTTATGAACATGCACTCTTGCGTCAGTAAAGATTCTGGCCCATTTTACCATCTCTAAATATGGGGCAGTAGAAATACATTTATGTTATTACAATCCTGTGAGAATCAACACATCAGTAAAAACGCTATCAAATTCTGAGTAAATGGGTTTTCTTATTTTTCGTATTGAGACACTCAAAGAAGCATTTACTTGTGTTCTCTGTGGCTGAAATCAAGCTGATATGTAACATTACTGTACTATCGTATGAGTACAACTTAGAGCATACAAAATCAGAAAAAAAGTTTGATTTTTATGTGGTAATAATGACAAACAAAAGAATGGCTAATATGAGTGTTTTACATGTTATTACCATTTTCTAGGATAAGACAGTGCATAAACTGACTAGCCACTCCCACCTCTGTCATTCAAACCAAGATTTCTTATAGTGTAAGAAGTAATCATAAACATTATAGATGCCCTGTGGTAAGATTACACACTATAAACTGGTGCACGTGCACTGCTGCACTGCTACAATTCACCCTGTTAAGCCTGAAATAATCATTTAAAATAATTTGAAAAGAGTGTCAAGTCAGATTTTGCTGGGGTTTTTCAGACCTCATCAGTAAAAAATGTTCTCCCGCACATTGCGTACAGTTACACATTTCAACCAGAGAGGTCTCCAAATCTCCAAAACTTACATAGTGTAGCTTAACAGAACAAGTTAAACCTTAAAGCTTCAGTCAGGAATCAGTGTATTTTGCAGACTGATTCTTAGAGCAAATAATGGTAGACAAATCCCAGTTAAAGCATATATAGTCATATGCAAAGGTTTGGGCCACCTTGATCAAATTACATACTCAATTGATTTTCAGTCAAAATAAGTTAACATATCTTCTACATAAAACTTAAGAATGGAATTTTTCTGTAAATTTTAGTGCACAATTTCTGTTTATTTGTTTAACATATTAGGAAAAATAAAATAAAATATAAAATGTGCCATAATTTGAACACATTTTGTTAGATTTTTTTCCTGTGTGTTCTGTTTAGCAAATATAGAGTAATTGTGCATCAAATTGTGCAGAAGTGTGTTCACTTACGAAAATCAACAAAACATGTAATCTGACCAGGAGCACCCAAACTTTTGCACGCGTATGTATGAATGTAATTGTGATCTCTATTAGTAAACCTTTTGTGACAAAAAAAAAAAACTGGCATACCTTTCCAGTTATAGCCAATTGGTGTAATTATTTCCCTGAATTAATTTTACTTTGAAATTTACTTTCAAAAACAACTTTCCTGTGAATAACAATACTGTAGAATTCTTCTTTTCTCCCCAAAGAATCAAGGTTACTGTTATAGTAATGCTTGAGTCTTTCTAATAACACTTTATGTGGCACCTAATCCACATGTCTATCTGTAGGATAATTAGTATTTGTTGTAAAGAAAATGAAAGCAAGTTGAAACAGTGAATGTAATAGTCCACTCTTTGAGTCCAGGCCGGTTTGCTTTCCTGTGGGTTATTTTCAGTGGCCAGAGCAGGAAATGTCTGGAGAGGAGAGAGGGCCGAGCCTCTGGAAAATAACCCCTCTCACTCTCTCTCTCTCTTTCTTTCTCTCTCTCTCTCTCTCTCTCTCTCTCTCTCTCTCTCTGTGTCTGTCTGTCTGTCTCTCTCTCTCTCTCTCTTTCTCTTTCTCTCTCTTTCTCTCTCTCTCTGTGTCTGTCTCTCTCTCTCTCTCTTTCTCTCTCTCTCTCTCTCTCTCTCTCTCTTTCTCTCTCTCTCTCTCTCTTTCTCTCTTTCTCTCTCTCTCTGTGTCTGTCTGTCTGTCTGTCTGTCTGTCTCTCTCTCTCTCTTTCTCTCTCTCTCTGTGTCTGTCTCTCTCTCTCTCTTTCTCTCTCTCTCGCTCTCTCTCTCGCTCTCTCGCTCTCTCTCTCTCTGACTATCCCTCCTCATTTTTCTCTCACCCACACACTTTCTTTATCTTATACCCTAGAGGTTATTGTCAATACAACAATAGTCAAGTCATGACTTGAAGAACATACAGTTTCATTCTGTTTTTTGTAGTGTTGACTTCAGCATTTTTCTGCATTAGCATTATAAACAGCATGTTTATAATGCATTGTTTGTTAATCTTTATTTCAGTATTGTCTTGCTGTACTGATATTGCAATATGCAAACAAGGCCTCTAATCAATCCCAAATTTGCATTATGTGTTGTTAGTAGGGGTGGGCGATATGGCAAAAATATATCATGCTATTTCAACACAAGACATTTTTTGATGATTTGAAACAAACAAAAACAGTAGCCCCTCAAAACCAAGAACGCAAAGACTTTTATTCAGCATTTTGCAGACAGCGCTGCACTAGATCCAGTTCAACAGGTCTAACTATGCATAATGAAACGTGGTAGAAACATGTAGTAGAGTTGTGTCATATCTGATATATCTGATGATATCCACAATATGCTTAGAAAAACAAATTGTGATAATGTATCCCATAATTATCAAATTATTTATCATGGTAATGATACAAGTCATCATATTGCCCATCCCTAACTGTGAGCATCCAGAACAAAGTCACATGTTCCAGAGATGTTTTGAAGAATCAAGACAATCACATGATTCAATAGATATGAACAGTTTTGGTCAAAATAATGCAGGCAGACCTTTAATCTTTCTACATCCATGTTTTTTTAATATATTACAAAGCATGTCACTTTTAAAATATGCAACAATATAATTGCAACATGGTATATTGTCCATATTGTGCAGCTGTAATTGATGTTTCTTTAAATACACACCTCACATGGACGTCTCAGTGAAAACATGCTTTGAACTAAATTCATAGTACATACTATGAATAGTCTTCCCTTTTAGGGGATTTATGGCTGCAATATATCAACCTGTAACCTGTAATGTTAATCAGTAATTCTTCATAATGCTCCCAATCAAATTACACTGAAACTCATCACAACAAGGACTGGAACACAGCTGTCTTGTACAGCCTGTGTGCTTTCATCTGGTTAACTATCATGGCAGACCATCATTTTAATGAGTCTCTCACAGAACTGGTTCATTTTATAAACTTATACATGATATATCACCATTATTCCAGAACCAGTAAAGCAGCACACATTCCTCTACTGTCCACATGTTTATTTGTTGTGGCTGTTGGAAGAACAGCAGATCCCTTGCACAGATGCTCTGATTTGTTCTCACCACCCCCCCAACACTGAGTGTTTTAACCGCCACAGTAACAATAATAGAATGGAGGCAGTATAAGTGAATTATGGAACCTACAGCATTTCAAATCAAAAGGGTCTCTCTGTAAATGATGTAGCACATAATTGCAGTGTAGTGTAGTGCTTTAATTAGAAAAGGTCCTCATTAAAAACCCCACTCAAAACACCACAGCACTTTGTTCTCTAAGCAAATCTACTTGCTCTCTGTCTTGCTCTCAGTATTCCAGTGGCTGGTCACTCTTCTCTACTTAATGCAAGTCAGGCGTGAGCACTTGCTGTGTAATTTCATTTACTGTCTGGCGTGTGTCTGTTTGTGTGTGTGAACTGACTTTGTAGAAAAAAACAGAAAAAAACAAAAAGCTTCATGTTTAAATTTTTTTACACCTGAAAGACCAAGATCATTTGTTTTTGTCTGCTAAGGATATGATTCTGCTTTATATATATATATATATAATTACAGATACAGGTACATAAGTAATGTATTATTACATGTAAATACATATATAGATATATACACATAGGATGTTATTATTAAAAAATGATTTACTCTCAACACACTCGTGACCCCATGTGCTGACAAGCTATGAAAAATGAATCTGTGTGTGAGTCTGTTTTAAATACTCATCCTGAGGGAGACGTTAAGTATTGTCAGAGATTGCATGCAACATCCTTAACCACTTCTCCTCACGTTTTAATAGTGCCACATTTATTAGTTTAACATTGACCAACTGCCTGGTCAAAACACTAAACTGTATATGTGTGTGTCTGTGTGTGTGTGTGTGTGTCTGTGTGTGTGTGTGTGTGTGTTCTCTCTCTGGCGTCCCTTTACAGAGTGAGTTTATATAAGCTGCCTGAGGCAGTAAACAAGAGGAGCTCTGTCTGCCTGCAGGAGAGAGAGAGAGCAAGAGAGAATGACAGAAAGAGAGAGAGCAAGGGAAAGAAAGGGAGCAAAGTGGTAGAGACGAGTAAAAAGAGAGGGAGGGTGAGCAAGAGATGGTGTATTTGTGTGAGTGTGAGAAATTAGTACTTCACACTTTTAAAAATGGACTACTTATTCTAATCCAATAACATTCGGACAAGCGAGGAGTGTTTTTCACATGCAAATGTAATTTTAATTTTAATGCAGTTTTATTTATAAGCACCTTTCAAGTCATCCAAGGGCACAGTATAATAAGACTAGTAAGTACTAGTTAATAGAATGCAAAATGTTTGAAACATGTTGAAACAACATTTGAAAATCATTAGTCTTAATTAATCATTAATCATCATTAATATAAAATATTAGTAATAGCAAATCAAATAAAAACATAATAAATTCCTCAAAGATTGACAGTTTAGGAAAAAAAAACTTTAAGGTTGTGTGTGTGTGTGTGTGTGTGTGTGTGTGTGTGTGTGTGTGTACAATTGGAAAAGTGTAAGAAATATTGAAACGAGTAAATACTGACTAGAGAATTTGCATTCTTGAATGCATGTCAGTTGCACAGCTTTAATACTGTATTCAAGCAATTGTATTTTTTGTGAGAAAGCCATTAATATGATTTGTAGGCTGCGTGTATGTATGTATGTGTACATCTGTGTGTCTTTAAATATGAGGTCCATCTGGTTTCCGTAGCAATGTCATAGACTCAATGTGACTTCCTGCTTTGCTGACAGGGCTCAGATGGGCGGTGACCTGTCTGAGGAAGAGCAGGGGCTGAGCTCGAATGAGGACGATGATAACAGCTCCACCTCCAGCAAGGAAGATATGGACCAGTCCAGAGACAAAGAGGTATCAACAAATATCAACTGCCTGGTCAAAACATTAAACTGTAATGTAAGCAAGCGTCTGTCTATTACATGGCTCTACCACAAGTAAGTAATGTTGTTAGACACAATGTAAAGTAAAACCTCTTTTACATGGTAGAATCACTGTAATGCACAGTCATGAGAGGCTTATTTCTTTTATAAAACACCATTTACCATTAATCAGTGTTTGATAAATAATTTCATTTATACATGCTAACAACAACAGTTTCTTCCGCACACAATGGCTGTCACTGATATGGATAACTATTTGCGTTTTAAGGGCACTCTTGACTACATCGGCCACTTTTTTCTTTTCTTCCATTTTAAAATGGAGTGGAAAATGTAAAGTTAAAGTTCACTGAACATCAAGTAGCAAGTTAACAGAATGTTTAAAAAAACAAAATGTTTACCCAAAATTTTGTTGGCCCGTGGGGCTTGGCTCGGCCTGCAGACCTCTAAAAATGTTTTCAGGACAATCACAAAATTACCACGTTGAAATGCTTTAACACGATCAACAAGATTTTTTTTTAATCCCTTTTAGCTTTTAAAAACTATAGATACATTTTTTTTCGCCAATATCTTGGGGAAATTTAGCAAATTTTTCAGATTTATAAATACGCTACGGCTCATTGTTAGGTTTTTCAGAGGTATCCCGGACGTAGTTACAGTTGTGTAGTCTATGCAGGGCCAGCTGGTTGAACCAATTTGCTACAGCGCCACCCTGAGACAGACAAGTGCTGCATCACTAGTTAATTAAGGATACCAGAGATAAAAGCTTGCCTATTGTGGGTGAAGCAGCTAAACAATAACCCAGAATTTGCATTTAAGCATTTGTTTTACCCTAAAAGACATTTCACAGGTTAATTAAAAACAAAAATTGGGCAAGGGGTCAAACAGTTTTACAGTGAACTGAGCTGAACTCTGGATCTTTACATGCCCAGCCAGTGCTTCTGGGTGACAGCACTGGTTTTACACAGAAAATTTAGCTTCTCACAGAGAAATACTTTTCAAAATATGTTTTGTTATTCAAAAATAGCTGAAACTGATATGAGTAACATAATGGAGGCTGCCTCAGATGAGCTAATGAGCTGAAACTACAGCTAACTGCTACAACACTGGATGCTGATGGAGACTCGTCGCCTTTTACAAACATTTTTTTCCCTTTTCAGAGGACAATGTCACAACATGATAGTTTCTCAGAGAAATATATTTTAACTGCGCTTCACGTTAAGGCAATCATGTTTCGGAGTACCAAAGTGTAACACACTTGATCACTGATACAACAAAATGTGCAAAATGTTCGCATTTTATAGTTCTATTAAAACATCGGGCCTGTCAGTCTTCCTTCAATAAAACATAACAAATACCTAAATTATACATACTCAAGTTATTTCAGTTCTCAAATGTTTAAATAGTTAACCAAGCACTTGAATATCTGTGCACTTTTCTAGTGATACCTGTTGGTTACTGCAGTCATGGACCAAGAATTAAGCAGTTGTTGTACTTTTTTCCTGATCCCCATTCTTCCCGCACACAGAGTACTTTTACAGTAGGCCATGGTTGCCAAGAAACATAACAATCAAAGAGTATTCCATGAACAGCCGGATGGTTTGTAATAAATTATTATTACAAATAAATACAGAATTCCGTTGATGTGTTCAATCAGATGTGTATAAAGTATCTTGCAACTGCTTGGAATGTGGATCAGCCAATCAGATTTTAGAAAACAAACTATTAGTTTTATCAGACTTCTGCATTCATAGATGATACAAGTTGTGTTCTTGCACTCTCATGCATACAATATAAAAATGGTCCTTAAGTTGAATGAAAAACCTGTCTATTAAAATGTCAATTGTTTATCTCAAATGAACTTTTTAACTGAAAGCATCAGTAAAACATTTTTTTTTGTCGGTTAACAATTAATTGTTTTAATTGTCATTTTTTACTTATAATCTTAAAGATTATGTATATATTATCTTGAAATCATTTTGGTCTAAAAGCATATGTTCAATGACTGAAATATTAGAGAATTATAAACAGTGAAGCTGATAACTATCTAAGAATTTATTTCTAAAAGAGAAAATTAAATTTATTAATTAAATTAAATTAAAAAGCATCTCAGGTGGCTCCTCATGAAGCTGCCTAAGAGAATGTCTATGTAAAGTGTATGTAAAGCTACATCAAGGCAAATATTTTGATAATAACAAAAGTTTTGCTGCCTGCATAATTCCATTATTTCTTAGTTTTGATGTCTTTATTATTCTAAACTCTGGAAAAAATTACTAATGAAATAAAACCTCTATGAGTAGGTACTGTGTTTTATTCTCTCAAGTTATTTTTTTAGGGTAGCAAGATTAACAAGAGGGAGTGGAGCAGGAGTGTTTCTGAGCTTTGACTAATCCCAGCAAGACTGTGGTTCTTAATGCTGAGGGCTCCATTTACTTCTTGCACAAGTTTGTCTTCTACCTGCTGTAATACACCTGACTCATGAAGCTCTTGATAATTAGTTGGTCAGTTGAGTCAGATGTGTTAGAGCAGGAAAAGACAAAAAGAGTCTAGTACGTGGGTGACGGGGATTGAGAACCACTTCTTCTTTCCCTTTAACCCCTTAAATGGACAGGGACTGTTAACAGGTCCAGGCTTCCGTTCCTCACTGGATTGTGTAGTGTTCTATAGCGCCGCACAGATCATCATTTTGACAGAATTCAGATTTTATATTCTTTTTTGTGTTTCATCTATCAGTGTTCTCTCACTACAGTACCCAGCTTGCATTATGCAAATGCATTGAGACGAGATCCATGATGAGAATCCTCCACGACCATAAAGAAGTCTTGATTGTTAGCATAGCCACTGTGTAGAGGCTAATAAATGCAAACATAATATTCAGCATTTCTGTACATTTCTATCAGCGTGCCCTCAAGTATCCACCCCAAAACAGTTGTAGTTTTTCAAAGTTTCCTCCCACCTTCAAGATACATCATGAGAAGGGAGTTTTCCCAGTCTTTAAATCAGACAGTCTGACTCTAGGGACTACTATGGCACCAGTAGGCATGTTTAACCAAATGTAGTGATGGAATTTTTTGCATTGGCCAGAGTCTTCCAAAATTGTCAGCCAGTTGACATTTTTCCACGCAGTTACTGAATAATAAGCCTTGGAATGTATTAAGCCTGAGAACTGAAGAGGTTAAATGAGTAAGTCAGTTAAAAATGCTGAAGTAAACAGTAATGAATGGAAGTTAACAGGGCACATAATCCAACTGTTAGTGTAATTGAAAGCTACTTTTTATTGCTGAACGTTCTTTATTGTGCCCTTTTTCCTCACACTCACTCGCTTTTGCTTACAAACTAGGGACCAATTGATATGAAAATGTAGTCTCTGATACTGATTTAAAGGAGCTATAAATTCTGATAGCCGATTACACAGGGCAGTATAATTTTATGCGGTCGATCATAGCACAGTGTCCAAAAGTTTTAGGTAAAAAAAAAAATGCTTAACTGACTGAAGTAATTGTCTGTTGTCAACTGTGAACTGCCATATGACTCTGTTTTCAATTGTCAAATAGTGGAAACCAGAAGTCTTTAATAATATGAATATAGAAGTACTGGGGCGGAGCTTTCTGTTAATTAGCTCCTACTTTATTTATTTATTTATTTTTAGCATTTTGGTGTGCTAACATCTTATGCAAATGCTATAAGTTAGATGTGTATTTTACATGTTTTGTTATTTTAACCATGATTGTGTTTTATCTTCAGCTTGATCAATTTAGCCTGTACTGCTGTGATCATCTACTGTAAAAAGTGATAGATTCAATTTTTAGTTTGTATAGCAAAATTTGCTGTTAAGATTTGCCACAAAGCAGCTTTACAGGAGTGGTATTGGATCCCAGATTATGGATTTGAGCTTTGGAAATATAGGGAGAAGGTTAGTGTTGAGATGGAGACATTAGAGTTAGTGAACAGTTTGAGTAGTAGATAAAAGGTTGGTAAGGTATGTTAAATTCTACACTTTTTTGTATTTTTTCTTGTCTGTAATGTTTGTGTGGTTTTATGTACCAAAAAAACACTCATCCATTTTTACATTACTGTTTTCCAACCTCTTTTTTATCCCTTGGAAATAAAGGGGCTGCTTTGTTACTGTTCCTTTTAAACTAATATATTGTTACTGTCGGAACAAAACCTTGTATCTACAAAATGATAACTTTACAGGAGAAGCAAAAAACATTCTTTACTTTATGTAAACCAGAATTTTTTTCCGAGTAATTTTGGTTCATTCATTGTGAAATTTAACACACAGTGTAAAGGGTAACTGAAAAACGACAAAAATGGAGATACAAGGTATTGTTCCGACAGCAGCGATATGTAAATGACCTCTGTTCTGATAGGCTGCCCTGTATTGTGATTCATTCAAAAAGCAGTTCAGCTGAAACATTCCTAATAGCTTCAGCGTAAATCAGTGAGACTGAACCATTGTAGGCTGATAAAGCAGACATATGCAAATGGTTTGTTTTATGTGACATCACAAAAACAACAAAAAACAGCTTAGTTGTCATAGATGGACTGTATGAACATGAGTGAGTAGTACATTTTGGATTTTTCTTTCTTACATACTACATCTGAGACTTTTATTTTTTAAAAGTGCATTTTTATATGATATGGGCCCCTGATGTTAATAAAGCATATTCCATTGAAATCTTGTGCTGGCAATACAGGCTGGAATAAGATCCAGCAGGAGCCGGAACAACAAAAAAAGAGACAGGAAGGTAAACATTAGGGAATATAGATAGTCTTACCACCGGAAAGTGATGACAGCTTCAACAGATTAATAAATATTATGACAACAATACATGCAGGCTCATGTCATGGGAAGTAAACCTAAAGCTTGGGGAAAATAAGTAGGTTTTGCAGCGCAGACTTAAAGATCGAGAGAGTATGTCTGAACCTGAACTTAGCAGGCAGGTTGGTCCAAGGTTGGGGAGCTTTGTAAGAGAAAGCTTTTCCCCCCTGATTTGACAGCAGGCCAGCATTTTGTGAATAAAGTATAAAAGGTAGAAGGACATGAAACCAATCCTTGAAAGTTATATTAGTTGGAGGTGTGTGTTCAATACAATATAAAATAAATGACTTTAAAGCAATGTTGGTGTTTCACAGCATGATTTTTACTGATTAATCCGTGATATCTGCTAATTTTATTGGCCAACCAATATATCGGTCTTCCCTATTACAAACGCACAGACAGAACTCATGCAATAGCAGGAGGTCCACTCAGTCAAACTATGTCCTTATGTTGAGACAGACACTGAATCCAAATAAAGACTGAAAGACCCTCCCCAAAACTACTCCCCCCACTCCCCACAGATACACACATAAACCTCATAGAGAGCGAGAAGTGTGCAAGCTTTTACTGACATGAAGTCGTGTGTTTTCAGTTGCCAGAGATGGTTGGATGCAATGAGTGTGTAAGTTTGATGTACATCATGTTATAGCTAGTGATAATTGTCGTTATACTTTATTATAGCTGATTATGTGTATTTCTTCGATCAGGAGGTAGAGAAGGCGAAGAGGAATAAAGTGGTTCACATTGCCATGGAGATCATGAGCTCAGAGAAAGTGTAAGTAAAAGCTTGCTGTGTACGTGTTTGTATGTTTGTTTGTTTGTTTGTTCTGTGTGTGATCTTTTTTTTTGTGTGTTTATTTTGTGTATTTTTTGTGTATGGTGTATTTACAGTTAGGTCTGACAAACAATTAAAATAATGACTCATTATCACAATCACATTTTGTGTAATTAATTGCAAATATTCACATTTGTCTTATTTGCTGAAATTTGACCCTAAAGAAAGATTTTTTTCTTCATTTAAAAAGCTGTGCATTTTGTTGTAGCCATATGAGCGGACAAAATAAGCTTCATCAGAATGTATTTTTGTATATTACCTTCAGTAATTCAATAACACTATTATCATGTCAACACAGATTCACTGAACATGAAAATCAAGCAACAGTGACTGCATGTTCCAGAGTGTTAATATGTCGTATACAGTCATATGCAAAAGTTTAACATCCCTAGTTGAATTACACATTTTCTGGTTTTCTAAGAGACAATCGGTTAACGCATGCTCTGCAGGGAACAAACTTAAATTAGCCATTTTTCTGATAATTTTAGTGCACAATTTCTATTTATTTGCTGCATTTAACACATTGGAAAAACATAAAATTATCTTTTCAAGTATGTTAAATTTAGCAAATAAACAGTGCATTAAAATGTGTAAAACTGCACAGAGGATGTCTTCACTTATTTTCACTTAGAAAATCAACACGTCACTTGATCGGGGCGCCCAAAGTTTTGCATACAACTGTATACATTCAGTGGTTCCAACTCCTCTGTGATTGTAGCCTCTCACTCTCGATCATAAAGCTTGTGGATTCTTGTCACAGTGGAGGCTCTCCAGCTGATCTGTAACTTTACACTTTGCTGTTGCTTTTGTCAGTTGGCTGCTTGTTGATTTATCCATAGTTCTTCTGTGAGCATTGTCTAGTGTAGTCAGCTGAAGGAGCTGAAGTTATCACTGTAAAAGCCTTTTAAAAGGTGTGTTTTAAAGAAGACTACAACCATGAATTCTGTTATAGCAACATATAAAGCATTACCAATTGGGTTTCAGCCTGCATTACAATGGATGGTTGGAAAGGTTTAAGAAAACGTGTTAACAACGTTGAAAAGAAATGGTGGTGTTGATCATTTCTAGCGTTAAGTATCACACAAAATTCTAAAGCCCCAGTTATTGTTATGGGTCATGTCATTGCTGTCAAGACCTTGTAACTCGTTTGAAAAATATCAGCTGTCCTTTACATTTTGTGAACATATAATGACTACTTTTTGTTACTTTTAGTTAAGCTAAGGAACTTTTTTTCATTCTTTATAAAATTACCAAGGTTTTATTACAACAGCCACAGTATGGCAATATATAGAGTTAATGTAATTCTTATAAATGTGTCTTTTACAGATTCGTGGATGTTCTGAAGTTGCTACACATCGTAAGTTGCTATAAATGTATTCACATGTTAATTCCTAAACAGTCTTTTGGTCCAGTTATAAGAAAAACATCAGATATTTAGAAAAGAACAGATACATATCACACATATTTAACGAATGCTTGTGTTTATATTGCAAAGGTCACAGATTTATAGATGTTTTGGTGTTTTTCTCTGGATCATTTTTGGTGACCGGAAAAGCTTAAGCAGAGTATAAACACTGAAAGGCACACATGCGCACACACCTGTCCCTTTATTTCAGACTGGGCTGTAATGAGTGTGGAGGAGTGTGGGCCCTGCACAAGGCTTAAAGAGGATCAGAGACAGAGGGATGGGGGGGTTGAATGAAAGGAGAGAAGGAAAGAGATACGCAGAATGAAGGAGTTCTTGAAGCACAGGGAGAAAGCCGAGACAAAAATAGAGGGAAAGAAACAGAAGGCAAGAGATAGCGAGACAAAGGAAGAGAAGAGGGAGAGATTTTTAGGAAAGAGGTCACACCCACCCTTCTGTCCTGCCCACGCAGTTGGCTATGACCCCTAACAGCTGCCCCTAAGAAGGTTGTGTGAGTGTGCGTGTGTGAATGAGGGAGAGATTATCCTCATACCAGAACTCTTAAATAGATTCTCCTGGGCTCTTCACATGAAAACTGATCTAAATAATAACTTTGGGAATGTGAAGCGTGTGGTTATGTAAATTATGTGTACTGCTCTGCAGGTTTCTCTATTGTTTTTATTTTTATTTTTTTGTTGTTTTTTTTTTGGGTGCGGGCAGCGTTGTTGCTTGTTTGGTCATGTCTGGTGTTTGGTCAGTTTTCTGTTTTTGGGCTGCTGAGCTGTGTTTTGTCTGACGGTTTTAACATTTGAATCAAGGGTACTAAAGACTTGCTAGTCCGGCAATTAAAACTACAGTACAATTTCTCCATTTTCTGTAAGTGCATAAAGTGACATTCTAGACTGATAACTTTGGTGGGTTTTTTTGTGTGTGTGTGTGTGTGTGTGTATATATATATATATATATATATATATATATATATAGGTGTGGTGTACATATATATAAATATATCTATATATATATATATATATATATATATATATTACGTACACACACACACCCATGTATGTGTATGTGTTTATATATATGTGTATGTGTACTGTGTAAAAGTCCAAAAGACGACCCTTCATTTTGTTACATTTCAGTCAAACAGCCAAAAAGCACTAGTTATTCATCCATCAGGTACATTTTTAGTCATCTAAAGAGATAATATATAATTCTTGTGCATAATAAAGGGGAATGTCAAAGGAAAATAAGTGGGGGGGGGAGGACTTTTACAAAACTGAAATAAAAAAAAATGAGTAAAAGATACAGAGAAAATGGGCCTCCTAATAACCGTGCAAGACATGGTAGATCACCAAAATTGTCACCATCAGATAAACAGCACTTAAAGTTTCCATCTTTGAGAGAGAGGAGAAAATCAAGCTCCACTGTTGCTTCAGATCTGAAAAAATCCACAGGTGTTTCTGTCCTTCCGTCCACTGTGAGACGTATCAACGCTATGAGTCTCAAAGGATGTGTAGCTGTCAAGAAGCTAATATTGAGGAAAAAGAAATGCACAAAAGAAAATTTGCAGATCAAACAAGAAGCTGCTGGTGTTCTCAGAACAATGGACTGACCAACACAGTCCAGACCTCAACATCACTGAATGTGTTTGGGATTACTTGGATCATGAGAAGCAGAAAATGCAACCAACTTCTAAGACTGGACTTTGGAGGTGTGGAAAAATATCCCTGCAGAAAAACTGAAAGCAAGACTCTTAGAAAGAATCGAAGCTGTAATAAAGGTAAAGAGTGGACACACTAAATACTACAAATCTTGATATCATATTTAATTGTTGAGGCTTCTGTGTAATTTTCTGTTAAAAATTCTTTTTTTGTGACACTGAAAAATAAATAACTTGCTCATAAGGGCCGTTTTGACTGGAAATTAAATAAATGAAGGGTGGTCTTTGACACAGTACTGTATGTGACATCTTGATATTTTTTTCTGAGTTTTGCAGACTCAGAAAACAAATTGCACCAGGAAAACAGTAGTGGCACGTTTTAAAAAGACAGGGAAAAATGTGCAGTGCAGTGATATTTTTTAACATTGAACGTTAAAAAGAAAACTGTTTATGAAGGAAGAGGAGTAAAACGAAGCATAAATAGATAAATAAATACATAGAAAGAAATAGAAATAATATGGGGGAAAAAAACAGTTGCATAACGTGATAACATACGTTCAGCTACTTGTTACTATGCAATTGGAGTTACTATAGACAGGTTGTTTACCTGCTTTCAGTAACTTCTGTAATTGGTACTGATGATACCCATGATACACTGTGAAAAGCGCATTGTGACATAATCACAGCAGCAGTAATATATTGCCATATTGCCCGCCCACTAGTTTTAATGTTGGCTGTACAACAAACAGCTCTTTTGGGCCAATTTGGGCAAGCATTGACTTTAAGACTTAACTGATATATTGATTGGTTGATAATATCGGGCGATATTAGGATCCCATAAATTAATTGCAAAATTGCCACTGATAAGGCAGCATTGATTCGTTTATTGACTGTTGATTAGCTTGTTGACTGTTGATTAGCTTGTCTTATATTGTTATGACCCTCTGACGTTAAAGGATCTACCGATTTATTTCCGGTCTGTATAGTGTCTGCTAAACTGAAAATCATCTGCTCACAAATGCAGTAAAGTCAGAACTGGTATCTACTCCTAACTATGAAGAGAACTGTGACAAAATGTATTTAGTATACAAATAATCTGTATATCTAAAATTATAAGTGTAATTATACTGCCCCCTGCTTAATCACCTTAAAATCTGTATCAGTATTTTTCACAAATGTTCATATCGGTCAGGCCCAAGTGTAAACTTTTGGTCACTCTGCAACACTCTGCTGTAGCCTTTCTGTATTCACTTCAGGACTTCCGGGATGCTGTTGCCAAGGCAACCCGTGCCAGTGGAAAGCACGTGGTGGAGGAGCGGGTGCTGAATCAGATCCTCTACTACCTACCCCAACTCTATGAGCTCAACAAAGACCTGCTGAGAGAGCTGGAGGAGAGAGTGGCACACTGGTACACACACACACACACACACACACACAGACGCTTCAATACAGAAGTGTTTACCAACAGTAGAAAACATCAAATATACAGCCTGCCGCCCAGAACCAGCCTGATTATGGTTTTTACCCGGCCCACCAGATGAATTTGGAATCCGTATTCTAAACTAAAACCATCTTGTGGACCGCAGTTGACCGTTTGCAAAATAATGATCGACAGGATGCTCAACCAGTTACTGCTTAGCAGCCGTTTCTAAGCACTACTTTTTCTGATAAGTGAATAAAAATGTCCTCAGAACAGACCTGGAGTTAGAATGGTGATGGCAGTAAAGTGCTCAGTCCTGGTACTGGAGATCTACCACCCTGTAGAGTTTAGCTCCAACCCTAATCTAATGCAACTCATCCAGGAAATGAAGGCCTTCAGGAGCATCTGACAATTAGAGCCAGGTGTGTTGGGTCTGTACTCTCCAGGGTGGTTGATCTCCAGGACCAGGATTGAGCACTCCTGGGCTAAGGGATGTAAAAAGGTGTTATTGAGGAATGTGTAATTCAGACATGTGCTATCCTGATCATCTGGAGGGTGGAGCTGTTTTTATTTTATTCCCAAAGCTAATGATAATAACCTTGCAGAACAACGTTAAGATTAGTTAGATAGCTAGCTGCTAACATTGCTCACAGCTTAATAAAGATTTATTTAGATTAAACTGGGGATGCACCCAATTATCAGCCTCTGAAGAATTTCAGCTAGAAAAAGGTCAAAAATGGCATTTTTGGGTTTCAGCCGATTGAGGAAAAAAGGCCGAAATAAACCAAAAGAATAAATAACGCTACAACAAATGTCAGCATCTGACACTAACACATAAATAGTTTTAATGATAATAAAAAAGAGAAATTAAAAAAGGCTCTTATTCCCTTCATTCTTCTGCTCCGGTCAGCGCAGACATTTTCAAACAGTTTGAGCAGCAGCATATCACCAGTGGGGAAAAAAGACTGTTTCACACTTTTCGGTTCCTCAGAGGGACATTAGAGGATACAGTGCTCAAGAACTGCTCTATTGCAGGTTTGAGACCACTTGAAAACATGACATCCTGATCGATAAGCAGAATACAGCAAAACAACAGAAACAAAATGGAAAGTCTGTGCTAGCACACCAACACCACGACACCACCTGTAGCTATTGAAAAAAATCACAAATTGAGCCAAAGTGCAAACTATAACTAAAAAATTAAATAAATAAATAAAGGTGGAATTCAGTGCCTTAAGTGACCAGTCATTTTCGTTGTTGAGGGCATTGAATTTTGTGGCGTATACTGTAAAACCTACATAATGTTAATTTTTACTTTAAGGTGTGTTTGTTTATTTATTAAGAACAGATTTTGACAGTAATAAAAGTGTATTTTCTTTATTATGTTTCATTTTGTTTTTGAATAATTCTTGTAATTATTCAAAAGCATAAATAAAATGGAAAATTTAAAAAAAATTAACAAAATGAAAAACAAAAAAGACATTTTTTAAAAAACAAAACGGGTGAAATTAAACAGGACTGTGCAGCACTTATGTTTAAAAGGTGACAAATATTAATGCTCACGTAAGGATGCAATCCAATGCATTCTTTCAGGTTTGCTAAAAGACAGCATTTGCTCAGCATCCAACTAACTTTAGTCTGTTTTGTAGGTGTTATTTTAATCAGTTTGTTCATTCAAAATGTTTCTTTCTGACAAATGCAGATAAAATAAAACAATATATAAGAAGTTATTGATGTGTTATTGGCCTATTAAATTACATTTTTTCACCCAGCCCACATTACATCAGTGTAATGTGTAGTGTAAAATGACTGACTCCCCTGGTGCAGAAACTGCAACTAAGACTAATGGTTGTTTTCTTAATACTCAAACACTCTCTCTGTGTGATCTCTCTAACACACAGGTCAGATCACCAGAGGCTGGCTGACATCTTTGTGCAGAAGGGGCCGTATCTGAAGATGTACTCCACTTATATCCGAGAGTTTGACCGCAATGTGGCTCTCTTGGACGAACAGTGTCGCAAAAACCCCTCTTTTGCCACAGTTGTGCGGCAGTTTGAGGTGGGCCTCCGTGTGTTTCTCTGTCTGTATTCATTTTTTGCATGTGTTTCTGATTGTGAGTATGATTTTGATTTACTTTTTAATCTTTCCTTCATGTGAAAGTTTTATTTAACCCTTAGATATCTAGTTATTACTGCAGTTTTACTGCAGTTTACTGTTCAGTGGCATAATTTATATAAAATTTTATTAAAATTACGGTTGATTTTACAAATTTTTTCAGATTTGAGTTTGCCAATTTCTTTGGTCAAAAAACAGCAAAATCATGGCGAAAACAAGATTTCATCAAAATGAAATCATAAAAAAATGTTCTTCTCTTCCACTTACAAACACAAATATGTTATCAGTTGAAAAACTTCATACCACACTTTAAACAGAATATCTTTGCTACTTTCTATGAGCTATGAGTGAGAAATGTTGCTGCTGTGGCAACTGCGACTTCGAAGGGTCATCTGATGTTATTGGGATCATAAAAAAAGTCATTATTTGTTTAGTCTTACATGTACCTCAGAGGCATGTGCAACAGTTAATTTTTGAGGTAAACTGTACACAGTCCCTCTGTGCATTTGTTTTCTCTACTACAGTACAAGCTTATGAAATGTCCTATTGAGTTGAATCAAGTCAATAGGTCCTAATGAAGTCAATAGGACAAACACAGAAATGTGCAGTGCGTAGTGCCTCCAGGACTAGAATTGAGAGCCATTGACCTAATGAGAGGTGCATATGAGCTAGGAGTGGTCTAATACTTGTGTTTCCCTGTCTTTCTTTCTCCCTGTGGTGGTAGACAAGTCCTCGGTGTGCCAGTCTAGCTCTGAAGCATTACCTGCTGAAACCAGTGCAGCGCATTCCACAGTATCAGCTCCTCCTGACAGGTAGAGGGCACTAGTCCACTCTCACTCAGCAAGAACATGTAAATCTTCACTGTGATAATGAAACCTTTTGTGCACCTGTCACACCTGTCATGTGTAGAGCACATTGCTTATACTGGAACTATCTGGCACTGCCCAGTCTGTACCGTGCATGTATCATTGTGTGTGTTTTCCACTCTTTTCTGCTCAGTTGGCTAGCTATTCCTATTGTTTATTTTTGAAAACACAGACTGTTAATGTGTGATTAACTACTGGACCAGTTTTGCTTGGTGTATGATCGCATTCGTGGTCTCTTTGGGCGCCACAATAGCCATTGCATGAAGGTGGGCAAATCTGAAGTGTCAATCTGAAGTGGCTCCCTATTGATGGTATTCTGATGACATCACGCAATCACACTGCTGCTCAGTTAAAAACCAGTTTTTTAACCGTATTAACCAATATATTTGAGTGTATTCCCTTGATTTTGTTTGATTTGTTGCTGTGTTGATGATAAATGAAAGCTGAAATCTAAATGGCTGAGATTTCTGCTGCTGCGTCCCAAACCATACACTAGCACACTAAATAGTATGTAAAAAGCAGTTCAGTACCATTCCAAGTGCACCCATTAGTGTGTAAGGTAAAAGGTTTGGTTTGGGACACAGCATTAGCTCAGCCACTGAGATGCATTCAACAGTCCAGCAGCTCCAGAGGCTGATTTTAGGATTGTTGTGCTGCTTTTTAGCTGCATAATAAACATTTCCAAGTGAACTTTTAAAGTATTTCATGGTTAAGGATGCATTTATCAAAGTAAACTGGATGTCAACAAGATTTAGCCACAGACGAGCTCTCCTGCTTGATCAAAATGATAGTAACACTGAGCAGGTTTTTTGTTTATACCACTCTCTTATCCCTGTGCTCTGTCCTGAATGCTTGTTGTCCGTAGAAAGATAGAAGGCAGCTTAAAATTCACTAGTATTAAACTAGAATACAGAGTAAGTCTACTTGTATGCATTAAACACTGCTTTATAATGATCTGTGTGGCTGGTTCATGTTCGCAATGTGCTAATATTAGAGCAGATCTGATGAAATGTTTGCCCAAGCTAATCTGCTAATACAGTGTCATGAAAAGGCATGCGGGGGACAAATCAGACAGTATAGTAAACATTAGATGGGCCAGAGAGATGCATTAAACAGACCAGCAGCTCCAGTGGCTGATTATAGCTCTCCTGTGCCTCTTGTTAGCTGGCCATTAAAACTTTACAGGTAAAAGTTTGAGGTATTTTCTGATTAAAGATGTGTTTATTGAAGTAAGCTAGATGTCTACAGATTTTTCTGTGACATGGTGTTGGCTACTTATTCGCCAGCTTCTTCGTCGAAATTTGTTCTATGTAGCTATAAGCCACCTAAATGTGACTGCAGCATTTAAAGTGAAACAGAAAATTGGAATAATAAAGTGGTGAATAAGACGCCAGCTCTAGCTGAATTGTGTCCATTGTGTAAAAGCTTTGACAGTTTTGATAGCTGTTATTAGTTTTTGTACAATTAAATGTATTGGATTTTTCTGAAGTTGAGATATGTGCAGATTATATGGATCCAATCCACCAATCCAGCCAATCTTCCTGTAGAGTTTTCTTGAGACTGCATCTAAAGCGTCCAAATATCTTTTCATCCTTTTCACGGTCATTCTAATGTTTCTTCATCCAACTGCAGGGTTTTAACTGTGGCAACAGTAATGAACCAACCTATAACAGAATATAGTCAAAGTTTGACCACCGAAATGAGGAGGGGTATTCTGAACAATATAATCGAATAATATGACTTTGCACTGTAGTGCTCACTACATAGGAACATTATATACCGACTTCTACACATAAGCAGTGCGTTGTATGTCAAAATGAAAGTGATTTATATTCAGTCAAAGCTGCACATCATCTGTCTAACATTTAATGCACTATTTAGGTATAGGAGCTATAGTTTCTTGACACACTATATAGGGAGTAAGGAGCCATTAGAAATTCAGCCATAGACATGCTCTCATGCTTAACCAGAGTGAAAGCAACATTTGGCAGGTCTTTATCCTTACCCCTCTTCCTGTTTTCTGACCTGAATGTTTTTACTAATAGAAAGATAGAAAGAAATTTAAAAACCTAGTAGTGGTAAACTAGGAAAGAGAATAAGATATATATGGTGGTTTCTGCAGTTAACACTGCTTTATAGTGATCTGCATTGCTGGTGCATGTTCATAATATTATAGCAGATCTAATTAAATGTTTCCCCCAAACTTGTCCATTAATATGGTGTCGTAAAAGTAGAGGGCATGGATTGGACAGCATTGTAATGTAAAGCAGTGTACGCGTGCATGGCAGTGGTGCACATGCATGGTGCAAATTGGGCAGCGGACACAGATTGTTTTGCAATACCTTGTATCTCACAAACGATAACTTTATACGAGAAGAAAAAAAAAATTCTAAACCCATTTCAAACCCAGGTCATTTCAAAACAGTGACAGTTAAGGTTTCAACTTTGCCAGGGATGGAGTGTCTAGTTGGTGACCATTCTCCTCTTTTCTTTCTATGTAATACTGATAATTAGTTGTCTGTAGTCTGTTAGTAGCACAGAGAGAGTTCTGAGTCAAACGCATTTGAAACCACTCTCAACTGTGCCCACATTTGATTCAAGGCTTTATTTAGCCATATACAAAGAAGACATAATCTGACAACAAAATATCAAAGTGCTCTCGAACTCTCACCCAAGTGTGAAGGGCGCATGTGGGCAGCATGTAATGACAGTTCATGTTTCAGCCTAGAATCACGTCCAGGCATTCACTTATATCTTGCCCTAAACTCAAAACTACCCTTTTCTTTTATTTTACTTGTTGGTCTTAAAGCTGCTCTCCATAATCTGCTAAAGAAGTCAGTTGTATGAGCAAAAACAGGCTTTAATATTTTTATTTAATGTCTTAAAATGCATTTATTACCATAAACTTTGTTTAATTTTTTTTCATCTTCTCTTTTGTTTTATTTGTAATAAACTATGGGGCTTTATAATTGTACAAATATGAATATGACTGACAACTAATTTTCCTATTTCCTAATTCCATGCTTTTTCAGATTATTTGAAAAACCTTCCTGAACACTCCTCTGACTACAAAGATACACAAAGTAAGCACAGTATACGCACAAGCCTGAAGCTCATATCTTGTCAGTACATGAATTGAACATTGTGAACGAGACTTAAAGAGAGACCTACATTTTTCTTGTATTTATTTTTTTCCCTGAGGTCCATTTATGGTTTATGCGGGTTTATGTGCCAACAACAGTCACAATTCACTTCTACATGACCATTTTGCAACCTCTCTTTGTCTCTTAGGATTAAACAGGCTTTAAAAAACAGTCCAGGCTGAAACCCTCTTACTAACTACAGCCTGAATGGGTGGGGCTTAACTGCTGTAGGCTGAATACACCAATCAGGCATAACAATATAACCAACTCCCTGTTTCTATGCTCATTGTCCATTTTATCAGCTCCACTTACTATATAGGTGCACTTTGTAGTTCTACAGTTACAGACTGTAGTCCATCTGTTTCTCTGCATACTTTGTTAGCCCCCTTTTAATCCTGTTCTTCAGTGATCAGGACCCCAATGGACCCTCACAGAGCAGGTACTATTTGGGTGGTGGATCATTCTCAGCACTGCAGTAACACTGACGTGGTGGTGGTGTGTTAGTGTGTGTTGCACTGGTACGAGTGGATCAGACACTCACACACTAACACACCACCACAAAGTGCACCTATATAGTATGTGGAGCTGATAAAACGGACAATGAGCATAGAAACAAGGAGGTGGTCATAATGTTATGCCTGATCGGTGTTGCTGGATACATGTCAATGCTTTGGTTTTGAAAAAACACTGAATCCATAACAGGCTTCTTTTGCAGAGATAGACTATACAGACTAGGAAGTGAATGGCATATTTAAAACTTTAACAATATTTACATGCTACATCAAACTTTTTTATTTTAAAAAAGTGAGCAAAATTCAGTTTTCATTATATGGATCCTTTAAAGGAATGATTTAAAGAAATACTTGGCAATAATGAATACTGGTAGGATTTTACTGTAGGAGTGCTGTGTATGCCTAACAAATAGTAAACTCTAAACACTAGAAGTCTGTCACACTGAACAAATCTGGGGTTAACAGGGTGTTTACATCAGTAGACCCCAACAGATTTTAAGTCACAGCCTAATCCAACTTGCCTGATCGAGCTGATCAAGGACGTCAGTAATGTTTTAGACCAAGGAATTAGATTTGGGTTGGAAATAAAGAACTGTTTTTTTATAGGAGCAGGATTAGGCATCCAGTTTTATGAGCAGTGTAATTGATCATGTATGCTCTGATGTTTAAAGATACAAGGGACATGGAGTAGAATAGATTAATAAAGATTAGCAGTGGCTCTCCACAGCTTTGCTACATTGCAGGAGAGCTGATTAAATACAATTCAGATGAAAACTCAGTGGGGATTTGTTTGTAATGGATATTAATACATAAATTTAAAACTATTACTTGGAAATAGAACCTGACCAGTATAGAAATTTTGTGGTCGCTACTGATTTGAAGAGGTTAAAATTCTGATAATCAATATAATTTTAAACTTACATTTTTCTTTTATTTTTATACTCCAGTAGTTGAAGTTAAATGGATGTTTACTGACTGGCAATTGTCTGCTGTGAATTGTGAAGCGTTAAATAATATAAATAATGTGTCACTAGATGTGGAGTTAATTTAATTCTTTGTGGGTTTTTTCTTATTTTTTCATTAGTTCTTTTTATTGAATATTTTTGTGTTGTAACCATTTATTCTCATGCTATTTCTATCATGTAGTTAAAGGAATGGGTCAAAATATCAGATTCATGTAATTTTTCCACTTATATTCCACATATAGTCGATTGTCCAAGACATATTTGGAGTCCAAATTTTTCTTTTTTAATTTAGAACAGCGAGAGCAAGGCTAACGTTATTGACAAACAATAAACAACTCATTAATCACCCAAACAGCCCAAATAGTTTCTGTAAAAATACATCACCAACCATTATTAAGGTCATGTAGATTTGTCAGTGTGGTTTAGGGTACAGTATAACTTTCTTTCAACTTTAAAAATGAACAAAAGTGCAGGCAGCCAGTTTAGACAACAGGGTGTGTATTCTCAAACCACCTCAGGAATAGGAGTGCTAATCTAGACTCAGTATTCGTGGCAATAACTGTCATGGAGGAATCTGATCCAAGATCAGTCATACCATGCTCTAAACCACATCGACAAGTCTGTGCGACCTTAATGTAGACTAGGATGCCATTTGAGCAGGTTGAGAAATGTTTTGGTTATATATTTTTACAGAAATGGTTTGGGCTATTTGGGTGACTATTGCATTCTAGTGTTTGTTAACAACATTAGCCTCATAGCTCCAGTTCTCAACTTAAGAAGCAAAATTTGGACAAGCATGTCTTGGCTGATCGATTATATCTGAGGAAAACTGGGTAGTTTTGATTAATTACTGAACTATTCTTTTAAACAGGTGTAGCCTCATATATCCCCAGTGGCACAGTGGTTTTACTCTATCGAGTTTGCAAGGTTTTTTCAAGTTTAAAACCAAAACAGTTAATAATTATCAGCACTCAAATCCACAGATAGTCAACATCAGCCAAAACTATTGGCTAACTGATAAATCATTTGGCCTGTACTTGGGAAGTTGGTTTGAAATCAGTAGTGCTTATTTTGCTTAGATTTCTTTTTTGTTTTGTTAAAAAAGTGAATTTTTCTTTTTATGTTTATCCAGCTGCTCTTGGTGTGGTAAAGGAAGTTGCAAACCATGCCAATGACATCATGAAACAAGGGGTATGCATAATACAAATACACACATGCTCAGCAAAAGCACTATATAAAGCCTGTTTAAAGCTAATTTTTCCACTAATTTAATCCTAATCTTATCCTCCTGTAAACAAATACAGGATCCATGCTCTTAGAAAGTCTCATAAAGTACTTTTTCAAAGTCAAATTTGTTGCATATCTGACATAATGAGCTTAAACCAAGCCTTATTGTCCATAGGTGGGGGGATGGGTGCAGTCTGTCTTACCTCAGATCTCTTCTTTCTAATCTCCACCGTTTCTCAATATTTCCTTCATTGTACTATTTTCATTCTTTTCTATACTTACTATTAATAATTTGCCTTTTGATATCAATTAATTAATTTCATTACATTTTTATTTCCCTTTCCCACCAGATCCTTTAATTCTTGCTATCTCTGCTACTGTGCCTTGATATTAAATGTTTTCTTTCTATTTGTCTTTCAGGATAACTTTCAGAAGTTGATGCAGGTTCAGTACAGTTTGAACGGCCATCATGAAATTGTGCAGCCAGGAAGGGTAAGTGCTGAGAACTGCATTACCCATAACCCTCCCTTTTTGACTAAGGATTTCTCATAATCCTCTCTTTCTGACTAAGTATGACTGGAAGTTTTATGTTTCTTTTTGCAGGTGTTCCTTAAGGAGGGCACCCTGATGAAACTGTCAAGGAAGGTCATGCAGCCCAGAATGTTCTTCCTGGTAAGAGATAAAAGTCCAGCTTTGTGTATGTCTGTGTGTGGGCCTGTGTATATGTGTGTGGTGTACATACTCATGAGGTTGCACACATGAAGTGTGTGTTTGATTTACTGCAAATATACAAATAAGGACCATTTCTACCAACTTAGTTCAAACTGCAGTCCCACAGTAAAAGAATTCAGAACTTAGATATTTACAAGGTTTGTGTTATGATCTTTTTAAACCCAAGGCATTAATTGAGATAGTAGTAATCTAAAAATATACTAAATCATTATTATGGGGTACTTCCTACTGGGAGGTGTCAGTCCTAAACCCTAACCCTTAAATTTCAACTTGAAAATAATGCTTAATTTTTCTTATTGTTTTTTTTTCTTGGCTGTTTGATTTCTTTTTAAGTTAAAAGATTTAGATTGATCATGCGTTTAATTTAAAAAAAAAAAAATCAGAAAATGCTGCCCCATGTTTTCATGTCACTACTGAAACACAAGGAGTTTTAGTCCATAGGTGGAGCCTTATTTTAGCCACACCCCTGCATTTTAGAACAGGAAGTCAGACTGCATCCCTGTCCCTCATGGCCACATGGTGAGCAGTTAGAGCCCATTGTTTTGAAGTAAATATGTCCCAAAGTCTGAAAGTCAGTGTGTAACATTAAGAATTGTCATTACCAAAACTGCAATTGAGAACTGTTTTGTGTTTTAATCTGTCAGTCAGTCTGAATAAGCGTGGCTAAACTGCTGCATATGTGAAATATATGAATCTCTCTCTCTCTCTCTCTCTCTCTCTCTCTCTCTGCAGTTTAATGACATCCTGCTATACACTACTCCAGTGCAGTCTGGGCAGTATAAAGTCAACAGCATGCTCTCCCTGGCGGGTATGAAGGTCAGTTATCCGACATTTACTTACTTAATTAGTAACACTGTTTTTGGCAGATAGCACAGCTTGAAAATGTGTTTTGTAGCCAGCTAGAAGACTACTAAAGTAACTATCAAGGGTTATGTACTTCAGAAATTAGCCAAGTTTATGTAAGTACAGTTGTATGGAAAAATGTATGTTTTGTTGACTATGTAAGTAGAACAGTTACTGTTTATTTGCTGAATTTAATGTTTTTTAATTTAAAATGTGGATTGTGCTGAAAGTTTTTTAGGCTCATTTTGTTTTTTTTTGTTGTTTTTTTTTTAACTTTGCAAATAACTAGGGGTATTCAAACTTTTACATATGACTGTGTTTGTGTGCACATGCACACACATATGTACACCCCGAGCGGCACTCACTAGCACACCTCTTTGTGTCTGCTCTCTTTGTCTAATTCATCAGTTCCACTTACCCTATATGCAGTTTTAAAAACAGACTGTTGTCCATACGTTCCCTTTGATTTCCTCAAATGTTGAAGTTTTCTGCGTAAATTTGCAGACAACCTTTTACAGAAAAAAGAGCCAGTATTTTTCCACTCAGCATTGATGGCGTCAAACAGTTGAAAAACATTGCCGAGCTAGTTTGTATTTAAAGTGAGACCCAATATTCTCTATAGGGTTTAAATCTTTTCTAAAAACATTTTAAAACGTTTATTCTGTTTCTTTTAGGTAAGCAAGCCCAGTCAGGAGGCTTATCAGAATGAACTGAACATTGAGAGTGTGGAACGCTCTTTTATCCTGTCTGCCAGGTAAGAAACACACATTCTCACACACACACACACACACACACACACACACACACACACACACACACACACACTCACACACACACAGAGCTATTAAATTAAAAGCATCTGAACTCCTGTCTTTGCTGGTTTTGATTCTGTAATGTGTATGTGCAGCTCAGCCACAGAGAGAGATGAATGGCTAGAAGCCATTGCCACAGCGATAGAGGACTACACCAGGAAAAAGATCTCTTTCATCTCCAGCCGAAGCCAGGAGGTCTGTGTGCAAGAGCGTGTGTGTAGTGTCTACCGAATAAGAGTATGTGCCTGTAGTAATGTGTATGTGTGTGTGTGTAGGAGTGTAAATCTTTGACCTTTCAGTGATTTGATTACAGTCAAATTATCTGCATAATTCAATTTTTAAGATGTAAACAGTCATTCAGAGTGGTTTGATGTTTTACTGTGGAGAAACTTACCAGACGAACTTGACACAGATTTCTTTACAGTGGTTGCAATGCCCACAGTTCAAATATAGTCATTTTACTCTATTTAATTTACTATCCAAAATGGCCATTGTACCTACCCGTCTTCTGAGGTCTTATGTAGTGTTGATAATGGTAAAGATTTAAAATAAGTTTTCCTTTATGATATTGTGCCTTATAACACCTCATCATGTACCTCTTTACCAGAAAAAAAATATATTATGTTCAAACCTTATTTTGAAACTATTGTCTGGATCTACAAGCAACATATTTGTAAATGTTTTACCATTAGAAATATTAATCTCTTCAGAAATCTAGTTCCTAGCATCTCCACTGTGAACAGTTCTAACGGTAAATTTCTCTACAGTGAAGCATTTCCCATCAAACCACTCTCAACATCTTAATCATTGTTTTATGTAGAAATAAAAAAGAAACAGATTTCCTCACAATTTGATTTGATTCACTTATTTTGGTATTTTATGGTGTTTTATTTAAGTGTTTGTGTAGTATAACTATTTTGTGTTGGTTTAAAAAAACTGCCCTAGCTTCTTTGTTGTCATAGGGTTGATTGTATATATGTTTAAATGTTGTTTTTCTGCTGTGTGCAGTCTGAGGGTGTGTCTGTTGATGGTCCTCCTCTGGGTTCTAAAGCTCCTATCTGGATCCCGGACCTTCGGACCACTATGTGTATGATCTGCACCTGCGAGTTCACACTTACCTGGAGACGTCATCACTGCCGGGCCTGTGGCAAGGTCAGGGGTCAGAGTCATATTGAAACAAGAACGTTTTAAGACTCTGTATTGTTGCTTTAAAGTGATAGTTTGGCCAAAAATTAAATTTACACAGTTTTCCCAATTAACCCAAATGTAGTCGATCAGCCAAGATGTTAGATGTCTGCAGTTTCTCCCTTTAGTTTTGCACTCAAGCAATAAGGCTAATGTTGCAAACAAGTAATGGAGGTTAATAGATACCAATTAGCATTGTGCAAGCTGCATGCCTAAATCATCACATTTGCCTTAAACTTCGGAGTTTGTTAAATAGTAATACTGATTTTTAGATAAAAGTATATTACACAGTGTCAAAAACCATATAAGCAAGTCTATGTTAGATTACTTAACAAAAGAGGTGGGAAATATAATATGAATCATTGTGAAAAAATAAAATCACAGTTTGTCACTATGCTTTTCTAAGCATATCATAAATATCATCAGTACTTTTAGAACACAGTCCATCTGTGTGTTGCGTTAGAAAGAGAGCTTAATTAGTCTTGTTTAATTGGACATGTACTAAACAATGTTAAATATAAATTATTTGTATTGAATGTTTTTCATAGTATTTTTTAAATGTGGCACTATTGGCTCTTGTTTGCCTGTTCCAACACATCAGATGTCAGGAAAAAAAATATAATGTAATATCATGTATAATGATACTATTTCTTTGCCATATTGCCCACCACTACTTAACAATTCACATTTTGAAACAAGTGTGTAATGATATGGGCATGCTATAAGCTTCCATTACTTGTTATCTACATTAATCTCATAGCTCCAGTGATCAAGTGAAGAAGCAAACTTCAGACATTGAACATGTCTTGACTGATTAATTGCGTTTGGGGTAACGTTGTGTGCATTTGACTTTTGGCTGAACTGTTCCTTTAACAGTGTGATTACATCAATGCAGGTGAATAGAAATTGACACTTTCCATTGAAGTGTACTTATTTTTGACAGGTTGTGTGCCAGGCATGTTCATCAAATAAATATTACCTGGAGTACCTGAAGAATCAGCTAGCAAGAGTCTGTGACCAATGCTATGCCAAACTCCAGCAGAAAGATAAAGGTTTCACAATTCTCTCCTTATTTGCTTGATTTAATACGATTTATTTTCTGACATTAAGCTGAGTCTTATCATAAATCTTCTCCCGTCTTACACCCCAAACTCCTCAGGTAACCAGTCCGGGGTATGTGTTTCACCCAGTGGACGAAGCTCAAGCTCAGCATTCTCCTTCTCTAGGAAACAGAAGAAGATTCCCTCAGCACTGAAAGAGGTAACCATAGGGCTAGGACCACTTATTGATTATAGTGACTGTTTTTTTTATTATTATTTTTATTATTTTAATTTTATTTTATTTTTGTATGCATGCACGCTTCAGTCTATGATTGATCAGTGAGCTGTAATGTACACTAAAGCACAGAAAAAAATTGCTATCAGCAACAGTATTGCATTCTAAATTTTAGTTTAATGTTGTGAGGACTTTTAACAAACTGAAAATTTCAAATCAGTTTGGGAGAACTGGACCAATCGAGTAGTGATTGCAACAAAGTTTTTCTCTACATTAGTGCTGTGTGTACAAGAGCAACCCTGAGCTCTAAAGTGAAAGAGGGCATTAGTGTTAATGTGTAAGTTTTCAAAAGTTGATGGTTTTGTGGGTTTTTGTGTCAAAACATTGACTTTGTGTGAAGAGGCCTTATGGGTTTGCAGCTCCCCTAGCAGAAATGGAAAATGTCTTAGATGTGGTTTTGTCCTGACTTATCTTTTTTTCAAATATTTTCATCGTCCCGTCTTTAATCATTATAGCAGCATTAATGCAACAGAGCTGCAACAATTGCTGTACCAGTACATTGTGACTGAACTGTCATGTTATCACATACAGGGATGTATAAAATAATGTTAGCACCACATGGAACACTCTTTAGCTATTTTATTAGAAATACCTACCATATAGGAGTGTTTTACAAGTGTACAATGTACTGACTGTAGCTCATCTATTGTTAAATGTATCAGTCACGGGTTCATAGTTTATCAGCCCACCTCTTCACCATCCATGGTCTAGTGTAATGGGTAACACCTCTGCCTTCTACACTGTAGACTGGGGTTCAATCCCCTGACTGGGCAAGCACCCTACACTGTACCAATAAGAGTCCTTGGGCAAGACTCCTAACACTACCTTTGCCTACCTGTGTAAAATGATCACATTGTAACTCACTCTGGATAAGAGCATCTGCCAAATGCTCATGAATGAAAAATGTGTTACATCCAAAACTGTTACAAATGGAGATACAGCATATTGGATGGATATTGCAGTGATAGTGGCATGATATCGGGTGTTGCACTGGTATGAGTCTATCAGGCACAGCAGCATTGCTGGATTTTGAAAAAATTCAGTGTCACTGCTGAACTGACATTAGTCCCCCAACTAAAAAATGTCCAGTCAGCGATGCCCTGTGGTCAGAAACCTGATGAAGACCTAGAGGCCTTGTGACTTACACAAACTGTGCGTGTACAAAGATGAACTATCATCTCTAACTATACACATAGAAGAAGTTGGTTCTGACCACTGTTAAAAACTGACAGGACCACCTGTAGTTTAGCTTCTTTAGAAATTCTTCTCTTATTAGCAGTTGTTTCAAAATCATTTGAATTAAATAAAGTAAAATTGAGTGTATTCTTGCAAATGTAATGCCATGTTGTTTCTGGTGAGTTATAGAAGTGATTAGTCCTTTATTTAAATATTCTTGTTTTTTTTCCCTTTTCCAGGTGTCTGCTAACACTGAGAATTCCTCAATGAGTGGCTATCTGCAGAGGTCTAAAGGCAACAAGAAACCCTGGAAGAGGCTGTGGTTTGTCATCAAGAATAAAGTCCTCTACACTTACGCTGCTAGTGAGGTATGCTACTCATGTTTTGCAGGGCTGGCCCCAACAGTATTTTACAGGCTTCAAATACTGGGTAACGAATTTCTAAACAAGTACTGAAATACTCGTTCTCAAAGTCACCCTTAAAAGCAATAATATTTGAAACAGTCATCTGTCTGACTGAATAGATGTGGCTATATTTTTACTAGTAATTTAGTCCACACACACTGCGCTAGACACATGCTTTGCTTCAAATCACACATTCCCACTTTCTAGCATTGCAAAATATATTTACGATAGTAATTGATGAAATGGTATGATCTTGTTGGTGTGGTCATTTATTTGAGCCAGCCCTAATGTTTTGGGTTTCAATATATTGTGTCATTTATTTGTTTACATGAGCATGAATGTGATGTGTGCCAGTGATGACAAGGTCAGAATTGTCATTGATATGATTGTGACTGTGTGTCTGTTCACGCACAGGATGTTGCAGCATTGGAGAGTCAGCCATTACTGGGATTTTTCTTGAGAGAAGAAAAGTCTGGACCAGCACAGAAACTGCAGTTTAAACTCTATCACAAAAACACTCTCTACTATATCTTCAGAGCAGAGGATATCCCTACGGCTCAGAGGTACACACACGTAACTATATACACTACTATTCCAAAGCCTGTTTCAATAATATAAAGCCAGTTTTGTAGTAGATAAATGTATAAAATGATTCTAATACTTTAAAGCAACTAGCTACTGTGAAGCTGTGAAAAGAAAATGAAGAAATTTAAATGTGTCCAGAAGGATGAACAGAGCTGTGGATGATTCTAAAATGAGAGAGAATAGTAAAATTAAACTATAGTAAAGAAGTATAGAATAGTATAGAATAGTAAAATCAAACTTGTGGTGAAAACTAGTAATTGAGGCATACTATAAATAGATAGCTACAGTATATTGTCCATCATTTCATTACATCTTGCTGTTCCCAAAAAAATATTTTGGGACTCACTGTTATAGGAGTTCTGCGCTTATGCTGATATCTGATATTTTTCATTATTTACTATGTTTTCCATGATAACTGGTTATTTTAATGTTTTCTCGAAATCTCAAGTTATTTATATCACGAGATAACAAATGTTTTCTCGTTATGTCATGCCATCCTATGTCATGCCTTTATCACGACATAACGAATGTTATTCAAGAAAACGGAATTTATTTTGTTATTATAATGACATATCACAAGATCTTGAGAAAACTAAATAAAATAACTGATCACGGTTAAAAACAAAACAAAAAAAAAAGCCAACCCCGTTGTCGTTTAGGGCTTCTCTACCTTTTATTGTCCAGTTTACAATATTTCAGTCTAAAGTTTTTTAAGTTATTACTGAATAAAATGCCAAAAATATACGGTAGTGATTCCAAACTTTTTGAATGGTGTGCTTCTGACTACCCAAACCTCACTGTTACTGAACATGGCTAACCCTAAGCCTAAACCTAACTATAACCATCACCAAAGACAAATAAAGACATTAACCCCTTAAACTGCAAGGGTCAAATGTGGACCTACACACATAATAACTGATTAAAAAGCACTTAGAAGCAAAATTCTCTTACTAATTGGAATTCATACATTTTGCAGTGCTTAGAAAGACAGTACAGAAATACATGTATACACATTTACACAGTATGCAGTTATACACACAAACTTAGTGTTTTGAAATCTTGTTTTTCAGATGGATTGAGGCGTTTCAGGAGGCCATGATTCTTTGACTACTCTGTGTGGCTTAAATTAATGTCAATCTGGAACCCTTCCTTTGACCTGCTGCACTGGACCGGCAAATAGTGACTTGAGCTCAGAAGACTCTCAGAAGAATTACAGTAACATTTGAAGCAAAGGATGCTGGTAGATGTAGTTTTAGTCTTCATCAAACTATATTACTAGAATTAAACCAGCATTTCAATGTTAAGGTTATTGTAGCCTCTTCTACCCTTGTGTCCTCTTTTGTAATGCTCCCCCACACCATAAGCAATCTAAACAATTGATTCATTTGTTTGAGATTGATCATTTTTCCTCATGGATCTGGATTCCAAGGGATTTTAATGGGGTTTTAGTAGAAGACAGCCAGACATTCCAGATTCTGCACCTTCAAGCACAAAAAAACTAGATGTTCTTGAACACCGAATGTTCTGAACATACCAGTAACATCCAGTGTGATGTTCTTGATACGTTAGAATGGGCGGCGGTATAAAGGAGCAAGTGACAGGAAGAGTCTGGTTAAAGATGTATTTGGTTGCCTGGTAACAGATCAAATGAACAGGTCACAGGTGTGATCAAGGGTCAAGTGTGGAAGTGCACGAGCAAGTGTGACATGAGGAATGTTAGGTGCCTCTAGATGCTTCTGTGGCAGAATCTATGTATATGATGTCTGCCCAGGTCTTTGTGGGAGATGTTGGATGCTGCTGTGAAAGCCAGTAGTTTTTAGACACCTTAAAGGAATAGATAAGTCCATAATGCTAACATTGTGCTGCTAACAGTGAATGAAAGTGAATAGCCAGTGGTTAGCATTGTGCAAATAGAGTCATGCTAATTGATATCATCTGGCTTCCATTCATTGCTAGCCATGTTAGCATGTTTTGTTCCGCTGTTCCTTTACAGAAACCACATTTTTATTGTACGTTTAGCTTTTTTAAACATCTTTTTTTTATCTCCTCCTTTTGTATAAAGTAGAACTCACAGTAAAAAAAAACATTAAACTATTTTACTGGGAAATAACTGGATATAAATGTAAATATGCTGTACATGGTAATATAATGCAGGTATTTAAAACAGTTCAGGATGTTTAGCCTCCTTGAATGAATTTAATGATTTTGTAATTTAACAAAGAATTCCAGTTTTCAGCCGGCTGACTAAGCACTATGTAATATCGCTGTGTAATACAGATCATAGCATTCTAAGCTGTGAATAATTACCCAGCTCAGTGAAAACTGTTAGCTCTGTTATCAGGGAAAAAAATAACGTTAGTTTCTTTACTGGTTAAATTTCTTTGTGCACCTTGTTTTTTTGGGATTACAGTGAAACTATTTTCTTTATTTGTGTTAAATGGACATGAACTAACTATCACAGATTTCCATAGAGGTCTTCTACAGTATTACCCAATCTAGTTTAATAAGTTTCATATGTTCTTGTTGATGTTTGTGTGTGTGTGTGTACTCTGTACTGCGTCCACTGAGATATATAACAGTGTATTCTGTCACTTTGGGGAAAGTGATGTTTGAAAACAAAATGCACTGTGCACTGCACACTGAACTGCCACCACTTTGGAATTTTATCTGCTGTTTTCAGTCACTTGTCACCGTTCCAGCTGGTTGGGGTTAATTATAGTGTACAGCCGATAAGTTGAAAACACTCCAAGGAAGTATTGCCCTCAAGTATGTCAGACATAGATGTAAAGAACTGTAATAAATAATTTTAAGTAGCTTTTTTCTGATTATTCTTTGTGTGTATATGTTTGTTGTGTTTGGTTGGGAACTGCAAAAGCCCTCGCATGTTGGGCAAATCATATTTCGTTACAAAAGTGGGACTGAAAAGTACTTTTATCTGAAAAGCATAAAATACACTCGGAACTTAGTGGAGGGGTCTGTATATTCTGTTTAACGCCATCTTCATATAATCAGTCATTTCTTCAGAAATGTTTTAATGTTTTTTTTTCACATTTAATATATATATATATATATATATATATATATATATATATATATATATATATGAAGAAAATAGAAAATGGTTTTACAAAATACCTGATGTGATAATACAGCTATGTGAAACTGTTAAGAACATCAAAATAACCAGCATAAGAAAATCTGTTTTGTTTCACCATCAGGAGTGGATAATTCATCAATAATTCATCACATGAATTATTTTATGAATTGACAGCAAAGATGTGATGAGTACATTTGTGTCTACAGTTGAGCATAGTGACAGTACATCATTTAAAAGTCAACCAACACCTCATTTTTTTCTCATTTTAACACATTTTATGAAAATCCTCACGTCTTGTCTTAAAGTTGTTAAAAATAGCTGAATGACGAACATTAACTAGTCACCGAAGTAATGTTCTTATTTTATTAGAAATGATCCAACTAAAAACTAAAACACATACGGGAGGAAGATTAACATGTTCAACATGTTTAATTTCTTCGAAACTCCTGCCTTCCCGATATGGACTCAGGTTAAGTGGGACATCCAGTTAAGTGGGTCACTTTTTATTGCTTTACAAATATTACTTAGATGCAGCTGTATGTGAACTAGATTTTTGGGCTAAATATTGTTGCTGACCAAAAAAAGTAAAAATTTTTATGTTTGTTTTGATTTTTAGTTTTCTACAACATTTAAACATAACAGCTGTGACTCGACAAAGAGAAATGCTCTAAAATTATTTTCAATGTAATCTCTTTACAATAACTTACATTAAAATTGTTTAGACTATTGTAAAGACACGTTTTCTTTTGGACAGCAACAATATTAACTGTTACTGTACATGTGCTGAATAGGAGTAGCCCACACTCTCAGAAAAAGAGGTATGAAACAGTCACTGGGGAGATACCCTCAAAGGTACATCTCTGTCCATTTAGGCAGGGAACATAATGGTACCATAATCTATTGAAATTATATTTCCTAAGTTGTACTGACTGCACACACCCTGTCTCGTCTCCAGGCTTTTATTTTATTGTTCTGTTATCATTAGGTCATGAAAAGGTACAAACGCATACTTTTTACTGGGGAAAAACATATTTATTGTCCACAGTTGGACCGTAAAACCACTGTTGTGCCTTTCAGGGAACATTAACATTGTTTGTACCTTGATGAATGAAAAATGTACCTGCACAGAACCTTTATTTCTAACAGTGTAAAGTCCCTTAGACTGTTATGTTGTGTCCTACAATTTACCTGTATACACCCTAGAAGTTTCCAGATAATGAGATGTTTGTGGTGGGTTGTATGAGATTGTAAAGTAGGAATCATATTCTGTTCCTTCAAATATTAACATTTAACCAATAAGTGATTGTTAGAAATTAGATGAAAAAATTGTGAAGGTTTTAGTCGTTCTGGACTAGCAGTAGTAAATCGGTGGGTCTTGTGGTTTAATCTTACTTTACTACTTTCTATCAGATGTACAAAGATGTGGTTCTATGCATACATAAGGAAAGTATCAGTGTTTCCTGGCATTTCCCTCCGACAATCGATCCTTACCTGAAAACTAACCCTAGTTGTTTTCTTTAAAGGGGGAGCCCACCAATTTTTCATAATTTCTGCATACCTAATTTGTTAAAATGTAAGTCATTCAGAGTGGTTTAACATGATGTACGATACTAGAGATTTATTTGGTCAAAATGGTTTGCAATGGTGGTTGGGAATTGTAAAGTGAAATAGAACCTAAAGAATTCTTTCGTTCCCCCCCTAAAAATATCACTATTTTACAATCACCAACATTACATATAAAAACTAAGACATGTAGGTTCACTGGTTGTTTTAGATAGTAAATAGAATGGCTATTTTGCACTGCAGACATTGTGACCCGTTTCCTATCAGCACCACTGTAAAGACGTCTCGAGTGGTTAGATTTCTCTACAATGAACCATTTCATTGAATATTTATGCTTTTGAGAAACAGAATGCATCATGGATAAGGAGAAAGTGAAAAAAAAAAGTTTGTAGTAAATAAACGAAAAATAATAATAAATGAAGGACAGAAACTTTCCTTCTGCCTGCTGCTAATCATACATGCACACACACCGGCCCAAACAGCCATATGAGTTAATGCGAAAGGTGGTATTAAATCTAAATCTAGATTTCACGCTTTCTTTAATACAATCGTAAAGGAATTCAAATATTTTTGATGTCCACATTTTCTGTTTTTGACTCTAGACCACTAAGAATTTGCCTTTTTAAGCAAACAAGGAGATTTTCAAAAGTAAAGGCATTGATATATTAGCCTTAGTGTTACTTGGTACCAGACAGATTATAAAAAAAACATTGGGTTACCTTGATGTACTACATTCATATGCAGGGTTGGGATGTATCGGTATCAGGAATATTAAGTAACTGCATTCAGTCCAAGTACCACTTTGTAAAGGCAGTAATCATAATAGTTACTTTTCATATTTTATTTTTTATTTTATTCTTTTATTCACCCACTAAATAAAAATAAATCTTCAAAAGAAACAACTGTTGTTTATGAAATGTTTTAAAATCAGCACACGTTATTGGTAGCAAACATGCTCATTAGATGAACTCTATAAGGACCTGTACGAACACTGAAGTTCCTGCTAAAGCCTGAGTAGACTGATAAACCAAAATTATGAATCAGTTATTAATGTCGGTGCTAAACTCCTTTGACTGATGATCAAACTAATAATCTTCTCAGCCGCTGACAAGTTTTTTAGTGATAAACTTAGCACTGTTATTGTACTGGACTCCTGCTCTGGGGATTGTGTTAGCAGCAGTGGACTGAAGCAGGTAGTGAGGGAAAAAAAAGAAATAAAGTCAAGAATTTCAGAACTTAAATACACATTTTCTATATTAACAGAATAATCACATGAAAAAAAATTGCCAACCAGTAACAGTGAGGAACCGTGTGAATTAGGTAACGATTACAGCGGTCTTTCCCATATATCGTCGTTTCATGTCATCACAGCTCTTATGCTACTCCACGCTGGTTCTGCGCATGATCGCTCCCAGGCGTTTGGGCAGATCCAGGTCGCGAACTCTGACCTGAGCCGAACTGATTTCACTTTAAGAAAATACTAAAAACATAGGTGTTGTGGAAATAATCCACAGTGACACGGTAAGAATCTTTTTATAATAAGCGCTGCCTTTTGACTGGATGTTTTCGCGCGTACAGAGCAGCCACAGCGGCTCAGACTTTACAGCGGTTACCTGCAGTGAGAGCGCTGAAAACACAGCCGGCCTCCCACAGACACACAGCTAGCTAGCATGGTTAGCCAGCTAAGCTTACTTCAGCTAATACTCGAGCATATATCTTCTGTTTTGCTATTTGGGACTCAGCTGAATAAGCGACCTACCTAAATTGTTGCTACTTAAGTCGTGCATTAGTAGTGAAATTATATTAAAGTTAACTTATACTGTCATGTTTGGCTAACGTCAGCTAGCTAATACTCGAGCACGGCTATTTCTGCTAACAGTTAGCGTTAGCTAACTTAGCTGAAGGCTTGCAGAATGCGCGAGCTGCCATGTGTTAACATTACCTAAATACTTCCTAAGTTAGTACGTAAACTGTTAAAATTGTGAATTTTATAAGCGCAATGGGTTCGTAACGAAGCTAAAACCAGCTTCCTGTTCGAATTTCCCCGTTCCACCTTAAGTGGTGCAGCAGTTAGACGTAATGCTAGCTATGTTCGAAGTACTGAACTCTTCCGATATTTGGTTCCTATTTTCCCGTTCCACCTTAACTGGTGCTGCAGTAACGTTATAAACGTATTGCTTAAACTGCTGCACCAGTTAAGGTGGAACGGGGAAACTCGAACAAGAAGCCGACGAGTGGGGAAGCTGACTTCAGCCTCGTAGGTTCGTAGCAGTTCGTGTCCCTGCAATGAAAATAGCCGGTCTCGTACAGCTACAGCTAACGGTATTAGCGAGTTAGTAGCTAAACAGGCTAGCTTAGCCAACGTCAAACAAACATGTATTTCAGTTCGGTTAAATAAATGACCTGACCCACCTAAATGACTTGATATATTTTTTATCAGAGTCCCGCGAATCTCCCAAACATATAGCTAACAAGGCGTTTCGAGCATTTAACAATACTAGGTTAGCATTGTATCACCGCTGAGCTAACTGTCGGCTAACGACTACTTGCTGATCTCCGTGTCCAGCAGTAACCGCAATTTCCTTAAATTTGCTGTATAAAACGAAAAGGAAACAACTGAAGCAGATTCATGTCGTGGATTTAGATGATTTAGGTAGTAATTCGAGTCAGTAAACCGAAAAACGTCTCTTTCTGAGAGCGGAATATGTGTTTGGTAGTTGGTTTGGAGCTCGCTGGGTTTATTCCCGAGTGGAAGCGCTGCTTTAACCCTTCAATGTTGACCTTTCACCCAGCCCTGGATGAAGACAAGCTTTCTTTATCTTCCGTATCAAACCTGTCATTTGGCAGGGCTTTGTTCCTTTGAGTGCTGTATCACATTCAGTTTAGAAAGAAGAAGGAAGAAAACATGGATAGACGTTTAAATTAAAACATCAGCGTAGTGCTAGGCTAACTAGCCAGCATGCTAATAAAGCTAGCGCAGCATTCAGCAGAGAAACCACAAGAAGTGTGGTGGGCAGCTGGGTTTAGCTCTGTTTTGTTTCTCTTACACGATCAAATAAAAGTTTTCCCACCCGTTGACAGCCTGCAGCCTGCAATCAATGTGTAGTTTATGTGGGCGAGCATTTATTATTGTTCACTTTTAGTAGTAGTTGGTTTTGTTATGGTAGGATTATGTACAGTACATAAGGAATTAAGGCAATGTGTTTATCAGGCTCTGTAATTTAACCAGCAAAATATGAAATAATTAACAGGATAACTTTCTCCGGTGCATGCCCTTTCTAGGCATACCTAACCAGATTTGTTTTCATAGGTACAATATATGTCTAAAAGTTTCCAGACACCCCTTCAAATTCAAGCTGCCCCCCATTACTGATGCAGGAGCAGTCACACATGAGCATAAGGCCACTGTGCCCAATGCCACGCATCAGCAAGGGGAGTAAAAAGTGTCCCCACAGCATTGGGCTTTGGAGCAGTGGTACTGTGTTCTGTAGTGATGGAGCTCCATCATGAATTGGTGTGGCATTTGTGATCCAGAACTTGCCATCCAACGTCAGTATCTGACCTCTCTGATGCTCTTGTGGCCGAATGCAATCAAATCTTCACAGCAATGTTCCAACATCTAGTGTAGCCTTCCCAGATGAGTAGAGACTGTTACTGCAATAAAGGAGGACAAACTATAAAAACTCAAATTGTTGTTGATGCTTGTGTTTGTGTGTATCTAATCAGCTGTATTTTTTGTATTAGGTGTGTGGAAGTGTGTGGATGCACGTGTCTCATGGAGAGTCGTATTTGAGCCAAAGAAGGGTGGGATCAGTACCATGGCAGGTGAAAGTCCCAGAATTCAGCTGGTGTCTGCAGATGGAGGTCTACAGGTAATAGTTAGCATTACAACAACACTTACTTTGCCTAATATTTCTCCACTAATTGCAGTTGGTGCTAACATGTGCATGTATGTGTGCAACAGATTGTAACAGATCAGCAGTTGGGCCAAAAGGTGCAGATAGTAACAGCATATGATCAGGCAGGGAGCGGCAAACAGCACTTTATATTAGCCAACGTGGATTACCCCAGCCAGGATAAACTGCTCCTGAAGCATGAATCCTCACCTGGGAAAGTTATTCTCACTTCTGCTGATGGATCAGCTGTCAATCAACTGCTCTTTACATCACCTGAACTGGCAGGTCAGCAGATCCAGGTAAGACGCTTGCAGACACATAGCACATGCATTTATCATGCATTTGTATCTGTGTGAACATTTTTTGATAAATGGATCACAGAAATGATTCAAAATCAACTATGACTCAATCTCATCATAGTAACTTAAAATTATGTTAAAATTGTGTTTATGTTCCCTGCTGTTGCCTGGCCGTCTATGGCCAGGACTCCAAGAGGATGCACCCCCACCCCACTCAGCATAGTGCTAACCACAGTGATGTCTGTTAGCTGAAGTAACAGAATCATCAGTTAGCATTTTCCTCCAGATATGCTGTGCTGAGTTGTCCAGTAATGTTTTTAACGGCAGTTTGAAAAGAATCCATGACGCTTCACATGTCTAGCTCTGTAGTATGGTATGATCGAGGGAGACCTATGTGCATTTTGATGAATCTCCTCATTGATGAGTGCTGTGTTTTGGGTTTTTTTTTCATTGTTTATGTGTAATGGTTGCCTACTAATGACAAAGAGCTGATGAGCAATAAAAAGTTGCATAATCTATAAGAAGTATTGATATTTTGATATTTATTCTTTTGAGAGAGGTCTGTTTTAAAGTAATTCCATGTGACTACATGAGTTCAGTGAACAGGTAAAATTGTGATCAAGCTTATGGCTTGATATAATCCAGTTTAATTCTGATATAGCTATTTTCATTAGCATCATTGTCATAATCTCATATAATACCAATAACAATTTGGGATTTTTTATTATTATACTTATTATTATACTTACAAAATGCTGATTCTGTTGGAAAACTAATCCTCTTAAAGAGGATCCAGTGGAACATATGTTTGAGAGATTTGCTTTGGTGACCAACTGGCACTCTTTTTTTTTTTCTTTTTTTATAGTATATAGTAAAATGGATGAAATCTCAATTGGTGCATTCCATTATCATTCTGATGTGTCTGTGTTTGTTTTTTTTCCTCTAGTTTGTGACAGAGAGCACAGAACAAAGCCCTATTAAACCTGTTGTAGAGTACTGTGTCGTGTGCGGAGACAAGGCCTCTGGTGAGTTAGTCCCACACACACTATAGCTAGGTAGTACAAAGAAGTGTGCACCCCTGTGTGTACCTTTAAAAGTGCATTAGTCAAAATTCAAGATGCTTAACCTCTAGCAGTTGAATACATGAACTGCATCAACACTCAAACTATTGTTTTTACTCTGTGGATCTGCCTCCCATTCCTGCCCATCAGCTCAAAGCACACTTCTCGAATCAACGCTGCCAATGAGAGTTCATTTAGAGTTTACCATCATTAACAAGAATTGTCATGACTTCACTTTTTAGTGATGGTAGGCTGTTTGTTAAGGGTATTGCCTGTCTTCGTTATTTAGATATCGTGTTAGTGTTAGTACAGGGAATGATCCTGCTCTGCCTGCTGTGTGGGGGTCCTGGCCATTGAAGAGCAGGTTGAGGGGGCTGGCAGGGCATGCAGAGAAACAGATGGACTACAGTCTGCGATTGTAGAACTACAGGGTGCACCTATATGGTGCGTAGAGCAGATGGAGTGGACGATAAGTGTAGCTACAGGAAAGTGTATTTAACTAAGTGGCCAGTCAGTGTACGTATTTTATTTTTATTTTTATAAATGTCATTTATATCAGTTGCTCAGTTTTAGCTGTACATACTGTTTATATGCACTTCGGTACTTGAATGTAACTATAATTAATGCCCATTGCATATCCTTTAAATTATTCTCAGATTGTTTGTGTACTATCTAAATATATCATCTGGTACTCGGGAAATAAAGATACTGGTTTTGATTCTAGTATGGCATTATATTAACATTGCTTGAGAGGAGATATAAATACTAGATATAGCTGCATCTCAGTTGTGCACATTGAGTGTCCTTTTTCATAGATAAAACACAATTTCACAAGTTGTTAACTACAGCAAATGCCATAGCTATAGGCTAATTATTTTTTTTACAGTTTTACTTTCTAATGAGGTCCCACAGGTTTTTCAGTGAACCGTCAAACTAAGCCAAAAAGCCAGTTCTCTTAAACATAAAAAGATGTGGGAAGCGTAGTAGAAAACAAGAGAGAGGGTGGTGAATGAGATAGTGAGATGACAGTCCATTGTGACCATGGCTTTAGGCTTTGTGAAGATATACTTGATGCCTTGAACTTCTTGAGGGAAATGTTGGCAAGGTAAAAGTGTTCTGGTAGTTGTAGGAAACTTATTTTTACAAATTTTACAAATACAAATTATGTGCCATGCAGTCTTTGTGAACTTTAAGCTAGTGCTGAACAGTATTGATGAATTTCAATATCATAAAATTTTGGAAATATATCATGGTGTCAGACAGTATTTAATGTTGCATTAATAAAGTTAATGATCTCATGCTTTCTCAGTACTGCTATTTTATGCTTAAATAACATTTTACAAACCTTACATCGCTGGTTTTGATTGGGCTGTTTTGTTCTGTTTCCCTTAAAATTACACCAAAATAAACCTTACACAGTATTGTAAACATGAACAGAAGTAAATTAGATTTACAGAAAGAGTACCTACTATTTAATTTGGTTTTAATATATTTTAAAATGACTGAAGAACAGTCTGAAATGGCAGTATCTGTCAATACTGCTAAAAGTAAATGCCACTATTGTTTTGTGATGCCTACACCAGTGTACGGTTACAGATAATGCATCATCCAGCACTGCTTTAAGCTCATGAAGCCAGAGGTGTCCAGAGGCTACCTCAAAGCAGGTACCTTTGGTTGATCAGTGGTTTCTGGTAGTTTAATTTCTTAATTCTTTCTCTGTTGCCCTTCTGCAGGTCGCCACTATGGGGCAGTGAGCTGTGAGGGGTGTAAAGGCTTCTTCAAGCGGAGCATTCGAAAGAACCTTGTGTACACTTGCCGTGGCTCAGGGGAGTGTGTGATCAATAAGCATCATCGCAACCGCTGCCAGTACTGCAGACTGCAACGCTGCATGGCCCTTGGCATGAAACAGGACTGTGAGTCTAACACAGACTCATGACTTATACCATTTCTTCTCATTTTGCTCATCACAGCGCCAACATCTGTGCAACAAGTGATATTTTATGGAGAAACAATAGAAGCCATATCAATGTCAACAGCTAATCATTGCCACCCTGATGCACATGTGCACCTCTTTTTGTCCTCTCCCACTCTTTTTCTGTCTCTCTCTCTCTCTCTCTCTCACTCTCTCTCGCTCTCTCACTCACTCTCTCAGACCAAACATCCATGTCTTTTGACACAATGTGTTTAGCAGCCACCTGATACAATGTGTTTGCTAACCACCTGGGATACTATAGCAACATCCTAGCAACACCTAAGCAACCACCTGGGATACTATAGCAATCACCTAGCAACCAGCTAACAACCACCAAACAACACCCTAACAGCAAGATAGAATACCATAGCAACCTTGTAGCAACACAATAGCAACTACCGGGAATTACTATATAAACCTAATTAAGTTATCAAAAACAATCAACCGTGTTCTGGAGCTGCTTTAACTTTTGAAGTGTTATTAGCTGGCTTTTGTACGTTCACAAACTGTCCCTTTGAAATGTTGAAATGTGCTGTTTTTATTTCTGAATTCATGTTTGTATTTGACAAAGTGGAAGTTTAGCTTGCTTTCATTCCTATCAGCTGTGCAGTGTGAGAGGAAGCCAGTGGAGGTATCGAGGGAGAAGCCAGCTAATTGTGCCCCCTCCATTGAGAAGATATACATCCGCAAGAACCTCTGCAGCCCTCTCGCAGCCATGCCTACCTTCGTCAATGACAAAGAGACAGCCAGGTATACATCTGTGAAAGAGAATAAATGTCTTCTTCCTCTTCATCACGCATAAGCGGGAAAAATAATATTAACCATCAGTAACGTGTTTCACTTCCGCCTCTCTTCACCCCACCTATCATCGAGAGTAAACGCTGAGAGACCCTACCTGATAACATGTTTGACTTGGAAATATCTAACGCTGCAGAAGGGAAATGTGTTGTGATTTCATATTGACTTAAATATGTTTTGAATGTTTTTATTTACAGGTCTGCCAGTCTGTTAGATACTAACATGCTCTTGAACATCCAGCAGTCCCTCTCCAAATTGGACAACACAATCTTCATCCCTTCCTCACCAGACCAGGTAACAAGCATGCTATCCAGATAATATTGACAGGGTTTCAGTCATAAAAGAATGGGCGTTGAACTCTTAGCAAAAGTACTCAGGGTAATATATGTAATAATCATGAAATAATTATGTTTAGTTTGGCTAGTAAGGTTTCTTGTCTTTATTTGTGAAAATCCCACCATGAGGCTGTCAAAATTAATTGTGCACTTAGTGTTAGAACTGACCATTTGCATTATATCAGTCATTAAAGCACTAAAACTCTTAGATTCTTTTTCAGTTTTTGACTATAATAAATTATATCAGCTGACATTATCTGTTATCAGAATTTTTAGCTACTTAAAATTTGTATCGGTGACAAAATCTGCGTATCTGTGATGGCCTAGTGTTTAGTCAGACTAGTGTTCACCTCACAGTGTAATCTTTTTCTGATCTTCTGCCAGAATGATGCCTGTCAGGGTGATCTGAGCACGCTGGCCAACGTGGTCACGTCGCTTGCACATATAAACAAGAGCCGTGAGGTGACAGACAGCAGTACTGACCTATCAGGAATGGAGACCATGAGTAATGAAGACAACTCCATGACTGAGGTCCCACCAGATGAACAGAACTCCAGCGAGATCTCTCAGTAAGAGCAGAGATGGCTTACTCTGATGGAATAATAATAATAATAAAATGCAGCTCAAAATGCCTCACGTTGTTTACAAATGATGTCATACAAGAGCATAAAATTAAATTAAAGTGAAAAGGTAAAAGGCAAAAAATTAAGAAAGCAAGTAAGAAAAAACAGAACCTCCCAAAAAAAAAACCAAAGAACTACAAACAATACGATAAACAAACTATGGGATTATAAATGAAAATTTAAAGAACAATATAAGCTTCTTAGCATCTTGGAATGTGAAGGAGATCTCATTTTATATTTCTTCAAGCTGTTGATGTATGTGTATTTGTCCATGCAGAGCCTTTGACACACTGACTAAGGTGTTGCAGCCAGAGGAGACTGGTGGGGAAGCCGTAGAGGGGAGTGTTGCTGAGGAGCATAGCGCTGCCCTGCTGGAGCTGGATGGGCCGCTGCTGTCAGAGATGCATGTGCCCTTTAAGGTTAGGGGTCTCTACGTGTCTCGTAACTTCTCATATAATCAAAAAAGGAGTCTGGACTACACTTAGAGTGTGAATAAGGGTGGGTGATATGGAAAAAAAACTGACATTTTCATGATATATGATATGAATCACAACATTGAGCCATTCGGATTTTTATGCACAAGTCGTGATGGATAAAATGCATCAACAAAACCAAGGCTACGTTTACACAGCAGGTAAAAGTGGCCCAAATCCGATCTTTTTCCTCAAATGTGACACAGATGTGTCATTTGTGCGGCTGTGTGAACAGCAAAAAATGCATTGAATCTGACATTTTCAATTCCAATTTGAGACGCTTTCATATGTGGTACTGAAATCCGATACGTATCCGATCTGCGGCAATGCGACTCAGTCTGAACAGTCAGATCGGAATTCATGCGACTTTTACATCAATCCAACTCGACATTCGTCATAATTTCGCGCTGCTGAGACTCCTAAACGTTTAGTCTGAGGTTTCTGTACTAAAACATTAGAAGAGACTCATCAAACCGCTCCGTGTTTGAAGAGGTTTCGAACGAAACTGCAGCGTCAGAGAACAGTTTAAAGAATCCGAGGACTCGAACCAAAGAAGTGGCCGAATATCGCGCCCTTTTTACGGCGAACTCGAACACACTGTGGGTGATGAGTCCAGCTGTCAACCACTGGAACTTTATACTCGCTCCTGCGATGCTGGCGAAGACGAAACTGAAGCTCCGGGAGCGACTGGCGTTCGCCGGCCGTCATGACTGTTTACGTCTGGACGAGCCGCCACGTGAAGCATTGTTCTTTTGCACATGCGGGTCGGTTTAGGAGGGTGATCTGTTCAGACTGATGTCGCATACAGGTCCCATTTTAAAGATAATGTGAACAGCCAAACAAAGAAATCGGATTTGGTGAGAAAATCAGATTTGGGCCACTTTTACCTGCTGTGTAAACGTAGCCTATGAGTACAGTTGGTACAGAAACAGAAGTTATAGGAACAGTATGTAATGTATTTCTTGTACCAAATCATAAATTTTCTGTGGTATGTCATCAGAGTTTAAGGAAGGATGCAAAGTTAAAATACTGGCTTCTCTGACAACAGACAGTATTGTCTCCCTTAAAAGGAGCAGCAAGTTCTGGAGCAGCAAGTCTGTTTGTGTTTTGGCCTATGTTCCCGCCCACTGCCTGTTTCTCAGTACCGTTTCCACACCCCGGGCACCATAACTTAACTGCTGCATCATTAAAGGTGGAACGGGCAAATTTTAACAAAAAGCATGTGAATAAGAAGCAGACTTTAGCTTCTTCAAGCCAGTGAGTATTTTTGGAGCAGTGGGCTTTTGTTTTTGGGATAATGGGCGTAACTTTGGCTACTGTACATAGCCAGCCATGCATCTAGCTAACATTGAGTTATAAAAAATTCACATGAACTAGTTTATAATTTGCAAACAGTAAAAACATTGCAAGCATCTACATTAGCTGATCAGCTTAGTGTATGACTCTTTGTCGTTTGCTATTGTAAGAGTTTAATATTGTCAAAGTTTAACATTGTGGTCGTCGTGTAGGTTTGTGATGTGTCCTTGTGAGTTTCAAGTCTGGGGAGGAGAGGGCAGAGCAGACAACTCCAATATTTTGAATATGGACTGCAGTACCCATTTTAAACACTAGCTGTCGATATTACATATTGCTGCTTTAAAAAAAATGACATAACAGGCTGACATCCAATTAACTGTTTACTTCTTACTTGGGCAGTAATGCACGAGTGCTATACCCTGAGATATTGGCACTGACGTGCTGCAGTCATCTCTGTGCTGTAAATCAGTATACCAGTGCCTGTATCTGACAGCATAGCATCACCATGAGTATATTATTGCGATTATACTAATTATTGATATTTACTATGAGATTTCCAGACACTGACGCAACAGCTGATTAACAAAGTTTATTTGCACTCCGCGCAGGAAAATCGCTCAGACTCTTAACGGTGCTAAACAGTCAAGTCATTGCAAAGACTTCAGGATGTCTACACTGGAAATGAGACTTTAGCTGGCTACATACAATAGTTATGTAACACATTTAAATTTAACATGGGTAACTAACAGTGTGTGTGTGTATGTGTGTATATATATATATATATATATATAAACTGTCTCTTTTGGTGAAACAGTACGATATAACAAAAATAAACTTGGTGCTTTGCCACTTGCATCTGGTGTAGATGCTTTGTTGATTTCAATTGGAGTGTTTTGGTTTTGTCTTTGTGGCGTGCTCACGTTGCTGGCTGTTAAGATGTTATTTATTATTATTCTTTTCGAGAGGCTTGTGACTTGCAATAAACTTATGTTACTTTGCTGTGGCTGTTACTTTTTTTAACGGCTTGTCAATTGCTGGAGTGAAAAGAGATTTGCTCAGAGTGCTGTTATTGGGAGATGCTGGCACTCCTGGAATGCCCTTCAGCAAATCCTGTTCACAATCTGAATGGGATTTGCTGAATGAATCTGAACAATACATGGAGTTGTTCAGTGTGTAGAGGTACTGATGATACCCAGGATATACTCATAAAACCAGATTGTGATGTATTTATCACAATAGGAATAACACGATAACAGTTACTGTGAATATGATGGTTAATTGTCTTTGTGTTTTGTGTGTTCATATTTATAGCTAATGATGCCTTTGCCCATGCCAGAGTTTCTGAATCTGAATTACATCTGTGAATCAGCTTCTCGTCTGCTGTTCCTCTCAATGCACTGGGCACGCTCTATACCTGCCTTCCAGGCCCTTGGGTGAGTGTATAGGACTGCTTGTGAGTGTTCACTAGTTTCTAACCTGAATTTGGCTTTTGTTCACATCATTCTTGTGTTTTGTTTTCCTCTGCTCCGTCCTGTTTCATTACTTTTTTTTTACTGTCATTCTAAACTAGAGTGGATTTTGTAATAACGTATTTTTAGTGATGCATGATGATATCATATCTCTAAGCCAAAAAAATGTCAGCGTTGGACAGATGTTTAGGTCTGGCCAATATTTCCCACAGATCTATCACACCAAAATGTGACATTTATTGTATATTTATTTTATTTATTGATTTATTTATTGTTTGAAAAGCAGAATGTTTAGGCAACATGCTGGTGCTGTGCCAAAGTTAGCTAAAATGTCTTTACTGTACTTGTAACCCTGCATAAATAAATATGTTATATGTGTAAATATATGTTATGATGCTAATCTAGGTGGATCAAGTCCCAGTTTTTTATGTCTGTGTATCGGCATTAGCATCAGCAGATACCTACATGAAAGATCTCAGATATTGGCATCGCCCTACAATTTCCATATCAGTCAATTCCTACTTATTTTCTTTCTTTCGTTTTTTCCTTTTTTTGTCTATCTCTGTTTTACTCTCTGTAGGCCAGAGAATGGGATCAGTCTTATAAAGGCTTGCTGGAATGAGCTGTTTGCTTTGGGCCTGGCTCAGTGTGCTCAGGTCATGAATGTAGAGACAATCCTCACCGCCATTGTGAGCCACCTCCAAAGCAGTTTGGAAGAAGGTAGGACACATTTCAGTGCAACACACTATTCCAGCCTAGACACCTGCCCAATCTAAATCCTCGTACTCAGGCCCTGGTATCTCAAACTTTGGACCGACAGTCTGGAAGGCCACTCGGCTGCAAGCATATAAAACATGGCTAATGAGAGGGCACTTCAGCTCGACTTTGTTCCATGTTTGATACTGACAGCAAAATGTGCACATTGTATGTATACCTTGCTTTGGATAACATTTATTTGTTTGTCTAAAATTATATGTTCATTTGTTATTTTTGGTTTTGTTTATCATGCGCACTTTGCTATGAATTCTGGGTAGCTCCATGAGTGAAGTGGAGTTTGAGGAACCTGCATCACATGCAGCCTCTCTGAAAGTTCACAGAAAGTCAGCATTATCCCTCATACAGCCTAAACGAGTCCAAGTTTCTGCAAGTCGGGAGAAGACCGGAGATTTAAATTGGGCATCTGTATAGAGCAGTGATTACCAACCCTGTTCCTATAGATCTATTTTGGTACAGAGTTCAGTTCAAGCCTGCATTTAACATACTGCCCTTTCCTAACACTCATGCATATGATCCTGCTAATCAAGGACTTCTGTTGAAGCTAATTAGCTGGGTCAGGTGGAGCAGACTGTGGTTGGAATTAGATTATGCAGAAAGGTAGATCTCCAGGGCCCATATTCATGAAGCTTCTCAAAGTTCTCAATCTGTTTCTATCAGTAAAGTCATAGTTAATAAGAGAGGAATATAATCCTACCCTGAGAAGCTTTGTGAATACAGGCTCAGGACTCTCCAGGACCAAGGTGACCACTGGTATAGAGCAACACACATTTTGTGGTGATGAATCTGAACTGACATATTCAAATATGTGTATGTGTGTTAGAAAAACTCTCTGCGGAGCGAGTAAAGCAAGTGATGGAGCACATCTGGCGAATGCAGGAGTTTTGCAACAGCATGAGTCGTGTGAACCCTGATGCCTATGAGTACGCCTACCTAAAAGCCACTGTCCTCTTTAGCCCAGGTAAACGTTACACATAGAGGAAAAGTGAAGAGAAAGAGAGGATGCAGTTCTAAGCTATTGTGTGTTTGTGCTGGTGGTCTAGATTATGCTGGAGTGGACAGCACTCTTCAGATTGAGCGGTTTCAGGAGAAAGCTTACATGGAGCTACAGGACTATGTCAGCAGGGTGTATCCAGAGGACACTTATCGGTAAGATCCTACAGCCAGTCCTAATGGCTAATGTGTTCTAATGTATTCATGTAAATTTCCACATTTTTCTGCAAAACTCTAAATGTTCACAGGGGAAAAAAATATAGAAGTGAAAGTGAACAACAATGCTGTTTGCTCCACACGGGTTAGACTTAGTAGCAAGCCCATAAATTCATTTATCCAGCTAGTGATCTGCCACAAATATTTGTCAGGCATTTTCAGACATAATTGTTAATTTTAAGACCCTGCATTGTTAAAGTATATAATCCTACACTGTTAGTGATTTTTATCTAATGCAGGGAAAAACATTAAGAGTGCAAAATAAAACTCCATTGCCACTAAAGGCATGTTGCTTTTATTTAGCACCAGCATCTTTTAGTTAGGGCTATGAAAGCTTAGTAGGCTAACTTAGCGACTGTTTTCTAGCTAATGCTGGGCATATTACCTTGTTGTGGCAAGTTTTGGGTTTAACTGAATATTTTTTAAAATGTTAAAAATTTTAAATGAAAATTCTATTCTAGGACATGAGTGTATGTTGTAGTTACATTTTATATTTTAATAAGTATTGCATTGTCTAATAATTTAATAGAAAAGTAATAATTCCTATAGGACCCATACAATCTATAGATTTTAGGAAACTATCTTTTTTTATTTTACTGAGATCACTTTTTAAGTTGGTAGACTGTGAAATTTACTTTCTTTCTCCATCTCTCCCCCCCTCTCTCTCAGTCTATCAAAGCTGCTGCTGCGCTTACCTGCGCTGCGTCTGATGAGTGCAGCTATAACTGAGGAACTGTTCTTTGCTGGGCTCATTGGGAATGTCCAAATCGACAGCATTATTCCCTACATCCTGAAAATGGACTCCACTGACTACAACAGCCAATCAGTCAGCGCTACAGAGTAACTCTAGCTCTGGCCTCAGATACACCCAGTCTGTTGCAATGCCCAAGCTACACATTCAAGACATTACTGCCCCGAAGGTGAACTTTTGACCTCTGGAGTCAAACATTTGCAGCCATTGGGGACACTGCCTTTTGAGTGAGCATGCTGTGTAGGGGCAGTTTTGTTGTTTGCAGCCAGGTACACTTTGGAGACTGAGGACCTTGTAATTGCTTCTTAATTTCATGTTTGTATGGATCGCGGCTGCTCTTTGTATTGAGCATTGACGTCAACCCCAGTGTGCTCTTGCTTTGGACACTTTCAGTTTTTCAGCATTCCGCTCTCCATGAGTAGAAGAAAGTATCTGTTAAGGACTTATTTGTGTGATGGCTTAGAGTGCAATGCCCAGTTTGGACTCCAGAGCGCTGACTCTTTGCCGTATGTACATGAATCGTGTATATAAGTATAATAAATGTCAACTCTCATAGAGCGAAGCTTCAGGAATTTGTGTTATTTGTGTTTTTACAGTCAAGGAAATGTTACCATGTAGAGATTTGGTCATATAAACACATCCTATTTTATGATGTAGAAAATGTCATTTGAAAATGAAAAATGAAATCATGACTTGTTTACGAGGATCTGTAAGAACCTTTGCTTGGTTCAGAAATTGTTTGCTTAGTTGATAAAGTTCCATATAACGTACATGAAATCTGGAGCCACCACATACATTTTTTTTCCTGATGAAACATTTAATGTGACGTTAGTCTTTCTGTAACACTGGCAACAATCAAACTGTTAAAGTATGCAGGTTGTTAAACAGGCATTCCAGCCTAGAACTAGCATTTAACATGTTTTGTGGTATTATGCAGTATTCTGTACAGCATTATATCCCTCAGTTTGACAGAGTTTATGATTTTATTTTTGTTTCATGTTTTCACTAATGATTGTTCTCTAACTACAGAACCCAGCATGAATTACAGAAAGTACATCATACAGCCATTGGGAATCCCTGCGGTGTCAATCAGTCCTGACTGTTAGCCTAGCTACTGATATATAGGCTGATTAAATACAACCAAGTAAAGCTCTTAGTGTAACACTTACCTTAGCCACTGAACAAAATAGAAAACGGTGATTCTTTATTGAACAAAAAAAATTGATGCCAGAGACACCTTTCAGAGAAGGAGCCACACTGAGGTCGGGTATATAGACAGTGTCCTCTTCATCTGATGAGTCATTTCTGTCATTTGAGTAATCTGTTATCCTCATTGTAATAGTCCTTTGAAGACAGTTGTTGCATTTACATGGATGCAAAATCAGTTCAAGTTTTTTAAAGGTTCCCCCCACCTTCAGGATAAATCCCCTTCTGGTGATGTTTCCTAGACTTTACATGAGAAGATCTTTCTCTCAAGAGTGCTGCAGCTTTGCTGTAGGATGTGTAAATATTTCAATTTGTATGCCTTTATCTAGCATTACTATTACATTTTGCTGCAGTTTTCACAGGTGATAAACCCTTTTGCTCATGTACATGAATGCAATTCACACAGATGCACACATTTTCTAACCTGGGTCATGGGGGGTGCTAGGGCCTATCCCAGAGCTCACTGGGCGGAAGGCTAAATGCAATTAAGTGATTTTCTAATAATAATTGTTTGAGCTTTATATTAGTGCTGTACTGTATAATAAACTATATATATATATATATATATATATATATACTGTACAGTAGGTAGAGCTTGAAGCCGCTTGTGTAGACTAGTAAATAAACACCTCTCTGTAGATCTCGCCACATCACTATCTCCTGATGGCAGAAGATCAAAATTGCATTGCTATTTCTTTCGAGTAGTTTTGATGATAAGTAAGACTAAAGCAATGGTTTGCCCAAAAAAAATCAAATTTACACATTTTCCCTCCCCTCCAGACGACACTGATCAGACAAGACACATTAAAGTTTGCTTTTTTAGTTTTAACACATTTAAAAATACTGAACAAACTAAAAAATGGTTCTTCAAAGATTCTTTAGTAAAGGCAATGGTTCTACTATTTGCATGTTTAAATGGTTCTTTGCATGGTGAAGTGGTTCTTCAGATTGATGGAAAATGTGTTGTATATGGTTCTATATAGTACCAAAAGGGGTTTTTCTATTCTTAGAAGCTTGATATCGTAACAGTAGCAGAATCCTTTTGGTACTATATAAATCTGAGAGTAAATGAGTTAAAAACTAAAACTAAAACAAATAAATACACTGGAAGGGTGGACTGTTCCTTTAGTCTAATGCACAGTGCGGACCTGCATCATAAATACTTTGCCTTGAATGCTGGTTATGTTGACTTAGTGATCGCATTGCTTATGTCTTCATTTGAGAAAAGAGGGACAGAGCTGTCCGGTTATTTTTGTTTTATCTGTTTTAATTTTATTAAAAAAGTAACTTCTCTGACCACAAACGGTACTAAACACAGCCTACACCGTTCCCAGTCGGAATATTTTTTGTGTGCGACGGTCCCTCCCGGTCTACAGTCCGGCTGCGATGGGGGAGTACGTGAACTTAGTGCGGAGGGCTTTGGGTCAAATCACCGGCCACGGCGGAGTTAAAGGCTTTTTCCTGCAGCTTTTCAGGTGAGGGTGAAACACTCAGCAGAGGAGTCGATGCAGAAGAAGTCGATGCACCTGAATGTGAGAAAACACGAAGACGGAGCGGCTCCGTGTAATGACCTCTCTGAGGCGCTTAGCTTAGCTTAGCTTAGCATAGCGTAACATAGGATAACATAGCTGCTGATCAGGCTGTGAACTGTCAGTGTTGTTTCTGTCTCTCATGTTACGCAGTAAGATTATAAACCATATCACCGCGTTAACAGGGCGAACGATGTGAAGACCGGAGCTCTGATCGGGATCGACAAATACGGCAACAAGTACTACGAGGACAACGGCTACTTCTTCGGTAAGGTAAAGGGGCAGCTAACTAACCTAGCTTAGCTACTCTACTAATATTTTAAATGTTCCTCATAATTCAATGTTTAAGAAACATTCAGGGTGGTTTGGTGTGAAATGCTCCGTTCTAGAGAAATTTACAGAGGCAGAATTGTTCACAGTGGTGGTGATAGGAACCAGACGTCTGAGGAGTTGTTGCCTCTAAAAGCTCCCTCACAGAAAGTTATCACACGAAATCTTTAGAATACATCGTGTTGGCAAAGTAATATAAGCCCAAGATGCCAAGCTGTTAAATCTGCCTGACCTATTTAAGGACCCTTTCCAGACCACGTTGTCCTGTCTGTTTTGAAATAAACAAGTTTCATGTATGTTCATCCTACATCAGTGTAGCTCTGCTCACTCACGCAGAATTTAAAAAGGGTTTCAGTCTGAACTGCTTTTTGAATGAGGCACAAGGGCAGGTATCAGAACAGAGCTCATTAACATATATCTGTCTTGAAGGCACAGTTTCTGTGCATACTTTGTGAACTCCCTTTTACCCTGTTTTTCAATGTTCAGGATCACCACAGAGCAGGTATTATTTGGGTGGGGGATCATTCTCAGTACTGCAGTGATAGCGAGATGGAGGTGCCATGTTAGTGTGTGTTACCTGTTCTGTGGTGGTCCTGTGAGGGTCCTAACCATTGAAGAACAAGATAAAAAGGTGCCAACAAGTATGCAGAGAAACAGATGGACTACAGTCCGTAGTTGTGGAACTACAAAGTGCACATATATGATAAGTGTAGGTGATAAAATGGACAAATAGTGTTAAAATATTAAACATATTTATGGTCATTTATACTGGATCTTAGTTTAATTTTTGAAAGCAGAAAAATGCATTTCATTAAAAAAAAACAAAGAAATCTTATATATTTTCATTTTCTCCGTCAGTTCTATTTTGGATGGTAAGGGTGAAGTGTTTACACCACTGTCTCTGAAACTTCTCCACAGTTCTGATGAGGCACAGAAGCTTGATTTTTCTAGCCTTTCACTCTATTTGAATTATGGATTTATGAGTTGGTTGTGTTTTCTAAAATCGTTTTCTTTCATGTGAGGCCAAAATACATAGGAGAATAGAAACTATGGATACGTTTGGATAGGACTTTAAACAAAATCTTACCTTCTGCTGTTTTCATTTCACTCGTCATGTGTAAAGATTTTTGTAGATAATTTGTTCCTAGATTGTAAGCAGTAATTAGTCTGTGGTATAATTTTAATTTATGAAGGAGCCATAACGAAGTATTTATTTGGTTGCCCTCTTGCAGGCCGTCACCGATGGGTCATCTACACTACAGAGATGAATGGCAAAAGGACGGTGTGGGACGTTGACGGCAGCATGGTGCCTGCAGAATGGTAACCCTCTTTTTTGCATCACTTCAACGAAGGAATTGTCATTGTAATAAAAAGTTACACTGTACCCTGCTAAAATATCCCTGTCTATGTAAGGTACTGTGTAAAAGTCAGAGACCGGACATTGAGGCATGCTGTGGATCATTGTTCTGTTGGAAAATCCAAACTATGGTCCAGTTTAGGCTTCCTCTCTGAGGCAGTATTTGATGATACTCTGATCGAGTATTTGAATAAATTGTCCAGGACCTTTGGAACAAAAGCAGCCCTACATCACAGATCCACCACCATCTTTGTGTCCATGCCAAACCCATCTCTGGTGTTTGTTGCCAAAAAGCTCTGTGTTGGTCTCATCTGACCGTAAAACATGGTATCCCCCCAACAACTTGTGGTTATGTAGGTGTTGTTTGATTGTGGTTTGGGAGACATTCTGACCCCAAGACTTAATTAATTTCTGTAATTCCCCATCTGTGATTCTTGGAGATACTTTGGCCACTCAAACCATCCTCCTCACTGTGCGTGGGGTCAGTATGGACATACGTCCTCTCCCTGTCAGATTCTTAACATCTTCAGTTGTTTTAAACTTCGTAATTATTGCTCTGATAGTGGAAATAGGCATTTTCAGCTGTTTAGCTGTTTTCTTGTAGCGATTTCCTGATTTTTGCAGCTCAACAATATTTGGTCGCACATCATTGCTGTTGTCTCTGGTCTTTATTGTAACGATGGATGACTGAGGGCATTTGTCCTGTGTTTCATCTCGTATATATTCCCCAGTGAATCAGGAAGTCATGGCTGACCATTTAAGTGTTGCTTATAACTCAGGTGAACATAAAATATGAATGGAGATGTACTTCAGTTAGATTTCACTCTTCTAGGGGAGTCAACAATTGTGGTACACATAGATTTACGAAAAATATTTCATGACAAGAGTTTTGTCTTTTAATCATTATACCTTAGATGAATGTTAGATTTTTGCTAATATTTTAAATGAAGAATTAACATGATAAGTAACTAAAAATATTTTGTTCTAGTATGTGGTTTGGGCCACAGCTGTAATAATGCAGCAAGAAATCTCAGCCATTTAGATTTCAGCTTTCATTTGTTGTCACTACAGCAACAAAATACATCATTTAAATTTAAAACACTCAAATGTATCGGTTAATAGACTTAAAAATTAGTTTTAAATTGAGTGTTAAAAGCGCGTCTTACTGCCTTTGCTGGATCCGTTATGGCTTTGTTATCTCATAACAAACTGCCACTGCACCCCGAGCTGCCTACCAGAATACTATGAATTCAGAGTTTGGTTGATGTGTGCCACACATAGGTGTGCATATGCCAAGTATTTTGCAGTGGTTCATATCAGTGTGCACTTTAATACAAGGATTGCTGTGCGCACAGTTATTAAGATTATCATTATTTTAATCTATGAAATAATGCATAACAAAACTGTCAGTGAAATTTGCATGCACTCATTTTATGATCATATTTATCTGTATGCATCTTTGATGAATAAGGGGCAGTGTGTTTACACTGGACCTTTTCAGTAAAGTTACTGCATCCAGATACTGGTATGTCTCAATTCTTCATGCAGTATTTAAAATTGGGCTATAGGGCTTTTTAAAAACTATTTGCGTTGTGGTATGGACTGCTCCAGGCATCCAAAGTTATGGAGAAAGATAGCCAGTTTTGTTTCACTAGGCATCCACAACTGCTTTTAAGTTGCACACTGATGTCAATCACTGTTGCTAATATTCATTTCATCTCACTTGAGCTCCAAGGTTGATTGTCTTTGATGAATAAGAGCGATGAGTACAAATGCTGAAAGTTGTGACTGGAGCTCACATGACTTTTCAGTCTGTAGAGTGTAGACAAGCTGCCTATGTTGTGTTTAGGTTACAACACTTTTTTTTTTAAATGACTATGTTGACATCAAGTATATTATTTGCCATGTCACAATGCAAGGTTTAAACCAGGCCTTAGTCTTCGTTTGTGCATTGCTAATACTGACAGGTCTTCTTAAAATCCTTGTTTTTCTTTCTCTTGCTCTTCAGGCATCGCTGGCTGCACTGTATGACTGATGACCCTCCCACCACTCACCCTCCTGAGCCCAAGAAGTTCCTGACGAAGGTTCACCAGTTCAACATGAGTGGAACTTCAGGTTGTTATGTCCCGTATTCCACCACTCCTAAGAAGATCCATGAGTGGGTGCCCCCAAAGGTCGGGCAGCAGTGACCCCTGGCTCTTCACCCTAAGCCAGCTTGGACCCTGATTTATGTTCGGTCTGGGAGAATATTCTGTAAATTATAGCTGAGATTTGTATCTGTAAATTAATTAAACTTCAAAACTTAACTCTGTGTCTTTTGTCTTGTGTAATCTCAAGGTAAATAGTTTATCAATTTCTCATGAGAAGGCTAAACTGTGTGTCCAAAAGTGTGTGGACACCCCTCCTAGTAATTGAGTACAGGTCTTTCAGCCACAATCATTACTAACAGGTGTATAAAGTCAAGCACATAGCCATGCAGTCTCCATGAACAAACATTGGCAGTACAGTGGGTTGTATTAAAGTAGCACTCAGTGACTTGTGTGAGGCTGTCATATGATGCCACCTTGGCCACAAGTCAGTTCATGAAATTTTTGCCCTGCTAGATCTGCTCCAGTCAACTGTAAGTGCTATTATTGTGAAATGGAAGCATCAAGGAGCAACAACAGCTCAGCCACAAAGCAGTAGACCACGCAAACTCACAGAGCGAGGTTGCCGAGTGCTGAAGCACATACCATGTCAAAACCACTCATCCTTTTTTGCATCACTCGCCACAGAGTTCCAGACTGCTTCTGGAAGCAACATCAGCACAAGAACTGTGTTTCCATGGCCGAGTAGGTGCACACAAGCCTAAGATTACCATGCACAGTGCCAAGCATATTAAAGCTTGCCACTACTGAACTGTGCAGCAATGGAAATGTTCTTTGAAAATGATGAATCACGCTTCACTATCTGGCAGTCTGATTGGCCAGTCTGGGTGTGGTGGAAGCCAGAGACCGGGATGCATAGTGTGAATGTTAAAGCTCAGGAGTAGAGGAGGGGATAATGGTCTGGGGCTGTTTTTCAGGGTTTGGGCTAGGCCTCTAGTTCCAGTAAAGGGTAATCCATACAGCATACAAAGACATTTTAGACAATTATATGCTTCTTACTTTGTGGCAGCAGTTTGGGGAAGGCCCTTGTTCCAGCTTGACTGCAGCTCCATATTAATGTTCATGGTTTTGAAATAGGATGACCAACAAGTTCATATAGGTGCGATGGTCAGGTGTATGTGTTACTGTTGACTTCAATGGGTGATTGGTTGAGATTGGGGAATGGTTTCCTCTTTTGTGAGGTTCTACACTGGAAAATGTTACAAAAGCAAACACTGTTTCTTCAAGGTTGTAGGAGGTTTTGAGTCCTAGCTTCTTCACTGAGTTGGCCATAGCTGCAAAACATGTAACAAAATAGATATCAGAGCTGAAAATTAAGGTCCTCTTGTATGTGGAGTGGAGTTAGAAAGATGTGTAGAGTGTGTGTTAGTAAGGGTGGGTTAGGTAGACAAGACTTGCTGAATTTCACGAGTAGGTGGGCAGTTCGATTCTTGTGGCTGACTGTGTCAAATGACTGTGAGAAAGACAATGAGGATATCCTGTTTTACATTTCTTCATCTTACTGCTCTTACCATGACTGATGAAATTCTGTCTCCACAAACCTGTTCCGGTAAGCCATCTTGTTAGTGTCACTGCTAATCTTATTTTACTACTTAAAAGCTAATGTGATCTGTATGTGGGTGCAGATTTTAATTCCTCACTCTTTTAACTTCATAACTAGCGTTAGTCTTATAGTAGTTACTGAATAATACATCTTAGTATTAACTGAACAATAAGTCTGGGTTTAGGAGCCTGTAGTAGCATAGCTCAGACATTATAATCGTAGTTCTCCTGTTATTTAGGGGGCGGTGGCTCGATGAGGAGATTCACTTTAACATCACGGCTTTCTTCTAGAGAAGAGGTGAGTGCGAAAGCAGCTATTTTCCAGTAGGGGGCAGTGTTTCCTATGTTTAAGCGATTTCCATATGGAAAAATATATGCATACATAATATCCAAAAAGATATGCAGGGTCAATGAACGTGACATCTTCGTTCAATTTCTGATATACCATATGAAAAATACTTTTTCACCCTTCGATGGCCGGACCCCCACGGGACCACCACAGAGTGGGTATTATTTGGGTGGTGGATCATTCTCAGCACTGCAGTGACACTGACATGGTGGTAGTGTGTTACTGTGTGTTGCTATGTTGCAAGTGGATCAGACACAGCAGTGCTGCTGGAGTTTTTAAACACTGTGTCCACTCACTGTCCACTCTATTAGACACTCCTACCTTGTCAGTCCACCTTGTAGATGTAAAGTCAGAGACGATAGCTCATCTGCTGCTGCACAGTTTGCGTTGGACGTCCTCTAGTCCTTCATCATTGGTCACAGAATGCTGTTGGCTGGATATTTTTGGTTGGTGGACTATTCTCAGTCCAGCAGTGACACTGAGGTGTTTAAAAACTCCGGTAGCACTGCTGCTAACATGCCACAGCAATCCAAGTAATCCCAAACACATTCAGTGATGTTGAGGTCTGCACTCTGGAGTGGTCAGTACATTGTTCTGAGAACACCAGCAGCTTCTTTTCATAATTTGCATATTTTTTCTTTTTTTCTTGGTGTATTTTTCTCAGTAATGCCTTCTTGACAGCTGCACATCCTTTCAGACTAATAGCGTTGAGTTGTCTTCTCACAGTCATAGGAAGGACAGAAACACCTTGAAATTTTTCTTAAAGATGAAAACTTTAAGTGCTGTTTGATAGTGACAGTTTCCCTGGTCTACCAGGTCTTGCACGATTGTTGAGAGTCCTAATTTCTCTACATCTTTTAATCATTTTTTGCTCTCCAGTTTTGTAAACTCCTGTTTTTTCACTCATTTTCCTTTGATTTTCCCCTGTGCAAGAGGTTGGTCTTATATCTAATCCCCTTGGTTATATCTTCTGAAAAATTAATAACTTGTACTTAGTGGCTGTTTTGACTGAAAATGTAATAAAGGGTGATGAAGGATGGCCTCTGACTTTAGCACTTGCTGTATTTCCTCATATCCAAGTATATATTTATATATATATTTGAATATACATGATGTTGTAACACTGAAACTTCAATTTGCTGATTTACAGGCAAAGACTCACTGTGCCTCATTTGTAATAGACAAACCATAGAAAAAAGCATGTCAGCAGTTTCCCAAAACATGCTTAATTGCAATAAAGGAGTCACAGTAGAGACCAAAATAGACCAAAAAAGCAGCCATATGGCCTGTTTGAGTGAATGGAAAAAGCTTCCCTAATATCCTGAGTGGAGTTTTGGCTTCATTCTAACTTTGGCTCTGTCTTACTTTGATTAGCAGATTTGTGTGTGTGTGTGTTTGTACATCTCTCTTGTCCTTCCTCTCTTCCTCTCTCACTCTGTGTGAAATGGCCGTCTGAGGCCATCAATAATGAATGCACACCACAGAGTGGTAGTCACACACTGAGAAGGGGGTTTAAATTTTTATGCCCCTTCAACAAACACCTGTTTGCCAATTGGTTAGTCCAAGATGCTTTGGTCAGTGGAAACTCTGTATGCTCTGCAGCATTATGGATACACTCACTTGTGTTTTAAATTGTGTGTGCAAGCGTCCTTTTAGAGCCATGTCAGAATAATAATAATAATAAGTCATAAGACGAAGTACACCATGAAATGTTTCTCTTTTTTGACATATATGGTCGTATCAGCATTTGATCATCAGTTAAATAGAATGTATATGTAAACATTATGTAATAGAACAAAAAAATGAATTAGACTTTACAATCTTTTATTTAAAAAAGAACTTTGGTGTCAGTTTTGTATGTTGAATAACCCTGGCTTTGGTAACCGCTCCTGCACCCTTTGGCAGAAACAGCATTTCAACTTGATTTAGATCTGGGCTTTTAATTGGCCATTCTGTAAACCTCCATTTCTTCCTTTTCATTACAAGATTTTCTTGTATATTTGGGATCATTATCCTGTTGGAAGGTCCACTTCTTCAGCTTCAACTTTTTGGCAGATGGCCTCACATTCTCCTCAAGCAGTCTCTGGTATAAAAGAGAATTCATAGTTGATTCTATGACTACAAGTTGGTCAGGCCCTGAGGCAGTAAGCAGAACCAAACCATAACATTTCCACTGCCAAGCTTTACAGTTGGTATGAGGTTCTCCTGATTAATGCTGTCTTTGGTTTGCACCAAACATGGCTTCTGGTACTGTGGCCAAACAATTCTATCTTTGATGTATCTATCCAAAGCACATTGTTCCAGAAGCCATGGTACTTGCCTAGATATTCATTAGCAAACGTTAGTCTTGCCCTGATGTTCTTTTTAAGCAGCACTACCTTCTTGAGCACCCCCCATATATGTCAAATGTGTGCAGTTTTTTCCAATGATAGATGTACATGCTCATATATCAACAGTGGCTAGAGCTACCTGCAGATACTGTGATGAAATTTGGGGTTCTTAGTGACTTTCTTTATTATCTTTCAGTCTGCTTTCGGGTTAAATTTGTTGGGGTGGCTAGGCCTGGACAACTTGGCAGAGGTTATAAATCTTCTCCACTTGTAGAAGATCTTCTGACAGTGGACTGATTGATTTCCAATAATTTGGATATCTTCTTAGATCCCTTCCCAGACTCAGACAGGCATGTACTACCTTCTTTTTGAAAGCCTCGGGCAGCTCTTTTGATCTAGGCGTGATGACACCAGACATGCTGCCATAACAGAGAGCAAACCAGACCAGATATCTGAGGTTGAAATAGTTTGTAATAATAATGAATAGATTTAAATAGATTAAATAGGTTCAATTAATAATAATTAAGGATGATAAAAATGTTAATTTATGTGTCACTTGTTAAATTATATCACATTTAGCTATCAACACTGTTTAAATAAAGACTGTATCTGTGTCTGTATCTCCAAAAATTTTCATTGGGTGTACTTACTTCTTCACATGACGGTAATTCTAGCTTGTATAATAAGTGGGGAGCAGTACTGGGTCAGGGTTTGATGATGTAACTCTCATTACTGCCATTACTGAGCTGAGATGTTGATTTTATATTAACATTAAGCTACCCAATAATGTGTTGGTGCAAAAAAGCCATATGGCCTCATTTCCAGGCACTTAATGTAGTAAATATAGCAGTGGCCCAGTTAGGACATTCTCTCTCTCTCTCTCTCTCTCTCTCTCTCTCTCTCTCTCTCTCCCTCTCTCCCTCTCTCTCTCTCTCTCT